GGCGGGTTATTACCATAGCTCCTGCCGCAACTTCTCCTCCGTTGTTCAGCCGTTGACTTTCCTAAATAGTCCCAAAGTTAACTTTGATTGGTCCCCTACCTGTCAGCATGAATTTGATAGCGCAAAATCACTTCTTAGCCACGCCCCTGTCCTTGCTGCTCCTGACTTCTCCTGGCCATTCAAACTTGAGGTAGATGCCTCTGCCGTGGGAGCTGGGGCTGTCCTGTGGCAGGAGGATAGTGATGGAGTTGACCACCCAGTGGGGTACTTCTTCCGCAAGTTCAACAAGCACCCGGTGAACTATTCCATATTAGAAAAAGAAACCCTTGCTTTGTTATGGTCACTTCAACACTTTGAAGTATACATGGGTTCCAGTCCTCTGCCAGTGGTGGTCTTCACTGACCACAACCCACTCGTCTTTTTACATCGTATGTATAACCACAACCAAAGGCTCATGCGGTGGGCATGCAGGATTACAATGTGGAGATCCAGCACAAAAAGGGGTCTGACAATGTTGGGCAGATGCGTTGTCAAGAGTATAATGTTGGTCTTGTTAACTTTGTTTTTTTTGTGAATGACAAACCTAATTAGGAGGGTTTGCCTCTTAAGGGGAGGGGTGTTACGGTCACCGCCGTATTGTGGCAAATCTTGGGCCTACCTTCCTGCCTGCCTGTGTGTGTGTGTGTGTGTGTGTGTGTGTGTGTGTGTGTGTGTGTGTGTGTGTGTGTGTGTGTGTGTGTGTGTGCCACAGCTGCAGAAGGAGCTAATTGCCTGACCACATCCACCTGAAGATGGCAAGGACTGAATGGCTGAAGGCTTCCACCAATCATGAGAAGCCACTTGGCAGAGTGGATAAAAGGCCAGCAGACCTGCAGCTCAGGAGCACACTGTAACCAGTGGAGCTCCCATGCCTCTCTTTTTCAGACCTTGAGTCTTTGTGAATTGTGGACATTTGTAACCCTGTGAGGCATATTGTTTGATCTTTGCACACGCCTAGCTTCTTTTTTGTCAGCAGCACTAGAGCTGAGTTGAGTTGTTGTATTTCATTTCCTTTTTTGCCTTATGTGAACAGACCTTCATTTGCGCTGTTTAATAACTATAGGTTAGAGTCTCTTTGTGTTTTTGGCAATCTTTTAGTACATTCTTTAATGCCTTTGCTGCCTCTCTTTTTGTTGTTATTGCCAGTTTTACCTGTGTTAATAAATAACTTGAATTGCCCATTTTTATGTTTATGATGTTAATCCGTTAAAGGAGACCCGGAAAACCTAAAAGTTATTGTTAATTAAGGTAAGATTTTGTGTCTGTGCTTAGGTAAGTAAAATGGCATCTTTTGATCTTGACAGCTTCTTGGTAAATCCCTTGCTTGATCAGATTAATATGTGCAGAAAGGATAATTTGGTTGAGATAGATGTGCACTTTAATGTCTTGTTTGCTAAATCAATCCTGAAAAAAGAAAAAATCTCTAGTCATAGTTAAGTTAGGTTTGGAATTAGGTTTGATTGTTTTGCTGGTACCTTCTGAGTCACCTGTGTGTGCACCTGGGTCTGAGACTGCGGCTGATTACACTGCACAAAGGGAGTTCATAGAAGTTGGTGATCAGCCCAAAACTCCCTTTACCTTGTCTTGCTACAATTCTCCTAATCGGCAGTCGGCACTGATTCTCTGGGTGAGGCCAGACTGAAAGTCAGGCTGGCACGACTCCAGATGGAGGCCCAGGAGAAAGCCGAGAGCCGGCAAGCAAAGCTGAGACTCGAGATCCAGAAAATGGAGATCAAGGCCGACAAAGCAGTCCGTCTACGTCAGCTTGAGCTAGAAGCTCAGCTGAAAGCAACTCTGGCACTGGGTGCATCTGCAGATGCAAGTATGACACCTCCTTCCACCAGCTCTACCCGTGAGTCCTTTGACATTGGTAAACATATTTCTCTTGAGTTGACAGCTATTCAGCTATTTCCCTGCATTTGAGCGCATTGCGACTGCACTTCAGTGGCCTTATGATGTGTGGCCACTACTTCTACAACGTAAAATCCATGGTAAAGCACAAGAAGCTGTAGCTGCTCTACCTTTAGCAGAGAGCTTAAACTATGAATGTGTAAAGATGTCTATTTGATATGCCTATGAATTAGTCCCCAAAGCTTACAGGCAAAGATTTCGGTTTTACCTGTGTTAATAAATAACTTGAATTGACCATTTAACATCTGGTTGTTTTATATTACTTCCCTTTTCCCCTATCAAGCTGGTCGTAACACACTCCAATGTGTTCTTTGTATGCAAACTGCAGGGAGTCCAGTTTGTCTTTGACCTCAGACCTCAAAAGGTGTAGAATCAGCCGCTCCAGGGTTTTCATGATGTGTGAAGTGAGGGCCACTGGTCTGTAGTCATTGAGTTCAGCGGGACATTTTGTTTTTGGTACTGGCACAATGCAGGATGTTTTCCACAGAGCAGGTACCCGCCCCAGCTGTAGACTCAGGTTGAAGATCTTGTGGAGAGGTTGGCACAGTTCTGCAGCACAGTCTCTAAGCAGCCTTGGACACACACCAACTGGACCAGCTGCCTTCCCAGGACAAAGTCTTCCAAGCTCCATCCTCACCCCTGTTTCGTTGACAGACAAAGACTGGTGTTTTAGGAGGGAGGCAGTTGAAGTGGTTGAGTGGTTGAACGAGATGGAGGAGGAAGGGGAGAAGTTGTAGTGGAGATTTGTTGTGGAGAGGAAGGTGGAGTAGCAGTGGAAGTGGGAGTGACAGCAGTGTCAAATTTGTTGAAGAACAGGTTGAGTTCATCAGCTCTTTCCAGATCACCCACCACTGGCGGTCTTTTCTTTTGACTGCTGTGTCCAGAGATGGTACTGATGGCTTCTTTTTGTACTCCTGCTTTGCCATCTTCAGTCTCCTCTTCAACTCTTGTTGCACTTGTTTGAGTTGTTCTTTGTCACCATCTTTAAAAGCTTCCTTTTTCTGGTTGAGGATTGCTTTTATGTCTCTTGTGATCCAGGGTTTTTTGTTGGGGAAACAGCGAACAGTTTTTGTGGGTATAACTGTGTCTCTACAGAAGTTGACATAATCAGTAAAGCAGTCAACCTGTTTATCAATGTTCATACTATCCACATCTGTTTCCAGCAGCACATTCCAGTCTGTTGATTAAAAACAGTCCCTTAGAGCTTCACTGGCTTGAGGTGTCCATCTTCTTATTTTGACTTTGGTCACAGGCTGCCTCAGCACAATTTTGTATTTTGGTGAGCGGCGCAGCCCGGTGTAAGTATCACCCATCCCTAACTCAGCTCCTAAATTACGGATGGGGTTACGGATGGGGGCGTAAGTTGTACGGAGGTAGAAGAGAGGGCGTGGAGTGGGTTTAACCCGTTTTCACCAATGACATCAGCTCCTCTCCTTGCCTTTAAATCTGCCACCTGCGAGGTGTATTCCAATTTTCGTGAAGAAGTCAAAGAGATCAGGAGATGTCTGGAGACAGTAATGCCACACGATGGCAACAGAAGGCCGCCCATCAACAAGTGTCACTGTAAGTGCTGCATTGGGCCTCCTCCACACTCTCTCATATGAGCACAGATGGATTTGGTGTGTGTAATGTTGGACCGACTGGTAAGAGAAACACGAATAAAGACAATTGCATAAAGTTGCATATACTCAAACCTCACGTGACAAAGGTGGGTTAAGTGCACAGATCACAACATAAACTGCTGTTGCGGCCGCTGAACAGATGATTTGTTTCAGTGATCAGATGAGTTATTTACTTTAAGCCTACATACGAATATTATAATATTCAGTTTTGTGAGCCAAATTCATTTTAGATGCCAACATCTATGAAAGAAAGAGCCAGGCCACGGAGCGTGATGCGTCATTTATGCACAGATGGTTCCGATTTTAATGCCATTTTTGGAGTTTATGATGTGATCTCTGCGCACAACCCACCTTTGTCACGTGAGGTTTGAATATATGCAACTTTATGTGAGTGTCTTTATTTGTGGAAAGGGTGTTTGTCTTACTAGTGCGTCCAAACTTACACACACCAAATCCATCTGTGCTTATATGAGACAGTGTGAAGGACACCCTCTGCAGCGCTTACAGTGATACACTTGTTGAGGGGCTGCCTTCTGTCGCCATTGTGTGGCATTGCTATCTTCAGACATCTCTTGATCTCTTTGACTACTTCGCGAATAGTAATACGCCTCGCCGGTAGCGGATTTAAAGGCGAGGAGAGGAGCTGATGTTATTGGTCAATACAGGTCTCGGCTGTGTTAAACCCACTCCGCCCTCTCTCCTCCCTCCCTATGACTTACACCGCTGGGAGGAGCTGAGTTAGGCTGCGCCGCTCACCAAAATACCAAATTGTGCTTGAGAATGCCTTGTCGGTGAGGCGGACCTGACTTAAGCTGCGCCTGCGGCACGTCTCCGGCGAGGCACGAAAATAGAGCCCTCAGTCTGTGCAGGAACTACAATCTCTGTTGCAGTCTGGAGCAGAGACTGTCCACGTGGGCCCTCCAGCTGAATGTGTCATCAATGTGAACTCCCAGATATTTATAGGAGCTGACCTGAGTGATGGGTTCCTTGTGGATGACCACCAGTCTCAAGTCATTCAAGTCTTTGTGATTGAACACCATCTCTTTGGTTTTCTTTACATTTAGCATTAAATAGTTGGAGTCACACCATTGAACAAAATGACAAATCTCAGAATGGTAAACTGCTGGACTTTTATCTTTATGCGGCAAACCAAGGATGTCGGTGTCATCTGAGAATTTGATGATAAAGTTTTTGGGGTGGACTTTGATGCAATCATTGGTGTATAACGTAAAGAGTACAAGGGAGCTGACACATCCCTGCGGGGCACCAGTACTAGAGAGTCTGGGCTCGGAGAGGACATTGTTAATTCTAACGTATTCTAACGTTGATTCTAATGTGCTGCACACGGTTGGTTAAAAAAGACATAAACCATTTCAAAATGAAAGGATTGACATTCATGTTCTTCAGTTTCTCAATCAGTTGATGTGGCTGTAGTGTATTAAATGCTGAACTGACTACTTTTTGCAATGCTGTGCATTTCCTGTTGCATGTGTTGCATGACTGAGAAATCATCCGGCACTGAGTCGACAGAGGGGCTGGCATATAAAGCCAGGTAACTGACAACAACGAGAATCAGGTGAGTGCAATCAGCCCGGGCCGGCCCCGCCTCCCGCCGTGCCTCCAGCGCTGCAGAGAGAGAGTGAGAGGGAGAACACACACAGAGGAGAGGAACACAGGAAACCCAAATGCTGCATAAACTCAAAACCCTCACAGTATCCTCCCCTCAAGGAATGCCTCTTAGCGTTCTACCTGGTTTACCTGGGTGGGTGGCATAGAAATCTCACAGCAGCTGTGGGTCGAGGATGAGGGAACACGAGATCCAGGAGCGCTCCTTGGGATCGTACCCCCCTTTAATCATGAAAGGGGACATCCCCGAAGCAGAACTGACAAGGCTGTTGTGGGCATACTCCACCCAGGGAAGATGGGTAGACCACGCAGTGGGTAGGCGGGAGGCGACGCAGCACAGGGCAGACTCCAAATCTTGGTTCGCTCGCTTTGTCTGACCATTCAACTGCAGGTGGTAGCCGGAGGAGAGGCTGGCCATAGCCCCCAGGCCCCTACAGAAAGCCTTCCAGACCTGGGAGGTGAACTGGGGCCCCCAGTCTGACACTATGTCTGTGGGAATTCCGTGAAGTCTTAACACATGCAGGATGAGCAGGTTGGCAGTCTCTAAGGGGGTGGGGAGTTTAGGGAGTGGAACGAAATGAGCCGCCTTGGAGAAGCGATCCATGATGGTGAGTATTGTATCGTTGCCTTCGGAGGGAGGGAGACCAGTGACGAAGTCCACGGCGATGTGAGACCAGGGGCGTGAGGGCACAGGGAGAGGATGCAGCAGCCCAGCAGGGGCCTGGTGAGGGGGTTTGCTGCGGGCACAGACCAAGCAGGCAGCAATGTAGGTGCGAATGTCGAGGGCCACCAGAAGCATTGTCGCACCAGCATAAGGGTCCGCCGAACCCCGGGATGGCAGGCAAGTTGGGAGGCTGCCCCCACAGGAGCACCGCGGATCTGGCCGCAGGCGGGACGAACAGCCGCCCCTCAGGTACGCCGTCCGGAGCCGGGTGGTCCCTGGGCGCAGCCTGGACGTCCTGCTCCACTTTCCACTGGACCGCCCCTACAACACATGTGGAGGGGAGGATCGTCACAGGGGCGCAAAGAACCATCCTTCTTTTCAACAAATAAAAAGCCCACCCCTACCGGCGAGGATGAGGGCCTTATGAGGCCTGCTGCCACCGACTTAGAGATGTAGGTTTCCATGGCTTCTTTCTCGAGTTTACTCAGGTTGTACAGTTTACGTGTGGGAAGGGGAGCTCTGGGGAGTAAATCAATCCCACAGTCATAGGGGCGGTGAGGAGGGAGTGAACAGGCCGCGTCTTCACTGAATACCTCTTGTAGGTCGTGATAATCCCGAGGAATATTACTCAGATCTATACTCTCGGGTGGGCGTGAGGAGTGAGGAGATCTGACTGGAAGCGCTGAATGGAGATAGTGGGCGTGGCAGTAAGCGCTCCAGCTGCGAATGGTAGAGGTGGACCAGTCTATATGGGGGTTGTGAAGTTGTAACCACGGGAGACACAAAATAATAGGAGTGAGTGGGGAGTTTATGACAAAGAACTCTAAGTGTTCATGATGATTTCCAGAGAGAGTCAGCTTTAGAGGAGTGGTTCTGTGGGTAACAGTGTTTGAGTTGTCCATCTATGGCTAGAACTTCCTTTGGAGAAGTCAGAGGGCTAACAGGCAGGGGATTTGCTTTAACATAGGCTTCATCTATAAAGTTATCGTCTGCCCCTGAGTCAATGAGAACCTGCAGCTCGTGTGATAGGTGGGTTCTGCTGGTGTGAGGCGAGATCGATCCAACTGCATCAGCTCATCCGGTGGAGGTGAGTGGTGTTCAGGAGCAAGGTGCGAGCTGGCGTCAGGCGAGGAGGCGTAGTCTCCGGGGCTGCAGACACTGGAAGCTGGTGAACGACGAGTCTGACCCGCTCTTCTCTCCCTCCGTCTCTCCCTGAGTCTGTTGTCTATGCATATGCTTAACTCTATTAGCTCGTTTAGGGAGGAGCTCTCCTCCTGCACTGCCAACTCATCTTTTAAGTCTCCCGTTAACCCTTTGCGGAAAATGGCTCGGAGAGCGGTGTCCCCAAGCCCGCTGCTGGCCACCAGAATGCGGAAGTTTATGGTGTACTAGGAGACTGGTAAACTGCCCTGCCGTAGGTCTAATAGCTGACTCGTAGTTTCTCTACCCTGTACTGGGTGATCAAAAATTCATTTCATTTCCCCCGTGAATTGGGCGTAGTCTGTCAATATTTCTGAGCCCCCGGTAGTTACAGCTAGGGACCAGGATGCAGCCTGACCTGACAACAGACTCATGATAAACGCTATCTTTGACTGTGTGGTAGCGTAAGTGGCTGGCTGTTGGCTAAATACCAAGGAGCACTGTAATAAGAACTCTGAGCATGTACCTAGATCCCCAGAGTATCTGGGAGGGATGGGAATAAATGGTTCCCCAGCTGACGGGGGAGAGGCAGCAGATGGCTCGGCGGGAGGAGGAGGCGCAGGAGCGGAGTGAGGAGGCTGATCCCGCATAGTCCCCAGCTCGCTTCTTAACTGGGAGACACTGGTAGTGGCTCTCCTCTCCTCGGCGCTCTGTGCGAGGCTCCACTTCTGCCCACTATGTTGGTTGCCAGCTAGGCATCCTAAAGGACGGCTTCCCGAGGCCTCCAGCACCGGTGCAGCCGCTCCTTTTCCCTGCTGCTTCTTTGGAGTCCCATATTGTACCAAGAACTGGTTAATGCCCCACCACAACCTATTTCTGAGTTTAATTATTTCTTTTCTTTGGTTCATTTGGTTTTTTTAGCGTACAGGCTGTCTAATGAAACGTTTTGAAACATGTTTTGTAATGTTTTGTTAAGTTGGGTTTGGTTGTTATTTGGCTGAAGTTTTTTTCTTTTTTTGAACCATTTTCTGTTGTTTAGTTCACTTTTATTTATCAGCTGTTGGGCTTTCTCCCTACCCTGGGCCCCGCCCACAGCTGAGGTTCATGTTTCGTTTGTTTGTTTTTTTATATTAATATTTTACATATTAATATCCAGAACATTTGTTTTGTTATTTAGTTCATTATCCAATTAAGTTAGGTTTATTCTTTCTTTTTTTTCCACGTGGTTGTGTGTGTGCGTGTGTGGCGGGGCGCCACTAACGCCGTCCTCATCGCGGCTGGCCGCTCTCTCCCTCGCGGCTGGCCGCTCTCTCTCTCGCGGCTGGACGCACGCTCTCTCTCGCGGCTGGACGCCTTCTCTCCCTCTCGCTCTCCCTCGTCGCTCGGCGCCGACGTGGGGGAATAGCGTGGTCACTCGCGGCTGGAGTGACAGACGGACGGGAGTCAAAATGAACATTTAAAGACAATAATTGGACTCTTGCGTCCCCGTGGTTGGTGTTAGAGGGTGCACACTCAAACACCTACACGGGTCTCGCTTACACGTACACGCACACACATACACACTCACCTTCTGTCTCCGCTTCATGGACTGAACAGAGGCAGTTCCGGGTCACCTGTTAAGTAGCACTAGGTGACGTGCCTCCGCGGGTCAGGTGACCCAGGGAGAAACCAAAGTCCAGGAACAAATTGATTTATAGGAAAAATATTGTGTTTGGGTTTAATATTGGCTCAGCCATGTGGAGGGTGTGAGCAACAGTAATTGCTTTGTATTATTTTGTGTATGTAGAAATATTAGTTATGATATAATAGCTGATATCTTGAAAAACCCCTAGATTGTTTTGATTGGTTTGTCCGGAGGAGGGGCCAAGGGGTATTTACAGGAGCTCAGCTCACTTGTTGGTGTGCCTCCTGGTTGAGCAGACGTATGTTGGTCCTGGTATTTGAATTGCGGTTTGTAAATAGTTTTTCCTCTGTCTTTTTTGTAAATAATTTTTGTAAATATTTTTTGTACATAAGAGTTTTCACCTGTGGGTATTTTTTTGGAGATGGTGTAAATAAAAGGAAATCACCGTACTCGGTTCTCGACTGTGCCATCATCTTTCCCTCCACAACCGAAAAAGAACTTAAAGAAACTGAACCCGCGACATTTGGTGTCAGAAGTAGGCAGACCCGGGAACTTCAGGTGCTGGGGCGGAGCTGCTTACAGTGATGAGAACTTTCCTGGAGGGGCAGCAGAGGAGAGGCGTGTGTGTCCAGCACCAAGAACCACTCCGCCATCTGCTGGATCAACTATGAGCCTCCGTCTTGAGTTACCAACTCCAGCTCCTCGGCCACGACGCAGTTCTCCCGTGGAGGCACCAAGGATTGGGGCAAGTAGCCTGGCAGAACCTCCTAGGTCTGAGAGCCGACCCTGGGGTGACCCCAAGATCCCTCAGTATCTGGCGGGAGAGGACATTGAAAATTACCTGCTCCGCTTCGAGCGCATTGCCAGAACGTGGGGTTGGCCAGACAGTGAGTGGGCCTGTCGCCTGGTGCCTCTGCTCACTGGAAAGGCGCTGGAGGCTTACACAGCGATGGATGAGGACCTGGCTCACTCCTACCCGGACCTGAAGGCAGCGCTCCTGATGAAATTTGACGTCTCCCCGGAGACTTATCGCCAGCAGTTCCGGTCCATGGCTGTCCCACCAGGAGAGAACCCCACAGAGACTTACCACCGCTTAAAGGGTCTCTACCGTCGATGGGTCCGGCCAGAGCAGCATACAAAGGAGCAGATCGGGGAGCAGGTCATATTGGAGCAGCTGCTGAGGGTCTTCCCGGCTGACATCCGCACCTGGGTGAAGGAGCATGAGCCGACGGATGGGCTAGCTGCAGGGAGGCTGGCACTGCAGTACCTTAACGCACGGAGGGGAGGCCCGACAGTCAACCAGGGTGGACCCAGTCGGCCGGTTTCATCACAGCCCAGACCAGCGGCCAGAGCCAGCCAGCATCCAGCAGGAGAACCTCGGTCCGCACCTCGCCAGCGCAGCCCTGGTAAGGAGCTTATTTGTTTTTACTGCCAGCAAGCAGGACACAAGGCTGCTCTGTGCCCAATCAGAAAAGCCAAGCTTAGCAGTGCCTGCTACACTCCCCGAGTGGAGGTTGCAAGTGCTGGGGGACGGCAACAAAGATTCAAGGAAATAACCATAAATGGGGAATGTGTGACTGCTTTGGTTGACTCTGGGAGCTTCCTGACGCTGGTGCGAAGGGAGCTGGTGCCAACGGGCAGTGTGGATTATAGCAGACAGGAAGACATTCTGTGCGCACACGGGGACAGCCATTCCTACCCCACAGCTGAGGTGACAGTGGTAGTGGACGAGCAGCCTTATCTGCTGACTGTGGGGGTGGTGGATAGGTTGCCTGTGGCTGCGATCCTGGGTTGGGACTTCCCAGTGCTACTGGACGTGCTGCTGGAGGCAGGACCCACAGCCAGTGACCTGGGGAAAGGGTTGTCTGGGCTGGTGATCACCCGTGCCCAGGCCAGAGCGGGGATTGCAACCGGCCCAGGGCAGGAAAAGGGCCCTGAGCCAGAACTTTTTTCAACCCTGGACAGTGGTTTGTTTGAGGGGGGCACAAAGGGCCCCAGAAAATCCCGCCGTCAGCGGCGGTTTGAGAAGGGGCTGAAATCCCAGGAGCCAGACCGAAAAAAGGGGCTGGCAAAGGACAGATGGAATGTGCCAGAGGACATTGGGGCCTTACAAAGGGAGGACACAACTCTGACGCCCCTGTTCGCCAAGGTGGTTTGGGGACAGGACCTAGCAAAGAAGGACAAAGACTGGTTTGTTGTGGACAATAATGTGCTCTATGCGATGACAGATGAGGTCAGACGCCTGGTGGTTCCTGTGTCATGTCGGCAGATGATCATGCACACACACTGGCACACACCTTGCCTTGGGCTGGTCATCTTGGTCGCAACAAAACCTACCTGCGGATATCTGCAAGGTTCTTTTGGCCTTCCATGTATGCGGATGTACAAACATTTTGTAAAACCTGTCCCACCTGTCAGAAGACTTGCTTTGTCCGCCAATCAGACCGTGCCTACCTCCAACCACTACCCGTGATCTCCACTCCATTTAGGCGGATAGCCATGGACATTGTTGGCCCATTGGTGAGGAGCAGCGGAGGGCACCAGTACATCCTGGTGGTCTGTGATTATGCCACTCGTTTCCCTGAGGCTTTTCCCCTGCGCACGGTCACTGCTCCGGCTGTGTTGCGTTGCCTGGTCCAGCTGTTCTCCAGGGTGGGTATTCCAGACGAGATCATCACAGACCAGGGGACTAATTTCACCTCCAGACTCCTGCAGCTCTTCCACCGACAGTTGGGGGTCTCCACAATCAAGACCACCCCATACCACCCTCAGACAGATGGCTTGGTTGAGCGTTTCAACCAAACCCTCAAGAAGATGCTGCAGAAATTTGTGTCTGACACCGGGCGAGACTGGGACCAGTGGTTACCCTTCCTGCTTTTCGCCTACCGAGAGGTTCCCCAAGCCTCCACGGGGTTCTCCCCGTTTGAACTACTGTATGGCTGGGAGGTACAGGGGCCATTGGATCTGCTTCTAAAGACGTGGGAGGCTCCTGCAACAGGCACCAGTGACCGCAGTGTGGTCCAATTCGTGTTGGAGATGAGGGACCGGCTGGCAAAGTACCGGGAGGAGGCCGAGGTCAACCTGCGCGAAGCCCAGCAGGCCCAGAAGGCGTGGTACGACCAACATGCCAGACGCAGAGAGTTCCAGCCCGGCCAGAAGGTCCTACTCCTCCTCCCATCCTCCAACAGCAAGCTGCTTGCCAAGTGGCAGGGCCCGTACACCGTCCTCCGGAAGATGGGCCCTGTGACCTATGAGATCCACCACCCGGACAAGAAAAGGGCAAAGCAGGTCTACCACATCAACCTGCTGAAGGAGTGGAAGGAGGCTCCAGCTCAGGGCCCTGTGGCGGCCCTATTGGTGATGGAGGGGGACAGTGAAGGGGAGGAGGAGTGTATCCTCGCCGACCGCCACCAGTATGCTGAACCTGCTCTGGGCCATCTCTCTGCTGTCCAGTCCAGCCAGCTGTGCCAGGTGTTCGAGAGGGTCTCCAAGCTCTTCGCTGCCAGCCCGGGGAGGACCGGCCTCATCGAGCACGTGGTCCACCTGAAAGACAAGGGGCCAGTTCGCCAGAGGAGTTACCGGGTGCCACAACATCTGGTGGCCAAGCTCCTGAAGGAGGTGGAAGAGATGCAGCGCCTGGGGGTGATCGAACCGTCGCAGTCCGAGTGGTGCAGCCCAGTGGTCATTGTGGTGAAGAAGGACGGTTCCCTCCGCATCTGCATCGACTTCAGGAAGCTGAACGCAATGTCGGAGTTTGACGCCTACCCGATGCCACGGATCGACGAGCTGCTGGAGAGGATTGGCCGGGCCAGGTTCATCACCACCCTGGACCTCTGTAAGGGCTACTGGCAGGTACCCTTGGAAGCATCCAGTCGTCCCTACACAGCGTTCCAGACACCTTCCGGCCTCTTCCAGTTCACGATGATGCCCTTTGGCCTGCATGGGGCACCCGCCACCTTCCAGAGACTGATGGACCAGGTTCTACGGGGGTGTGAGGACTGCAGTGCTGCCTACCTGGATGATGTGGTCATCTTCAGTGACACCTGGGAGCAGCACCTGCATCACCTGGAGCGAGTCCTGGGCCAGATCCAGCAGGCAGGCCTGACACTGAATCCAGCCAAATGCCAGTGGGCTAAGGAGGAGACAGAGTACCTGGGGTACCGGCTGGGACGAGGGGAGGTCCGGCCGCAGGTGGACAAGGTGGAGGCCATCCGCAGCTGCCCACGCCCTCGAACCAAGAAGGAGGTGAGGTCCTTCTTGGGTTTAGCCGGCTGGTACAGAAGGTTCGTCCCACAGTTTGCCACCATCGCAGCGCCTCTGACAGCTCTGACAGCGAAGGACCAGAGAAACCCTGTCATCTGGAACAATGACTGCGAGACGGCCTTCCACGCTCTCAAAGCCTGCTTGTGCTCTTCGCCAGTTTTGAGAAGCCCTGACTTCAGACAGCGGTTCCTGGTCCAGACGGATGCTTCAGCTGTGGGACTGGGGGCAGTCCTGGCCCAAGGTGAACCTGGGGAGGAGCGACCAGTGCTGTACCTGAGCCGCAAGCTGCTGCCACGGGAGACCAGGTACTCCACGGTGGAGAAGGAAGGCCTGGCGATCAAATGGGCCCTGGAGAGTATGAGATACTACCTGCTGGGGAGGGAGTTCGACTTGGAGACTGACCATCGGGCGCTGACGTGGATTCATTCGATGAAGGATCACAACAGTCGTCTCACCCGCTGGTACCTCTCCCTCCAACCATTCAGATTCCGGATCCACCATCGGCCGGGCAAGAGCAATGTTGTGGCAGACTATCTGTCAAGGTTGCCGCACATCGCCAACCTCGGGGAGGAGAGGGGTAATGTGGCGGGGCGCCACTAACGCCGTCCTCATCGCGGCTGGCCGCTCTCTCCCTCGCGGCTGGCCGCTCTCTCTCTCGCGGCTGGACGCACGCTCTCTCTCGCGGCTGGACGCCTTCTCTCCCTCTCGCTCTCCCTCGTCGCTCGGCGCCGACGTGGGGGAATAGCGTGGTCACTCGCGGCTGGAGTGACAGACGGACGGGAGTCAAAATGAACATTTAAAGACAATAATTGGACTCTTGCGTCCCCGTGGTTGGTGTTAGAGGGTGCACACTCAAACACCTACACGGGTCTCGCTTACACGTACACGCACACACATACACACTCACCTTCTGTCTCCGCTTCATGGACTGAACAGAGGCAGTTCCGGGTCACCTGTTAAGTAGCACTAGGTGACGTGCCTCCGCGGGTCAGGTGACCCAGGGAGAAACCAAAGTCCGGGAACAAATTGATTTATAGGAAAAATATTGTGTTTGGGTTTAATATTGGCTCAGCCATGTGGAGGTTTGAGCAACAGTAATTGCTTTGTATTATTTTGTGTATGTAGAAATATTAGTTATGATATAATAGCTGATATCTTGAAAAACCCCTAGATTGTTTTGATTGGTTTGTCCGGAGGAGGGGCCAAGGGGTATTTAAAGGAGCTCAGCTCACTTGTTGGTGTGCCTCCTGGTTGAGCAGACGTATGTTGGTCCTGGTATTTGAATTGCGGTTTGTAAATAGTTTTTCCTCTGTCTTTTTTGTAAATAATTTTTGTAAATATTTTTTGTACATAAGAGTTTTCACCTGTGGGTATTTTTTTGGAGATGGTGTAAATAAAAGGAAATCACCGTACTCGGTTCTCGACTGTGCCATCATCTTTCCCTCCACAACCGAAAAAGAACTTAAAGAAACTGAACCCGCGACAGCGTGTGTGTGTGTGTGCACGTATTGTATGTGTGCGTTTTTTTCGAATAGGTCTGTTATCCCATTTTTTAACACTACTACATATTGCTTTTTGAGTGACCAACCGTAGTATTGATTTTCTTCTTTCTTTTTCAGGAGCTTGCAACAGACTTCCCCGGTGGTGGGCTCCCCCCTCACTCCCTTTAGTTTGCTGCGGCACATGGTGGTTTGGTTTGTAGTCATTTCTTTGGCTTGTCGTGATTTTCTTTGGTTTGCAGTGGTTTTCTTCGGTTTTGAATTTTTCCTTTTTATTTTAGTCTGTTTGCTACCAAGTCTCCTTGTTCCCGCTTTTGTTTCTTTACTGCATTTATTGTTTATTGGCACTCAGACGATTATTATTCATATTTGTGCTCTTTTAAAAACGAAAGTTTTAATCAATAAAAGTGTTATTCTTTTTGGAAGTCCGTCTCTCGTCCTCCCTATTTTTGGTGTAACGAATCTGTGTGACCTTCAGTTTGTAAGGGTCTGGTGTATTTCCTAGGGTGAAACTCCCCAGGTGGCGTTGTTCGGCAACAAAAATTTAATTTTTGAACCCTCCATTTTGTCACACGTGCAATCAGTCCGGGCCAGCCCCGCCTCCTGCCATGCCTCCAGCGCTGCAGAGAGAGAGGGAGAGGGAGAGCACACACGGAGGAGAGGAACACAGGAAACCCAACTGCTGCATAAACTCAAAACCCTCACAGAACCCCTTATTTAGGCAGCCTGTTTATCCTGTTGTGATTAAGAGCTTATACTTTTTGCAGGTATGAAGAAAGTATGTTCTTGCATACTCCAAGATGGTAGTTTCCAAATGCAGAAAACATCTGACCTGGACAGTGCAGGTGAACAAATTTATTTAAGCCAGTGGTGTCCACAGGAATGATAAAAAACGTAGCAATTACTATTATAGGAGCCATTGTCTATTTTCTGTCTGGTTGTTAGTTTAAGTGGTCACTGGGTGGCGGTGTTGGCTAGTGTGATTGTTGGTGTCTGGTAATGGAGGAAGTAATTAAGACACAGGTGTGTTGGCAGTCAGGAGGCATGGGTGGCGGGAAGACTACACAGTTTTTACTGCACGCTACGCCGGTCCACAGCTCTCCGTTCGGCTTCACTTCACTTCAGTACAATCACAGTCTGTAGCCTAACACCTCACCACTACATCGCTAAAATAACCTGTCTTTTGTAATGTTGAAAATAAATGGGAACCTCACCCAAAAGTACGGATTGGACAATCATCCCTTCATCCATTCATCACACACAGCGCGTCAAAAACATTGTCCCAGCCCGACACCCAGCTGAGTGGCTAAAATGTTGCCAGGATAGTCGCTATACAAGTAAAAACCCGATCTCACCTGGACAATTGGAGCACTTGGAAATGTGGATTGCAGCGCTGCTAACTCACCTGGCTCTGGCTGGTAATCATTCATCAATCTGTCTCCGTGGAAAGGTAGGAAAAGTTCCTGTCACTTGCTCCGGAAAGTCCGCTTTGTGCATAGAGCTGTTAAGTCACGTATGTTTGTACGTAACTGGATTATTGATGAAAACGGAAAAGCGTTGGCTGCGGCAGAGACTGCCTTTTGAACGTGATGGCTTCAATAATTTCATGTGAAATTGTTGATGAGTAAAGCATTGTTACTGGAGGCTCTAGTATGTTGTTTGGACGCAGCTGTAAAAAAAAAAAAAACGCAGCATTGATCCCTTTGAAAGCACGTCTCAAACTAATAAACATCTGTTGAAATGAGTGATTTACACAGTGTTGCTGATGAAAATGAGCCGAAGGAAACCCAGAATGGTGAAACAGAAAAAAAAAATTAAAAACCTACTGCTAAAGGACTAATGATGATGCTTGAAAATGTTCAGAAGGAAAGGAATGGGAAGTTTAAAGAAGCCGGCAAATTAAAGGGGCAAATCAGAACTCTCTTGGTTTCCAAAGAAAATGTCTCCGTTGTTCAACACAACCTAACAATATTTAAAACACTGTGTGAAAAGGCCTGTGAACTCCACAACACATTGCTCACTGAGTTTTCTCTCCCTGAGGAGGAGCAGGAAAGACAGGAAGCATGGTTTCATGCAAAAGTGTCCAACGATGATGTTTTTGTTGAAAAGGTATCAACATGGTTGAAGGAAAATGAAGTTGAACGTGTTGAAAATGCAACAGGTGTTGAAAATGCTGTGGATGGTAAAAATGAACATGACGGTGGTGAGAAAAATAAGGAAGCTGAGTGCGATGATGACATTGATCATTCTGATAGTGTGTCCAATGTGAAAGCCCAAAGGTCTAGCAGGAAGGGCAGCTCTCACAGATCACATGTTTCTGGTGTCTCATCTGCATGTTTAAAGGCAAAGGCAGAAAAGGCAGCTTTGGAGGAGAGAGCTGCTGCTCTGTGAAGGAGACAGGAATTGGAGGAGCAGGAGGAAAAACTAAGGCAAGAAACAATCAAACTGAAGAAAAGGAAGGAGTAAATGGAGCTGGATGCACAAATAGCCATTGCTGCTGCACGGCTCGCTGTGCTGGAAGGCAGCGATGTTTCCATTTGTTCGGATGGCATGAATTCTTATTTGAGTAAGGAACTTAAAGTGGCAAAACAGGAGTTCAACCCAAAAGCAACTGAATTTGTGCCAAAAGGAAACATCACAGCTGCTGATCAAGGCCCAACTCTGCCACATGCTCTAATGTGTGATGTGCAACCTAAAGTTAATATGCAAACCTACCTACAGGACCAACTCAGAACATCACTATCAAAGGACCTCACTCTTAAGCCACAGTTGCTACCAAATAAAGGGATGTCTCATGCAATTTCTCTGCAGCCTCATTCTCAAAATGTCTCAGATTTTAAGTCTGCACCTCTCAGGCCAGTAATTTCACATGAACGCATTCCTAAGCATCAGCCTGCACAAAATGGATCATCAGTGTACAATACAATAGATCAGGGTGGTATTTGTTGGATTATGCAAAGGCAAAATGAAATCACCATCACTATTGGGGTGGGTCATCAACGGTCCTGTGAGGGGCAATAGTGGTTGTTGCCAGAGAAGCTGCTCAACCATTTGTGTCAATAGGATATCCGTTGCCCGGCTGGAGGAGCTGTTGATATCTCAATACAACCAGGACTTCAATGAGAAGGTGTTGGAGGAGAGGCAGGAGATGTCAAGGGAGGATCTGAGATTTATGGAGCTCTTGGAAAAGTCTGCTTCCATGCAGGACAATCACTACTACATGGACTTACCTTTTAAAGTGGATGACATCACCATGCCTAACAACCGGTGCATTGTGGAACAGCGTGCTCAAACTCTCAAAAGGAAATTTGAAAGGAACAAAACCTACCAGGAGGAATACACAGCATTCCTGAATGATATGATTGACTGTGGATATGCTGAAATAGTGCCTGAGGATCAACTGGATGGAAAGAATGGCAGTGTGTGGTATCTCCCTTATCACGGCGTATAACACCCAAGAAAAAACCCTGAGAGTTGTCTTTGATTGTGGAGCAGGATTCAAAGGAGCCTCCTTGAATGGTCAGCTGTTGCAAGGTCCCGACCTTACTAATTCCCTCTTTGGGGTCTTGACCAGATTCAGAGAGGAAAACGTGGCTTTGATGACGGACATCCAATCTATGTTTCATCAAGTAAGAGTGTCAGAAAGGCAAGTGGACTTCCTTCGGTTTCTGTGGTGGCCCAATGGAGACACGACACAAAGTCTTGTGGAATATAGGATGAAAGTGCACATCTTTGGGGCAGTTTCTTCCCCCAGTTGCGCCAACTATGCTTTGAGGAGGACGGCAATGGATAATAAGGCTGAATTCCAAAAGAGTGTGACAGACACCATCCACAACAACTTTTATGTGGACGATTGCCTGAAATCTTTACCCACAGAGGAAGAAGCAATACAACTCGTAAAGGATCTCAGCGGCTTGTGGTCAAAGGGAGGATTTCAGTTGGTGAAGTGGACGAGCAACAGTCAGGCTGTATTGTCATCAATTCCTGAGACCAAGAGATCAAAAACGTTTAGGCAATTACACCTGGAACAAGATTCACTTCCTGTCGGGACAGTGGTGGGATTGAGCTGGTGTGCTGAAAGTAACTGTTTCATCTTCAAACCTGCAGTTGAAAAGCAACCAAACACCAGACGTGGAATCCTTTCAATTGTGAGTTCCATCTATGACCCCTTGGGATTTCTGTCACCTTTAACCCTACTACCAAAGCTGCTGTTGCAGGAGATGTGTCGGAAGAACATGTCGTGGGATGACCCGATACCTTTCCTGCAACAGTGGACTGGATAGTTGATGGACCTGGAAAGGATATCTGAGTTTAAGGTGGATCGTTGTATCAGGCCAAGAACATCAGAGGACCCATGCTAGCACAGCTGCATCACTTTTCAGATGCTAGCAACTGTGGGTATGGCACGGTGTCTTACCTCAGGCTGGAAAATCAAGACATGCTGCATCTCGCATTCATGCTGGGCAAGGCTAGAGTAGCACCGTTAAAGCAGACAACTATCCCACGCCTTGAACTCACCGCTGCTGTGCTGGCTGTCAAAGTGGACAGGATGAGCTTTCACTACCGTTGGAGTACTCATGCTTCTGGACCGACAGTCAGACAGTGTTGAAGTACATTGGAAATGAAATCAAACGCTTTCATACCTTTGTGGCAAACAGAATGTCTTCTATCAGGGAATCTACAAGAGTTGTTCAATGGCGGTACATCAACTCCAAAGATAATCCTGCTGATGAAGCCTCCAGAGGTCTGACTTCGGAAAACTTCCTTGCTTGCAGAAGATGGATTGAGGGCCCTGATTTTTTGAGAAAGCCAGAAGTTGATTGGCCAAGACCCTTTGAGCCACAGCCTGTTTCATCACAGGATCCAGTGGTCAAAAGGAGTATTTTGGTGAATGTCATCAATTCATATTCTGAGAATGCAACTGCCAAGCTTATGGATTACTTTTCAGACTAGAATAAGCTCAAGACCTCTGTTGCGTGGTTTCTTCGGCTCAGGAAGATTTTCCTGGAGCTAAGGATGAGGAGAAAGGAAGTGATTTCTTCTTTAACCGTTACAGGCTCATTGATGCAGCCAGAAAGGGTGGAGAAGGAGATGAAAAAGGTCAGAGATGCAGTTGGCTATCAACACTTGTCTGGGAGCGACTTCACCAAAGCAGAATCTGCCATTATTCAGTTCAGTCAGCAGGCAACCTTCAAAGACGAAATCTCTGCATTAAAAGGACGAGCATCTGGTGTTAAGAAAACCAGTGATATCTACAAGTTGGATCCTGTGTGGAAGGATGATTTGTTGAAAGTGGGTGGAAGACTCAGTCGGGCAGCTTTACCTGAGGAGTTCAAGCACCCTGTGATACTTTCCAAGAACCAGCATGTGTCTAATCTTGTCCTGCAATCCATACACCACCAGCTTGGACATGCAGGGAGGAACCATTTGCTCTCAACTTTGCGGCGGAAATACTGGATCACGAATGCTAATTCTGCCTGCCGAAGAATAATATCTGATTGTGTGGTCTGTCGACGACATCGCGGACAGCCTAGTGAAAAAAAGATGGCCGACATGCCAGAGGAGAGGATCCAACCTGATTTGCCTCCTTTCACACATGTAGGAGCGGACTATTTTGGCCCGTTGGATGTGAAGAGAGGACGGGCTGTGGTCAAACAATATGGCGTTATCTTTACCTGCATGGCTAGCAGGGCTGTGCATTTAGAGGTAGCCTATTCTCTGAATGCAGACTCTTGCATTAATGCCATAAGAAGGTTCGTGTGTCGTAGAGGTCAAGTGGCACGAATTTTGTTGGGGCTGAGCGTGAATTAAGAGAGGCCTTGTCCAACATTGACCACAGAAAGATTCACAGTGCTTTGTTGCAAAAGGGCATTGATTGGAAATTCAACACTTCTGCTGCTTCTCATCATGGCGGGGTGTGGGAGAGGCTTATAAGGATGATTCGGAAGGTCTTGTGTTCTGTGATAAATCAGCAGTCTTTGGACGATGAAAGTCTCCATACCATCTTGTGTGAGGCAGAGGCCATTCTGAATGATCGCCCCATAATCAAAGTATCCGATGACGCTAACGACTTGGAAGCACTCACTCCAAATCACATCCTCTTGCTTAAAGGAAAGTCTGTTCTTGCCCCTGGACTCTTTCATAAGGACGATCTTTACATCAGGAGACGCTGGAGACAGATTCAGTACCTCACGGATTTATTCTGGAAAAGGTGGATAAGAGAATACTTGCCACTACTACAGGAACGGCAAAAGTGGACGAAGCCTCGGAGGAGTTTCATGATAGGGGACATTGTCATTGTCATGGATCATACTGCACCTCGTGGATCATGGATTCTGGGAAGAGTGACACAAACCTATCCGGATAAAAGAGGACTTGTACGTTCTGTACAGTTGAGGACGAAAGCCGGGCATCTGGAGCGGCCTGTATCCAAGCTTTTTCTGCTACAAGAAGCAGTTTGAACTTTGGACATTAAAGGTCATGACCCAACGTGGAGTATTGTGTCTGTAATGTCAGACTCAGAAGAAGACAGATGAAGATTGGATTGTCATGGCTCCTTTTTTTTTTTTTTTTTTGTTTAATTGTCACATGTTTACAATTAGGGGTCAGTGTATAGGAGCCATTGTCTTTTTTCTGTCTGGTTGTTAGTTAGTTTAAGTGGTCACTGGGTGGCGGTGTTGGCTAGTGTGATTGTAGGTGTCTGGTAATGGAGGAAGTAATTAAGACACAGGTGTGTTGGCAGTCAGGAGGCATGGGTGGCGGGGAGACTACACGGTTTTTACTGCACGCTACGCCGGTCCACAGCTCTCCGTTCTGCTTCACTTCACTTCAGTAAAATCACGGTCCGTATCCTAACACCTCACCACTACATCGCTAAAACAACCTGTCTTTTGTAATGTTGAAAATAAATGGGAACCTCACCCAAAAGTAAGTACGGATCGGTATCATCCAGTCATCACACACAGCGTGTCAAAAACATTGTCCCATCCCGACACCCAGCCAAGTGGCTAAAATGTTGCCAGGATAGTCGCTATAACAATCACTAAATAAAAGAGGATAGTCTAAGAAGAAAGGCAATTTAATTGTCTATAATTGTATTTATTAGCTGTATGGAAGGGTACAGCTCAAACCAAAGTGTCCTGATAAAGTTCATATTTACCCATAATTAAATTAAAAAAGTGAAACTTTAATATAATCTAGATTTATTACACACTTGGTAAAATATATGAAAATTTTTGGTTTGAATCTTTAGAATTATAGTTCACAGCTCACAACAAAAATTAAAAAAATCCACCTTTTCAGAACACTAGGATATTGTGGAAAAGTGTCAGTAATTTCAGTACTGAAAAGAGCTCTGATCAGTTAAATAACTGATGACCTGCAAAGGTTTGCTGAGCCTTTATTCTCTCACTCTGGCGCATTACACACAGCCACAACCATGGAGAAGGCTGCTGATTTGACAGTAGTCTGCAAGATGATCACTGGCACCCTCCATATGGAGGGCAAGCCACGGGTGTTCATTGCTGAAAGGGATGGCTGTTCGAATGTGTACAGGCAACATCATGACCGCAAATTGAGCGGACTAACAAACAAAGCAGATACCAAAACTTAGAGCTTTACATGGAGTGAAGCGAAGCTGGAGTCAGAGCATCAAGAGCCACGGCACACAGACATGTCAAGAAATGGGCCACAAGTGTTGTGTTTCTACTGGCAAGCCACTTCTGAACCACATTCAATGTTATTGTCTTCTAACTTGGGCTAAGAAGAAGAACTGAACTATTGCTCTTTGGTCCAATGTCCTGTTGTCAGATCAAAGCACTTATTTGCAAATCAAGGCCCCAGAGTCTGGATCAAGATCAGAGAGGCACAGAATACAAGGTGCTTGAAGTTCAGTGTGCAGTTTCCACAGTCTCTGATGATTTGGGGTGCCATGTCACCTACTGGTGTTGGTCTACTTTGGTTGTCAAGTCCAGAGTCTACAGTAAAATGAATAATTCTCGGTGTGTAAGTACTCAGATATGTCTTCTACTCAAGTGTATTGTCGTAACATTTGGACATAACAAATTCTTCATTTATTGTTTCTAGCATCTTATTTTGAAAACCGGAAGTCCTAATGGTCCATGCTCGCTCGTTCGGGATCGGCTGAATGCATTTACCGTAAAGGTAACAATACACGGGTACGCTAATTTTAGTGTCCGCTGGTTTGACCACGGAAAAACGCAGTGTGCAAAGAAATATCTTTGCTTATAATTCAGTTACAAAAGTCCACCCAAAATTTAGATAGTCATACAGGACAGAAACAATGTTCTATCGATTAAATATCACACACCATAACGCACGAGGACCAAAAGTTGGAGAGCGAACAACATGTTCTTCTTTTACGAGATTTAAATAAAGTTGGGAACAAAAAAGGCTGGAGTCGACGCCTCTCGCGCAGCCACTCTTGTCTCTCCAAAACTGAAGCGTCACCGAATGCGCTTTAGCTGGCCTGCCAGCAGCCAATCACATCACCGGACGAGGAGAAGAAGAAGAGGAAGAAGAGAAACCTTACAACGCTAATAGTGCGGTTGACCGTCAGAAGTGACAAACATGGCTGCGCCCTGGCTCTCTCCATCAGTGAACAGGCTGCTGTCCGCTGCGAAGGTGAGATGTTGTAGGACAAACACAAACCGCGGGCTCGAACTATCTGACCTGAGTGTTTACGCTGTTTTATAACACAAGACTGTTCCATGTGACTGCACATGACCAGACGGTAGTCCGTGACACTCTTGACGGAACAGAACCAGTCGACAGTAAACACACAAGTGTGAACCAGGTTGGAGGATAACACACTCCAGAATCCTGGAGATCTGGTGTTTAATCTGTTGGAGTCAGCTTGAACTTTTGCATTATTTCACGTTCTTAAATTGTTGGACTATTTGCTCACACAGTTGTTGACAAGTGGTGAACCTGGCCTCATCGTGGCTTATGAGGGACTGAACCTTTCGGGATGCTCCTCTTATACTCAATCATGACCCTGACCTGTTTCCAGTAAACTTGTTCACCTGTGGAATGATCCAAACTTGAGTTTTTGGAGCAGTCCTCAGTTTACAGACTTTTGTTGACCCTGAACCAACTTTTTAGAAGCATGTTACAGCATCAAATTCAAAATAAGTGAAAATTTGCAAAAAAAAAACCAATCAAGTTCATCAGTTTGAACAATTTGTTTTGTCTTTTAATCAATTGAATATAGGTGGAAAAGGATTTGCAAATCATTGCATTTGTTTTCTAAGTTTCAATGTCCCAACTTTATTAAAGTTGGGGTTTGTATGACAAAAATCAAAAGTGAGTGCAGTTACAATGTTGCCTGATTCTATATATATATATATGTGTGTGTGTGTGTGTGTGTGTGTGTGTGTGCTTTGCAGAATGCCTCATTACAGTCCAGATGCAGTGTGGTGCTCAGTAATGGTCAGTATTCAACTGTCCATTCTCCCACTGAAAAGGTAATGCATATCTCTTCTTCTTCTCATTGTTGTTTGGCCAAAGATATGTTTGCAAAAATGCCCAGAAATAACATTTTGGGCAACACAAGAGTAATGTATAAAACTGTAGGAGTAGGATTTAAGTGAGTAGGATTTCTGACCTGTTGGAAACTTAGATGGTATGAAAGTGCTTGAATTCCTACTGTTATTACTTGCAAATTAGTGACAAAAGACTTATAAAAGCTTGCTTTGTCACTGATTAAAATGTGTTTCTTTCCTTTTACAGACCTTTGACAAGATCCTCATTGCCAACAGAGGAGAAATTGCCTGCAGGGTAATACTGGATAACTTATTATTATAATGTGGTGTTGTATATTTTTTTTCTTTTCCAGCATTTTTGCCTTTCTGAGATAGAGCAGCTGAAGAGAGGCAGGGGAGTGGGGAGTAGTGAGTGGGAGAAGACATGCTGCAAAGGGTAGTAGCAAGGAATTGAACCAGCCACTACTGCAACAAGGACCATAGTCTCTATATGTGGGGGTCGCCCAGGCCATTACTGTACCGTGCCATTACAAGGCACATTGGTTTTCATAGAAGTGAAATGTATGTTGTCTATGTCTGCAGCCCCTGATCAGCTGTTTGGGTCTGTAGATCTTTAACAAGAGACAGATCTCTACAGCTTATCACTGTACTGCAGTCAAGGGGGAGCATGTACTAGTCCTGTACTGTAAAGTGAAAAAACACTTTCTGATGCCAAAGTGTTGTGCTGAAAATTTTCAAATTAAAGCTCACTCACTTCATAAACATCAGATTCTGAGATAGACTTGATCAAATTAGCTAAATGACTTGGTAGAGCTGACCCTGTCGTTAGCGGCAGATAGCCCAGCATCCACGCTCTCTTGGCCTCAGCAAAGAGGCTGAGATGACTAGGAACCCTGTGTGTAACACATTTACTATTGACAGGTACCTGAAATAACCCTGGACAAAACTATCCCTCTAGAGAGCCTGTGAAGAAACCCTGAAGAGCAGTTTTTTTTTAATTCTTCGCCTGCAAAGCTGTTGTCCACTCTACAAACTTTACTTTTTTTAATCCAATGTTTTTGAGATGTTTTTATCCTTAGGTACCTACTATTATGAATCAAAGTTAACATTTTACAGGAAATGAAGAATGGTATGTCAGTGCAAACTATGTGTGTTTTGTCTCAGGTAATTAAGACCTGCAAGAAGATGGGCATCCGGACTGTAGCTGTTCATAGTGATGTAGACTCCAGTGCTGTGAGTTGCCACCTGTGTTTATCCAGTAGTAGTAATTAAAGCCCAATTTAGCTTCCTGAATTTTTAAGGTAAAGTTAAGTCACCATCAACACTTTAAAAAAAAAAAAAAGAAAATTACTAATGGTATCTTTAGAGGAAAGCACAGAAACACAGTCTGTTAGCTGTATAACATGCCTGAAGTATCAACAGTCTAGTTATATACTCTCATCAAAGTTAACATCAGCCCCTTAGCTGCACCTGTTGGAGTGAAATGGTGTGCATGTTCATCACAAAAAACAGTAACTGTACATCAGTTTAAGAACATCAGGCCCATTCAGCCAAGGAGGAAAGCAGTAAGTGGAGCAAGGCGTAAACAAGATCAAATGCCAGGACTACAAGACCATGAAATACTCCCAAACTCCTGAAACAACATGCTGCAAGTGGCTGCACTGGTCACTTAGACTAAAAATTAGACCAAAACTTAGACCAAAATAGAAAAGCTGTACTGAGTTAATGACTTTAACATGCTGGTACACTAAATGTCTAGTTTTTGTGTTCTGGGTGTGTCTTTAGGCAACATTTGTCAAGTCTGTTTCTGGCTTTGACTGAGGCCACATATAGATTTAGCTTTACTGTGTGATTCTTTATTAAGGTCCATGTCAAAATGGCAGATGAGGCAATGTGTGTTGGTCCTGCCCCAACAAATAAGAGCTACCTGAACATGGATGCCATCATGGAAGCCATTAGAGTTACTGGAGCACAAGCAGTGAGTATTGTTATTCCATGTTTTTCCATAGCAGACTGCATAATGGATATTTTTGTGCTGGTTACACATTTTCATTGAGACAAGACATAACTCTTGTAATTCATTATGTGGTAACATAACATTATACACACTGTTATAAATGACACCTGTTATGAAACAATTAGTTCACCGTCATTTTTCCTACCACACCTTTTGCCACACCTTTATAATTGAAAGTATTATGGTTTCAGTTTTAATTTTTTTTCTCTTTGCAAAGGTTCATCCTGGATATGGGTTTCTCTCTGAAAACAAAGAGTTTGCAAAGCGGCTGGTGAGTATTAGATAATTCCAGGTTCACAGTCAAGCCCTATGTAGTGACAAGTCCTATACTGAAACCACTTCTGGCTGCTAACGAGCCTGTTGTATTTATGTGTGCTCATAGAAAAAAACAAAAACCAAACAGTCTTTTTATATTTATGAGGCGTTTGATTTATCGCATTTTGTTGTAGCCTACCGTTTATTGCTTCCATTAAGCAGACATTGACAGCAATAAACATAAACCAAAATTTAAAAAATGTAAACGTAAATCTGAGCACAGTCAGAAACTGTTTGCTACCCCAGCGGCATCATTGACACAATAATCACTGAACTTAAAACACCTGTGGCAAGTCTCAGACCTCACCAAAGTGACTCATGGCTGCCCTCTAGTGCCTCTAGTGGAGGAGCATTACCCCTCAACATAAAGTGATGGCTCTTGTCTACAGTCACACTGAGATACAGTCCATTCAAAATTAAGTGATAACAAAACAGCCAAAGTGAAATTTTAACTATTTTGATAAGAAAGCACATATTTGTGCTTTTCCTATTATGTGAAAGCTTTTTATTTTGGTCTCATTCATCAAAAAGAGGTCTAAAAGTCAACAAAAGCTTCTGCTTTCCTACAAAAGACTTGCGTCAAACTTAACTGTTTCAAAATGTAACATGAATTTGGCAGTGGGGTAGGATCTTTATAATGCTGTTTGTCTTCTACAACTAATTTCATGATCTTTTTGTATCTTAACCAGGCAGCAAATGGTGTGACTTTCATTGGCCCAGACACCCATGCTATCCAGGCTATGGGGGATAAAATTGAGAGTAAGCTGATTGCTAAGGCTGCGAAGGTCAACACCATCCCAGGATTTGATGGAGTCGTTCAGGTATGGTAGTGGAAGTTTATAACTAAACTTGAAGTGTTTTCACCTCATGTCAAAAGCAACACTCTACTGACTGTAAAAACTTACTCCAAGCATGCAGAAGTTGTTATGTTATCTGACTCATTTTTTCAAGACTCAAGTCAAGGGGTTTTTCATCTAGAGTTCTCAGCATTCTGCTTCACTCTTCAAACTAAGTACACCAGTGAAACCACATCCCTGAAAGAGTGTATAGCTGAGTATAATTGTTTGATATTTAACAATGTGCCTGATATATCTGTCTAATGGCATGAATATTTCATTCTGTTAGACAGACATGTCAGGCACACACATGCACTTGTGTGTACTTACACAGTATGTATCACAATATTTGGTGTTACTACACTTTGCTTTCAAACCAGGATCAATTCTTCTTGGAACACTTGCAAAAAGACAGGGTTTTGTAGGATTGTAGGTGTTTCATCAACCAATCATACCACACAGGTGCTACTGCTCATTAATGTCACATGTAGGTTGAAACATTGGCTGTTTTCGAGTTACCTATTGCATACTCCTACCGACCGCAGTATGCAGAAGATACTGCATATTGAGTACTGTGTTTGATAGTAGTATGCAGTATGACTGCAAGTCGGCTGTTGTTATGAAGTATGCTTGGCCCAGTTTAGCTTGTTTCTGGAATGGAATAGTACATTGTACCCTGGTAAATTGCAACAACACTACAATGTTGCCCATTTATTTACGCACTGAATAAAAATCCCTTAAATGTATTAAAGGGGACCTGCCATCAAAATGTAATTTTGTGTGTTTTTTATGTCAGATAAGGTCCATATTATGCTCGTCTTATGTTGTAAATGTGAAAACAAACCGTTATGTCGTTTGCATTCTGTAAAGGTTTAAAATAAAGGAACGGGTAAACCAGGCCAATTGAAAAAGCAGGTCCCTCTGACGTAGCGCTGACCTTGCTCATTATTATTCACGAGCGCGTCCTCGGTGAGCCGCGCCCACTCTCTCGTTCTCTTACTCATTCACAGTCAACATCACTCTCCAGAGCGAGACCCAGCTACCACTGTATCCGCTATGGGTCTCTTCCAAACGACCGGTGTTTCCTTGGGTTCACTGCCGGGAAAATGAACTTAAAGCTGGGCAGAATGAATGAGAAAACACAGCTGGAGATCTCTGGCTTCTTCTTCAACTTCCACCTCCTCTTCGGACTCGGGGTCTAAAATATATGGTTTAATACCTGCCATTTTTAGCCTTTAGCATAAGGTGACCAGACGTCCCCAATTTCCGGGGACAGTCCCCGTATTGGATGACCTGTCCCCGGCAAAAGCTGTCCCCGAAAATGTCCCCGATTTAAGCGTTTCAGTGAGAGCAAAAATGTTGCGTGTGGGCTCGAACAATGGTTATTACAGTAGCCGAATAGGTAGGAAGCACAAGTAAGCAGTCCTGAACAACAGTTCTTAAGGGGGTTATTACAAGGGGCATGCGCTGCTGCTAAATAGTACCGAGACTTTGTCTGTGATCACGCAGCCCCTGCACCGCCGCCGCACCGAATATCCCTGGATATCATTACAGACATCTGGGCACCTTACTTTAGCACACATTAGCAAAATGGATAAACTGAAATCCGAACCTCCACTGCTGAGCCAATCAGAGCACAGCAGGCTTCACAGCAGCGATCCAATCAGAGCAAAGCTCATTACCATAAATGTTAATGAGCCAAAATCAGTTGGTTTTCCTGTAAGGTTTTTTAGGCATGCTAAAACAAACCATCAAATAACTTTTCAGCTAAAATTATGTTGCAAACATGATCAGAGGACATCAAGGATTATGAAAAAATGATAAAAATGGGTATGAAATGGCACGCACTGTGTGTGCGTCATGCGTACCATACAGTATAAAGGATGAGGAGAGGCAGAAATATTTGAGGTGATGGGAATAGAGGATAAAAACTGTACTGTAAAATAGCAAAACATGGCATTCTTGTCTGTGGTTTGCACACATAATGCTGAAAGACGGAGGAGAAGACAGGCTGTCAGAAGGAGAAACCTGTTGGCTGAATGCTTGGGTGAAAAGTTTTGCGGCTCCCTGCTATTCTGCCGTCTGCCCAAGCGCTTTGCAACGTGGGTAACAGTAGGTGAAGCAGACTGGTCTGATGCATACTGTGAAATTTTCCAAATCAGTACGTCATCCAGGTATTTTTGGCATACTGCAAATTTCGTATTTCTTTGCCTACTGCATACTGCGAACTAAATTTTGGGGAAAACAGTATGTACTGCTAGTATAGAAGTTGAATTTGAAAACAGCCATTGTCACGAACTGAAACAGAAATAGCTGTGTAGAAGGCTTAAAACTGGGTGAGGAACAGCCAAACTGCCACTAATGTGGGGTTGTGTAAGACAGTTTCCCAGGTGTCACAGGTCATACACTATGGCAAGACTGGGCACAGCAACAAGACACAAGGTAGTGATACTGCATCAGCAAGGTCTCTCCTAGACAAATATTTAAAGCAGACTGGTGTTTCAAGGCGTGCTGTCCAAGCTCTTTAGAAAAGACACAAAGAAACGTGCAACACCAGGACCATTAACGCAGAGGTCGGCCAAGGAAAGTTTGTGCAGCAGAAAAAAAAAAATACATCAAGCCAATTTCTCTCAGAAATCAGAAGATGTCCAGCAGGTCTTCATGGAAGAGATGCAGTACTAAATACATACAATAAACACACACTAAATATACTAAACATCCTAAGAGAAAACAGTGAGATATGAAGAACATGGACTATTGAAATGAGTAATAAATATGAAATGCGAAATATACAGATGGGATGATAAATAGACAGACAGTTCAAGGTGCGTAATGTGATGTGGTAGGAGTTTTAACTAGGAAAGCACTCTGAGAGCGCAGACCTCCGCCAAGCAGCTCATGTCCCCCCTTATATTGTGATTCACACCAAAACTTTTAGTGTTACGTGTCTTTTATTAATGTTTATTTGTGTTTAAACTGGTATGTTCACTGTTCATAATGTTCCTGAAACAAGAAATGCCCTGACCGGTATTCAAACCCAGGACCTTTTTACTGTGAGGCAACAGTGCTAACCACTACACCACTGTGCCGCCTATCTACACCACTGTGCTGCTCATTGGTTATCTTTCAGCATTGAAAATTCCAACAACACCCTTATTTTTGTGTATTCTGGATTACAGTATCCAGAATTTTGTCCGGATCACCACCAAAATTTAATGGGATCCTCCTGGGGCTGAAATGCACCTCCGGTGAAAATTTCAGGTCAATCCATCTATTACTTTCTCCGTAAAGTTGCTAACAGACAAACAAACTCACAAACAAACAAACAAACCAACGCTATCGAAAACATAACCTCCTTGGCAGAGGTAAAAATGGACTATACAGAAGACGGATGTGAGTCCCTTTCTGACAGATTTGAGTTATTAAATAGTGCAATTGCTTGTGGCAGGAATTACTTTTGCTTTCCTGTATCTGTCCCTTCGACAGCGGAACTGCAACAGTCTGTTGGAGAAGGAGCTCCGCTGTCTGTCCAGAGTGAGGTGGAGAGGGTGGTCAGGGTTATCCATGATGGATAACAGTTTGGTCAGTGTCCTCCTCTCCACCACAGCCTCCACAGTGTCCTGTTTGCAGCAAGGCATTATGTTGGAGAGTGGTACAATAATGAGTGTCTGCAAGCAACAGAGGATCATGGTGGAGGTTCCTTGCAAGTTTGAGGCTGTGTTTCTGCAAATGGAGTTGGAGATTTGTCAGGATTAATGGTGTCCTCGATGCTGACAAATATAGACAGATACTTATCCATCATACAATACCATCAGGGAAGTGTATGATTGGGCCCAGATTTATTCTGCAGCAGGACAACAACCCGAAACATACAGCCAAGGTCATGAAGAATTATCTTCAGCCTAAAGAAGAACAACAAGTCCTGGAACTGATGTCATGGCCCCCACAAAGCCTTGGCTTAAACATCATTGAGTGTGTCTGGGTTTACATGAAGAGACAGAAGGATTTGAGGAAGCCTACATCCACAGAAGATCAGTGGTTACTTTTCTAAGGTGTTTTTTTTTTTTTACAACCTACCAGCTGTCCTACCTCAAAAACTGTGTGCAAATGTACCTAGAAGAATTGATGCTGTCTTGAAGACAAAGGGCGATCACACCAAATACTGATTTGATTTAGATTTCTCTTTTAATGCATTATGTTAACTGATCAAAATAAACTTAGCACCTCCATTTTTTAAGTGTTTGTAGTTTACAGCATTTTTTCATACCTGCCTAAAACTTTTGCACAGTATTGTATATAAAATATAGTTATCTAAGGCACTAGTGAGAGTTCAATAATCATAAACTTTATGTTACAGACTGCCGAGGATGCTGTGAAGATTGCACAGGACATTGGTAAGTTACCCCATACCTTCCTGTTTTATTAAGATGGATAAATTATGAAAATTTGCACAAGGTGATTTGGTTTTCCACAATGTGGTTGCGAGTTTCACATGTTTATTTGCTTATTTTGATTTAATTGTATTCTGTTTTTTGGATGTCTGCCCACCCAAACCACCTATCCTCTGCAGAGAAAGTTATGGTAGGATTTGAAATGTATAACTGAGCAGGATTTTTAGTTATCAAGGTAACTACAGGGTTAATCCTGGGTTTTCAGTGCTTCTTACCAGAGGAGGTTACTTATGGAAGTGATGCTTCACACCTGACAGGTTAGAGGCTCAGATCTGTTGTGAGGCTGTACTCTTCACGCTTTTGATGTTTGTGGTTCATGTGTCAACTGTTTGACAAGAAATATCAAGAAATACCAATCCTTTGAGTCAGTTGTGGTTAAGGCAGCTCTGTTGTTACTTCATTAACCTCTTATTTATAGAGGTCATCATTTCCCCCTGCTGTCCTGTACAGAGGATCCGAAGGCAGCAAAGGTGTTTCACTTTTACCTTGGTCACAAAGGTAGAGGGAAGCATAACAGAAGCAAGATGATGGTGTAAATTTTGTTCGGTGTGAAAAAAAGAAGAGGCATGGTGAAGGCAGGGCTCTGTTAATGCTGTTGTAGATTTTGTGAAAAAAAGGATGAACAAATAGTTCTGAGGCAATACAGGTAATCCATTTAAACCGGGACAGCATGTATGCATTTCTACGGAGCCCCTAAGGGGACATAAAAAGAAAAAATATATAGGAATTTTCTCTAGGTTTTTTGTGTGATCTCGCAAAATGTTTGCGAGCCCCCTCAAAACTATCGCAAGATAATCAAAATCAAACCAATGGAGCGTACTCAAGATTGTAATCACACACAATACAGCTTCATCAAGATGTATACCAAGACACCAGGTAGAAAGCTGGCTTGTTTTACACAAAACCCATATCCAAATGTATTCTGCTAAAATATGATGTTAGTTCTGTTGAGTTAACTGAGTGTAATTTGTAGTGTTAGTGTAAGCAACCCTGTTAGTAATAGCGCATTTAACAAATGCTACTTGAAGAGGATCAATAACCTCATCATTTCTGTATTGGTATCACTATGGAAGCAATTGTGACTCATATCTCAAATTCAAAAGCATTAGCAGAAATGGGTTTTCATTTCAAAGTCATGGCTGCAATATTTGACTCAAAGATAAAAATAAAAAGCAGTATTCCAATGTGCATTTTCATTTTCTTCAAGACAAAATCAGAAATGTTTTTCGTTTTCATGTTATTTCAAAGGAGAGTTGTTAAAATTAGGACCATGAAGCATTTAAAGGAACTGTGCAGTATAGGTTTCACAAACAAGGAGATACTTCATCCTCTGGCACATCAGCATTACATTGTCATAAGTATAAAGAATATGAGAAATACGTCTTTTCCGTGGGGAAAAAAACTGGTGTACTAGGATTTCAAATGTTTTTGATAGTTGAAGCAGAGCGGATCAGTTCGTCTCTAAATCTGTAATGTTTGGTTTACAGATTTTAGTGAGCTCAGAGAGCATGCGCTCATGCAGCCTGAGCTGACTGTCTGCTGTTTTTGGGTTTCTTGTATTTTCTTTGAAGACGCGCTGTGTCTCAAAGCGAGTCCAGCCTCTCACCTGAAATGCGCAGCTGTGCAGCGGCACGCAAAGAATTCTGGGATACCAACGGCACGAAAGCGTGCATAAATGCACGCTTGAAGAATGCTAAGCGCACTTAGCATTTCTTAGCATTTCGTGCCAAATGGGACACCGTTCGCGCCGCGTGATGACATCATGCACGCTTCAAATGCGCCGTTCGACAGTGCGGTCTCTGGAATGGGACACAGGAAGGGTACTTAACGGCACATAATGGCACATAACAGTACATAACGGCAGTGCGCTTAAGCGCGCTTATCCCGATGCGGTCTCTGAAATGAGACACACGCTGCTTTCGAATTGCCTGCTCGCATACTACATACTACTGCTACATACTACTGCTAGATCCTACTCCTACATACTAAACACGTTGGCCCAATTCTGACACACTAGACAAGCGGTGGGGAAAGACGACCCCCACGGGCAGAGAGTAGGTACTGCGCCCGTACAGACAGTTTTAGACTCTTTGAATGGTAATTGTGCAAGTGATGGATACTGCTGTATTATATTCCTGCACTGCTTTAGAAATTCACAAAGTAGCTTTTCCATTACTTTTAGCCTTCATTCACTCACGTGGTGATTGTTTGTTCAATGAGATCTGCCTGATTACTGCAGCTGTGCAGTTTAATGATGGAATAAGTGAGCTTTACCTCCATGATGTCGCCACATATTTGCTCATAAAATGATTACTTGGACAAATATGACACCATGACATGACAAAGAGATACAACCGCACATTTTTTAGGACAGTGTGTGAAGTTACATGAGCCTTACATCTGTACTACTGCGGTCCTGCCTGCTGCTGCTGCTGCTGCTCCTGCTCCACCATGGTGCGCGCTGCAGCCAGCCGGTGTTCGCGACGCATCTAAATAGGCAGCAGCTGTTGGTGCTAGCATCACATGCGCTTCTACAACTTTTAAGAGGACAAAAAAGAAGCCCGAGGTGCATTTTGGGTCAGTAGCATGCCCGTAGGATGGACCGCGACCATACTAAAATGTGGGCGTGTCTAGTATCTGAAGTAGTATCTGAAGTAGCATGCTACTCGCTCCGGTGGCCAATTCGGACATGCTACATACTACTTCGACTACGACTTCGACTACTACTTGGCAATTCAGACGCAGCAACAGCCATAGCCTGAGTCCGCAATCTCAAGTGGCTCCGGAAAGTGACGTCACGGGCCCCACCCCGTTCTGGACCCTTCTGGCCAGATATATGGATATATATATACATACACACATATATATACGTACACACACACACACACACATGCATATATATATATATATACACTCACCGGCCACTTTATTAGGTACACCATGCTAGTAACGGGTTGGACCCCCTTTTGCCTTCAGAACTGCCTCAATTCTTCGTGGCATAGATTCAACAAGGTGCTGGAAGCATTCCTCAGAGAGCTTGGTCCATAGTGACATGATAGCATCACACAGTTGCCGCAGATTTGTCGGCTGCACATCCATGATGCGAATCTCCCGTTCCACCACATCCCAAAGATGCTCTATTGGATTGAGATCTGGTGACTGTGGAGGCCATTTGAGTACAGTGAACTCATTGTCATGTTCAAGAAACCAGTCTGAGATGATTCCAGCTTTATGACATGGCGCATTATCCTGCTGAAAGTAGCCATCAGAAGTTGGGTACATTGTGGTCATAAAGGGATGGACATGGTCAGCAACAATACTCAGGTAGGCTGTGGCGTTGCAACGATGCTCAATTGGTACCAAGGGGCCCAAAGAGTGCCAAGAAAATATTCCCCACACCATGACACCACCACCACCAGCCTGAACCGTTGATACAAGGCAGGATGGATCCATGCTTTCATGTTGTTGACGCCAAATTCTGACCCTACCATCCGAATGTCGCAGCAGAAATCGAGACTCATCAGACCAGGCAACGTTTTTCCAATCTTCTATTGTCCAATTTCGATGAGCTTGTGCAAATTGTAGCCTCAGTTTCCTGTTCTTAGCTGAAAGGAGTGGCACCCGGCGTGGTCTTCTGCTGCTGTAGCCCATCTGCCTCAAAGTTCGATGTACTGTGCGTTCAGAGATGCTCTTCTGCCTACCTTGGTTGTAACGGGTGGTTATTTGAGTCACTGTTGCCTTTCTATCAGCTCGAACCAGTCTGGCCATTCTCCTCTGACCTCTGGCATCAACAAGGCATTTCCGCCCACAGAACTGCCGCTCACTGGATATTTTTTCTTTTTCGGACCATTCTCTGTAAACCCTAGAGATGGTTGTGCGTGAAAATCCCAGTAGATCAGCAGTTTCTGAAATACTCAGACCAGCCCTTCTGGCACCAACAACCATGCCACGTTCAAAGTCACTCAAATCACCTTTCTTCCCCATACTGATGCTCGGTTTGAACTGCAGGAGATTGTCTTGACCATGTCTACATGCCTAAATGCACTAAGTTGCCGCCATGTGATTGGCTGATTAGAAATTAAGTGTTAACGAGCAGTTGGACAGGTGTACCTAATAAAGTGGCCGGTGAGTGTATATATATATATAACATGAAAGCATGGATCCATCCTGCCTTGTATCAACGATTCGGGCTGGTGGTGGTGGTGGTGTCATGGTGTGGGGAATATTTTCTTGGCACTCTTTGAGCCCCTTGGTACCAATTGAGCATCGTTGCAACGCCACGGCCTACCTGAGTATTGTTGCTGACCATGTCCATCCCTTTATGACCACAATGTACCCAACTTCTGATGGCTACTTTCAGCAGGATAATGCGCCATGTCATAAAGCTGGAATCATCTCAGACTGGTTTCTTGAACATGACAATGAGTTCACTGTACTCAAATGGCCTCCACAGTCACCAGATCTCAATCCAATAGAGCATCTTTGGGATGTGGTGGAACGGGAGATTCGCATCATGGATGTGCAGCCGACAAATCTGCGGCAACTGTGTGATGCCATCATGTCAATATGGACCAAGCTCTCTGAGGAATGCTTCCAGCACCTTGTTGAATCTATGCCACGAAGAATTGAGGCAGTTCTGAAGGCAAAAGGGGGTCCAACCCGTTACTAGCATGGTGTACCTAATAAAGTGGTCGGTGAGTGTATGTGTACATATATATATAATATATCTGTATATAATATATCTGTATATGATATATAAATTTCGCAAGTTCACGGAAAAGGGCAAAGAACTGCATGATGAGCAAGTAAGGAAGGTTGCTCATCGTTTCAGTGTGTGTTATGAGAGGTGGAAGGTTGCTATTAAAGAAGCTAATCAAGCACTAAGTGGTGGTCAGTGCTCAGAAGAGCAGCTGGATAAATACCTAACTGCAGTATGTAACGCATCCAAAGGTGTTGATGCAGTTTATGATGATTGGAAACGTATTGATGTTCCTGACAATAACACCCGTCGCAGAGTTGACACCTGTGGAACATTAACAAGGAGGCTTGTCGATGGTGCAGTAGACCTTCTAGATAAAGGAAGGGCTGAAGTACAAAGGCAAGCTAGAGGTCAAAGGCTTGATGAAAGGGTCATCGAAGGGATACTGTCCGTAGCCTCAGAGAAGACAGTCATTAGCTCTTATCGCTCAAAGTGCTCCTCTGCAAGCAGAAAGAGTGCAGCTGCTGAGATTGCAGCCAATGAAGCTGCTTTAGAAGTACTGCTAGAGCAGGAGCGTCATATAGAAGAGCTTCAGAGACTTGAAGTTGAAGCTGCACAGCTGAAGGCGAGACAGGAAGCCGAAGCTGCCCAGTTAAAAGCCAAACAAGAGGCTGAGAGTGCAGAGAGACGAAGAGTGCTGGAAGCCAAGCGCAGAGAACTAGATCGATTGGAGACTATTAAGAAGCTAAAGGAGGCCAAGGCACGACAGCAAGTATATGACCAGAGCGAACGTTCAGGTCAATCATCTAAGGGTGACTGCTCAGATGAAGAAATAAATGAGCTTCTTCACCAACGTGTCTCTCCCAAGAAGGAAGAGGAAGTCAAGCCTCAAACTAGCCCATTGCAACACCGTTTCACACAACCAGCTGTAACACATTCAAAGCAAGAACAATACAGTTCTCGACCTCAAGCTGTGTCACAAGACAGACCCGAAGACGGCACAGCAGCTCTTGTCAGACTGTTTGCTGAATCCATCAGTACAAGTCGCATTCCTATACCTGAGCCCATAGTGTTCAGTGGCGACCCACTCAGGTTCAACGACTGGAAGGTGTCCTTTCAGACGCTGGTCGACAGGAAGAACATACCAGCCGACGAAAAGATATATTACCTACGCAAGCATGTGGGTGGACCTGCCAAGAAGGCCATAGAGAGCTACTTCTTACTTGGCACAGAGTCAGCCTACTATGCAGCATGGTGCATCCTATAAGAGCGATATGGCAATCCATTCCTCATTGCCAAGGCCTTTCGAGATAAGATTGACACCTGGCCCAAGATAAGTGCCAAAGGCAGTGCGGAACTTCAAGAACTCGCAGACTTCCTGCTGGGGTGAAGATTCCAAGATGCTATGTTCCAGCAAGCTTCAACGTCCAACACTATGAACTCCACCATTTCGCCGATGCCAGTGTGTCAGGCTATGGAGAGTGCTCGTACCTTAGAGCAGTGAGTATGACGAGTGAAGTCCACTGTTCCTTAGTGGTGGGAAAGTCAAGAGTTGCCCCTACTAAAGTCACAACCATACCAAGACTTGAGCTGTCAGCAGCAGTGGTAGCTGTCCACACCAGTGACATGCTCAAGAAAGAGCTGGAAATAGTGTCTACAAGAATTCTTCTGGTCTGATTCCAGGGTTGTCCTTGGATACATCAATAATGAAGCCAGAAGATTTCATGTGTTTGTTGCAAATCGTGTGGAACGCATCAAACAAAGCACAGAGTCGACACAGTGGAGGTATGTGGCTTCAAAAGAGAATCCAGCCGACTACGCCTCCAGAGGGCTCACAGCAGACCATCTGGTATCCCCTTACTGGTTCACAGGCCCAGACTTCCTCTGGCAGGAGGAGTTGCCAAGTGGAGAAGTCAAAGTGGGAGAGATTGCGAGTGACAACCCTGAACTTAAGAAGGTCCAGGTTCTCGACACCCGGACGACAGAAGTCAGGTCGGTGCTAGATCGCTTGCACAAGTTCTCAGACTGGTCCAGAATGGTGAAAGCTATCGCCAGACTCCAGCAATATGTCAAGAACATTAAAGGTCTCAAGCCAAGGTCCTGTGAAGCCACCAGTTTAGAGGAAAGGAGAGAGGCGGAGCTGACCATAATCAAGATGGTTCAAGAAGCAGCCTTCTCTCGAGAAATACAGTTACTCCAAAGTCACAAGGAGATACCTGTCAAGGGCAGAGCCAATAAGTTGCACCGGTTGAGTCCATTCCTGGATGACCATGGTGTCCTCAGAGTTGGAGGCCGCTTAACTCATGCCGCCCTACACCCAGAGGTGAAGCATCCAGCGGTCTTACCGAAAGACAGTCATATGTCGAAGTTACTCGTCAAGCATTATCATGAAAGAACACTTCATCAAGGACGAGGGATGACCATGAATGCACTCCGATCCAATGACATATGGATACTAGGCTGCAGCAAAGCAGTATCATCTCACATCTACAAGTGCACCAAGTGCAGGAAGTTCAGGAGATGCACTGAGCAGCAAGAATGGCAGACCTTCCAGAGAACTGAATGGAAACAGCCCCTCCATTCACCTACTGCGGGATGTATTGTTTTGGACCATTCTATGTAAAGGAAGGAAGGAAGGAGTTAAAGTGTTACGGATTGATTCTTACCTGTATGTGTTCCAGAGCGGTTCACATTGAGATGCTCGACGACTTGACCACGGATGCGTTCATCAGTGCTCTGCGTTCATTCATCGCCATTCGTGGAAGAGTACGACAGCTGAGAAGTGATCAAGGATCGAACTTTGTCGGAGCAAGACAAGAGTTTGCCGAAGCCCTGAAAGAGATGGATCAGGAAAAGCTCAAGGAGCTTGGATGTGAGTTCATCATGAACACCCCAGCTTCTAGTCATATGGGTGGTGTCTGGGAAAGACAGATAAACACCATAAGAAGTGTCTTGAGTTCCATTCTAGAACAGTCAGCCACGCAACCGGGAGCGCGGATACGGCATTTTATAACATTCTGTAGTTTTTCAATCATTTCTGGAGGCGAATCAAATCATTGTCCGTCTGCCTCTGATAGGCTAATTAAAGCTTAATAAAGAGATCGGATTCATGCTCGGATCTTGCTACATGTTTCGTGAGTAAAGTAAACAATGACTGAGGCAGAGAGTAGCTTTGGAGAAGAAGCATCCAGCAGTGTGAACAACCTCTTCATATTGAGAGCTTTGACTCACACTATCGGTGATTTCTATGAGTGTCGCATGACTTTGGTTGAGCACAGAGATGAACACACTGATAGCCACGTATTTACTTAGTTTTTAGCGCTGCTTTTGTACTGGCACTATACCAGGGCAGCTGCATACCCTTTCAACATGATTTTTTTTTAAATTTAATTTAGATTTGTATTAAATGGACACTTTATCATGACTGCCACTTGTTTTATAGAAAGCAAACTGTTTGTTATTCTCCAGTGCAAAGCCTTTACTTTTATGTATACAGCTGCTTTACTTCATTTAAGTTTGTTTGTTCAAGGTTTTCAAAAATGTGATGAAGGTTCAGAAAAATAAAAGATAGTTATCTTGAAAGCCACATGTGTAAGCTCTCAAATATTTTTTTATTTTTGTTTCTATCTGCTACAGAGGCCGAGATATCAACTTTTTTGTAAACCCCAACGCTGCAGAAAACCTCAGGATCTGGGGGCCCTTCTCAAAATTGCCTTCAGTATTTCAGAGGTGTGTCTCAGACAGGGTTCAGGTCTTAATGGGTTTAAGTAGTACTATATTAATTCTCAAAAAAAAAGTGAAAAAAAGGGACTATTGTTCCACAAATCAGAATAAAGAGAACTTCATTAATCTGCTTGGAGCTTAAGACATAGAACAGTGCAGTCAGTGCAACTACAACACAAAACTAGAGAGACATACAGTATGACCAGAGCAGACAACACAAAAGGCAGCTTTACAATTGAAACTGGTTAGTATGGATTAGACCAAAAACAAGTACTTTACATATGCCAGACACTTTGGTCACAAAAATGTACACAAAGCTGTGTTGAATCTATTTCATTAGGCTGCAAAGAGACCATGAATAATATTTATTCAAACTAAAAGGCAATTTATGTTTGATTCCTATTGAAGTTTTTTGTACCAACAGTGACATGTGCTGTCTTGGATGGATTAAAAACCCAACAGGCTGCTGTGTTCAGGATTATCTGCAGAGGTTTAACTGTAAGGAGTTGCAGTAGTCAATACGTGATCTTACAAGAGCCTGTACCAGGAGCTGTGTTGTGTGTTGTGTCAGGCAGGGTCTGATCCTCCTGTTGTTATAGAGGGTGAATCAGCAGGGCACACGTTCATTCAATCCAAGCTAGATGTTGATCTGTGGTTGTAAAGAGGGAATAGTTGGAATGACAAGAAGCTCAGTTTCAGACAGGTTGAGCTGAAGGTGGTGTTCCTTCATATGTTAACAGTCATTATCAAGGTATGATTAGATACAGACTGAGATGGGTGTGTCGTCTAGAGAGAATGACTGGTGTGGGGAGGAGGATCAGTTGGTTGATGGTTTATGTCATGTGAAAAACAAACGCACCTTTAAAGTTGTGTTTTTACTTTACTTTGGTGTTGCTAGGCTACCCAGTGATGATCAAAGCATCTGCAGGAGGAGGGGGAAAAGGAATGAGGATTGCTTGGAATGATGAGGAGACAAGGTACTTTTTCCCTTGATTTCCCCGTCAGTGTGTGAGCTCTGTTATCATCATCTAAGTAAGGAATAGGAATAGTTATACTACTCATCATCTGAAGATTATCTTCACCAAGTTTTAGGACAATAAGCAAGATGGCAAAATGGGAAAGTAGTTATTTTGGATGATGCAGAGAAAGTAAAAAGGAAGATGTAAGAAAATATTCAGCTGAATAGACGGATAAAAAATTGTAATTTCTACCATAGACCCAGCAGTTTCAGAGACTATTATATCAGTGTTTGATTTACCACTAAAGGGTCTCTTTAGAAAAGTTAATAAATTCTTATTTTTGTGTAGATTTGTGTCCTAATTCACATGTACATGTTACTGCAGGGAAGGTTTCCGGTTCTCTTCTCAGGAGGCAGCGTCCAGCTTTGGGGATGACAGGCTCCTCATTGAGAAGTACATAGACAATCCCAGACATATAGAAATACAGGTACAACAACACACAACAACAAAACAACACAATTTTAAGAGGATACTGCAAAGTGTCAGTTTAAAAAAGACGGCTAATGTGTGTCATTGAAGAAGAAAAACCTCAGAAACAAGTTCTCTGCAGACAGTCACAGGATGTTGTCTGTATCTTGCAGGTTCTGGCTGATAAGCATGGCAATGCTCTGTGGTTGAATGAGAGGGAGTGCTCCATTCAGAGGAGAAACCAAAAGGTTGTCGAAGAAGCCCCAAGGTTAGTGGGGCTAAGTCTACCCATGACTTTTTTTTATCACTGATCTTTTGCACAAGATTATTCTTATTTATTTATTTATTAGGGAAAGGCTACAGTTATTGTTATCAAGGTTGACTTATGGCTTCAGCAGACTAATGATGTACTGTATTTCAATCTGCATCTGTATTAGCATCAGTTTGTAAGATTTGTATTATATTTACAGTCGCTCTTGGATTTATTTTTTAAAAAGAGTCTATATTATCGGGAAACATTCATAGTTACTTTTTATCTCATAAATTGACCAAAAATACCAAATACTAAAAAAAATTTTGGCATTTGCAAATGTTTTAAGAAACTCTGAAAGTGGCATTAACTGACACTCCCTAATGACGTTTGTTGACACATGCTTCTGGCCCCCTGAGCTGGTAAAGGTGTGAGCTTGCTTCACACTTTGAAGCAAGCAGCTCACAAACTTTTGGAAATGCAAAAATGATGTGTGTGAACGGAGGTGTGGAGGTATTTTGGTGTTTTGAGGTCAGACATGAAACAGAGTAACGTGCACTGCAAATTCTGTCGAGTACATGTTCTTGAAAAGTCGGCAAATACCTCAAATCTTTTTCACCACCGGAAACAGAGCCACATTATAACCAATGTGTGTCATTCCACAGAATCTGTTCGGTGTCAGCCTCCGCTGCAGATTGGCTCTGGCAGCCGGATCAGATATGCAAGGCTTCTCTTTTTGCTGGACGCCACAGCACGGCGCATCAATCCAGTGCAGCGCAGCACGAGCAGCAGCGGTTTATGCAGTTACAGAGTAAAATTTCTGGTTAATTTTCAAAATAAAATAAAGTCAATACGTTTAACTGTTCTTAACTTGATAATAGGAGAGACCAGGGTTGTGGGATGTGGGTGTTCATATACACCGCCATTTATATACACCGATCGGCGGATCTTATTCTAAGACTCCTGGGGAAACACGCGAGAGCTCGTGAGATCTTGTGAGATCTCGTCCAGTCTTGCAAGAAATAGCGGTAATCTTAGCGGCGGTGGATTGGATCCGGTGGGTGCTGTATGCTTGCGGATCTGATCCGCCCGCTGGTCCGGAGCGGGGTCGTTCTGGATCCTGTGGGTTTAGCCAGTAAGGAGCCCATGGCACTTGTGCTCTAGTCTAGCGCAACGCCTTACGACAAAATGTCAAAGAGACACAAAGACCTCACAGATGCAGTAGCTTATTGTATTGCAAAAGACATGCTACTAATAAGCACCGTTAAATTTCATTTTTTGTATCGTGATATATATCAATATCGACTGATATGAAATAATATATCTGATAAACTTTTTCCCATATCGCCCAGCCCTACTTTGACCACACTTGGGTCATCCCTCTACCAAAACCTCTGATACCAGACAGCAGTGTGTGAAAAAATGCGCAAAGTTTGATGACCTTGTTCTCTTATGCTCAATATCAAGAGAGTGTGTGGTAAATAAAGAAGTTTATAAAGTGCACATTAGATATCTCTTAAAGTTCCTATACTATGTCTGTGTACTGCTTTTTGTGTTTTACATATTTCATTTTTTTTGCAATATGTCCCCCCTGAATCCAAAATAAATGCACCCAAATTGTTTTTTTTTTCTTTACTGTAATAAATCTCCAGCTGGAGGTTGGGAAATTGTGCATAGGTGTCAAACGTTATGTGTTTTGCAGCACTTTCCTGGACCCCGTGACACGACGAGCCATGGGTGAGCAGGCAGTGCAGTTGGCCAAGGCTGTGCAGTACTCCTCTGCTGGCACTGTTGAGTTCCTGGTTGATTCTCAAAAGAACTTTTACTTCCTCGAGATGAACACGCGACTTCAGGTCAGCAAAGGATGAGTGTCATTGTGTGTATGTGTGTAAATGCGGATGTCCATGCAGGTCATAGGTGAAAATGATAATCAGAGTGTTACCCAACGAAAACCAAAGCATTGAACCACTTCATTTTTCAAGTATTGAGTTGGTCTAGTTTCTTTTTTTGGCCTTGCAGGTGTGATGTGTGCATAAGCATTTTCTCGTTATTGGAGACATTGTGAAAAAAGGGGCCGAATTCAGAGGGTGTGCCACAGCAGAAGAGCATTAGGTATTAAATGGAATTGCGACGTTTTTTCCATTCTGTGATGTTAAGTATACTGCGTTTTAAAAAAAAAAGACAGGAGCTTCAGCCGGAGAACTGGTGCTTTTACGTATCTATGAATAACTAAAATGACAACTTAATTATACTTATTTGGGAATACATTGAAGTCTGTTTTCTGCTATCAAATCAAATCCTCTGACCTTTACTGCTTGCTCCAGTGTTTTTATGCCAGACTCTGAATAGCATGGATGCATTCCTAGGAAGCTGGGTAGCAAACAAAACCTTAAAGGTCCCATGTGCCAATTTCACACAACTTTAAAATAGTCCCCTGGTGTGTTAAAAGCATGTCTGTGACATCCTTCGGTCAAAATTCAATTTGGATCAATTATTTTAGTGCTCTTTTTATCAGCTAAAAACAGCTCCGCTCAAAATCCTCCGTTCTGGGCCATGTCTCTTTAATGAAATGAGCTGCACCTAAGCCACGTCCACTTTACACTCATCTCTCTGGAAGGGGCTGTGGCTGTGCTCCGATAGCCATGTGCTAATGTTTACACTGGCTTGGTCATGGTTGCAAGAAGATCGCTCGTACAACCCTACCAGTTTGAGCCAGAGTCTGACCCAGAGGGAGAGGCTCCGGAAGAAACTCTTAGCCGCGTTCAGACCAAACGCGACTTGAAGCGACATAGTCGACACATCCTATGTATTATTCAAAGCCGCCAGGAGGGTCACGCTTAAGGAGGAAGATATGAATGTAGAAAAAATTACAACCAGAGCTCTGCTACAATGTAAGATTTTGGTGCTCTAAAACTTCTCTGAAGCCTTTGCTAATTAATAGGATGGCTGACCATCCAGCATTAGCCGGGACGTCCCGTATTTGAGCCAAAAGAGGCGCGTACGGGTAAATGCTAAAGCTACATGCTGCTCTGGAGGGGGATTTTGTCCCCAGCCGGCGGAGTTGTCGGGGAAGAAGCAAGCGGCTAAAATACGGGAGGATCAGGTAAACCGGCGCAGATCCGGTGTGTTTATCAAAGCGTGGTGGCCGTGCTGGGCACCGGGGGGAATTTAGGCTAAACAGTAAGTCGAAATAAAACGTTCACACTTACAAATGCCACGTATGTAGTAGGATCACGGATAGTTTGTACGGATCCATTCTTATCTTCAGACATCTAGTAAATCCAGCGTTGAACTGTCTCTCGTTGATAAAATAGTCCAAAGTGAAATGGTGCGCACATACGTACGGATATTTTGGAAATGCCGCGGGTACATTCCCATTATAAATAAAATCCACCTATTGAGTCCTCAAATCCTCTGACGAGGGAGTTTTCAAAAGAGTTTTGTGCTCGTTTGTGCAGCCAACAACAGAGCAAACGCTGCCTCTTTTTCAGATCGTACTTTCGCCATGGTTCTAACCGGAGCAATGCGAGCGAGCGGCCGGGAATAATGGCGCTGTTTTGATAATTTTGTGAGCAGGGCAGTGGGCGGCTCCATGGGCAGTACCATCAACCCGCCAGCACTGACATGACGTCATGTCAGTGGAGTGTTCAGAATGGCCGGCTCTGAGCGCACAGTTCCTAAATACTGAGATAACTAAAAAACGACTGGATGGAATTTCTATCCCTGATATGCACCCCCCTCCCATTGACAAAGTAAGTTTTTCACGCCATGGCCCCTTTAATAGACCAAGAGAGGACATAAAAAAGACAAAACTTTCCTGACCAACAGCGCAGAGTTGTAAAGGGACTGTGTTTTCATTGTCTGGCTAACATCCTATTACCCTCCTACTAACGCATGTTGCTGGCTGTTTTGATGCCTAACACATTGATTGGGAGACAACCTTATAGTAACAAGTGGAAAGAGGGCACCCACCGCAGCAGAGGCAGATGACTTAACTGTTCATGTAAATATACTGATTGAGGTGCTAGGTAAATCTCGGGGTTAGGTAAATGTTGGGATGTGGAACAGCTGTTGATAACTTTATTTTATGAAGTGAGACACCAAACATTGACAAGCTGACACAGCAACAGCCATTGAATATTGTCCACACAACCTTAAAATCATGTCTTTGGTGAAGAGGACCTTCAGGCTGTACTAAAGGAAATTGGAGTGGATTGGATTAAACACATGAGAGAAATTCACCTGAGTGTTACTCTGGAAAATATGGCCAAAAAAAAACAATGTTTTTCAGACATCAAATTTGGGCTCAACGTAGGCTGGCACTCAGGCCCCAGACTTGCAGGGTTGCTGTTTCAAGGCGAATAATGTGCCACAAGAAAGTTGAGGGGATTTCAGACAAGTAGACAGGATTTTACAGTGGTGAGGTGAAGGCAGCACCCTTTTTTTTTTTTTTTTTTAAAGATGAATATGTTTAGGTCAGGCCACCTCATAAGCACAAGGAATGCTGTGGGAATATGTTGAAGTAAGCTAAAGCAGTCCAGTACATTATGATGCCGCATTGTACAGAGCATGTCCTCTAATGGAAAACTAATTTTTTTGCACACATTAAGGTTATCATCTTGAGCCAAAACCATGCAGTTATGTCAATTTGTCATAAAGTGATATCTTGATATTCCTGCTGCCTCTGGTTGTGATGATGCATGGAGAGTTCGGGTCAGGTTGGACCATGCATGGCTGAGATAACAAACTACCTTCTGTCTGAATATGAAACACCTAATTTTGAGAGCTTGCCATTGCCACACTTTTTGCCCAGTTAAAATTAGCTCATGAGTTTTTCATTAATGGTCTCTTTCACCTGTATACCTGTTAACAAGCAGATTGGATAAACACTGAGAAGAAACTTGTCAAAGGACCCCTGCAAATGGCCCCAAAACAGGTGATTTTCGCCATTTTCTTTGTAATAGCTGACTTCCTGTTGACATTTCACTATGACATTAAGGCTGCAGCTATAACAAGTGAAATGTGGACAGTATTTTCAAAATTTGTTGGGGGTTCAAACAACCAACCAGCCCATCAGTCTTTATTTAGAGAGCCCCAATTCACAACAAGTATAATCTCAATATGCTGGACACAAAGAGCTGTTTCAGACCAGACTCTGTTTACGAAGACCTAGTTACTGAGGAGAGGAAGAACTTCCTTTAACAGGCAGAAACCTCAAGCAGAAACAGGATCATGTCAGACAATCATCTGCTGAGACTGAACTGGGTTTAGAGGGGAGAGAGGGAGATGGAGAAAGAGAGAGATGGACAGAGGAGCGAGATAAACAACAACAACAGCAGTAGCAGTAGTACATACAGCTGTATGGTTACAGTGCTAGAGATAATGGAACAAGTATGTGAACTATTTATGGTTGCAGCATGATGATAATGGTAGACTGAGCTTAGTTTGATAAAAAGCAAATTCAAGTCAACGGAACTATAGCATTAACATAGCAGTGATAACATCTATAGCAGGGGTTCTCAATTAGAAATGTAAAAGGTCCAGAAAATAAAATTTGAGGAAGTCCACAGCGCATGCATGGTGGCGAAAAATGTTGGCGTTTTTTATTTATTTTATTTTTTACCTTTTTTTATGTTTTTATGTAGTTTTAGGCTGGGTGTACTGTACTGTACTGTACTGTAATAATCAGGAGTTGTTGGAAGGCACAAAAACATTCATTTTCAGCATCACACTGATATTCTTTCTTACTAAGTATTACTTAATAAAATAAAATAAGCTTTTTATTATATCTGTTTGTAGCTCAGATTTTGGGGGGCAGTCTCTATCAAAATCACTTCTCATAATGGCATTTTATGTTTTCACTTTTTATCAGAGCAACACTGCTTTGCACAAAAGACACATTGGCTTTGTGCTTGAAGGAGGTAAGATAATCATATATTTGTCGGTCCATTTGTCAGTGAATCAGCGATTTTCAGTGTCCACCTTTCTCTGATTTGCCATTTTGATGTCTTGTGCTGGGTGTGAGCAATGCTCCTGCTGCAAAGACGTTACCGCTGCCTGCGCCGTGCAAAGAAGACAGACTGAAGGAGAAAGATGTGTGACTGCCGGTTTGCATAGTTATCAGCCAATCAGCGTATCGTTGTCATGGGAATGGCAGCCCATAATGCAAGCGTGAGCACGCGCACAGTCACACACACACGCGCTCTCTCTCTCTCTCTTGGCCAGTCTAACCTCGCGTCAGTCAGTCAGAGAGGTGGGTCCACAAAGAGGTGGTCCGCAGTCCGGACGTGGACCGCGGTCCGCCTATTGCGGACCCTGGATCTATAGTAATGACACTGAGTTAAGAAATGGAGGTTGTAATTAGAACAGCTGAAAGAGAAAAAGTCAAAAAGTTCTGCAGTAAGTTAGGCTGTATTGGCTAAATGAGATTGTGTTGGTTCGTTCCTCTTTAGTGGGGCAACATAAACTGTGATTCATAAAATAACTCTATTGATAGTAAGTACTAAAAAAATATCTACTCATGCCATCCAGCCGATTTTTAGTGATCAGTGTTTCGGTGTTGAACTATTTCCTTTCTGCGGCGCAGTGATACTTGCACACGCGCAATCGAATATGCAAAGGGGTGTAGCGTTTTTTGTCACGTGGACCAATAGGAGCCGAGTCTCGTTGCCATAGTATCAAAACAACACAAACATGGCGACGAGTGCATCTTGCAGCGAGACAAGCGGAGAGGAAGAAAAGAAAAGGAAAAAAAGAAAACAGCCTTCAAAAGTGCATAAAAAAGGAACGAAACGTTGCTTTATGCATCTATCATCTGTCCAGAGTGAAGACGTTCTTGACTTTACAAGGACACGTTGGGAAACTTACAGAACTTGTATTAGAAAGTGGCTTTCTCTACAGGGTGAGACAAAGGACCTTGCAGAAACTTACAAACATTGCGTTGATATCGACTTTGCCAATGTTCCTGAGGACACTAGGTTTCACATGACATGCTACCAGCGATTTATTTGCAAGGGTGTTAGAGTTTGACCGAAAAGAAACAAGAACGTGATGCAGCCGTGGGTCAGTCAAACCCTTTAGCCAGCATCGCCGATGCATCCATGTCCACGGCATCTGAAACTCCGCGAAAAAAACTTTGCTCGGGGTCATAGGCTGTATTGGGACAAAGGAAAAAGTGCCTAAAAAGTGAATTTCCTTCAACTACGCTGGTGCTACTTGTTCAATGCATTTTTGCATAGACAATACCATTCTGGACTTTGGGTTAAAATATCTACTTGGACTATCTGTCCGACTTTTGTCACCAGCCAGAAATGTATATATATGTGAGTAACCCAAAAAACAATTATATGGTGCTGCTGTTTTTGCTTGTAGAAACTGCTGTGTTGATACTGGCAAGACAAAATCTTTCTCAAATGTCATAAATACATCTACCTAACATCTGAAACAGTTATTGGTGCCTTAGTATACGCATAAGTGAATTCAGATTATGAAATGTAGCAAATTTCTTGAAGAAAATGTCTCAACTCAATCAATCAATCAATCAATCAATCAATCAACTTTATTTCTATAGCACATTTAAAAGAACCACAAGGGTAGCCAAAGTGCTGTACAGTGACACATAAAAACAAATAAAACAATCAAAGAACAAGATAAAGCAAGCAGAAATACATTAATGCAAAAGAGTAAATAAGTGTATGAATAAGGAGGCTCACAGCAAGTGCTAATAAAAACAAATTAACACTACAATGTACTAAAAGCCAATGAGTAAAAGTGCGTTTTTAAAAGGGATTTAAAAACAGGAAATGAGGAGGCCTGTCTAATTTTCAAGGGCAACTCATTCCAGAGCTTAGGAGCAGCAGCGGAAAACGCTCTGTCCCCTCTGAGCTTCAGCCTTGTACTGGGGACCATCAGTAAAAGCTGATCAGCTGATCTTAGGGGTCGGGGTGGGTAATAAGGCTGGAGCATCTCCGAAATATAGGGTGGAGCAAGGTTGTTCAGGCCCTTAAAAACAAATATTAAAAGCTTAAAATGAATTCTGTACTGAACAGGGAGCCAGTGTACGGACGCCAGGATGGGGGTGATGTGCTCACGCCTGCGGGTCTGTGTCAGGAGACGTGCAGCAGAGTTCTGCACAAGCAGGCAGGCAAGGGAAGCCTGGCTAATCCCTACGTACAAGGAGTTGCAGTAATCAAGACATTTTTGTCATGTTACATGTTTTCCATTATTCCAATTTTGGGGGGGCGTGGTAGAAATTTGATTGATTTTCAGCCATTTATGGCCATGGTGTGCTGTTTATATTTTATTGCTTTTATTACACAGTAGGTTGTGTCATTTTAATGTATGAAACATAAGAGTTTAGCTAAATTTACGGTATATATTTCATTGTGCTGGGTGAAAATCACTTGAGTTGAGACGTTTTCTTCAGGAAATTTGCTACATTTCATAATCTGAATTCCCTTATGCGTATACTAAGGCACCAATAACTGTTTCAGATGTTAGGTAGATGTATTTATGACATCTGAGAAAGATTTTGTCTTGCCAGAATCAACATAGCAGTTTCTACAAGCAAAAACAGCAGCACCATATAATAGTTTTTTGGGTTACTCACATATATGTACATTTCTGGCTGGTGACAAAAGTTGGACAGATAGTCTGAGTAGATATTTTAACCCAAAGTCCAGAATGGTATTGTCTAAGCAAAAATGCATTGAACAAGTAGCACCAGCGTAGTGGAACGAAATTCACTTTCTAGGCACTTTTTTTTTTTGTCCCAATACAGCCTAAGTGTTAGCTTTACAACCATGACAGAGATGGAGAGACTGATACTAATAAATAACATTAGTTTTGAAACCAGGACAGAAACAGGGAGGCTGATGCTAATAAATACACAAGCTTTGTTAGCATAGATAAAAGGAGAACGACTGATGCTCATGAATTAACATTTGTTCTGTAACAGTGTTGAAAACAAAAATGCTGATGCATGCAAGTGAAGCAGCTGGAAAGCAGGCAGGTCCACATCAACAAGATGTCTGCAGCAGTAATCCGGAGGAACCTACGGCATGATGGAGTTCAGAGACTCTGAGAAATAAGACTGTATTAGTGACTTTAATTGGAAATGATGATTCTAAGTAATTGACAGACAGAAAGAGGATGTAGATGGAGGGAAAGGTGCTACATGTGAAGTCTACTCTAAAAGGTAGAGGGTGTCTGACCCCCGCACCTCGACTGATAGATGATTCCAGAAGAGAAGGGCCTGATAGCTGAAAGCTCTACTAGTCAGACCACTTAGCTTTGTAGATCAGAAGAAGAATTTTAAATTCTACCTTCACTTTAATGGGGAGCCAGAAGCTAATGCAGGGGAGATGTGCTTCTGATTCTGGTCAGGACCTGGGCTGCAGCATTTTGGACCAGTTGAAGAGTCTTTCAAGACTTGTTAGAACATCTGAATAAAGGGGAACTACAGTAATCCCCTGCCCCCTACCATGTTCAGAACCCTTAAAAAAAGCCCAGTTCACAACCAAGAGTCTATCTTCGGTATGGACCCTTCTCTCACGAATGCTGGTCATGAGGAAGCCCAGCCCTGCACAGTAAAAGGGGGTTGCGTTACTGAGCTGGAGCCTTGATGCTGGGGTTCAACGCTGGATATTCTCAACCAGCTGGAGGATGAACCTCTTATCTCAGACTATAATGTGGAGGAGGACTGCCCTGGTGATGACTGTTTGCTGTCTTACAAGGAAGATGACTGCTGCTTTGTTCACCTCACCCCAACCATGAGCTCTTCAGGCTGGTCTCCCTAAGCTAATAACGAGTCTGCACAGCCACAGCCTAGGTTTGACATGCATGACATCTGCAAGTGTAAGAGGCTACAGATTTCCTGGCCCACTTGACGGCAGAGGGTCCTTGCTCCTGAAAAACTGCCCTGAGCCAATCCTGCAACTCCTCCCAGTGTTTCCGGAGCTCCTTGAAAAATTTCCAGTATGCTGGAGAGAGAATCAATATTCAAGCAAGACCCCCCACTCAGGGTGTGTCTCAGGAATGGATAAGCACAGCACGGCCCACTTCCCTCCCATGGAACGGCTGGTGGCAGCCTACCTCCACCCCAAGTCGTCAGCTGCTTCATCCAGACCACCCACACGACCCTCAGTCCACCATGACTGAGAAAGCGTACAGCGATAGTTCTGACAACACCTCCATGTTGACAGCCTATCAGGCAGAGCACAGACAACACTTTTCTAGCAGGGACCTTCTGTGGCTGACCCACAGAAGGGGGGTCAGTGATGGTCGTCTGGACTACTGTCAGATCAGCAGTCTGAACCATGATTGTGGTTGTGTGGACTGAACCAGAGTGAGAGAATAAAGGCTCAGTAAACCTTTGTAGATGGTCAGAGTTCATCAGCCGTTGGAGATCTTTACAGGACTGGAAGAACCAACCAGAGAATGGACTTTGACACAATATTCTTATGTTTTCAGATGGGGGATTTTTGATTCTTGTGCTCTGTAAGCTGTAAAAACTCCAACAACAAAAAAAGGAATTCACTTTGTGTGTAATGAATGATGTAATGTAATCTACAGTAGATTATAATAAAGTTTAACTTTTTGAACTAAATAACGGGAAAAATGAACTTTTTCAGGACTGTCTCATTTTTTGAGCTGCACCTGTGGTATTCAAAGGACCTGACCTGCATCAACTGACCCAGCACCACAGTAGTTCACTGGCTGAAACCTTTGTTACTGTGTGTAACTTTTGACCCCAGGTGGAACATCCCATTACAGAGTGCATTACTGGCCTGGACCTCGTGGAGCAGATGATCAGGGTTGCCAAGGGTTATGCACTTAAGCAAAAACAAGAAGATATTCCCATAAATGGCTGGGCCATAGAGAGCCGTGTCTACGCTGAGGTCTGTATGTGTATGTGTTTAGTAATGTGTGATGAAAAGTGTGTGTGTGTGTGGAATATTCTTTTAGAATATGCGCTATAGAAGACTGTATGCAAACACTGATCCTTTAGAAAGGACGTCTGCAGTGCCCTACAAATGATGACTCATATTTCTCTGCATTCTTTGTTGGTTCAAGGACCCATACAAGTCTTTTGGACTTCCTTCCATTGGACGGTTGTCTCAGTACCAAGAACCAACCAACATCAGCAATGTATGCCACTGTTTGTGTTTCTATTTACATGTATATATTTTTAAATGTATTCCCCAACACAAAACCCATCAGCCAGTCTCCTCCTTGGAGACTTGTATGTGGCCTGCCTGCCTGTCTGAAAACTGTCTCGTCTCCTCCCCACATTGTCAGGTTCGTGTTGATAGTGGGATCCAAGAGGGGAGTGACATCAGTATCTACTATGATCCCATGATTTCTAAGGTAGGTGGCATATGAAATATGACAGTTTTGTTTTTTTCTTTTTTTCTTTTTTTTATTTAACTTAAAACACAAATTAAACCAATTCCTTAAGAGTTAGTATTTTATCAGTAATTTTGTTTGGTGTTTATTGGTAGTTGGTGACCTATGGAGCTACAAGAGCTGAAGCCCTTTCCAAAATGGAGGAAGCTCTGGATAACTATGTTATCAGAGGTATACCAGCAGATTCTTACAGTGAATGGTATGCAACACTGGCATTAACTTGTAAATGGATTTCAGTTTTGGTAATTAAGTTTGTTTATCTCTCCAGGTGTAACTCACAACATCCCTCTCCTACGGGAAATCATCACTCACCCTCGTTTTATCTCTGGTGACATTAGCACCAACTTCCTGCCAGAGGTTTACCCTGATGGCTTCAAGGGTCACCAGCTCGAGGAGGAAAAATGCAGGGAGCTGTTAGCCTCAGCAGCAGCAGTCCATGTCACTGCCAAGCTTCGGTCACAAATGGTCCTCAACAACCTACGGTGAGGAAGACAAAAGTTTGTCACTGGGGTCTATGGGGGTCTTGTTTGTCATACAGCACCCCTACAGTCAAATTAAAAAGTTCTACAGTCATAGAGTCTGCCACACACAGGCAAAAAGATTTAAACCAAACAACATAGTTGAAAATGTTGAAAATTAGACCTTTCTCCAGATTCTGACCACCCAGAGCACTTTGGGTAACACACACTACATAAAAGACCCACTAGCATTGATTTACCCAATTCACACATCACTGGCATAGCTGGCAAGTGCAGTTTGGGATTAGGTGCACTGCCCAAGGACACTTGAGCACTTTGATGACTGTCTAACATCAGTCTGGTTCTGCTCAAGGTTTCTACATGTTAAAGGAAGTTCTTCCTCTCCTCTGTAATTTGGTAAATGCTGCAAAGTGTTTCACTGATGAGGATGAAGGTGGATCAAAGTGGCTCTGATCTTTCAAGATGGGGCTCAGTCTTATCCCATCTTTACACTGGGTCTTTGTGAACAGAGTTGGTCCAGACCAGCTTTTTGTTATGGGTCCTGAGAAAACAGTTGTTTTGAACTGGTGTTATATAAATAAAAATGATTGCTCGATGGCAGTGATAGTATTTGCATTAAATAAGTTGAGGTAAATAATAATGAGGGTTGAAATTGGATCAGTTGAAACAGAGTTAAAAAGTTGCATATGAACAAAAGCTTTATAACAGTGACAGAAATAGATTCATGCTAGTAAGTTAACATTATCTTTGTAACAGTGTTAAAATTGTAAGGTGTGTAGTTGAAAAACAGGCAGTTCCATGTTTGCAGCAGTGATCCAGAGGAACCTACGACATGATGGCGCTCAGGGACTCTGAGAAAAGACTTAAGTACCTACACTACATGCCAAAAGTTTAGGAGCAAGGCCATTACAGGCAGAACAGTTGGGAGTAAGTTTTTGTTCACAATGCTTTTTTTAAAATCCAGCATGAGTTTTATGTATTTTGGGATGTATTTACTCCATGATCAGATGTTGCTTTCATGGAAATGCACCATTTTACTCCATTCACTTTTAGATTTACATTGATATTAACAGACCATTGCTAAATATATGTCAGCAAAAGAAAATAAGGGCTTAGTTCCAGGGTCGAAAACATTTGCTAGAGTCACAACTTAAGTGCAAAAGCTAAAAAAACAAATTGCAGTTGGATTATTCAATTTTTTGGCTTATGAGAGTCTGCATACAAAAATCCTAATAAATCTCAACTGCACTCCAAATCCTCCAGAAATGGCTAGAAAGAAGCAACTGAGTAAAGAAACAAAAGTACAGATTTGTACTTTGAGGAAAGAAGAATACACAGAAAGAGAAAATTGCAAAATGCCTAATGGTGTCCAACAAAGGAGTCCACTACACTCTAAGGAGACTAGAGGAACCTGGAAGTTATGATGATAGAAAAAGGCCTGGACAAAAGAGAGTTACTACAAAAGCAGAGGATAAACATATCATTGTCACCAGTAAGAGAGATCGGCGAAAGACAGCACCAAAAATAAGGGAGGAAATTAACATGACAAGGTCGAAACCCATATCTCTGACAACCGTGAAAAGACGTTTGAGAAAGGCTGGTCTGAAGAGTTGTGTATTTGCAAAAAAACACTACTTCGTCCACAGAACAAGAAAAAGAGATATGAGTGGGCAAAAGCTCACAAAAATTGGACTTATGATGACTAGAAATAAGTTCTCTGGACCAATGAAAGCAAGTTTGAACTATTTGGTTCAAAGCGCAGAGTCAATGTCCGCAGACAAACTGTTGAACGTCTGAAAGCACCATATGGTACACCCACAATTAAGCAAGGAGGTGGTAGTTCCATGGTATGGGGATGTTTTGCAGGTGATGGAGTAGGAGATTTGTTTGAAGTAAAGAGTATCATGAAGAAGTGACAGTACCACTCCATCCTCCAGCACCATGCTGTTCCATCTGGACTCAGACTTGTGGGTCACAAGTTTGTTTTGCAGCAAGACAATGACCCTTAGCACTCTGCCAAGCTCTGTCAGGGTTACCTAGACAAAAAAGAAGAAGAAGGTGTTCTTCAAAAAATGGTTTGGCTCCCTCAGTCTCCAGACCTTTCTCCAATTGAGCTTGTGCGGGATGAATTGGATCGATCGGTCAGAAAGGCGCATCCCACGAATCAGCAGTCTCTTTTTAATGAACTTAAGAAAGCTTGGAATGCAATTCCTGGAACATACCTTAGAAAACTTGTGGAATGAATGCCTCGTATATGCCAAGCTGTTGTTAAAGCCAGAGGAGGTTACTTTAAAGAAAGCAAAGTCTAAGCAACAATAACTCAAATTCCTAATAATTATAGTCAAAATGTCTTCTGATAAGTTACTCTTTACACAATAGTCATGTTTATTGTGTTGCAAAGTATATTAATGAAACTATGATCTTTTTTTGTACAAATCTAATCTTGCTTCCAAACTTTTGGCCTGTAGTGTATGTACTTTGTGCAACCTCTTCCAAAAACCTGAGTTCATTTAGCTGACAAGGTTGAAATGGCAGAATCAAAATGATAAAATGTTGTCCCTCTAATGTTACCTCTAGGTCCACTAGGTATCCAGTAAAATGTACAATTTATTAGGTGTTACTCCAGGACAAGAAGCCTGGATGTGTTTGGCCTTCATTGAAAAAAAATGGACCATGTGTGTTTTGCAGTGTGTCCTCCACACCTGTGGAATACATGAAATGGGAACTGTGTGTGGAGCTTGGGGGAAGATGCTATTCTCTGGATGTTACCAAATCAGGCAATTCTTTTGCTGTGAGTATTTAATTTATTGAAGTCAAAAGAAAGTCCCTTATGTGGATAAGAATCCGTCTAGAACTGAAAACTCTTTGAAAATGAGAGAACTTGTTTGGTGCCTTTTTGATGAAACCTGGAAAAAAAATCTCTGTAGGTGGAGGTGGATGGAGGAAAAGTGGAAGTCAAAGGAGAGTTAAATCTGGCTTTCCCATTGCTGCCACTCACCATAAATGGTTCCCCAAAAATGTTACAGGTAACTCTAACACACACACACACACACACACACACACACACACACACACACACACACACACACAGCACAGAAATCAACCAAATGGAGAGTATTATTTACTGTACATTTTCTGTTTTTTTTGTTTTTTTTTAATAGTGTCTGTCCAGAGACGCTTCGGGAAACATTGTCCTGCAATACCTGGGCACATCGGTAAGGCACCATATCTGCAATTAAAGTCACATCATTGCAGGAAGAATATTATAAAGGTTGCTTTCTTTAGTCCTCTTGATATCCAGGAAGGCTTAGTTCTAGTGTTGGCTTTTACTGTATAACTCGCACAACAAGTTAAGTCTGTCGCTCTACTGCCACATTTATATCAGCATCAGGACAAAGTGATGGCCAGCTATTGGAAGCCCTTTGCTCCTCTACAACTTCAGGTTTTTCTTTTTTTAGGAAACTGGTGGGGCAGCTCATTTAATTTGTTCTTTTTTAATAAATATTTTTTAATTCTTTTAACAGCTTGGCATAAAATAGTGTAAACTCTTCCAAAATGAAGCTCCATTTGAAAATATTTTCAGCTATTGAATTATACACACCAACACAGATAGGGTTACTGTAATTTTTTTACTTTGCCAAGAGAGTGTAAGATCATTTCTGATGATAATTTCTTAAACCGTGTTTGTTGGATTGCCACCACTCTTACACTGTCTGTTTGCTTTTAGTTTAAGGTTCGTGTTTTGTCCAAGTTGGCTGCGGAGTTAAACTCCTTCATGCCAGAAAAAATTCCAGAGGACACCAGCAGCATCTTGCGTTCACCGATGCCAGGCACAGTGGTGGCTGTGTCCGTCAAACCTGGAGATACGGTAACACATCCCAATGTGCAGGTTCAAATATTCACCCCCAGCTTAACTAGCAGAGACAGAAGTACGAACTGCTGAAGGGCTCATCTGAAGGTGTATGATAACAACCTCCTACCTGAAGTGACACTACACCTGTGCATTTCATCCAGCATGAAGGAAACAAAAATGACCTTTGTCACATCTTCTCTTTGTTTTCTCTTGACTTAAGATAACGTGCTAACCCATTTTTATACACTTGGTGCGTGCGTGCGTGCGTGCGTGCGTGTATGGCTGCAGGTCGCCGAAGGTCAGGAGATCTGTGTGATTGAAGCCATGAAGATGCAGAACAGTTTGACTGCTGCCAAGCAAGCGAAGGTAACAACACAAAAGGAGTTGCTCTTGCTAATGTCAGTAGAAATGTGTGTTAATATCTTAATCAGGAGATGGAATCCGTGTGAATTGATAAAGGGGACAACAGATTTTCCACAGTACTAGTAGTCTTCTTCTCACCCTCCAGGTTAAGAGTGTCCATTGTACGCAGGGGGAAACTGTAGGAGAAGGAGACCTTCTGGTGGAGCTCGAGTAAAGCACAGCCCGTGGCCTCTGATACGTAATATTAGCACCGGGATGAGAGAGAGACCCAGAAGGAAGCTTGGACAACAGTGACCACTAGTAAAATAAACCAAGGGTCTGCTGGGGGTCCCTATGGAGACTGGACAACAACAGAGTTCTGTCTGTAAAATAGTGACTCAGTGCTTAGCTGTATCAGCTGTGTTTTTGTCTTTTCATGTCCGATCGTTATATACTGGCTGGTTTGATGCAAAAAACTGATCCTCTCTGGTGTGCCTCTGTTTGATTTTTCCTCGATCAGACTTTGGATCAGTAAGCACACGTTGAAAACCCCATATACCCCATGCTAGGTGGCCTTGTAGCATTTAATACATTTGACACACAAACTGAAAGAACAATGTGAGGAAATGAACCTTTGTATTTCTAAGCTTCTCTTAAGTTCACTGAAAAAACTGTCCTCATCAGTGTTACTGTGTCTGATTAGAGAGATGACAGATGTGTATTTCAAAACATAAACAGAAAAGTAAAACCATACTGACACCAGCAGGGGTAACACGGTAACATATCCATGGGAATTTGGTTTCACTGACACTAAAGTACACTGTACATACTGTACAAACAATAAAGTACTTCTTTTTTTCAAACAATCACTCTAGACCAGTGGTTCTCAACTGGCGCGGACATCCTCCCGGGGGGGGGGGGGGGCAAGCACAGGGTATTAGTACAAAGGAGATGTAGCAGGGGTCAATAAAAGTTTCCCACTATTTTTCCCCAGCCACTCAAACGACCAAGTAAGCAGGACAAACGATGTTTAGTCTCTACAGGGAGAGAGGCTCACACACCAAGGATTTTTGACAACGTTACACACACGCACGCACACAGTGCAGCGATCTGAAGTAAACATATTGGCCCCATAGACTGTATATACTATTATGGACAACTTGGTTTCGCCTACCACCTGTATATGGATTTGAAGCCAAATAGCTCTCGGTATTTCCAGGATTTTTCTTCATTTCCTGAAACCAGCGCTGCGCAGTAGCGATGTCACCGAGAGTCGCTGTGATGACGCTCGGCTTAGACAGCGTATCCCCCGGGAGAGCTACGCAATCCCTGAGCGCCCATAGGCTGTATCAGGTGTCAATCAAAGAAAACATGAACCCCCTAATAACTTTTAAAAACGGAGCTTCACAGAAAAAAGAGGACTTGAGCACAAACCAGTCTTACTGTAACTACATGTCAACACTGCAGCAGGGGGAAGAAAAATGTACGTTCTGTGTAATACATTTTTAAAGTTTGTCCACAGTTCCATAAGGTTTGCTGGCGGTATGTATGACCTATACTGCAGCCCATCAATAGAGGGTGCTGTTCTCAGAGTGGCTTCACCCAGCAAGTAGGCAGACTCGGTCCATTCTATATACAGTCTATGTCTGTGTCTTATTTCAGAGACCGCATCGGGATAAGCGCGCTTAACGGCGCTTAGCTGAGTGCACTGCCGTTATGTGCCATTTTGCGCCGTTATGTACCCTTCCTGTGTCCCATTTCAGAGACCGCAACCGTCGAACGTCGCATTTGAAGCGTGCGTGAAGTCATCACACGGCACGAACGGTGTCCCGTTTGGCACAAAATACTAAGCGCGCTTCAAATTCGGTCTCAAAACCACACTACCCCCGCCCCTTTTTCAAGCGTGCATGTATGCACGCTTTCGTGCCGTCGGTATCCCAGAATTCTTTGCGTGCCGCTGCACAGCTTCGCATTTCGGAGCTGCGTCCGAATTGCCAAGTAGTAGTCGATGTAGTATCTAGCATGTCTGAATTGGCCACCGGAGCGAGTAGCATGCTACTTCAGATACTACTTCAGATACTAGACACGCCCACATTGTAGGTTGGTCTCGGTGCATCCTACGGGCATGCTACTGACCCAAAATGCACCGCGGGCTTCTTCTTCGTCCTCTTAAAAGTTGTAGAAGCGCATGTGATGCTAGCGCCACCAGCTGCTCTGCCTATTTAAATATGTCGCGAACGCCGGCTGGCCACAGCAGCGCGCACCATGTCGGAGCAGCAGCAGGATGTGAGGATATCCATTTTCAGCTCGGAAAAGTTTTGCATCTTTCGTAATATTTATTCTCTTTCATGTTTGACCTCAGTGGGCGAGGCTTTTGAACCACGAATATTTAAGGGCGTAAACATGTTAATGACGATCGATTTCAGCCGCCGCATTTATCAAGACCCGATCATATGTACGCTGGGATTGGTCAGATACGAACCCTTTCATAAATCTCACGTGTGTCCTATCGTACGATGAATCCTGCGCTCAGATCTGTGCTCAGTTCTACGCAGCGGCGTCGCCAGACAGATTTCACTAGTGCCCCAGAAAAAATTTCACCAATAAAAAAAAAAAATCCCTTCAGAGTTTTAAGTCTACATAGCATCGACTACAGCGCACATACTATTTAGTATGGTAATTAAGTGCTACTGTATTCACTCCACATAAACAATGCGCACATGGCTAATTAATATGGTAATTTATTCACGTGTAGCGACTTCGGTTGATAATACTTCCGTGTCAACTCGAAGTCGAGAGAGAGAGAGAGAAACAGGCGATGAGAATAACTGCGCGAGGTAGGTAACGTTAGCCGACAACAACTTGTTAAATACATTATTTTGATTTTGATTTGACTCGAACTGTAACTCCTAGATGGATATCAGAAAGTTATTCGCCCGCAGCAGGGATAAAGCAGCGAGGAATGAGAGAGGTAAGCGAAGTCCTAGCTAGCTAGGCAACATAAGTCTGTCTTAAATTAATGCTAAGTTAGCTAAAGTTATTCCTTGTATCAAGACAACCATATTAATTTGCTGTACGAGCTGTGGGGGGAATTTCCAGTGAGTTTCAAAAGCATGAAACATAATGATGGTTATGTTCTGCTCAGGACCTCTGCATCAATGATGACTTTGAGTAAGCTTGTGTTAGTTGACAGATATAGCCTATGGATGGTGCAGTGGTTCTCAAATGGCCTATCTTCGAGAAGAAAAACATTGATATATATATATATATCAATGTTATATATATATATATATATATATATATATATATATATATATGTCTGTCCAAACAAAGTGGAACAACAGAGTGCTGGAAGAGGTGAGGGAGAGATGAAAGTTGATGAGCAAGAGCAGAGGTGAGTTGAGTCATTTGTGAGTCATTTGATTTTGAATATCGATGGCAGAAATACAAAACCTCCCATATGAGGAAAAAACAATTTTTTGGAGAACAAAAAACCTTCCAGTTTCTTACAGAATGCTTTTTGGTCAGGTGACTTTTTTTGTCACAAGGAAGGGTGGGATTTTTTAATGATAAATAAGTGCTGAATATGTTTTTTCTTTCACGCGCACTTTGCGCGCTCTCATGATTTTTTTGTGCCCGAGTACAGTATTAGCCCCCCCCCCCCACCTTTTTTTTTTTTTGGGGGGGGGGGGGGGGGGGGGGGGGCAGCTCGCAAAGGTTGAGAACCACTGCTCTAGTCTGTTGTCCTCTACATCAGAAATTATTACATCACCTTTAAACTGTCAATAGAAAGCATCAAACCACAAAAAAAACAATATTAGCGTTTGCAGTGTGTGTGCAGGTACAAGTCTTTCTCAAGCTAAAAATAGTAAGACTAAGAAATCAGTCAGTCAGCCTTCAAGTATTTGAGCTGACCAGTTGCAAACCCAACCTTGAACCCTATGACCCAACTCCAAACATTTGTATTCTAGCCCACTAACCACATGGTCTATACTCTGCTGGTCCACTCAAGAGTATCTGACCTGCTAGACCATTATGAACGAAGCGATCCACATCAAAAAGATGCTACAGTACTGTTGTGGTTTTTAGTTACACCAGCCACCATATAATAATAGGGGGAAATGTAGACTGATAACATGGAGGTATTTTTAATTCATCTGTGGGTTTTTTGTCTTCAAATCGATACTTAAGTGCAGGACTGTGGCCTCTATACATGGAGCTGTGGTGCCCTGTTGTATTTAGCCCCCAGTGATCTTAGTTGTTTAAATAAAGCTAGAGCTGGAACACGCACCATTTCTGGTTGGTGTTTGGAAAGAGCTGTGATTTCTGGTGCAGAAACAGGATCTTGGTTATCAAACAAGACCTTCAAGATAATTGGAGGTTCTTTGACAGTGAAACAGCTGATGAGAACCTTGTCTGAAATCTGAGAGGCACGTGTTTCATTGATTTGTCCCCTATCAAAGCAATAACTAAGCCAATGACTGACTGTCTCTACAAACAAGTTCAGCTTATTGGCAGTCAAGTCTTTGAAAAATAACATTATCTGGCCCTGTCTAACAAACCAACAATGTCCAGCAGTCACAGCTCCTGAAATCAAAGTGTTTATCAGCCAACCCTTTAAAAGTGAAGGCATCTCAAACTGGTGAAAAAGGTGAAAAAACGGAGGACCACAGAGCGTATATTAATAAAGGACAATTGCATATTTCTGCTGTAATGAAAAGCCCCCTTAGTTGAACAGAACGTTACAATGAGACATGTTTTTGTTTTTTACATAAACTAGAATAAAATCTGGAGTCCAGTGAGTGAAATGTAGACTCCTCATAGATGTGCGGCACAGAGATCACATCAAGAGGGAAATAAATAGAAAATATGACACACAAGGTCAAGCAGCTGTCAAAAGCAACAACCCACAACTTTATTTGAAAAATCTGCAGTTTCACACCACATCTGCAATCAAAGAGATCAACCTAAAGTCTTCTGCTGGTACAGTCTGTGGACATCTAGACTGTGCCTATGAATGGGGCCTCCTCTAATGTGGCATTCATTGAAAAAACATTTAGGGTTCTTCTTGTTCAGACTTAATGCAGGTAGATACTTTATGTACAAAGTTATTAAGAAGTGAACACATGCAAGCACAGAGACGTCTGTGCTGGAGCATATGAGAGGTTAAGGTTCAGAAGTTCGGCCCATTTTGACAGTTCGGAGGGCTTCAGAAGCTCATCGGAGAAGGCAGACTCCATCTATTCCAGTTGAATTTTGTGTTTTTGGATCTTTCAGTCGACTTTGACCACACTGTAGATCTTAGAAACAAACCAGAAACAGGCGAAGAAGCCAATTGTACCTGAGAGCAGAGGAGACACACAAGTGCTGTAATGATATAAAATATTCAGGACTCAAAAATAAGCATCAATACCAGAAGTTTAAATCTCCCGACAAGATCAATCCATCTGATATCTCTGGCTCAGTTCAAAGACAATTCATGAAGATAAAAAGAAACTATGTGGAGTGTCTTGATCTGGTACCATTTCAGTTAAGTGAAAACTGGCAGCTCCACATATGGGCAGATATAGGGGTGCAGCTTGTAGGACAGCTCACAGTAATGAAACTCAGGTTTTAGCTGGTTGTCTATCTTAATGGTGGTTGGAGAGGTTATCAAGGGTTCCTTCACTTACCTGTCAGGTGGTAGAGCTCAGCTAGTTAAAATGCAGTTTAATGCTTGTACCAATCTTAAAAATTATTCTTAAAGTAGAAGTAGCTACACATAAAAGACAATATACTACAGTTTCATCATGAGTAAACCTCACTTTCACCCCTGCAGACAGGCAGACCTTTAAGTTTTTCACCTTGCTTTGCAGTGCATCTTGTTCTCATGACTTGATTTCTGAGAGAGTAACTGTAAACTTTGTCACTACTATCAGAGGTTTTTCATTTCTCACCTGGAGCTAGTTAACCAAATAGCCACTTAAGCTCGTGTTACTCTAATTGAAGTTAATGTTAAAAGGTCTTTATGAACACAGTTTAAAGATTTGATGTGCAAAACCACCGCTCAGTCTGACATTTTTACTGATTGAGGGGGCTGTGGGCCAGGGCACCTGGATCTTTAATGTTAACATCAGTAACTTCAGCTTTTCACCTCTAACACATACAGCACACAGATAGGAGGTTACAGACTAATATGAAATATTATGTAAAATGCTCCAAAAGGCCATGCATCTGCACAGCCAAATTTCTCACATCAGGTGTTGTTCTTAGTAAATAAAGACAATCATTTTGCATTTTGACACAAAAAAACAAACAAACAAACAAACAAAAAAACATCAAACTTCATAGACCCTGTCTTTGATACATACCAGTGAATAAGAAGAAGATCAGAGCCATGATCATGGTGTATCCAAAGTAAAGGATTGTGCTTGCCAGTCCAGTGATTTGAAGCTTGGAGAAGAAGTAATGAATTGCATATATCAGGAAATAAACAGCAGTGAAACCACTGGTTAGGAAGGACCGCCACTGCCAATGGTAGTCCTGTGATACGGAGATACATAGTCAGAGTTAACCTGATGACAAATGAATAAATGTCTGTTTCTGCCACTACATCCCTTTTTTCTCACCTTGATAAACACTAAAATAAGCTCAACATTTTTATCATCAAAGTTTCTCATTCATCAAAAGCAGGTGAACAAAAAAAGCATGAAGCTGTTAAAGTTTTAGTTTTTCAATCCCCCTTATTCCCCCCTATCCCCCATGTGCTCACAACACAGAAAAAATGCTCCTTTTATATATTTTGCTTTCATTAAATGTTCTCCTTGATTATTATTTCATTAGCCAACATATAAAGATTATGCAGCTTTTTATTGAGAGCTATTCCCAACATTTCAGCCACCTCATTCATGAATGTAAGAGAGGAGGAACTGTAGAGTTATCAACATAAAATGGGATGATTTTCTTACAGTGCCTGCAAAAAATGGATGGCACTGTGCAAAATGTGCTGATCTGTTCTTTAATGGCCACACAAAAGTACTCCACCAGGAAAGATGATAGTTATTTTCTTTAATTTGGGGGGTCAGCCTGCCTGGGCTTCATTCACTGTCACAAAAAGGACTCCAAAGTATGAGGCAGGGTTGTCCTAACAGATTGTTAGGACATAAAATCTCAACTAACTACCATTATGAGGACTCAAAAAAGGAATACTATGGTAAAATGTTGGAGGACAGTAAAAATAACATACGAAAAACTTCGAAGGTAATCATATTATATTATATTATATTACATTGAATTGTATTGTATTGTGACTATTCTCCCCCACGGCCGAGCCGGCTCCTCCCCCATCTGCCTCTTCTTCTTCAATGCCACACCTTCCTACTCCTTCTTGCTCAACAGCAATTACATCCATCTGGTCCACTTCTCATCACCCTCCAAGCTCCACCAGCAGGGCTGTTAAACACAGTGTGTTAGCCCACCTAGCCCGGTCCTCTAACACCTCCACCTGCTCTGACAGCTCCTCACTCAACTTCGCTCTTCTCAACATCTGCTCACTGACCAACAAGGGACAACTCATCCAGGACATCATCACTGACAATAAACTGGACTTCCTCTGTTTAACCGAAACACCCCGCTGAACTGGTTCACATTATACCTCTCTGGCCGCACTCAATACATCCAACTCAAGTCCCTCAAATCCACCCCCTCCCCTGTTACCTCTGGTGTGCCCCAGGGCTCTGTCCTGGGGCCCCTACTCTTCATCATCTACCTCCTTCCCCTTGGCAATATCTTCCGTAAATACAACATCCATTTTCACTGTTATGCCAATGACACCCAGCTCTATCTCACCACCAAACCCTCCCCCTCTCCCACCCACCTCCCTTACTGACTGCATCACTGAAATAAAAAACTGGTTCACCCAAAATTCCCTGAAATTAAACAGCAATAAAACCGAGGTCCTCCTCATTGGCACCAAATCCACCTTATCAGAAACCTACAGCTTATCTCTCACTATCGACAACTCCACTGTTTCACCCTCCCCCCAAGTCAAGAGCCTGGGTGTCTTCCTGGACAGTACACTATCTTTTCAATCCCACATCAATAACATTACCCGGACTGCCCACTTCCAGCTACGCAACATCACCCGGTCCAGTTCCGCACCCAGTTCAAAGTTCTCCTCCTCCTTACATTTAAGGCCATCCACAACCTCGCCTCTTCATATCTGTCTGATCTCCTCCACGTTACAACTCCCTCCCGCGGCCTCAGATCCTCTTCCTCCATACACCTGTCTGTCCCCCCCGCCCACCTCAACACCATGGGATCATATAGCTGCTCTGCTCCCCGGCTCTGGAACTCATTAACGCCCGATCTCAGGAACACTGACTCTTTCACCCTTTTAAAATCAAGACTCAAAACACATCTGTTCAGAACTGTCTATCCACCATAATGTCCATTTCTCTGTCTCTTTTGTCTTTCCTTATTTACTTATTTATTTATTTATACTGTTCTTAAATGTGTTTTAAATGTTTTATGCTGTTTTTAATGTGATTTGTACGATGACCTTGAGTGTCAGAAAGGCGCCTTTAAATAAAATTTATTATTCAGAATAAAAACAATAATTCAGATCTTCAAGATTTTTTAATAAATAAAGTAAATAATAAAGTGGATGATTTAAAAAATACTGTTGACGAGTTCAATGACTATCTTGTAGATGTTGGAGCTTTTTTGGCAAAACAGATTACTGTATCTGATGACAACAAATATATATTTAATAGTTTGATCAAAACTAATGCTAGTTCTATGTTTCTAAGTGGGGTACATGAAACTGATATCATTGAAATCGTAAGAAAATTATCACTTGACATACATTCCATTGATACAGCAATTATTAAAGCTGTTATTGATTATATTGTCAGACCCATGACCTATGTTTGTAATCTGTCTTTTCAAAAAGGACTCTTTCCTAACAACATGAAGATAGCAAAGGTGATCCCAATTCATAAAAATGAAGATGCATGGAAAATTACAGACCAATATCACTCTTGCCGCGATTTTCTAAAATTTTTGAGAAATGGTTTGTGAAACTATTAAATTTGTTCATTCATAAAAATAAACTATTAAGTGAAAATTAATATGGATTCAGAGAAAACAGAACTACTGCTTTTGCAGTAATGCAAATGGTATAAGAAATAGCAAGTGCAAATGAAAATGGTGAATGTTCTGTTGGTCTGTATACTGATCTGCAGAAGGCGTTTGACACCATAGATCACAAACAGTTATTGAAGAAATTAGAGATGTATGGAATATGGGGGGTTGTTTATTCTTGGCTAGAAAGTTATTTAGGTAATAGTGTGTACAAATTAATGATACTATGTCATTGCTGACAAAAATTACATGTGGTGTACCACAAGGATCAGTGATTGGTCCAGTACTGTTCATTCTTTATATCAATGACAACTGCAATGTAACATATTTCTTTTTAAATGTAATATTTGCAGATGATACCAATTTGTTTTGCTGTGGTAAGAATTTTAAAGGAACTTTTGTGTTGTGTAGAAATGGAGCTGGAAAATCTCAAGACTTGGTTTGATACCAATAAATTATCTTTATATATTAAAAAAAAATTACACATACATATATATATATATATATATATATATATATATATGTGTTTTTTGGGAATCTAAATGAAAGTGATTGTAATGTTAAATTAAGAATCTGTAATGTTCACATTGAAAGAGTTACTTCGACTAAATTTCTTGGGGTTGTCATTGATCAAAATTTAACATGGAAACAACACATTGAATACATTAAAGGGAAAATTTCAAAATCACTTGCAATCCTGTACAAATCGAGAAAAGCATTGAATTCCAAGGCCTTGCATTTGATCTACTACTCATCGATTGTTTCCTATAGATCTTACTGAGTGGAACTGTGGGGATCCACCTTTAAAATCACTATAAATTTAATAATCAAACTGCAAAAACGAGCTATACATATTATCAATAAGTGATTATTTTAATCACACGGAGCCACTTTTTCTAAATTCCCATGTTATTAAATTTTATGATCTGTTTTATTATGAAATAATGCAAATTATGTTTAGAGCGAAATCAAAAATGCTCCCTGACTCAATACAGAGGTTCTTTTCAATTCAGGACAGTCCGTACAACCTCAGAGGTGCTTGCAAATTTACTGTACAAAAAGCTAAAAAAGGTTTGAAGAGGAAATGTGTCTCCATTACATGAGTTAAATTCTGAAGTGATTCTAACATAAATCTAAAAACATGTAATTCGTTTTTGGTTTTCAACAAAACCGTTTGTACAGCCAATTTTGAAGCTTATAAGTGCGATTAATTATCTGTTGTTGTGGTTTCTTTGCTTTTCTGGAGGTCAGTAGCCTAAAAAGTTGACAATACAGGATAGGCTTTTATAAGCTGCTTCTGCCTATGCCTTTTCAGTCAATATCCAACATATGATTCTTGATTTAGTGATTTTGTGTGAAATGTCAATATTGTGTACAATATTTGGTGTTGTCATGACTGAATAAATGACTACTACTACTACTACTAATCTACAGTTCTGTGGAAATAATGTAGCAGCAATAACTTCCAAAAACTGCCTTTTGTCCAGCTACTGTTGTTCATGGATACTTAGTGACTCATTTTGTTATTAAAAAAACACAGTCTGTTATTTGAAGGGTAATGAACTGCTTTTTACCTCAGCACATAAGTGAAAGTAGCAAAGTAGGATGGTGGCCTCAGAGCAGGTGATAACAAGAATGATGAAGACGAGAAAGAGGAAGCCAAACATGTAGTACATCTGATGGGACCTGGAGGACAGAGAAGTCACTGTCATAGGGTCAAAGGAGACACCACTGATACAAGCCTTAGATGCAAGTTAAGGTCAGCCTGTCTAAAGCATTGGTTCTCAACTGATGGGTCGTGACCCAAAAGTGGGTCGCAGGCATCTGACTGGGCAAAGAAAATGAAGAACTAAGACCCTGTGCTTTTATTTTGAAGGGAAATGTTTATGCAGCAGACTGTCATCTTTTCACACTATTCATTAACAGCAAGTGGCGATAATACCAAGTGCACAAAGACAAACTGAATTGGTTAAAAACGGGTGCTATTGAAATGTTCTGATTTTATGTCAGTCTTATTAGAAAAAGTAGCTGAATAGTTTTAAAGGTACAGTGTTTGTGAATTATTCCGTAATTGAGCGCTCAGCCAAAGCTACAAAGATTTGGGTGATTTTGAAACTGATCTCAACAGATGAAATTTTTCTTTTTCTTGTTTGTGGGAGAAAGAACCTCTGACTATGTTGTAAGAGGTGAAGGTACAACAATACATAACAAAACAGCCTTGTGGTCAATGGCTGATAAGTTCTACTTATTTAATATTGGTAACAAAGAGCTGTTCAGTATTTATACATTCCTGAAACATGGTGTCCTTCAGATGGACTTTTTAATTTCATTTCAAAAGCATCTTGTTGTGTGTAAAAGGAAACATTCTCCTCTTTATTATCGCCACCTGCTGGCCATTTAGGTTTATGATTTAACTTTATTTTGTGTGTGTGTGTGTGTGTTTGTGCGTGCATGCGTGTGTGTGTTGTCATGTTCAGCACCATTTTTAAATGGAAATACATTTTAGAAGGTGAAAATGTTCTCGATTTTGGTCACAGCTTGACATTAAGGAGTGATGGGGTCCTGAGGCCTAAAGTAAACACTGCTGAGAATGTTTTCCTTAACCTATGTCTAATCTGCTTTTCTAGTGTTACAACTATTGAAGAGCTTTTCAACTACATACCACCATCATCCATTCATACCCTGTTGGCAGAGGCTGCTGCTGCTGCACAGTATTAGCAAAGCCCACTCAGGTACATGGCTTTTAGCTGGGCAGATAACTGTAATAATCGTTCACTTGTGGATAAAAGCACCAAAATTGGCACACATACTCCTTAGAAGTTGCTCTTTTGATATTTCCGTCTTGCCAAATGAAAATTCAAGATGGCGGCCATTTTTCAAGATGGCCACCATTGAAAATACAGTAATATTGCATTTTGCAATAAAATCCCATAGACTTGTCCTATTTGGATGAACTTGGTGTCAAATCAAACATTTTCCACTATGCAGAATCCAAATTTGGACCCATGGACTTACTTACTGGCTTCCTTGTACCATATTTCAGTCCCGGAATCCTAATATTCTGATCCTAATTAGGTCTACATCATGTGAGACTCGAGCAAAATGGTTGGTAGCCTATATCTTAGTGTTGTTCGAGGTCTAGTGTGTGCTGTCAGTGTGTGTGTGTGTGTGTGTGTGTGTGTGTGTGTGTGTGTGTGTGTGGGGGGGGGGGGGGGGCAAGGGTGTGTCCTCACTGCACATATCAGTCCCAGAATCCTAATATTCTGATAAATTTGAATTTCACCTAAAATGCATGGTAGCACCATGGGATCACTCTTTGTCTGGTCTCTATCCTTCGAGCTGTTTGGCGTGGGTGACCCTGCCAAGAGTACAATACTCCAGTCGGCATAGCTCTAGGGGTCATGGAGACACACAAACTGCCTCACCACGATAAGGTAGTGATCCCACCGAGGCAAGTTTTTTTTTTTTCTTTTTTTTTTTACATGTAGGCTGTTTGGATGAGTAGGCTTTTACTACAGCGTTTCTAAACCTCACACCTGCAGCTGCAAAGTGCCGTGCAGGTCAGACCAAAGCAGTAGCATTTGCATCGACCGCAGCATTCCGACTTGCATCCACACTTGGCCAGCTGCTAGCAACTCTCTGCAATGGGTGGGAGCTCTGTCCAAACAATCTGCCACAGATCTTCTTTCTTGGTCCAGCCCCAGTTGGCAGGACGATGTGTTTCTGGTTGACATACTATTGACTGACTCCAGATGCAGCCCGCTTGGTAGGATGCACGCATGACATGTTGCTTAAGTGCTGATCAAGTTGGAGGAATGGCTTCGTACGGCCTCTGCTTCCGGGCAAACATGTCCAACCTTGCATCGTCGACACGCACGCACGCACGCACGCACGCGCACACACACACACACACACACACACACACACTAAACCTCTAACAACACTAAGATATAGGTTACCAACCATTTTACCCAAGTCGGACATAATGTAAACTTCATAAATACCAGAATATTAGGATTCTGAGACTGAAATATGGTACAAGGAAGCCAGTAAGTAAGTCCATGGGTCCAAATTTGGATTCTGCATAGTGGAAAATGTATGATTAGACACCAAGTTCATCCAAATAGGACAAGTTTTTAGGATTGTATTGCAAAATGCAATATTACTGTATTTTCAATGGTGGCCATCTTGAAAAATGGCTGCCATCTTGAATTTTCATTTGGCCAGACGGAAATATCAAAAGAGCAACTCCCAAGGAGTATGTGTGCCAATTTTAGTGCTTTTATCCGCAAGTGAACGATTCTCCTGTAATATGCTATTATCCGCCCCGCTATTTGACTATAGTACTGAGTGACAAACACAGTGGGGTGGACACTTAAGAATGCTTTGTTATGTGGACTGCAGATGTTGGTATCAACTTCTAGCTAACACTGAGTGTCAATCTATAGTCTAATGTGCTATATAATCCCACCCAGAACCTTTCCTCCTTCTCCTCCTCACCAGATTGAGTTTAGTATGAAGAACAGCTGGATAAATATACATCCAAAAGGCAGGATTCCTCCCATGACGATACCAGGGAAGGACTTAGTATAAAACGACTGCTCTGGAATTTGTCGAGGAATTTGATTGGTCCGCACTGGATGTTCAATACCCTGAAACAAACAGTCAAAGCGAAAAGAATCAGACTTCTGGGTTGGTAGATACTGAATTATCAAAATGATTGGAGCTAACACGTTCACCAAGCACAACTTTTTTGAATTAAAGGCTCCTCCAACATCTAAATCAGCTGTATTTCTCCACAACTATCAGCTGTCTGATTACTCACAGTCTATTCAAACCACAGCTGATTTGACACAACCACCATCAAAAACAGATCATATTAGGTAGTAAGTGCTGTCATTTACTCACAGCCTTCTTGAAGCCAAAATATGCTCCAACAAAGGTCAGTGGCACTGAGATGCAGAACCAGAGAGCCAAAATGGCCACCAAGGTGCCAAATGGCATGGCTGCTGAAGACCCTTCACCCCACAGGATCAAGTTCATCACAAAGAAATCTGCAAACACCACCCTGAGCAGAGACAGTGAGAGACTGCCATGAGTTAGTTAATCAAAGATATCAGGATTAAGTTGTTGTGATGGAGTAGAAGACTTACCCTGGACAGAGTAGGGCTGTCAGCAGAACATTGGTCTTCCACTTCTCACCTCCAAAAGCTGGCGAATAAGCAAAACAAAAGTGTACACTTTTTTTTCCCATTCAAACAGAACAATTCTTTGAATCTGAATTCACTGAGCGCTGGCACATGAAGATGAACCAGACAGACAGCAAAGGGCAGGGCTGAAATCAAAGCCTAGCTGCAGGGATGATATCAGTTTATTCATGATCATCACAATAATGCAAACATATTCATAATAACAAAGATGATAAAACCAAAACTAACTGTCTTTAGACAAACTGCTTGTCCTCTGTGGATCATCTCTCAGCACCTGTACCTGATCAGCCTTGAAGCTTTTTTATCCATGCTGTCTCCTCTTGTGTGCTTGAATTGAACTACCTTCGGTGGATTGAGAAAGAGTATGCTAACTGTAACACTGTCCCTCTGCAACCGTAGCAAGAAATTTTCCACATTCACTGTTTTGATTACAAAAAGTTGTAACACTCTGTGAAATGTTAATAAAACAAATTTTGATGGTTTGCAAATCATTAAAAACACGTTTGACTGGAAAATTTGCAAAGACAGCATATCAACTGTTGTAACAGTTTTTTTTCTATTTCAATGAAAATTTAGCAACATGTTTTAGGTTTTGTAATGCACAAAAACTACTGGAGGAGTGTTTCTCTACAAACTAAGTTAAACTGCAAGACAGTCTCATGATTGGGGACAAAAGGGCATTCAGAGAGGCTAAATCTCACTTAGTGAGCTCTTCACTTAGTGAGAGACGGTGTGAGCAAAGATTCAATGAAGTTCCTCAGTAAAAAAAATATTAAAGAATACACAAAGAACTCTGTATAAAGGAACAGAGCCAAAAACTGATGTTGGTTGTGATTTTTAGTTCCTCAGCTGGTCTGCATTATAGACATGACTCTGGACTGGAAAAACTGTGCCGACACTAACAAATGCAGTCATTTATGAACATTGAATCCTCTTCTCGAAAGATTACAGGGACCAACTGGCTTCTTATCAGTACACGGTTCAAGCCAGCATCCATAATAGCATTAGGATGAATAACTGTCCATGGCACAGGAAGCTTACACATCAGAGGCAGCATTCTTAACGCTAAATAAAAATGGAGCAACATCTGCTGCCATCCAGACAAAGGGCTCTATTTTCGTGTCTGCCGGTGAGTCGGCGGAGGGTGGCGGACCCCGCGCAGTGGTATTTTTGTCTGGCGGAGCCCGGCGTACAGCCAGTTTGGTATTTTCGTAGACTGAGGCGCACCAAGGTCCGCCAAGCTGGGCGTGGCAGAGGGAGGTGTCGACAGAATCAGCTGGTGCAGTGACATTTTCGTGCTCGCCAGTGGCGTGTAAAGTGCGCTGAAAGCTCGCCGATTCAAACCTGGTCAGCTTTCAGCGCAGGCAGAGCGCAGCTGGTCTAGTGGTATTTTGGTAGACCGGCGGTGTATCGGCATACGTCACCGATGCCTCACCAGCAGGTTTCCACAGTGTCAGGTACATTTCAGTGAAATAAATAATCATCAACAACTAATAATCTGAGTCAGTACATACATTTAGATCTATATAGATATATTCTGATCTATATCTGATCTGATGAGTGCGTTTGGCACGCGTTTGGACACACAACCTGACCGAATCAACACAGCTGAAACCGCATTAAATTAAATTAAATGTCTAGTAAATAGACACACATGATGAAGTTAACAAGATATGTAATTCGTCTCCCTCCTTTTCTTTCTTCCGCTTGCTCTTATTTTGCGCAGCTCGACCTGGACATGTCTCCGTGTCCTCTCCCCATCCTGCTGCACCTGCTGCTGCGGCAGCTGAACAGATGATTTGTTTCAGTGATCAGATGAGCTATTTACTTTAAGCCTACATACGAATATTATAATATCCATATTTGTGAGCCAAATTCATTTTATATGCCAACATCAATGAAAGATAGAGCCAGGCCACGGAGCGCGATGCGTCATTTACGCAGAGATGGTTCCGATTTCAATGCCATTTTTGGAATTTATGTTGTGATCTCTGCGCACAACCCACCTTTGTCACGTGAGGTTTGAATATGTGCAACTTTATGTGAGTGTCCTTATTTGTGGAAAGGATGTTTGTCTTACCAGTGGGTCCAACATTAAACACACCAAATCCATCTGTGCTCATATGAGAGAGTGTGAAGGTTGCCCTCTGCAGTGTTTACAGTGACTCTTGTAAAGGGGCTGCCTTCTGTCGCCATCATGTGGCATTACTGTCTTCAGACATCTCTTGATCTCTTTGACTACTGCACGAAAATTGTAATACGCCTCACCGGCGGCGGATTTAAAGGCGAGGGGAGGAGCTGATGTTATTGGTCCATACAGGTCTCGGCTGTGTTAAACCCACTCCACGCCCTCTCTCCTCCCTCGCTACGACTTACGCCGCTGGAAGGAGCTGAGTTAGGGAGGGGGGATACTTACGCCAGGCTGCGCCGCTCACCAAAATACCAAATTGTGCTTGGGAACGCCTTGTCAGCACGGCGGAACAGTCCTGCTGCTAAACTGGCCTGCCTGTTTAGCAACTTGCTTCTGTTACAGCTTCTCTGAATCATGTTGCAGACTTCAAATTTAAACGAGCTGATTTTTTTCATTCAACACTTAAATGTGCCAATTAAATATTTGATGTACTTTCTTTGTTTCAATTCATGTGTTTACCAAATCTTCAACCAATTGCGTTTCAATACTAACATCTTTGAGGTTTTTTAATCATCTGCAATTCATTCATTTAAAGATCAACCAGATTTAGTCCTCTAGAGTCATTTTCCAGTAACTGTCAAGATCAATTAAACTTCAGCCCCGCCCTTGATGAATCCTCCAAATTTCCCAGTTAACATTTTGTCTTGTGTTCATTTTCTCACTTACATTTGTAGAGGCGAGCAGCAACAAATCCAGCAGGGGTTCCCAGAAGAACCCAGAGAACAACAGCACAGGTCATAAGGGCACCTCGGTTTGCTGGAGACAGGAACCCAAGACAGGCGAAGACTAAAGGGGGGGGGGGTATGTTACACAGTTGATAATAGAGTAAGTAAGGCATTATCTGAGATTTCTTTGGGCAATAACAATAAAGTTATGACACTTTTGATGTTGTTCGGTCCGAAATGAAAAAAACTCTTTTTAAAAAAGCACAACAGAAAATTTCAGATAAAAAAGGAAATAAGACTGCTCACGAGAGAAAGCACAGTGACATTTGAACAAAGAGACAGGTAAGACTAGACCTGTTTCTGGACCGCACAAAAACTGAGCCAAGAGAACTAATACTACTTTCCCTGAGGGTAAGTGGGATGGGATGTTAGTGTATGATAAGACTGACCAGAGAGGCTAAATGTGTTGAATCTTCCAATGGGAAACACCCTGTGCTGTGGAGTATGGCCAGCAGGGATTTCTTTGGTCACACACTCTTAGATAATTCTGTTCCTTCTAAAGTATTCACTTTAGCTTGTATTACCAGAATAAAAAAATACAAACTTTTACAATATGTGACATCAAAGAAAGAACGCTTAAATATGAAATAAAGACAGAGCTTAATAGTCTCCTTGTCCTTCAGTCTGCAGTCTTGGGCTGATGCACATTTGAGATTTTATACATGCAGGGAGTTTCCACCACGCTTAAACATTTTGCTTTCTTCAATCTGTTATGATAACAACCTGACTACTGCTTACAGTCCTACTAGCCTATTTAATGTAGTGAGGACTCAAACAGTGCTTCAACATCTAATTTTGTCAGGAAGCTCATGGGGCCTGGTTGTTCAAATAGAGCTGACAACCACTGTCATACACCAAGACTGGAGTTTCAGGTTCTGTCAAGCAAGCTTATGAAAAAAGCCTCACTTCATATTTAATGTCTCTGCTTCTGGCAGTACACCTGAGCATCTGTACTCACATTAAAGACATAAAAATGTTCTGATTTAAAACAATTTTCTTTCTTTGAAAACTGGGAAAAACAGACTTTCATCTCAATCTCTGGATCAAATTTGTGAAAGGGATTTGTAAACTATGAGGGTCTGTTGTCATAAGATGGAACCAGTTCTCCCCAGATGGTTTTCACTGCTAATTCTTAAAGACATCTTCAGGATATAAATACATACAAAGGGTTACAAAGGTCATTATGAAGATCTGGGTCCCAGAGCCGAGGAATACGGACAACAGCATTCCCTTTCTCGGAGGGCGGAAAACATCTCCATGTACCAACTTCCAGCCAAATTCCTCCTGGGCATCCTCCTATAGAATGAAACACAAGGGCAGGTATGATTACACCGACACTGTGAGACCCCTTATGATCTTACATTTAATGTTCCGGCATAGACATGGCTGCCCTGTGTGATAATGTCTGACGTTTAAGAAGATAATCATTGCTTTGTAAATTTTCAGCCTGTGAATGCATCTCAGTTCAAAAGTGCTCCTATCAGCCAAAGAAAACAAAAGAGCTACTCACCACAGAGTCCATCTGATTGTATCTGGCAATGTCTTTATGAAGAGTTCGTAACATGATCATGGCCACCATCCCAGACAGGAACAGCACAATCACCAACGAGTTCATGATGCTAGTGAGGCCAAATATGAAGACACTAATCACTGCCTCTTCATCTGGATCATGTCCAACACATCACACAGTACCATTCCAGAGTTTTGCCATAGAGAGGCCAATTGCAGGCTTCTGGATCTCCACACCACTGTTACTCTAATCTTTTTTGTTTTCAAGGATCACTCATACAGGAGACATATGAATAACCTGAGACATTATTCATGTCAGTGTCGAACGAGTTGAATACTGTGTGTCATTGTATTCGCTCTACCTGAACCACTGGATGTTTGTATGAGGCATTGACTCCAGGATGTAGTCCCATCTAGATGCCCAGCGGATACTCTTGTCCTCCTGGACACACAAACATTTCTCTGTTAGTGTGTAAATGCCCCATCACACTTCAGTTTTTCTCATGACTAAAATTACATGATTCATCGATCTTATTGCCTCTTTAAATAGGGATAGGGATAAAAGTATAAACATCTCATGTTTGCTATCTACAGTATACTTACTATCACCTATTTATGAAGTACATCACCCATTCGTGTCTGTGAGCCAATGTTGTCAGCAAAGACGCTCTGAGACACGCTGTTTTTTTTTAATAACTCTTAACATTATTTAATTCATTATTCATACATTTATTCCTCATTTTGTTAAACTACCCACCCACCCATTCATTCACCTTTATGCCATTGTACCTCTATTCATCATCCATTCAGTTATTACCCATCCAGCTGTGCATTCATCTATCCCTATTTAAGTTATCTATCCATCATTTATACATCTGTCAGTCCATCCATCTTTTCAGTTTTTCATTTATTCATTTATCTATTCAGTCAGTCAACCATTCATTTTATTCACCAATTAATCTATCCATCAAAATTAATCCATTTTAATGTACATTTTCCCATTCATCCACTGAGCTATATCTTCAATTTGTTTATTTATCCACCCATGTCGTCCCAACATCTTCCGATATATGTATATAGTATAAACAGTATATAGACCTGTAGCCACAGGACTGTACTCACCACAAAGTTCACTGAGTAGGTATACGGGATCTTGAACACCCCGGTGTGTTTGTTTTTCAGGAACTTTGGCCCTCCAGCACAATCAGGACTGTCTTCATTTGGGTTTTCATAGCTGGACAGAAAAAGTGGAAAATAACTGAAGTGCATGTTGATCAAAGACCCCTAAAACTGGATTTGTGAATTGAGATCTGTTTTTATAAAACCAATCTTTGGGTTGAATTTTTTTCAAGATATAGCAGTGTTTCCCCTACATTCATTCAGCAGCGGCAAATTAATGTTAGGAAAACACTGTACAGCATCTGCAAATGTGTGTCCAACTGGACAATATGTGAACATAGGTTCATCAACTGAAAAACCAAGCTAAAAAACTGTCATTGATTACCTTTTGGGTTCAATCTTGGCAGCAACCAATCTGGCTCCGAGCTGCTCATGCTCAACAATGTGGTAGTGGATGGTGATATCCACATGATTAAAGATGTAAAAGGCATCCTTTTCATTGAAGTTAGACTGAAAAACAAAAACCATGAGTTTGAAATTAAAAGCATTTTTTGTAAATTAGGTGTTGTTAGCAAGTGTAAGATGAATGAAAATGGGTTTATTTCACTCCAAAATGATTTATTTATACTACCATTAACTCCCAGTCTAATTTAACGCTGTCCTTAAATTTTTTTATTGATGTCTATTGTCTTGCTTGACCACAACATGAATGACTGTGCTGGCTAAAGTTCAACTATTTCAGAAAAATACAACATAAAGCTGTAGGATTCTAGAAATCATAGTTTATTCAGCTTGTTATTCAGCTTATTAGCATAAGCTGGCATTCTTGCTCATGGCATGGGTAATAAACAGATTTGTGGATGCCTTGTTAATACTGAACATTATATAAAGGTTTCAACATATGCTGCCTAGTTGATGAATCCCTTATCAGAGAAGACTGTGCTATTCCAGCCTGATAATGTGAAAAAAAAACCTGAGCTGTGTAACAACAGCATGAAGAATAAGTTCTGTACCTTAGGACCTAAGGCTGATGATTCAGCCAATATTCATCAATATTTGAGATGAGGGTGGAGCAGCTCCTCACTCATAAAGTGTGGTTGTGTTTATGCACAGATAGACATGTGATGTTTTGATAACTGATAAAAAAGGATTCACTCACATTGACCACACATGCATCCTTTGGTCGACCTGCTTCTGTGATGTAACAGCCTATGGGGAAACCAGGATTACAGAACTTCTGTCCATCTTCAACATCATAGCACCACGTGACAGGCATGTTGTCCACAATCCTAAGCAAACACATACACACCCAAGTCAGAGAGTCACAAATACTACACTGAGACCACTAACTACTCCAAAGCTCTTAACCTTGGTGTGCATCTGTATCAAAGACCTCACTGAACAGGTCCTGATTGTTAGGTTTACATTTGTGTGTCTCACTGAGTTCTCAGTCTCATACCAGTGATGCTGGTAGTTGAGTAACATGCCTTTCTTCAGAAAGTCCAGTTTGGCTTTGTCTGATGGACTGCTTGCATCGTAGGTTCTGGTACACACCTTCTGACACACTGCAGGTTTCTTGAACTCAAACTGAAAAACAGGAAGCTAGGTTAGAGTGAGCGGGCTTTGGCACTTCACTGACTTTTTCATCGCAGATAACATTCATGCATTTCTGCAAGTTTATAAAAGAACAAGGGAATCAATGTGATATCAAAAAATTCATTTCAACACCTCACCTTCAACATGGTTTCCATATCCACAGAAACTGCACACATAAACACAGATTAACTATTCTTTCCTGGTTTAGTGTGGATTTTTGTGAAGTGGGAAGCATCTAACCCATTTAGGCAGCTGCTCCTGTACTGCGGGGTTATTCTTTTATAATTATAATACAGCTAGAAAAACAAACAGCTGCAACAACATGTGAAATGACAGATTACGAAAATCCTGCTCACCACTAATGCTTGCAGCTTATTAACAGCTATAGTTAACAACTAGACTTTATTTGCAAACATTTACCTGTTGGACAAGATGGCTATGGAGTCAAGGCTCCATTAATACTGAACAATGTATGTTAAGGTTTTATCAGAGACAGGCACTGCTTACTTCAGCAAGGACAATGTTATGACCCTTCCTACAGTATGGCTGCTGCAGCAGTAATACAAGAATTCTAGGAAGGACTCCATACTGTCAGAGGTGCGACAGGCAGCAATGCCCAGCAGGAAAAACTACCTGTGCTGACATCTAGATGAAGAATCCAGATACTACACTGGCCTACATGCAGTCTCCACTGGAAACTTTATTGTGAGTTATAGAAAAAACAAGGGAGAGTCAAAGTATTGGGCAGCTAAAATTCTTTGTCACACATGAAAATGAAAATGTTTAACTTTTAAAATAATAGCAATTCCAGCAACACTGCTTACTTACCCATTCTCTTAGTACTACTTAATGCTATGTACAGTCTGAGGTACTGAGAGACTTACATTTGTTTAGTCTAAACCTGTTACACAGATTAAATAATGATTAAATGGCACATTTAACCTCGACAGTATGTCACACCATGTTTGAATAAGTCAGTGTCTGGATAGCTGGAAATACTCAACATAATGCTACGAATACTGCTATAGGTGCACAGTACCTTGTATGGAGAGGGTTCAATCCTCTCTCCAAAGAGCACCTGACCCAGATTCTCAGATGGACGTTTTAATGATTTCTCGGAGCAGAAGTCAAACCTTCACAAAAGAAGATCTATTAAATAATTTTCAGGGCAGAATAAGGTACACCATGTATTCACATAGTCGCTGTGTTTTTAACCAAAACCCATAAAAAGACTATTTCTGTGTAAATTCACTTCCAACTATGTGCCTTGGATTTTCATATACTTGTACTTAATTTATATTTTTGATGTAAAGAAATTTACGGTAACAACAATGATGATACAAATAAAAACACAACAATAATAACTAATAATGTTTCATTTGTTTTTGTTATTAGAATTTTGTAGCTGTTGTTTTTTACATAACCACCAGATTCAGCCTCTTTCGCACTGGTATATCAATATTTTGACACAAACATCAGTCAGTCTGCAGACACAGAAAACGGGGTAAATTTTTAAAAACAAATTACATATACTGTATATATGGTATAGAGAAAAAATAAAGGCCATTACTACTTACGCAGTGTATTCATAAGGCAGGACAGACTCCACAGAGTCCAGCCGGTTGACAAACAGCTCAATGGTGGACTAGAGGAGAAGAAAGCACACTCATGAGGTTCTGAAGATGTCTGAGCAACACCCTAATACTGATGACAACAACCAAGTCCAGCTTTAGGTTTATACTCTGAGCAGTCACAGATACGACCTGATTAATCCATCAGTTTACTATCACAGATAATAAATAAACAATAATGCTTTGAGCTCCATCACAAATATGCCCCTCCGGTTTCAAAGTCTGCTGTTCTGGTGAAGGTCCCGGTACCGGTACCGGTGCCCCGAACAGGACCATTCGGAGCAGCTCTGAACACAAGTGTCTTTCCTGAGTTAATGTAACGACTATATGCGACATGGTTTGCTGTTAGCCTACACCTCAAACAGAGATGATTCTTTTGGTCTCATATTTACCTTACACTCTGGGACCTGATCTTTACCGGGCTCACAGAAGCTGACGGGGGCCAGACCTGGGAGATAAAAGCCAGAAACTCGGGTCGCCAACAAAGCTCCGAGAAGCAACAGCAACATCTTTGCCCCGGACAGTTTCTGTGGGTCTTGACTGTGCTGTACTGCTCCAGTCCACCGTCTGGTACAGCCACACAAGACCACTGTTTAGCATCCGGGTCCGAGCAGACATGGAGCTCCGAGCCAGACACGTCACATACCGGAAGTGCTCCAGAGAAACGGAGGATTGTGGGACTTTGTTGTTGTTACTGATCGATGGGTTTGAATTTGACGATTTAAGTATAAATTTAAAGAAAACTGTTGCAGTAATCAAAGTCGTAAACTGGTGTTGATACGATACCAAAACACGGACAAAACATACTATCAACGAAAAAAAAAAATCAGCATTTTAATGCTTTTTTTAACAGCATTTTTTTCAGTGATCCCTAAAATGAATGAGTAGCTATTAGACCTGATTCCATTCCATTATCTAAATAGATGGGAAAAAAACAGACTTTCCAGCAGGATAAGATATAATGTCAAGAAGTAATGTTACAACAAAGAAATCATCTAAACACACATTTCCTTACTTTTTCTGCTAAATTTAAATTTAATCAAATCACAACACACATCGATGGTGGATGTGAAAAAGCCTGATCTGTGGACCTTATTAATGCAAATTGTTAGGGTTAAATCTGTAATTTGACTTGTGTCATAGGGACCTTTTCTGTCACAGCATGGACAGCAGACCTGCTGACCTTGACCTGTTGCTATGTTAAAATCATTTGATGTTATCAATTGGTTGATGTTACTAATGGTTTATGATTAAATCTGAACCAAATCAACAGATCATATGCAGTTGAAGTTAATGTCTTTGTTAACAGGATATTACACCCTTCTCTGTTCATCTCCTGGCAATGACAGGCAACACTTAAGTACTAGACCCACTAATGGTCAGAAAGCAGGCAGTGGTGCTGCTGCTCCTATGGCCACCGAGAGAAACCAAAAGCAAATAGCACAGGGAGTATTCAACATCCCCAACACGATGAACTCTCAGTACAATAAATACAAACATCCACTCATCGGGGTGGGATCTTGACACACAGAAAAAATGCCTTTCACCAAAGCTTTTGAGGTCGCTATGAGCATGGAGATGGCAGTCACCAGTTCAGAGACATGGCCCTCATTTATCAATAATGCGTAGAACTGAACACAGATCTGAGCGAAGGATTCATCGTACGATAGGACACACGTGAGATTTATGAAAGGGTTCGTACATGCCTCATATTTTTTTTATTGCCATGACATAGGGTACGTTGCTCCTATTATTGAAAGTATTTAGTTTTAATTTGTTGCGTCTTTGTAATGTAGAGCAGACTGGAGAGTCTGACAGAGGCTCAACAAAAATAATTATTAACGTCACTAAACTGTGTGTTGCTGCCCTTGAGGCACATTTTTATGGATTTCTATTGGATTGTTTTCACTAATTAAATAGGAAGAGCACTTTCTAAAGTTATACTTTACATCCATCAATAAGGTCCTGTCTCCTCTGTACAGCACCTTTGTAGAGTCTCTCCTCGTTATTGTTCTCTGGGCATTGGCTCCTCACGTTGCATCGGCACAGCCAACGGCACTCCATTCTCCAGTGCAACATTGTGCAAAACTGTACTAGCTCAAATGATGTCCCACACCCTTTCAGGAGTGTACAACAACGTCCCCGCTGCTGGGCCAAGACAGAGACACCTGCCTTTTAGGAGTCAAACGCAGCGCTCCACAGTGGCGCGTGTGCGTGTGTGCGCGCGCAATGTTAAAACGGCGCTATGTGGCAGTGTTTCTGTACAGTTATCAAATACGCCTATTCACCAAGGACAGTTATTTTGAGACAGACATTTGTTGCACCGCAGATCCACACTGACTCAAACTTGCTTACACGATGTCAGACCTGTCGTGAGATTTGGTCGTAGCGTACGCGCAGATTGATAATCACTTGGTTGATTGATCCTCACGTCGCAATTTACGTAGGCACGGCGTACGTAAGTTTTCTGCCGTACGTAAACTTGATAAATTAGGGCCATGGAGGGTAAAAGTGTGAGGGCAGCAAGTGCTCACAATGTGGAGCCACAGAGAGAGAAAGACACTGACACAGGTGCAAAGAAAAAAAAATCACCAATGCCACAACTGTGAACAGATGGGACACATCGAACAGCATGTTGCTCTAAAATGGAGGAAAGTCACAGAACAAAGGACACACAACCTAAATTTCATTAACACCGACCCCTTCTATTTGCTTTGAAAGATAGAGATGGAGATGAGGAAAACTTGAAGAGGGTGGACATAGCTTATCCTCTAATAAAAGCTCAGTAAATAGGCGAAAGTGCAGAAACAAAATACCTCACTAAATTCATGTGTGGATTATAAAGTCTCTGGAAATAAGGCAGATGAGACACAGACCTAGATCTCACCATGTTAAGAGGAGCTGTCAGCAACCCTTAGTAGAGGTAATGTTTTCTCAATGATAGACTTTGCCACAACTTACCAGCAGGTTCTTACTGGCCAATGACTGCGAGAGTTACACAACCGTTGACAACCACAGGGGACCATATGTGTGCAAAAGACAACTTACAATGCTTTGGTATCAGCATAGTCCTTTCTACCTTCAAGAATATGATGCTAAATCATGCTGGCAAAAACAAGAAAAAAAGAAAAAAGGTCAGTAACATTTGTTTTTGACCTGCGGAAAAAAAGTTATTTGTAAGTAAATACGAGGAGGAGAATTTTGGACTGATTTATAAAGTTATGAAGTTTCAGCAAACCTTGTGGGGGAGACATTTAAATCTCAGTCAATCCTCTTGGGACACAGTTTGGAGAACACAAAACTATGTTCACACTTGCTGCTGCATGGATTCAGCAGTGGGCAATTATTTCATTGGCATATGACCACTATTTTCCAGTGCAAGTCACAAGAGTGCAGTCACGCAGATGGACTTTCTCACTGAGAGTGTACAAGGACATCAAAGATAGCTGGCCAGCACATGAAGAAAACTTACAGGTGTTTTTCTGATGACAGATCAGGGCTGTGTGCTGCTGGGGATCAGTGTTATTGTTCCTTCAACTCACCTTCAAGTGTTAAGGGAGGTCCATGTTAGACAGTAAGGCAGAGTAAAAACTTTAACACCATAGCTCATACGTATCTGAGGCAGCCAAATCTTGACTCTTAAGCTAATATGCAGGTATGTAAGTCTTGATGACCAAAAACTGCCACAGCTACCCTTATAGAGAGCCCTGGAAGAGACTACACATTGACTTTGCTGGGTCATTACTGAAAAAGATGTTTGTGGTAGCTGTGGTTGCCCATAAAGAATGGCTTGAAGTGTTTTTACATGTCAAAAAACACCACACAGGATAACATTCAGAGTCGGTGGCGACTTTTTCATAGGAGAAACCCACATTTTCAGCTCTGCTGCTCATCTAACAAATGCATGTTCCTCACAAATGAGGCACCATTTAAAAGGGAACTAAGTAGGCTTTCCCACAGGATAAGATTTATTGTCAAGAAGCATTAGTAACAACAAAAAAATAAACAAGCCAAACACACATTTCTTGACTTTTTGTTTTGAGTTTCTTTGTATGCTTTTGAAATATGAGTTTGCCATTGAACAGAACCTGGCCACCTCCAATTCTTCATTTTTGTGTAGTACATATTTGGGCATAAAGAGTCTTAGTGATGTGCTGACAGCTGTGGACATGTCCTAGACTTTACTGAACTCCTACAAAGTGCTGTGTTTGATGGCTCATTTAAATACACTCCTAGTCAGACAGCAGTGTATAATAGTGAAGAGTGACGATGAACCTCACAAAGGTCTTTTTCAGAGATATAAAAAGGTATTTGGCATGTGCACATAGGGATGGTATTCATTCTTTGAGTGAAATGCACTTCAATCAACCAAAGGACTTCTTAACCTAATTGGATATTTATTAACTGGCAGAGAAATCATATGGATTTTACTGATCTGCTATGATTAAAGTGGAATATTCACCATCAATAGTAATCTACACGTCACAATAAATGAATGCACAATAGAATGCCAAAGGAAATCATTAGCTAACTTAAAGCATCTATCAAATACAAATGTAATCAAAGAAGTAAGATGAGGACAAAGAGGAGTGTTTAAGGACCGGTCCCCCTTAAGCAACTTGGGAGGCATGATTAAAACAATTTTTTTATTTAACAGTAGCAAAGAGAGGATAAATTAATCAGTACATTTGTTCACGTTACTCTTACTTTTCTTGCTTATCTGCACTTGTTTTAGTAGTTTTTAAAATGAGCATGTTTACTTTTCAGTATTTTCTGAAGTAAGTTTATCACTTCTCTGATTTACATGGCATCAATGCCAAAGAAAAAGAGATTATGAAAATTTTGAACAATCTTTCTTCATCTTGCCAACTGTTGGAGTCAAAACACATCTTCACACTTCATTTTAGCACCACTTATACAAATACAAATCTTATTACAACTCATTCAAGCCAAACTTAATAAAACAGATATTGCATCTTCTTTCAACTGACACATCAAGAACATATTGTTTGTTGCATTTGGCAGTAAGTTTGACTCGTCAAACAAAATAAAATAAACTCATTGAATATTTCAAACTAATTATTGCATCTATTTTCACATAAATTATTTTATTCCATTTCATTCCATTTACTTTAATTGTCCCTGTAGGGAAATTTGTTGTGTGAGTGTTTTAAGTCCCAGCCCCAGTTTGACATCTTTCCAGAGACACACCACCAGCAGTTCAGTTCCACTGCAAGGCCCTCTATGGAGAATCTCACCACAACTTACCCCCCACCACCCTGGGACTCTATTGACACTGAACCTGGTCAAAGTGGCACTGTGGAAGAGATTGGTGAGGTAACCATGATGGAGCAGCAACTCTGTGTGCTTCTGATAGAGGTGAGAACATGTATGGAGGAGCATCAGTCAAAGTAGTTAAAGCTCTACAGTAGGCTACCTGCATGAATGAATGAATTAATGAATGAATGGAGGACCAGCTCCAGGCACTGCCTTCCAGCGTAGGTTTGGAGCAAGACTAGCTGAGCCTGCAAAAGTGGAGAACCAGGAGCCATCAGGTGGTATCAGCCCTGTTCCAAGTAATTGGGCATAGGTGAGGGTCCTTTTGCCTTGTACTGCCAACCAGGCCACCATGATAGTGTGTCCAGTAAATCTGAAGTCACAGACACTATGACCTGTAGTGGGGTCTCATGGGAACATAGAAGTTAAAACTCAACTGTTACTGAGAGCTGTATTGGACTCTTGTATCTGCATGTCTTCAGTTTAACCTGATGAAGTACCAAAAGGCAGCGTAGACTGCCGTTGTGTTAATTTGAGCAACTACCCTTGGCCGCAGCTGATAATCAGATACTGCTGATAAATGTATTTGCTGTTGCTAGTTGAAGCTGCAGAAGACCTGCAAGTGGAAGTCATCTAGTGTAGGGACTTACCTGTGCTGGTGGACTTGAAACAGTGGAAATTGACTTTGGGGTGAGAATTGAAGGTTTTCTGCCCTAACACAAGCGAAGCCCATTCAAAAGCAGGAGTCTGCCCACTACTACATCCCCACAGTAGACCCTGTATAAGTGTCACTAAGGATCCATGACAGTCTTGTTACAGCTCAACCAAGTTTCTGTTATAAATGCAAGATTTTCCTGACAATAATTCTGTGTTGCACAAGAAGGATGTGTTGGGAGAGAACAACTTGTCTGTAACGATTAAAAAAAAAAAAAAAAAATTATCAGACACATTTCTAATAATGTGACTGAACTTTAAACTCAAAGCCAAAATAAGCTTTTGACTTTTAAATCTTCACACCATACATGTTAAAAAGGTGCTACCCACAAAAGGCCTGATCATTTCACTGTTGTTCTTACTGACCTCCTTCAGGCACTTAATTTTTAATATCCCACATGCACAGATCAAATATCTAAACAAAGTTACATGACCCTGATGACCTGGATTAGTCTTGATATCATCTACTGTTAACTTTCCATCCTCTCACTCTAGTGTGTGTAGCACACATATGACTGTAGCATTTACTCCAAGCATAGTCACTGGCTGCTATGTGACCGTTGTGGTCTTGTGTCTCTTCTGCTTCTTTCCTGGGGTTTCAACAAGCCTTTTGGCTGTTTCTGGATCACTATCCATATGGTTGTTCAGTGCCAGATTTGTGAGTATACTTGGTAACCTGCATTTAAAACCATGTTCATCTACCCCAGCAAATATTTGGTTATAGTGTTGTGATAAGCGATATCAGGTCTGCTGGGGCTACAGTAGTTTTGTAAGTTTTTTGTCAGCTTGGTAACAGTTCAGTAACAGCTTGGTAGTGCCTCCTATACTTTGCACTGAAGCACCTGTCCTTTTTAGTGTGCTGTTGCACCTGTGCTGTCTTGATTAACAGTATTTCATCTGTTTGGTAAGTTTGCAGCTTTTTTGTTGCTGGAGTGAAATAGATACATGTGGCTGCACCATTCTTTTTTTTCCTGTCCCATCTATGATAAGTTAAGGGGTGTACTTTTGAGTAAAATTCCCTTCATTAATGCTGATTTAGTAGGGTTAGATGGCTTTCAAAAACTTAATTAGAGGAGGAACTTTTTATATAGCAGATTTTATCTGCAAAGCCTGGAAAATGAGGTAGGATACAATATTTAAGACGGAGCCGTAAAAGGAACATAAAACTTTCAAAATTACTCTATAATGAATAATTGGACCTCTCCATCAGCATTTCTGCTGCCTTAAACCCATGTGGTTGAGCACTGTGGTGCATGACATGTAAAAAAATGACAATCACTCAAGTGGACTAAAGCTTGTTGGTAGATACTTCATCAGCAGCTTGTCTTCTTTCCTTGAAAAGATTTCCACTTTTTCTCTTACTATTTTCTCCACAGACTTCTCCATCAACACTAAACCCACATGGCCCAAAACCAACAGAACTTCTTTCGATTACAAGCACTAAACCCCTTCATAGCCCTCCTAGTGAGAGTTGTTCTGTCACAGCATGATCCCTGATATAAAGTCAAAGGACATGGCAGCTGCATGTTCATTGGTTTTCGTGAATTTTTAAAGACCTTTTCCATGTTTGACAGCATGTTATTTTAAATCATTCAGCACACAGAAACCGTAACTGCAGATGGTCTACCTAAAATTCGTCTCAAGTTTAAGCCACAGCATAAATTAAGTGCCTCCTGTGCTCAGTCAACCTCAGTCCTCCTGGGGTTTCAACAAGCCTTTTGAGAAATAGGCTTTTGACAAACATGGATGTTTGTCAGTCCAGCGTGACAGATATCTATCTCCAAGCCCGGTCGGTAGGACTGCTAATCCACTCTACATAGTCCTCAATGTAAGGTGCTAAGGCAACTGTGAACTTGTAAAAGCTTCAGGTTTCAAGCAATAGGTGTCCAGATCCAGGTAAGTTTCTAACATTGACAAGGACACATGTATTTCCCTGTAAGTCGATGTCCACCCTGGTATGAGGAGTTTTCCTCCTGCTTTCACCTGGGTGTCCTTACTGTATGCTTCATTAACCAAGTCAACATCATGTCTTCAGTCAGTATCTGTCTGAGTCTCTACTGTGGATGTCCCTGGTCCATTTTATCATAGTCTCTGGAGATCTATAGAGGAAGATCAGTTTAGAGTAAAGTTCCTCTTCCAGCTCCAGCTCTCCTGTTTCTCTCACCTGAAACACACAGAAACATACATTTGTTTCCGCATTGTCACCTCAAAAGAAATTCTTCAGAAAACCTGAAGACAGCAGTGTGTTTATCGCAGACCAGTTATCTTAATAAGATGAGAAATGATACAGACAATATTATTAGAAGGGAAAGTCACAGAGGTTTTCCTGTGGATGATATTGGTTTCATGTTATTTCAGAACTAACTAGTGTTTATGTCAAAATAGTTTGAATGGGGTCAGACAGATAGTCTCAGGGAGCTGCTGCACACACTGTTGCTTCTGCTGCTGCTGAATATCATAACCTATGCATTTATGCAAAAAAGGTTTAGGAATTTATGAGCAGGATGTATTTAGATTTTTTTCCATAAAAGTATATTTTTAGAAAACTTTCCATGTATAATTTTACATATGTTAAACAAACGCAGTTTACTTTCACTGCACAGTACAGTTAGACCTTCATTTGTAATTTACAGTAACTCTGTCTGCTGAGCTGAGGGTCCAGCACCCTTACTCTTGCTGTCCTCTGGATTCTCACTATTGGGTCACAAGCCCAGGTGAATAACTGGGTTAAGATCAGGCATCATAAAAAGCTGATTGTTATTTTATAGCCTTGGACAGTAGTATTTAAAGTGTTGAGGAAACATAATAGTATTTCGATTTTTTGAATGAGGTGATTATTGTTTGATGAATATTTATTAAAGTACACTGTTCTTCTTAATGTGATTTGACTTTTTCTCTTATTATGTGCCAACATGGCATGTGCACTGATTGCTACAAGTACCTCATACCCAATTAATCACCTGTTAAATCATGTCCATGTTGGTAAAAACTGATCAGATCTCTGGCATAAATCGGGGAGTTTTTAGCTGCAATGTCCTTATGAGGGCCAGCTCACTGTTTCTGGTCATTTACGGATCTGGGCCTTTTCAGTCCCAAATTTCTTGCATTAGTTAATTCATCTATTTTTTCCTTGGTAGGGGGCCTCCATAACTTGTAGCTAGGGAGTCAAAGGCAGTTTTAAGGCACCTGTAGTACAAAGATTCAGACAGCTCACTGACCAGGAAGATGTCTGTACAGAGCTTCAGGATGCGATCCACACAGGGTAATTCCTCAAACATGATGGAGTGGGAGATCTCACTGAAGAAACCACGCACAAACTTCCCAATTACCAGGACCACGGACACATACAGACCCATGATCCTGAAGAGATTGGAAAAACAAAAAGTATGAACAAAAAACAGATATTCATGTGCAATATAACTGTCAAGTAAAGGGGAAATTAAAATAAGGGAAATAAAAAGTGACAACTTCGGTAGCCTGCACATTACTTGGCAATAGTTCAGGTGGTATCAACAACAGAGAAATAGTTGAAAAAGTTCCTCATACTAAAATGGGGTCATAGAAACTGTTAAAGCAGCAAAAATAGAGAAACATTATTTATATGGAAATTGTGTTTTTTGTTTGTTTTCAATTTTAATGCTGACTTTTTAAGACTTAAGTAGACATGCTATAGACAGTGTTTGTTGACTGTTCAAGCTCTGGATACCTGCTGCTGTATTAGTTTCAACTCTACTTACTTATGTTTATTTAACCCAAACAAGTTGTTTCTTGGTGTGTGGTCATTACCCATATCCAGCCAAAAAGCCCAGGCTGGGTGGACTGACTTTGTCATTGAATATGATCATTGGTAGAACCCCACATGAGTACGGCTCACAGCCAGCAATGGCAATGTTCCACCACTCCTGGTTGCCACTGCTGTTCAGGGTCCGGTCACTCATCAGGGACAGGGTTATACTCAGGTAATCATCTTCATCACCTTGAAAATAACCAATCAGCTGTGTTAAAACATCCACATAATCCATTAATCAGTCTTAGTCTAGATTGTGTTTTTCCAGTAACACACTCGTATTAACCATTGACCTTTATGCAGCTGACTGACTGGTTTGGCCTCGGCTCCATTTGGTGCTCTGATGTAGTTGGGAAACATATTAGGAACATGCCTGTGAAAGACACAAAACATCAGCTGTGTATAACTGTAGGTACTGTATAGCAGACATGTGTCATCCTAAAATCCCACTGGTAAACTCAACCTACACAGGCTTAGTGCTATTGCCAACCAGTAGTGAGGCCAAATTGGCTCTTACTGGGTTCCCAGGTTCCAAGTCTATAGAGTGTTTGTCAAAGGTATGCTCCACAGTTCCTCCTTTTCCCAGGTCTCTGGCAGGAGGAAAAACACAGAAGGAGAGTGAGTGAGTAAGTGAGTGAGCGAGTGTGTGTGTGTGTGTGTGTGTGTGTGTGTGTGTGTGTGTGTGTGTGTGTGTGTGTGTGTGTGTGTGTGAGAGAGAGAGAGAGAGAGAGAGAGAGAGAGAGAGAGAGAGAGAGATTTTTTAAAATAAACATCTATTCAACAGTGTTCATACTGTACAACTGCAAATACAAAAGTTTAGAGACTTTTTTTGTATTTTGAGGGGGGAGGGGTGGGTGGGGGGTGTTAGAGCTCCATGTGTCAACTGCATTTACCACTATAGTGGTGTTGGGTCATCCAGTCTGAGCCCCTGTTTGTGTTTTAATCAGTGAGTACACAAAATGATAAGACACAAAACCGGACAAGATTTTTGGGGAACTTGGATATGATGGATATGATACATAAACTAAACTTAAACTGGATATGATTACAGCTGCACAATCACCCATGGAGGAGCAAAATACACCCCCCAGCACCTTTAATTTGACTGTGTTGACAATACCTTGAATAGTTTGCTAATAATCACATACAATTCTTAATAGTTTAATGTGATTTCTAAAAGTAGAGCAGTTTTTACCTCTGGAAAGTCCAGGCCAGGCGTAGTGTAAGGTCAACGGGACTTCCAAGTAGTTCTTTAACAACTTCTTGTCTGCTGGGAGGGCTTATTCTCCACACTGACCCTGAACTACCTTCAATCATGGCGGTCACAATGTCTTCATAACTGTAGAGGCTGATGAACTGCATGGCTACCTAGATACAAGAACAGACAAAGAAGAATTTGTTTGGCGATATGAGCAGACACATCCAAAACCTGTTAACACATGAACACAGCTGCCATCACAGTCACCTCACAGTTCAAAGATAATTGAAAAGTCTTGATTTACTGAGCTGTGACTGAAGGGTTAAAGTTAGAAGAAGCAGGACTGTCCACTGCCCACTCAAAGCATACTCAGAGATGATGAGCATAACAGATTTAATATCAGGTTTATTTCACAGGGCAAGTGAGCAAAGCGCAGATAGAAATGAATAAATCATTTGTGCACATAACAGCACAGATGTGCAGAGATGAGCCGAAGACAGTCACAGACTGAATATTGTCAAAAGAGCAATGTCAACACAGAGGCTGCTTCACTGCATATGCACATTTATTTTTAGGTGTAAGAAGGTTGTCTTACAGAACAATTAAACAATTTCAATACCCAGGTTGGAAAAGTGTGGCTGTTAAAAAACTACAAAAGACTTGCCCAGCACTTACACTGCAGTCAACACTTACCGCATCCTCTCCAAATGTTTTGGTGAGATTGTCATATTGAGCAACTGTAAAGGGCTTGATGGACTGTTGCTGGACACTCATGGTGAACAAGGGCTGAAGAAACACACAAAAATACCTTTTTAATCATTCAGTTTCTTTACAGTGCCATGCAGTGTTATTTTACAGCATTGTAAAACATTTTAATCTGCTGTCTATACAACATGAAGACAGATGAGATGTGAGATGTGCATAAAATGCTATATGCTGAACCATGAAGACTAATCTAAAGCAGTCCAGTTTTGGCATCAGTTTTACACAAAAGACCGTCATAACTGTATAGTGACTGTCTCTATAATGTCATTGCCGTAGCTTGAGAAAGAGTCAAGCTTCTTTGCAGAGTACTTCCTCTATTTTAGAGTACAGTAGACCAGGGTGCCATATCAGAAGTGCTTACCTCATATCCTCCCAGTTTTACAGTTACTGTGACATCAATGGGGTGGTTGACCACTCCTACCACTGATCTGACCAACGATATGAACAGGAGGGGGAACCAGATAATGCAGATCAAGAAGAAGATGATGAGTCCACCCATGCCATATTTCACTATCTTCTTCTTCTTCTGCCCTTTTGGTTGTGGATATTTCTGTGAGGGAGAGAGGGGAGGGGTTACAATGTCACTATGTCTCAAAATCAAAATGAACCACTGCTGGTTAATTAGTGAGCCATTAAACTGTTAAAAACTAACAGAATCAGTCTGAGGAAATCTGCTGTTCCTCTACTGTGCTTTAGAAGTGAACCCAGGAGGGGAGATGAAATATGGAGGGTGAATGAACTACAATAATGATGCACTTCCTCCTGTCTTTTGACCACTCAAAGCTTTTTCTGTATTACATGTCATACTTGTGATTCACACTGCATTCATACACTGATGACAGAAGATGCTGTGTAAAGTGTCAATCAGCATGAGCTAATCCCAGTCATACAGCCCTGGTTTATGTTTTTTGCACCCATATGTTGGCTGTCACAAGTCCTCCCACAGAAAATACTAAAACGCTAAAAATAAAATCTACTCACACAAAAAGCTTGTCCATCATAGTGACATGAGTAAATGTAATTAACAATGAAATGCTCTTAGCTATTATCCACCCCTATAGGTTTGTGGATGAGGAGCTCAAAGCCAATTTAATTACATTGTGTTCAACCTCAGTTTATGATTTATGCTGCAACATACCTCTGACATATACTGACATATTTCAGCATGTCATTACTGTCTGCCAACCCCCAAAACTCTCCTGTCATGAGTTGGTTTAAGAAGTGAATGGCAAAATAACTTGATTAAGACAGAGACCCTCCCTTATGCTGAAGTTATGAGCTGCAAAAATCCGTACCAATTCTTTCCTTTCACTATATTCAAACATCATGTACCTTCTCTGTCTCACGGCTACATTTGATGATGAAGATGTTGGCATAGATGTCCTCCACACACATCCAGTTGGAAAGAGAGAGCGTGGTGTCAGTCCAAACCCAGTCCATCACTGCTCGCAGCTCCACCAGAAAGGGCACCAGACGAAACCTACACACGCACACACACACACACACACACACACACACACACACACGCACACGCACACGCACACACACACACACACACACACACACACACACACACACAAGGATAATCTGTACCATACTGTCAGATTCATCTATCTATCTATCTATCTATCTATCTATCTATCTATCTATCTATCTATCTATCTATCTATCTATCTATCTAAGACTTGACCCTTTCATCAAAATCTTCACCTATAATGCCTCTATAGATACAAAATCTAAATCTGCTACACTGTGGGTGTCATCCCACTCACCAGCAGCAACAACAAAAAGTTAAACTGAACTACAAACAAATCATTGATTCATGAAACCCTTCATATCTAATTCTACTAAACAGCTACAGACTGGCGATGCATCCTTACCCTTGGAATAGAAACAGGTTAAGGTGGTTGTATTTCTTAGTGAGGAAGTTGCCAAGGATACGAGTGGGGTATCCACAGCGGATCTGATAGGCTGACAGGCCGAAGTAAATGCACTTGACAAAATACCAGAGCTGAGCCACAAGGTTCTGATTGAACATCCTGGAAAAGAAGGCAGATAGGGTGAGATTACAGTTTTTCTCAGCTGCTTTGGTGCATTTCTCAGATCAGAATGAAAGTTCTCACAACTATTAATTCAACCTTCACAACACTGAGTCATTTATGCACATCATCGTAGCAATTTCTCATTCCTCTGAACAAATTGCAAATGCTCTTGGACATGTATCAGTTACTTTCAAACAATTCTCTGCTGTTTTATAACATTATCATTTGCTTCTGTCATGTCAGTCAAAATGAACGATACTTTTGAATGCTGAATAGTCATTCCCTATAAAACGAAATGTTATGAATATAACTTCTGTTCCCCGAAGGAGAGGAACGAGGTACAACACATGTAGTATGGGATATCACGCCCTCGTGTGGCCTGACTGAAGACACCTTTATTCACGCCTTTAAGGCAGATGATCTGTGGTGACGTCTGGGAGGCTCCGCCTGAACATAAATACATGTAACACCACAGTCATCTTTCAGTTTGATAGCCGCTCTTCACCGAGCCTAGCTGCGCAGTGGGGCAACCCAGTGTCATAACATTTCGTTCCCTTTCAGTCGATTCACTCGGTACAACACATATAGTATGGGACATATATACACATCCCGCAGAGTAGCCACCGAACCGAAGTCAAACCTCCAAAACTTTTGTGCATTGTAGACCCAGCAGAAAGGACAGAGCGAGCCACTGAAGGGGCTGTCACATCCAAGCGATCAAACCGAACAAAAAATGTGTGGTGATGACCAACTGGCTGCAGTGCAGATATCACTCACAGAAACCTCTTTAAACAAGGCCCATGAGGCCGCCATTCCCCTGGTTGAATGTGCCCTTACACCTTGGGGCAACGGAAGACCCCTGCTGCCGTATGCTAAGGAGACAGCCTCCACAATCCAGTGGGAAAGCCGCTGTTTAGACAGTGCCTTGCCTTTGGCTGGATTAGCAAAACAGACAAACAACTGGTAACATAAACAAACACTCTAAGTACGGTCTATGTAAGTGCGTAGTGCACACACAGGATACAAGGAATTCAACCTCCTCTGCTCCTCAGATGCAAATGGAGGACGGCAGAAGCTCAGTAGTTCAAAACTCATACAGCTATAGGCTGTGGGGATAATCTTAGGCAAATACGTCGCATTTGGGCACAATGTAACCTTAGATCCATCCAGAGTGAACTGGGTACAACAGGGGTGCACAGACAAAGCATGAAGGTTGCCCACTCGCTTTGCAGACGCCAAAGCAAGTAGCAGTGCAGTTTTGTATGAAAGAAATTTCATGTCTGCTGACTCAACAGGCTCAAATGGGGGTCCACCAAGAGCCTCAAGTGCCAGCGCTAAATCCCAAGAGGGAACGCTGGGTTTGAGCACAGGTCTCAGCCTGCGGACTCCCTTTAGGAAGCGCATAGCAAGAGGGTGAGCTGCCAAATAGACCTTAATCGTTGAGAAAAAGAGACCCCTATCCAGCAGCTCCTGAAGACATGTTAAAACATCCACAATAGAACTCTGAAATGGGAGTACATTTCGGTACTGACATGCAATCTCTACTCTCTCACAAGAGGACCCCCATGGAGAGAAGATCTGGCCCAAGGTTTAAGTGACCTGGAATATGTGTGGCTCTCAGAGACAGAAAATGAACACTGCACTATAGCAACAGAGAGTGAGACAGTTTTAACAGGGGAAGAGAGCAAGTCCCTCCCTGCCTGTTTATGTAGGAAACCATGGTTGTGTTTTCCGTCCTGATCAGAAAATGATGGCCTGTCAGAACAGGACGAAAATGCCTCAGAGCTAATAGGATAGCTAATAGCTCCAGATAATTGATGTGGAGCTTGCATTGTGCTGGTGTCCACACCCCTCTCACTGCTGCGCCCTCGCACAGAGCCCCCTGACCCCTCAGGGATGCGTCTGTGGACACCACCTTGCAAAAAGACACCCTCCCTAATGTTTCTAATTGGATGAATTTTGTGGGAATGATCTGTGCTTGTATGTATCTACTATTTTGTGTCTGTGCAAGGTCGCACAATTAAAACAATACATGCTGCCCCTGGCAGCTTTTTTTCTAGTCAATCGTGACGTAAGGTAGAGGGCGGGGACATTTGGAGACCTTCGGAGGACCTCCTGGTGGAGCCGCCAAATGTCCCCGCCCTCAGGCTCGCGTCACAACTGACTTAAAGAAAACCCACGGAGCGCAGCATTTATTGTTTCAACTGTGCGATCTTGCACAGACACAAAATAGTAGATACATACAAGCACAGATCATCCAATGATTGTTTTGTATGAAGGAGTATGAAGGCCATATTGAGAATTTTTTTCAAGACTTCGAGATTTAAGTCATGAATTTACGCGAATAAAGTCATTAATTTATGAGAATAAAGTTTTAAAGTTTCCTGTTATTTCAGAGGAGACTTGTTAAAATTAGGGCCATGAAGCATTTGAAGGAACTGTGCTTCAGTATAGGTTTCACAAACAAGGAGATACTTCATCCTTTGGCACATCAGCATCACATTGTCATAAGTATAAAGACTTAAAAAAAGAATATATGAGAAATACGTCTTTTCCACGGGGAAAAAAAACAGGTGTACTTGAAGGAAATCGCTGCTTTTGTGGAGGCAGAAATGAATATGCTGAGGATATATCCGTTTATGCAGCCGTTAATATCCGTGAATGACATTGAGCTTTAGTTTATGATATGAATCCATATGCCATAATAAGGTGTTGGTGTCTCTGCAGGTGTAGGTTACCGCCGGTGTCAGAGACGTGGTGCTCGTCTGAGCTCGACTCCCTCTGGATCACAAATGTTGATCATCATCAGTCAGACTGTTTCTTCAGAAACCACAAAAACTCTCTGAATGACCCGCTGATACATCCACAGATAACCCTGCAGATGACCAGCTTCAGTCATTTCCCCCTCCACAAAAGCAGCTTCATGACTTCTCCTAAATCTACAACTTTAATCTCTAAATCTTTAAAAAAAAAAAAAAAAAAACTCAATGTTGTCCTGATCCTCTGCTGTAGTTTTGTCAGCTTTCTTATTTCTAATGGTTTTGATTGTTGTAGCAGAGCGGATCTAGCCTGGCTTGGCCATCCTGTTGCGTGAATCACTTGATGTTCCTTCCCACAGCAGTCTGGACTTTGGCCCATAGGGAGCGTGTATTCCCGATCAGAAAATAACCGGGCTAATCAGAGACCGTGTTTCCACTGTTACCCGGACATCAGGGAAAGGCAGCCCCTGATTTCTGAGATCATATGCTCATACAGCCTGAGCTGACTGTCTGCTGTTTTTGGATTTCTTTTATTTTCTTTGAAGACGCGCTGCGTCTCCAAGCGAGTCCAGCCTCTCACCTGAAATGCGCAGCTGTGCAGCGGCACGCAAAGAATTCTGGGATACCAACGGCACGAAAGTGTGCATAAATGCACGCTTGAAAAAGGGGCGGGGGCAGTGTGGTTTTGAGACCGAATTTGAAGCACGCTTAGCATTTTGTGCCAAACAGGACACAGTTCGTGCTGCGCTTATCCCGATGCGGTCTCTGAAATGAGACACAGCCTGTGAGATGAACAGTCAGTCGACTGACCTCCAGCATTGTGGGGGGAAGGGTTGTTGCCCTCTGGTGTGCCGGCTTGGAACAGCAACACTTTCCCGCCCAGACTTGATTGATTTATAATGTTTTGAGTACATAACGAAACCTTTATTTGGCTCGACGAACGCACATTTGTAACATTCACACAGTGAACATCAGGTGCCATTATTGGGGCATGTGCGTGTGAGGAAGGGTTGTGCTCGGGAGACAGTGTCAGGGAAGTGCAGCGCCTCTCGGGACCGGACCTCTGAACAAACTGTAAATGCCGCCTTTTGGCAGCAAAAACTGAAGGGCTGCAGTGTCTCCGTGCTGCTGGGCCTGAAGCTAGGATGACTGCTGTGTCTTTTTCCTGGGTGCTGAGCCCCTCTGGAGACCCGGTGGCTGATCCCTGTTCCAAGCCAAGGTTCTGACCGGGTACATGCTGCTTCACCGGCTGGGGCCCCGAACTAGCGGGCACCGCAGTCCTCTTGGGAAGAGGCGCTGGTGCCGGTTAGTGCAGATAACCCAGCTGTTTGGTCCTCGCATCACACCTGGAGACGATGCTGCTTAAAGCTTCGGTTTGTTTCTTCCTCAGCTCAAACTGAGCCTGAATGGTGTCGAGGGACTGCCCAAACAAACGGCTGTCGACACAGGCTCATCAAGATAAACTGCTCTGTCCCTCTCCATAACATTGGAGAGAGTCAGCCACAGGTGCCTCAGCGCCACCACCGTGGGAGCCATGCCTCTACCTAGAGAGAGCGCTGAGCGCACATAGGATAGGCTTCCGTGCACGGCGCTTCCTGTGTGAACCAGGCATCAGGAGGCAATTGCGAGCCAAGTTCCGCCAGACACATAGCCTGATATGTCTGAAGCATAGTGACGGAGCTCAGTGCATGAGCTGTATTTGCCTGTGTCCTGTAAATCTTGTCCAGCTGTGACGCTGAAAACCTGCAGTGCTTGGACGGGAGCGTGATGGGGCCACCAACACCATGATTCTGGGCCGGGGCCAGATAGGCTGCCAGGGACGGAGGGTTCACCAAACCAGCTTCTTCAGCTCCATCCAGATCCACAAACTGTCCACAATCGGGCACTGCAGCGCGGGTAGACAGCTTAGTTCTTAGGCTTGTTAGAGGTTAGTTCTGCGACAAAATCCGGGACTCGGGCTCAGTCAACACCCTCCTGCCGCGGGCAGAACAGGACAAGGCAAACAGGACAAGCCTCATGGAGATCTTTTTCGTGAAGGGAGAAGCCGCACCCTTGAGGACAGGGGCGAACAGAAGACTTCGCCTTCACTTTCTTAGGCTCAGCACTCATTTATAGAGGCAGAAGCTGAACGAAATTAGTGCTCCGTGGGAAGCCGCAGGCTAACACCAACAGGGGCAGTTAGGCTAAAATCGATCAGGCAGTAGCCACAGACAAGAACAGGCTGAGCTAGCAGCAGCTAGTTGGCCCGACTCGGTGGAGGTGTTCTCAGCGACGTGAAGAGCATAAGAACTTAAGGATGACTGTGGTGTTACACGTTTATATGTGCAGGCGGAGCCTCCCAGTCGTCACTACAGATCATCTGCCTTCAAGGCGTGAATAAAGGTGTCTTCAGTCAGGCCACGCGAGGGCGTGATATCCCATACTATATATGTTGTACCGTGTAAATCGACTGAAAGGGAACTAATAGTCCTCATTTAATTGCTTAAATCATTACATACACAATTGTTGAACTAGTTCTCAAAATCTGTTAAGACAATTTAATAAATTTCTTCATTTTTTTTTTCCTGAAAATGTCTCCTAAATTGAACAATTGCTCTGAGGTGAACCTCAGCTTTTGCTCATGAGGAGGTGTGTGAAGCATTAGTTGTAATCAGTGACAAGCCACTTGTCCACAGTCACTCAGAGCTGAATCCCATGAACCCTCACTTGGCAAGCATATGTAAACCAGCAGTACATAGTGTGTATCATTTCTACAATTCTGTGATACAAAAATGGAAGGTCAGTGTCGTGGAGGAGGGGTGAGAATGCAGGGAGGAAGGGGACAAAACAGGGGCAGAGGAAGAAGAGGTGAAGTACATAGGCAAATCCCTGATGAAATTAGGGCTATACTTGTGGACCATGTTGTGAATCATGGCCTCACTTTGGCTGGTCGGGTGCAACCAAATGTAGCGAGAACCACTGTGAATGTCCAGGAATAATTTATGTTCAGTTAACAGTAATATGTACTGTTATATTGTTTACATTTGTGCACAGTTCTACCAAAATATTGTATTTCTTGTTTATTCTAAATAAGTGACTGTGAATTCCATTTTTCTTTTTTTTGCACAATGCTGTAGAATTGCAAAGAGCATGCAGTAAATATGTGAAACATACATGTATCTTGTACTCAGTTACCTCACCAAATACAATAATGTGTAACTTTACTGTAGTTTTCAAATGGCTGTACATGTAGTGTATAGTGCTTTCTTGAGCATTTTCATGCAGTGTCACCAAGATTAGTCTTGGAAAACACAGAGAGAGTAAAGTGTCATCATAAAAACATGACAGCCATTTGACTGTCATGTTCATAAACAATGATGTTGGGACTAATTATTTTGAAGACACAGACAGTTTCACTGACATGAAGACTTGCTTTTGAGGAATCAACTATTCATTTTGAGCAAGTGATGCGCTTCTGCAGATTATCCACTAGTTTTTGTAGTTTGTACTAATCGTTCTGAGGAATGCACTGACTGTTGTGCAAATGTTAATAGTGATGTGAGAAACACACCAAGGCGACTAAGAAAAACCGTAAAGCTTTTTAGATACCATTTGCAGGATTATCCACATTAAACATGCAGAAGGGATCAAAATACAGTAACACTAATTTTTGACTCTGGTGTACTGCCAAAGCCTAAATCAAAAGTCTCTAATAAATCACATTCTTCCTTTTCTATTAGAAATAACAGTTGATCTAGTTTTTCTTCACCTCTCAGTGACAGCAGGGAGGATGAAGAACATCCAGAGGTGGATCCCAAACACCAGAGTGACCTGAAGGACAGGACAGACAGGGAGCAGAGTGAGATGGTGTGTGAAGATATAAAAAGTCAATAATCTCTCACAAAGGGTGCACAGCAACATATTAACATGAAATTTTGAGCCAAACCTGAAAGATAAGTTTTCCCAAGACAGCCTTGCGCAGATACAGGGCTCTGTCAATGATCATTGTGCTGAACTGGATCAGCAGCATCACCAGGAAGGCCTCAGGAACCTGGTCCTCTGACAGGGAGGAGGCGATATCAGCTGGTGCGCTGTGTTTCTGAGGGAGGGATTACAGACATCAGTACAGTAAAATATTTATATGATGTGCTTTTTTTACAGCTCCACACAAGTTTCTGTTGAAGTTAATGAGTGTGTGTGTTTATTGATGGATGAATAAATGATATAAAATACAAAGACTGAAAATTGACAAGCTCCCTATCTCCATGTGTATCTCACCCCAAAAGCCCCAAAGCCAAAAACGATGATAATAAAGTCGATGACATCCGTCAAGAACATGAGAGCATAGACATCAGTGGCAGCCCGATACTCAGGCTGGAGGATCCCCTTAAAGAAACACTGGACCGGCTTGTACACACTCTGAGCACTGTGGACAGGTAAACAGACAGGTGACTTCAAACCACTGCATGTTGATTGATCAGAAGTCTTCTTTTCATGTCGTGTAAACTGACTGACTGAATGCCACACTTTCCTGATTTTGAAGGGGCAGCTTCGGCATTAGGATCATACACTTTAACTTACTCACCCAGAGGTAGTGACATGTATGATCTTGTTTCCCATAGCCAATAATCTGTGACTAGCTGCTTCTCTCTTCTTGCTTTTTTGCTTCTTCTTCTCTGGCTCTTCACTAAGAGCTTCTTCCTCTGCTGTGGACTTTCCTGGAACAGATGACACCACCACCATTACTGGTTTGAAAATGAATAAATATTTTCATTTAAAGACCTTGTCATAATCCATTATGTTATAATGAAAATAAGAGATGGGAGGATCTCCAAACAGTATCATAAACCTCAAATTAAATCCCTGGTACATTTTATGAAAGAGCCCGCAAACTGATGGCCAGTCGGCGCAGGCACATCAGGATCCTGAAGTGTCTCTTTATTGTGTTACCTCTTGTCAGGTCCACCAACCCGCCCTGGACTGAATATGCTCACAACTCCCTGGTTTGTTTCTCCACAGGTATGTCTCCCTTCATGGCCTCTGTTCACCCATCTTTCCCCTGTCACTTCTTACACCACTTTCTACCAACCCAGTGAGCCCTCCAGTCAAACCCCCTCCAACCCCCATCAACAATCACCCTGCGTTTATAAAGCAGCTGTTGGTGCATGGAGGCAAAGCTGTGGCTTCCATTATTTAGTGGGGACTGGTTAGGGTATAGTTTGGTGAAGCAGTAATGGATTTATTGATCTCCTCAGAGACTCCTACACTTGGTACCAAGATAAACTTGGCAGGACACCTGGGGATCTCCATTGAGGGGTTTTTCCAGTGATGGTTCTACTTTGTTTGAGGCTCAAGACTGTGAACAAACTTAGCCTTAAGAGGATCAGATGGGTTGTGACAGTATCACATAAATTGGGGAGGGTATCACTCTGTAGTGTACTGGTAAACCAGGCGATCTGTCCATGTGTGGGCCTCGTGTTTTATTAATTTTGATTCCAAAGGTGTCAGAAGTTGTAATAATGTCATTTGTGTGACCTGAGTATTGACGATTATGTAATTAGGCATATGTATTCATGTTTCAAAGTCACTGTTTCTGCAGAAAAAGATTATATTTCTGTTTGAGTGTTCATGTTTACATGTGTCCTGGTGGTCAAACTTATTTCTATGAGGGCATCTCACTGGTTCATTGGTTCCTGTTTTTAAAATGGCAGTGTCTCATTAAGGCTTACTGATAAATGCTTTTTGCAACACTAGTCCCAGAACAACATTGAGTGTACCAGGTTTGAGGATGTGGGACATCTTCATGAAAAGAAGCCAGAGTTTTCTAGTGAGTCACAACTCAACTCAACCACTTCAGCTAAGATACTTAGATAGCCACAAACCTTTGCTGTGCTGGGTCTTAGGTTGTTTTGTTTTCTTGCGTAAACGTGTACTACTCCTTTTCTTCAGGTCTTCTTCCGGAGCCTCTTTGCCTTCCTCCATCTCCACAGACCTGCAGGGAACAGCTATCTGTATGTCTATCGGCTCAGACGAAGTTCCCTTTCCATCTTCTGACCCAAGGGATACTGGTTCAACTGAAGGAGGTTGTAGGGTGGTGTCAGGAGAACTGGTACTCGATTCAACATGATCTACAGTATCCTAAAAGGGTTTTAAAACAACATCAGTAGATAGAAAAAAAAATGCTATAACTAAAGGATGTTTTTTTCTGTGGTCAGAACTTCCATCATTCTGCTGCTGATGGGGGAGTAACACAAAGACATTAATATCAAGTAATTCTCCAACCTTTTCAAGCTGGTCACCTTCCTCCTTCTGACTTTCATTAACTTGTCTGGTCTTTTCTTCTTCATTACAACTTTCAGGTGGAGGACTTTGCTCTGATAGGGGGCCCTCATGGTCCCACAGGCCATATCGCTGTGTCCACACACACACACACACACACACACACACACACACACACACACACACACACACACACACACACACACACACCCCGATTAGAAAATAAATCTTTTTATAATCTAAATTCTATCTAATTGTCAAATCTATGTATAATCTTATAATAATTTTTTTTGCAGCCTATAATGTGCCTACTTTCCCTTAAGCTTAGTTTTAACGTCTCATACAGTCAGTTTTCTCCTGTTGATATCACTCTACAGTCAGTTAAAGATGTTTTTCTCAAATAATGTCATCCTTCTGTTCAGTCTGTATGAACCTATAAATTTAAGTCATTTCATATTTTGAATGGTCGAAGCAGCCATTTCTGCACCTTCACCCTGCACTACCATCTTTGTGTGTCTGCATACTAGTTGGGTTTCCATTACCCATAGATTTGCCCAAAACCTAGATATCGCAATAGAAAACTGGTTATGGAAACACCTAAATTTCGCAAAACCTCTCAAATATCGCTAAAAAGTTTTTACGCTCTCATAAGGTGGTTTTTCAGATGTGTCGATATAGAAGTATATCTTCCATGTTAGTGTGCAAAAAGGCTTAAGGAATACGAGGTCACACGGGCAGGAAGTTTATCTCATTGCTAGGCAACGGCCATTCAAACACGGCTCCCGAGAGGCAGACGGCTCGCTTATGCACTGAACACCATTCAATGGAAACACCCGCAAATCGCAATTGTACTTTGTAGAAATTTGATAAACATCGCTTTTATTTTGCGAAAAAATGTAATGGAAACACAGCTACTGTCACAGTACTGGGATGGCAGTTGAACCTAACTGACCATGAGAAGTGATCTGTGGAAGAACAGAACCAGCAGCTGAAGGAGGTCATATTTGATGTAGTTGTCAGTCTTCTCCAAGCCGAGGATACGAGGCGGAAAGAAGGGTTTGCCTTCGTTGAGGTTCATCTCGTACATGCTGTTCCAGGGGAAGAATCCAAACTGGAAAAGGTATTTCACAACCACCATCACCTGGACAGAGAAAGAGCAGTCAGACCAGAGAAGAAGACGGTGGAGGCAGTAATTCACAAGCTGGGCCATTGCTCTGATCTGTAACCATTTGAATTTGGTGAAATACACAGTTTTACTCATGCAGTAAGACAATACAAACAACCTCCATCTACCTGAAATAATGAGCAGTTGTCCCTTTGTGTCTTAGCGTTCATACCTCTGTGTACACAATAGCAGTCATCCAAAATCTCTTTGTAGGTCTTGGAACAGCCAACATGGCCCACAGGAACACAAGTATGGGTAGGACCAGGGATATCACAGAAGCGCTGACCCCATTGTTTAAAACAATGATAAAATAACAGACAAGTTCTGAGTTGGCTGCCAGCAGGTTGTACATGGAAAACAGCAGCTTCAGCAGACGGTTCTGGCTGCTGTAGAAGTCTCTGCTCTGCTCCAGCTCCTCAATGTAGAACTCCCTGAACAAGGAGAAAACAGTCAATTTATTAATAATAAAAACTTATACTCACATAGGTATGCATCAGCAGTGTTTCAATGATAGAACAATAGGACAAAACTAAAGTCATCCAGTATCTACCTGTCTCCAAGAAGTTCACTGGCAGTCCTTGAGTGTCTGTGTTGTTTAGCTGGCAGGGCTAACAGCTCTGTGCTGCTAGATGGGGGCTCTGGACTTGAGAGCAAGGTGCTGTAGTGTCTCAGCCCAGAGTCAGACTGATCCATCAAACCCCTGCTGTCCACCTCTGTGCAGCTGCAAAAGGGGTCAAAAGCGCACAGGTAAAACAGAAACACATCAGAACCACCATCAGAGAAAAGTGAGTCTTGTTTTTCATACTGTATCCCCAATATTAAACAATTTTATTTCTGATTTGTTAGTTACTAGCAAACAGCCAGTGAAATGCAATATGATCCAGGTCCGAACTTCATTATTGTTATTTTTGTTCATTGTATGCTTTTTTGTTTCTTTCAACATACAGGGAGATGCCTATATATAGTGTATATCAAGATGTGTTTGTTTGCTGTGATAAATGCAAGACCAAAACACAGGGTACAGGGACTGAATAATGTTTATGTTTGATAACAGTCCAGGTCTCACCCATCCCCCTTTGTGTGGTGCCTGTTCTTACTTTGTTTGGAAAAAGAGTGACATGGTCATCTAGACTGACCTGTACTTGGTTGAGTTTTCTGCATCAGTGTCATCCAGGCAGGTCTCCAGAGTGGAGCTCTCACTTCCCTGAGATACCTGATCATCTGTGGGGTACGCTGATGTACGATTCTTCCAGTCAGGGAGAGACACATACAAGTATGAAGATTGATTTGATGACTCAGTCATTCATTTGCACAAATGTAAGATAGATCAAATTCAAAATTAATAAGATTTTAATTAAATACAATTACAACGTCTAAGATGACATATGAAACCAAAATGACAACAGAAGCATCTCCACTGACAACCCTTTTTAAAGATCTGTGTCCTTATTCTCTTGTCTGGTTTACCTGCTGTATCTTATGAATGATGAAGTAGCGCTCATTGCACAAAACAGTTGATATATCTCTGTACTGTTTTGTCAACAGATTGAGCCACTGAGTCAGTCCGTCCACCATGGCCAGAATAATGGCCCAAATAAAGCACAAAATATCTAAAATCCTCTGAACCATCTCCCCATGACCTGCAAAACACAGACAGAGAAAAAGACCAGAGCGGAAAGACATTACAGTAAAGGGCTAGAACAGGGCCTGTGCTGAAATATTCTCTTCAGGACTTTCTGCCTATTCAAAGAAGTCCCAGAGTTGTTATTTTTTTCTCTTCTGCTGTGGACTAATACGTTTCCTGTTATCATTTACTTCATGTTTTTGTCTTGTATTTTCTGTTTTATTTTGAAACTTTAAAAAGGGGATTTAAGAGGCTAGTCCCTCAGGAGCAAAGGTGGGAATAGATTCACTGCTCTGAGAGAGACAACGTGAGCAAATACTTCCTCAGAGAAAAGAAGAGAACAAAATACCATTTAAAGATTTAAATAATCTGGAGAAATATCTGTACATAAAAGGAAAAGGCTAAAAATAAACACCAGATAGCCATGACCCCAAAGCAGCTCTGCATCAAAAGTAGACACTACTCTGTAGTGGAAATCACCCTAATACCATTGTCTGTCTAAACAGTGCACTAAATTTCCAATAAATACAGGGTTGAAGTGATATGCAAACTATGAACACCTGTTTTTATCTACATTTGTCTTGAGAAAATCTAAGCAGTTCTGCTCAGAGTTAAGACCTGATGTATTTTTCTTTTCCATTTAACTCTTACTTGCAAGTGTAAACATAACATTGTTTACACAGATAACCAACACTCATCATCACAAATACAAAGAAAACCACATGTGACGGTAATTTTTGATGAACTCACCAGAGTCTTGATCCTCCTCCTCCTCCTCCTCCTCCTGAACAGTAAGGTCCTCAAACACATCATTGTCACCACACCCTACAGGGGCGCACAGATGCAATCAGATCATGAGCACATCAATTAATCAAGACAACACTTAGATTAACAGTGTGAGTAATGTATGACTTACTATCAATTGTGTAATTGTACAGTAAAATATAATCTAACAAATATTGGCTCATGAGCCCGTAAGTTTGGCTGAGGATGAACTAACTGTCAAGTAATTGAGGATGCAGCATTTACGTCATTAAAGCAATGTGCTCCACTATTTATTTGATGAAGATGCTTTTGAAATTCTACTCATGTGGCAGGCTGTACTCTCTTCATGTATTTTTATTTCACAGCTCCTTAATTTGGGAGACAACAAACAGAAGAGCTCTCTCCCATCTTCTGCCAAACTTTTAGAGGGGGCAGAAAATCGTGATGATTAAATTTAAACTGCTTTGTATTTATCTTCTATCTATCTTTAGTCTTAATCCTGAGTAAGGTTTCCTTCAGTGAGAGCAGGTATTTAAAAGGCTTCAGAATAAACACTTAAAGACAGAGCTTTTTACAAATTAGTGACATTTTTACCTGACTGTTGTTGTTGTTGTTGTTGTTTCAGTGAAATCATAAAAATGATCTGTCTCTCAGTTATGGCTAACAAAGTATTATCATGTGAGGCACCAGCATTAACTCACCATGAGAGATCTGAAAACCCCATTGACTGTGGTTATTGGCATCAGTGCCAGATCACACACTTAATACTTGGTCAAATATCCTGTCAAGTCTTCTAATTAACAGCAAGATAAAATGCTATATTCCTACAGTGTCAGTAAACAACCTGAAGGATATTTTTAATGTAACTCTCAGCTCATTTGGAGAGCACCAAACTTTAGATTGGGGGTTAATGGCTGACCACTCACCAGCGGTGAAAAGGGAAGAAACTGGAAGTCAGTTAAAGCACACAGAGAGCAGAGTGAAAGTCAAGCATCTACACATGCTACAACTCGTCTTCGGCTTTGAGTGTATTACAGGACGACTAAGAGGAAAACACCAACAGAAACTGCGTATTGTGTGTGGGTGTACCTCTTATTTTTTCAGCATTTTGTACAGTCTGCCAATAAAAACAGTGTTATTATTAAGAAAAACCTGAATTCTAATGTGTTACATGTTTAATGCAATGATATTAACATCTAAAGCAAATAAAAATTTTATGTTTGGTGTTATTTCAACCCCAAAAGAGCTGATACAAATAATTCTTGTTATGGAGGTGCAACTAACTATCAAACCTGGGGACTGCTTTATGGCTGCAGCAGTGAACTCTTTTCAAATCAATGAAATCATCTTAGGATCAACGCTTACTGCTGACCTGTTTGTACCCTTGGTTGGTAGCAGTTCCTGAGTGGGATAATAAGGGATGTTACTTTGGTTCAGGTCAAATAATTACATTTTCTGCTGACTCTGCTCCTCCCACTCATCATTTAGAAACACGTGTAATTACGGGTAACTACTGTTTGAAATCAATTAACATTAATCATAAAAAACATTCATCAAAGGCAGTGGAGGACAGAGAGGCAGACAGATAAGAGAGATAACTATCCACAGATAGAGGTGATTTGTTGGCTAATTCACACTGTCTTTTTGATTCATAAGGACTTATATCAAACAACTACAGAGTGTTGATACTGACAGGTTAAAGGTTTTTAAAATGCAGAAGATGTCATCTGTGAATTCAGTGCAAAGGTATTTTCAAACATTTTTTTTGTAGACTGTAGATTCACAAAGGTAAGGTATTTAAGGGTTTGCTCCTTCATCTTCCTTAATTTCATTAAATTAGGCCAAAAACACCTCAAGGAGGCCAAAAGTTAGTTTGGGCACCCCAGAACCACCATCTTCTGTGCCAGCTCTCACAGCCAATCCTCTCATGCAAAAAAAGTAAGGTCAGAACATGGGGCAGAGAAAGCAACACCAGGATGAGGAGAAGTGCTTTGGATGGTCAGATGACTGAAGAAATCACAGTCCTTCAGTCCATTCACATGAGTGAAGATGAAGTTAATTAGGTCTTTGAAGGATGCAGAGACTGACTGACTATTGGTTGCTAGTGTGGCTTGTTTGCGTCTCTTTTGTCTGTTCTGATGCAGCTGATGTAAGAAAGATGGTTAAACACCATACCCATGACAGAGAAAGCATCCTGCTGCGAGTTCACTCCTCCTGTCTCTTTCTCCTTCTTCTCAGCTCCTCTCAGCAGTCTCTGGTGCTTCTGCCGTTCTCTTAGAGCTGATTTCACACTGGTCACCCATGCTTGGTATGCCAGCTATGAGAAAAACAAAGATTCATCAGCACAAAGTCAGCTGTCTATTCTACTAAGCCCAGCTCTTCACTCAGCTGCACATCTCATATGCATGGTTCCTGTGGTGCATGATAAGTCTGTTCCTTCATTGTCAAGTTTTTACCATCACAGACTACTACAGAAATTATTAAATACAACAACCTCTCTCCTCCTCCCCTTCTTCTTCGTGTTCTCTTGTCTTTGTCTTTACTAGTTTGTCTGTTCTTTGATACAGTAGAGGCATGATGGGGGGACCTGCTCCTGACACTAAAGACTCACTCTAACTTAACAAAAACAAATAACTTAAATATTCAGGTGATAATACACCAATTCAGGCGTACTATTACAAGTGTTATAGTCCAGTTCTACCAAGTCAGTTCTGCAAGATGCCACTTAATAATCTCAGGTTCTCTGAGGCAGTGGTCCGCTGAAGTCAACAGTAAACATGGTAAAAAGTAAAATGGACTGCCTTTTGTCTGATCAGACTGTCTCGTCAGAACTAACTGTTGTACAAAAGTTCATATTTTAAAGTTTGTATTTTATAAATCAGCTTTCTGACCTGACAGGCGGTCTGTTTCTGAGGCTTCTGATCCTCAGACTGAAGATCTTCATCTTCACTGTCTGACTCAAACAGGTAGTAGTCTCCGCAGTAGAGCACTGTCCAAGAAAAACCACAGTCCAGTTTTAACACATACAGAAGACAGGACGCTGGGTCAGAAAAATTATTCCACTTAAACCAGTACATCTGTCGCACAGCACTTCCTCGTCTCACCTGTGGCATGGTCTAACCATGGCGGATGCCACTTTGTCTTTTTGGACTTCTTTTTGTCTGTGTAGGTGTCTGAAAAGAGAAGAGAGACGCTTTAGATCAGAGAAATAGCCACAGTGAAGGTTTTACATTGAATTATGATTTAACGGTTAAATCATAATTCAATGTTTAAAAAAACAAAACAATATCCTTCTCTACAATTAATAAAAAGCAATGTGTCCAGGCTCTTTCTTATCTCATCTGGTTTTGGAGAGTTCTTTCCAACTAAGAGTTAAAAAATGTTCAGTAAAAGAAATCTATGTTGTAAATGTAAGAAGAGCTTTAGTAAAATAAAAACTAAAGGAGACAGTGTGAAGATGTAGGCAGCAGAGATGAACACAAGTCCAAGTCCAAGGGCTTTATTTTTGTGTCCGCCAGTGAGGCGGCGGAGGGTGGAGGACCCCGCACAGTGGTATTTTCGTCTGACGTACAGCCAGTTTGGTATTTTTGTAGACTGAGGCGCACCGAGTTCCGCCAAGCTGGGCGTGGTGGCATGGCAGAGGGAGGTGTCAACAGAATCAGCTTGCGCAGTGACATTTTCGTGCTCACCAGTGGCATGGAAAGTGCGCTGAAAGCTCGCCGATTCAAACCTGGTCAGCATTCAGCGCAGGCAGAGCGCAGCTGGTCTAGTGGTATTTTGGTAGACCAGCGGCATATCGGCATACGTCACCGATGCCTCATCGGCAGGTTTCCACAGTGTCAGGCACATTTCAGTGCAATAAATAATCAACAACAACTAATAATCTGAGTCAGCACATACATTTAGATCTATATAGATATATTCTGATCTATATCTGATCTGATGAGTGCGTTTGGCACGCGTTTGGACACACAACCTGACCGAATCAACACAGCTGAAACCGCATTAAATTAAATTAAATATCTAGTAAATAGATGCACATGACGAAGTCAACAAGATATGTAATTCGTCTCCCTCCTTTTCTTTCTTCCTCTTCCTCTTATTTTTCAAGCAGCTCAACCTCGACATGTCTCCGTGTCCTCTCCCTGTGCTGCTGCTGCAGCATCTGAACTGATGATTTGTTTCAGTGATCAGATGAGTTTTTTACTTTAAGCCTACATACGAATATTATAATATTCAGTTTTGTGAGCCAAATTTATTTTATATGCCAACATCTATGAAAGAAAGAGCCAGGCCACTGAGCCTGATGCATCATTTACGCAAAGATGGTTCCGATTTTAATGCCATTTTTGGAATTAATGATGTAATCTCTGCGCACAACCCACCTTTGTCACGTGAGGTTTGAATATGTGCAACTTTATGTGAGTGTCTTCATTTGTGGAACAGGTGTTTGTATTACTAGTGTGTCCAACATTACACACACCAAATCCATCTGTGCTCAAATGAGACAGTGTGAAGGACTCCCTCTGCAGCAATTACAGTGACACTTGTTTAGGGGCTGCCTTCTGTCGCCATCGTGTGGCATTACTGTCTTCAGACATCTCTTGATCACTTTGACTACTTTGCGAAAATAGTCAAGGAGAAAAAAGGCAAGGAGAGGAGCTGATGTTATTGGTCAATACAGGTCTCAGCTGTGTTAAACCCACTCCACGCCCTCTCTCCTCCCTCGCTATGATTTACACCACTGGGAGGAGCTGAGTTAGGGAGGGGGGACTGCGCCGCTCACCAAAATACCAAATTGTGCTTGGGAACGCCTTGTCAGCGTGGCGGACCTGACTTACGCCGTGCCTGCATCACGTCTCTGGCAAAGCACGAAAATAGAGCCCCAAGTCCTAGAGTGCAGTGTCAAGAATCCCAGAGGAGCAGTCTGATCCTCACTCTGTTATTATTGAGCTGTGATATAACTGCATACAGATTCACTGTGTCATATCCATTACCTGTTTAGTTTTTAACTGTATTTGATTTAATTACAGTGACCTCTCAACTGCATCCCTTGTATCAATAACATGTGTTTGCTGAATTGTTTCTATTATTTTATATCAGTATGTAATGAAATATAATATTGTTTAGCTTTTAATGCTACTCCAGCTCATTTGACTTGAATTGAACTGAACTGAATGGAGAGAAACAAAGATAGTTTTTTTTCCACCCACCAGTACTCAGACTTTTCTCGGTTCCCTCACTAGTTTTGTGTCCATCTCTGTACTTTTGCTGCTTTGAACGTATTCTCTGCATTCTGGGGAGACGAAACAAGAAAAAGAGGAGGAGAGTTAAAAACAGGAGTACTGACATTTTTCCCTGGATATCAGGACTATAAGAGGTTCATCAGCTCCCTGTTGAAATTTTTGTCAAATTTATTTTTAAAATCATGCTCTTTATACTATATAAGTGCATTTTGTTTTGCAACAAGAACAACATAGATATGGGGTCAAGTATACGTTTGAATTGACTATTCAGCTGTTGTTTAGGGGTTCTCAAATAAATTTATTATACTTACGATCTCTTGAGCTGTGATAATGATTTTCTCTCAGCTTGTTGGTGGAACTGAATGTTTCTTACAATGCTGGCTTTAAAAAGCTCAAAACCCCTGGAAGAAAGAAAAAAACGCTGTCAATGCATTAGTTAGAAAGTCACTGCCAACCAGAGAGGCATTTTTCACAGCAGCTGCATTTGGGCCAATCAATGAACGGTGTCAGATTATTTTTTTGGAATCAGCTCCATTTTGGGGTTTAGTACCAAATCTATCAAAAGAACCAATACTTTCTAAAATGTTACAGCCAGACTTTCAATATTTCCCATTTCTATTGAACATCTCATCTGACAGTACAGCCATAAAGCGCTTCAGTGGGGGTCTCTGTACACAGCACATGAGGTTACATTAATAGGAGACATGGAACACTTGAAAAAAGTTCAATAAAGTCAGATATTTTTAAATGAAAAGTTTGATGGCTTTATCAACATAACTGCAGAGTTGGGATTTTCATTTCTGTGTACTTTTACAGTCTTGTGTTCAGCATCAGCTCTTTGATTCAGACAGTGATCTATGTTTGCATGGTGCTGTACCTTGAGGCCTGTTTAGCAGTAGCCTGTATCTCTGCCACCACATGCAGAAAGTAGAAACTAAGAAAGACCCTCCTCTGCAGCAAAAGGCAGAGAAAACAGATGCTGTCCCAGATAATGCCAGCCTCTTCTACTGGGAGGCTGCAGGTCTTGTCAGTCACTGCTTTTGCTGTCCAGGGGGGAAAAAGCACATGCGCCCACACACACACAAACGCAGGCATGCACGCACACACACACACACACACACACACACACACACACACACACACACACACACACACACACACACACACACACACACACACAGTTACACACTTATGGTTATGTTAGTCAGGTGTGTCTCTTACATTAAAAAGCATCTACATGCAGCTGTGTATTTAAAAACAAGACTTGAATGCCTGACCAGACACCTGCTCTTGAACCAACATACAGAGATGTACTGTAAAAAAACACCAAACTCTTAATTTAAGTTAATTACTGTCATATGTTTATCATTACAATCTGGTATCAGCGTAACTTACGGTCATAGTAGCCTTTGACTGTGCAAACCAGACTGAAAAGCTGGATCACCCAACAAAAGCCTTGCTGCATCTGACGCACGAACACACAAGCAAGGATCTGAAACACAAACACAGACACACAAACACATAGACACACACACACAAAGGATGTCAGGTCAGGTCAGGTCAGTGAATAACATTTTTCCATCACATAAAGACAGCTCTCTATCACCCTGGAGAGTAAAGACTTACTTTCTAAGTCATCATCAGTTTCAAGGTGGCTAAACTACTCCAGCACAGAGTTACACAAGAAAAGTACAAAATCGTACAAAATGTTAAAGGCACCACAGATGACACCACAGTAACTTTGACCAACCTCAAAGTCACACAATATTACCTTTACCTACCCTTGGCAGAGGAACTAACTCTACATACAGAGTTGACTGTCAACCTGATAAACCGATCAGAGTTGCTGTGTGTACATTTATATGAAAAAAAAACAGAGTGAGCTCACAGGTGTGAGCAGGTCTGCTGTCAACAGATCATCTTATCCTAAAAACCCAGAGCAAAGGGAATGATTTTACAGAAATACATAGATACACTCTAGACTAAAACCAACAGGAAAAACATCTGGAGCAAACTGAAGGCTAATGGTTTGTCTTCCATCATCACTACATGTTTGATCTGACTATAATAATCCCCATTCTCAACTGGATCAACAGTGTCTCTCCACCTAGTTACATGTTCCAAATGACTGACCCCACAGGGCAGGTGACCCTGATATTTCTTTACAACACAGCACTACATAGCCCAGGCATGGGCACAGGTTTTTAATGCCCAGATGTGCTCGGACTCACTCTTTTATCTATTTCCTCTTGGCAGCAGACATGTGAGCATCAGCCACAGACTGCATTATAAAACTCATAAAAGTTTTGGCAAGGAAGAAAGCTGTTCGTGATGCTCCTCTTAGGCTCCTCTTTGAAGGTTGTTGTTGGGACAAAGGCAGACAGATTACTCTCTATGGTCACCAGCTGCACAGGCACTTAAAGGGCACTCAACATTTTCTATTACAACTTTGGTGCAAGAACAGCTTTGTTCAGTGAGGGAACTCTTGTTGGACTATGTAGAATATATCCACATGTGAGCCACTGGTGTGTTCAGGTTCCCAAAAATCCCGAGGTAGTGCTGTTATGAAGGCCCACTCATGAGCACAAGTAGTTTTCTTGATTTGTGGGCCTTACCTTACAGTTCACACACCTGCACCACCGGTTTATTAACCAAACAGTAGATACCCTCGCTGCCAGCTGCTGCTTTTGCAATGTATTTCGAAGGTCCAAAGTAGCATCAGCTAATGAGCGTCATACTTACTGATAACAAGTTTTTAGATATAATGACTCCCACATTATAGATGATGAGACAGTCCCACAGGACCAGGCGGGTTCTGGATGGTTTAACAAACAACCGGGTCCCAAACAGAAGAAAAAAGAAGCAGGAGAGGAGGTAGCCGAGTCCAAACACAGAGATCCTGGTGGCCCCAGTAATAAAGACCACTGATAGCACCAACCAGAAGAGGTGACGAAACACCAGGACTTTGGCCATGTCCAGGTAGCTCCTGTGGGAGGAAGAGATAGAACAAGTCCAAAAATCTTAAAGATAAGGTTTAAGTGAGAAACTGACCTTTTCTTGGGACAATGGGAAACTCTGACACAAAGACTGACCAGTCATGTGAGGGGAACCACCTCTATTTACCTGCAGTTGATAAAATTAGGAGCAGGGTTAAACAGTCGACCCTCCATTGGTTCAGGGTCATCAGTGTTTTCTCCTGCCAGAACCATCCACTCCTCTGTGTGCTCACAGTCAAACACCTTCCACTGCTGAGAAGCACACATCAGCAGCACAAAGTCCGCTACAGATGGGAATTAAAGAAAAATATATCAATAATAATCAGCATCGGTCTGTACATTGACTTCTACTTCAGAGTTCTCAGTGGTGTTGAGGATGTATTATAATGTTGAAGTTTAATACTGTCACTGATTGGCTGGATGATATCAAGACATCTGCTTCAATACTCACCACTCACCTCTCTAACTCAAACTAGACAGCTCTGTCTTCATTCTTTTCTTCTGTCTTTGGTCTATCTTTTTTTAACAACTCATCCTAAAACTTTTCTTTGTTTCCTGCTGCATTCCCTGGTGTTCTGTCCTTAACAAACCCCATCCATCCATTTACCATCCATCCATCCATCTGTTTACGTATTCAGGGTCAGGACACAGAAGCAGCAGCCAAAGCAAGTCAACCCAGACCTCATCTTTCCCAAGGTATACCATCCACCTCCTCCTGGAGGATCCTGATGTTAAATCCTTTCAGTGAGTTTTGGATCTACCCAAGATTTATTTTTTTATTAATTTTGTCTTAACTCTCAACATACTCAAATTAAACCCTGTTCTGAGCTTCTATGTTTGACGTGGTTGCTGCTAAACTTTGGATCCATCTCCATCTGGACCTGAGAACTGTGAACACTGGATGTTTTCAAAAAGCAGCTGTAGACCCATTTGTGACTTTTTTGACATGTATTTGTTTATATCCTGATGTTTTAGTCTTTTAATTTGTTGTTGTGGAGCACTTTGTGACACCTGTTCCTAAAATGAACTATATAAATAGAGTGTACTCTTTGTATGTATAGTGCCATAAGGTGTGTGTAAAATAAACTTATTGAGGCTGATATGTTCCACTCAAAAGTAGTTTTGTGAATATGAATAAATTCACAAGTGTAGCTGACTTTGTGAAAACACAGAGATAAAAACAAAGACAGACCTATGAGGTTTCTGGAGTTAGGCACAGTGTAGAAGTCAGGCAGATAGATCCATTTAATGAGGGCGGAGTCCATCAGCACCAGAGTTTTCCAACGCCATGGGTAGTCTACGGGACAAAGGACACACAAAAACACTATTGATGGATGGATGTGTTAGACAGGGACTACATCTTCAGGGGTTTTGCTTCAGCTGAGCAGAGTACTATGTGATCACCAATGGAGCCTAATTGAAAGTTTGCTCCACATAGTATTTGCTCAGTTTTACGTTAACACAGAAATATCCTGTAGTAATGTTCTTACAGTAATATACAGTACAGGCCCAAAGTTTGGACACACCTTCTCATTCAATGCATCTTCTTTATTCTTATTACTATTTTAATTGTAGATTCTCAGTGAAGGCATCAAAACTATGAATGAGCACGTGGATTCATGTGCTTAAGAAAAAGGTGTGAAATAACTGAAAACATGTTTTATATTTTATATTTCTCAAAGTAGCCACCCTTTGCTTTTTTGAGAGCGCTGCAAACTTTTGCTGTTCTCTCAATGAGCTTCATGAGGTAGTCACCTGAAATGGTTTTTACTTCACAGGTGTGCCATGTCAGGGTTACTTCATGACTAACAGAGTCAGTCACTAAGTACTTCTGTCATTAAGAGCAAAGGGTGGCTATTTTAAAGAAACTAGAATATAACACATGTTTTCAGTTATTTCACACTTTTTTTATAAGTACAAAATTCCACATGTGTTTATTGGTGTTTATTGTGTAAATGGTCATATAAATAAATATAGAAAAGACATTGAATGAGAAGGTGTGTCCAAACTTTTGGCCTGTACTTTACTTTAACTGTGGTCTGATAAAGGACAGCAGATAAAAATGTGTCCATCTGTCTTTTTATTCCTGATAAAATGAGAAGTTGGTTTTAAAAACAGTCTCTGGTTTATGATTCAAAAAAGTTTATGAATGAAAGCGAAAGAGGTTCAAAAAATGAAGAATACATTAATCTTATTCTTGAACTGTAGCTTGTGATTAAGACCTTTAAATGTTCAACACATTGTGCCAGAAGCTTATGAACCAGCAGCACCTTAGCAGGTTACTTTGATACTCATGAGTCTAATTCTGGTATTTGAAAATTATTTATGAGGGCTCCTGAAAATATCTTTATGCATAGAAATTTCGCCTCTTTTTGTGTTGGCTTTCATCGGGGGGTGACTTTGATCTGGTCCACATTATCTGGGGATAACTAAACCATAAACAACAAGATGGAGTGTTTTTGTGATTCTGTACTGATGGTGTTTGTTAACGGGTCTGTATAAAAACATTGTTACAATAGTTACAATGTTGTTTAATACAATAGCCACACTAACTACGGCCCACTGATGGCTGGGCTGCTGTTAAATCTCCTGGTCTTTCCAACATGAGCAAAGCATCATCTCTCCTGCTCCGTCACAGTCAAATCAGAATAAATGCGTTCATGTACAGAGCTGCAATCTGGATAGAGGTTCATCAGCTGAGCTCTGTTTATAACATCTACAGTAATTTTGACATTCATTTAAATCTGCACCCTTTTTAAGGATCTAAAACACATGGGGCTCTATTTTCGTGTACGCCAGTGAGGCGACGGAGGGTGGCAGACCCCGCGCAGTTGTATTTTTGTTTGGCGGAGCCCGGCGTACAGCCAGTTTGGTATTTTCGTGGACTGAGGCGCACAGAGGCGAACCGAGATCCGCCAAGATGGGCATGGTGGCATGGCAGGGGGAGGTGTCGACAGAATCAGCGGGCGCAGTGACATTTTCGTGCTCGCCAGTGGTGTGTAAAGTGCGCTGAAAGCTTGACAATTCAAACCTGGTCAGCATTCAGTGCAGGCGGAGCGCAGCTGATCTAGTGGGATTTTGGTAGACCGGCGGCGTATCTGCATACGTCCGGCAGGTTTCCACAGTGTCAGGCACATTTCAGTGCAATAAATAATCATCATCAACTATTAATCTGAGTCAGCACATACATTTAGATCTATATAGATATATTCTGATCTATATCTGATCTGATGAGTGCGTTTGGCACGCGTTTGGACACACTACCTGACAGAATCAACACAGCTGAAACCACATAAAATTAAATTAAATATCTAGTAAATAAACACACATGATGTAGTCAACAAGATATTTAATTCGTCTCCCTCCTTTTCTTTCTTCCTCTTCTTCTTATTTCTCATGCAGCTCGACCTGGACATGTCTCTGTGTCCTTTCCCCGTCCTTTTGCTGCTGCTGCGGCTGAACAGATTATTTGTTTCAGTGATCAGATGAGTTATTTACTTTAAGCCTACATACAAATATTATAATATTCAGTTTTGTGAGTCAAATTTATTTTATATGCCAACATCTATGAAAAAAAAGAGCCAGGCCACGGAGCGCGATGCGTCATTACGCACAGATGGTTCCGATTTTAATGCCATTTTTGGAGTTAATGTTGTGATCTGTGCGCTCAACTCACCTTTGTCACATGAGGTTTGAATATATGCAACTTTATGTGAGTGTCTTTTTTTTGTGTAAAAGGGTGTTTGTCTTACCAGTGGGTCCAACATTACACACACCAAATCCATCTGTGCTCAAATGAGAGAGTGTGGAGGACGCCCAATGCAGCGCTTACAGTGACACTTGTTGAGGAGCTGCCTTCTGTCGCCATCGTGTGGCATTGCTGTCTTCAGACATCTCTTGATCTCTTAGACTACTTCACGAAAATAGTAATACACCTCGCCGGTGGCGGATTTAAAGGTAAGGAGAGGAGCTTATGTGATTGGTCTCGGCTGTGTTAAACCCGCTCCATGCCCTCTCTCCTCCTTCGCTATGACTTACGCCGCTGGGAGGAGCTGCGTTAGGGAGGGGGGATACTTATGACGGGCTGCGCCACTCACCAAAATACCAAATTGTGCTTGGGAATGCCTTGGGAACAGGGCGGACCTGACTTACGCTGCGCCTGCGGCACATCTCTGGCGAGGCACGAAAATAGAGCCCCTTGTCTGAGATGTATGGCACAGGGTGAATCAGGGTGTGTCCATCCACATTTTTCTATTTAGGCTGCACACAATGGGTGCAAACTAAGGTAAATAGGTTGATATTATTATTTAAAGGCATGATTCTGGCTTTACATGAAAAAAACGGCCAGTGTGTCACCTTTTATTACCTTAAAGGTAGGGGTGGTGGCTGAGGAAGTGTCAGTTTTGGGGAAAAAACTTAAATGTAAACACTACAGAGAATAATCTACAACACAGCAACATCCGTGAAGTGTGGAGAGGAATCAGTACCATCTATGGACACAGCAGTCAAAAGAAAAGACAGCTAGTGGTGGGTGATGTGAAAAGAGCTGATGAACTCAACCTGTTCTTCAACATATTTGACACTGCTGTCACTCCCACTTGCACTGCTACTCCACCTTCCTCTCCGCAACAAATCTCCACTACAACTTCTCCCCTTCCTCCTCCATCTTGTTTAAATATCTCAACCACTTCAACTGCCTCCCTCCTAGAACACCAGTCCTTGTCTGTCACCCAAACAGGGGTGAGGATGGAACTTGGAAGACTTTGTCCTGGGAAGGCAGCTGGTCCAGATGGTGTTCATCCAAAGCTGCTTAGAGACTGTGCTGCAGTACTGTGTCAACCTCTCCACAAGATCTTCAACCTGAGTCTACAGCTGGGGCGGGTACCTGCTCTGTGGAAAACATCCTGCATTGAGCCAGTACTAAGAACAAAATGTCCTGCTGAACTCAATGACTACAGACCAGTGGCCCTCACTTCACACATCATGAAAACCCTGGAGCGGCTGATTCTACACCTTCTGAAGTCTGAGGTCAAAGACAAACTGGACTCCCTGCAGTTTGCATACAAAGCACACATTGGAGTGGATGGTGCTGTCCTCTACATGCTTCACCATGCCCTGTCTCATCTGGAGGAACCTGGGGTTTATGTGAGGATCATGTTCTTGACTTTTCAAGTGCATTCAACCCCATCCAACCCTCCATACTCAAAGACAAGCTCGCAGAGATGGGAGTGGATCCTTCCTGTGTTTCCTGGATCACAGATTACCTGACAGGAAGGCCACAGTTTGTCAGGCTGGGGAACTGTGTTTCTGGGACATTAATGAGCAGTACAGGGGCTCCACAAAGGACAGTGCTGGCGCCATTCCTGTTCGCACTGTATACATCAGACTTCAAATACAGTACTGAGTCCTGCCACATCCAGAAATACTCAGATGACACTGCTATCGTGGCATGTATCAGAAATGGACAAGAAGCTGAATACAGAGATCTGATAAGAACCTTCAGTGACTGGAGTCACAAAAACTGCCTCCTCCTCAACACCTCAAAGACAAAGGAGATGGTCATAGACTTCGTAGATCCAAACCCCCTCTTCAGCCAATGAACACCTGTGAAGTGGACATCGAAGTGGTGACATCATATAGATACCTAGGTGTACACCTGGATAATAAGTTGGATTGGTCTAAGAATATAGACTTCATCTACAGAAAGGGGCAGAGCCGCCTCTTTTGCCTGAGAAGACTCTGATCAATAGACATCAGTAGATGCTGCAGATGTTTTATCAGTCTGTGGTGGCAAGTGTGCTGGTCTACGCTGCAGTCTGCTGGGGAGGAAGCATCAAACACAAAGATGCAAGACGTCTGAACAAACTGGTGAAAAAGGCTGGCTCTGTGGTAGGACTCAAGCTGGACTCAGTGGAGGATGTGGTGGAGAGATCTACACTGAGGAAGGTGGAGTCTATTCTCAAGAACATGGATCACCCACTTCACAACATCTTGATGGACTAAAGGGCCAATGGTGGTGGACGGCTCCTCTCTCTTCTCTGCAGGGCAGAAAGATTCAGAAGATCTTTTGTACCAACAGCCATTAGACTTTATAACTCTTGTTTAAATAGTAGATAACTTTTATAGACATATTTCGTGAGACAACAGACAATTGAATTTCCTTTCGGGGATCAATAAAGTTCTTCTTCTTCTACCCCTCCCAACCAGTTTTCCCCTCAGCTCCTCCTCTCCCCTCCCTTTCTAATCCAGCAAGCCCCGCCCACAAACAGACGCTTGTGCTCGCTCATATCGTTCCAGTTAAATTCAGATATAATGAAGTTAATACTTCAGATGATTACAAATGGGGCCCAGTCAATGTGACAGTAAAAAGCATTGGTGCTACTGTAGTCATCTACCTGCTGCAGAGGTCCATGGCTTACTTGGAGAACACTGGCAGCACTGTGAGGGTCATGTTTTTTGACTTCTTCAGTGCTTTCAACACCATCCAGCCTTCACTGCTCAGGGGGAAGCTCGAGAGGGCGGGAGTGGACTGTGACCCAGCTGCATGGACCGTGGACTACCTCCTGCACAGACCAAGGGACAGTGCTCTCCCCCTTCCTCTTCACCCTGTACACCTCAGACTTCAGCTACAACTCTGGGAGCTGTAACCTCAAGAAGTTCTCTGATGATACAGCCATCGTCGGATGTGTATCGTCAGGGGATGAGTGGGAATACAGGACTGTCATCACTGACTTTGTCAACTGATGTGGCACAAACCACCTCCAGCTTAACACCAGTAAGACAAAGGAGATGGTCGTGGATTTCCGCAGGAGGAGGACACCTCAGACTGTTTAGTGAACATCCAGGGTCTGGACATCGGTGGAGTCCTACAGATTCCTGGGTGTCCACCTCAACAATAAACTGGACTGGTCAACAAACACAGACGTCTTGTACAAGAAGGGCCAAAGTCGTCTCCACCTGCTGAGGAGACTGAGGTCTTTTGGAGTGTGCAGGACTCTGCTCAGGACTTTCTATGACTCTGTGGTAGCATCTGCACTTTTCTATGCAGTGGTCTGCTGGGGGGCAGGGGGCACCGAGAGGGACAGGAAGAGACTGAATAGACTGGTCAGGAGGGCCAGTTCTGTCCTGGACTGTTCTTTGGACTCCCTGGAGGAGGTGGGTGAGAGGAGGATGTTAGCAAAGCTTGTATCCATCATGGACAATCCCTCTCACCCACTGCACCAGACTGTGGGGGCTTTAAGCAGCTCCTTCAGCAGCAGACTTAGACTCCCACCTTGCAAGACGGAGCGCCGGTAATACAACAATATTGCTGTGTTATGTCTGTCTAGTCAACATTTAAACATTTTTTAAGCGCCCCACTCTTTCTGACTGTAAACAAAGCCATTCTCCACCTCCACCAACCTGATTGGTTGTGAGGCAGACGCTGCTCCCTCGTGTGGTGAGGCACGCTCCACGTCCTCCAATGACATGCACAAGCCCAAACAAAGTTAGTGTGCTGCAATATCTGACAGTAGAAACCAACCAAAAAGGATGGAAAACACAAGCAGTAAAACAAAGTAAATAGCAGAGACTCTGGTGGAATAATGGGCGCTTAAAACAGAGGTAGACCAGATGAGAGATTAAAAACCGGCTCAACATCAGCATAAACGCTTCGGGATCTTACGGACCCGGATTCCTCCCTTCTGCAATAAGACTTAACAATGAACTGTAATAAAACTGGACTCACACCACCACTTTTTTTCTGGTACTAGTTCTTAAATTGTGTATATTATATTAGTAGATAGTTTTATTTTTCTACTCCCTTTTTCCTTTTCCAAAATTTTTTCTCAATTATTACATTTATTTAAGTTCTTAATATAATGATCTTTATTTTTATAACTGCATTTTTGCACTCTTTGTCTGTGATGCTGCTGTGACAAATAAAAATTCCCCCATGGGGGATCAATAAAGGAATAATAGGAATATTCTATTCTATTCTATTCTTAAGGATTGTTAAAAAATGTGGTGCTGCTCTGTGTGTGTGTGTGTGTGTGTGTGTGTGTGTGTGTGTGTGTGTGTGTGTGTGTGTGTGTGTGTGTGTGTGTGTGTGTGTGTGCGTATCACCCTGTGCCAGTAAAGCTTGGCAACATCTCAGGCTGTACTTTTCATGATCGCACAGGGTCCACATCACATGATTTCATATCAGAACTCACCTATGCAGAGAGCAGGTGGTATCCCAACACACAGTAGATACTGGAAGATCATGAAGATGGACAGGAAGAGACAATATTTGGGCCAGATTCTTTCAATCTCAGCCCGTCGCCGCCTGACCAAGATGGCTACCAACCAACAGCCGTGAATTATCACCATGAAGTTCATCCTCTGGCCAATCACATTCACCGTCATCAGGAAGCAGATCTGTCCAAGCAGCAAACAGGTTTTTAGGAGAAAAAAACAAGTCAAAAGAAGAAGGACAAACCATGCTATAAAAGGCTGATTTAACCATTTTAGACTTTAATCACTGGCACTTCTGAAAAGTGATTCATGCATTAGAAAACACCTAAGTATGATTTTTTTCATTCCTACAGGTTGAAGTAAGGTATTCTAATGAGGTACAGATACCTCTAATCCAAACTTATAGAAGATGTAGTTAAGCAGGTACTTAAAGCAGGGTACAAGGCCCTGGTCTAAAGTGTCTCTGGTTGCTTTGGGGAACAGAGCAGGGATGGTCGGCGGAGATCGCTGGAGCTGACGATAGTGGTGAGCCTGGTGACGGTAAACTGTTGCCTCAAACACAAGCAGCATCAACACAATCAAATGGTTCTGCAAAAAAGTCAGACAGGACAAAGCGTTTCTACATCTTCAAAAAGTCTAAACGATCCTGTTCTTGCCCGCCAGACCAAATAAACATCACTCACCTTGCTGTATCCCAGTACTGTGGCATCCTTTCTGATACCAAACCATTTAGCTGGATCCACCGGCTCTGCATACAGTGAAGACTTTGACATCTCCTCTGATGACAGGTTTGTTTCATTTGTTAGAGGCTGTAAGGAAAAAGTACACAAGCAATTTCATTGCCAGTGGAAATCTCATTCCTGTAGCTTCATCAAGCCAAGAGTTATGATCGAGTTTCATTTATGATAATGTGATGGGCACATTATCAGAAATGACTTCAGTGATGATGATAATCCTCTGACATATTCATGCACCATGATCAGCCAAGACCAGGAAAAGTGATGTGTGGAAGTGTTTTGACACAAAAGGTGACAATAACAAGTTGCGGAAGATCTGCAGACACAAGTTTCAAGTTTGACATTAAGACGGAGGAGACCGGTGATGGGCAGTCTCACATCAGGGTATTTGTTAGCAGACGGAAGAAGCAGAGTGAAGAAGATCAGCCAGCTAATAACAAAAACGGAGACTGGAGACATGATCCCATTAATTTTAGTGAGGGGAAAGCTGATGGTGGTTTGTTGAGCCCATCCCTTATTTCTGAGGACCTGAAAACATGCACAGTCATGATTTGCACTTGAACATCCTAACTGAGTGAGGGGCGATGAACAGCATTGGGTCCAACAGCCCTAAAGAAAGGACTACATGATATATAACATGAAGCCTCAGCCTTATAGATGTGTGTGGATGTGTGTCTTACCAGGCTACAGTTACTGGAGTACTCCACGGGGTTGACCACAGTGAGCTGGTACAACATCTTACACACAATGATGACACAAACCCAAACTGTAGATAAACAGGATGCCATCGGCCTGAAGCGACTGTATGGCATCGCCAGTGACCACAACACTACCAGAACCAGGTTCATCACAGATGGCTGCAGAAAAACAAAGAATAAGAACAAAAATCAAGCCATAATAAACCCAAGGTTTTATCACTGGTATCAAACATTTATCATCACTGATCCTTTAGGTCCAAACCGAAATAAACTCTTATCAAGCTGGATGTTCAGTGACTAAATGACTGTTACAAAAGGTAAATGTCTAAAGAAGTCATTTTTTATGAGTCTGTCTGCTGCAGAGATGCTTCAGAGACATACTGTGACCAACCCCAGTGTTTCACTCACAGACACACTGGTGTTGAGACACAGTCCTGCAAAGTGATGCAAGGGTTGAGGATTCTCCCACTCTTAAATAATCAAGAGCTGAAGGGCTCTGATGCAGACTTCACAATGCCAGTGCCCTTTACTCTTTTCCCAACACAAACACCCCCACCCTTTACCTCCTCTACTGCAACCCACACGGAGAAGAAGGCCACCATCTTGAGAATGTGGAGCTCCAGAAGCCTCCAGAGAAACACTTGAAGTTTGGTCAGAATCTCTGAGAACTTTGAGGACAGAACCAGTAACCTGTCCATCACCAGACCCCATTTACTGGGCACTGGCTCCACTGAGCAGGAGGATGATGGATACATCAGGGGATGAAGGGGTGAGGGCCACATGATAGAAACAACAAATGGAGAACATCCAAATGAGATCAGGTGAAAAATGATGTCGTGAAAAAGTGTCTCAAAAGTGAACTGTTACTGTTCTGCCTACCTTCCTCTTCAGATTCCTCATCAATGTTTGTCAGCCGGTCTTCTTCTCTAGAATTAACCCCTTCATTTCTGGGACCAATGTGCTCAGGCTTCTGACTGTTCTTCCTGGTGGCAGATTGTCTTTGTTAGTTAAAATGAGAGTATGTAAGGAGTCCTAATCCTGAGATAAACTGAGTTAACTTGGTTTCAGGAGTCAGAATGTTAAATAGGAACAGACTATATTCTTGAACTATACCAGGATATTATCCCCTCTGGCTACTTTTGCCAATTTACTGTATGTCTGGTAAGAAAATTATAAACTCTAAATATAAACATTAAATGAAATGATTAAAGGTACTTTGTGACCATTGTAAATTTAGATGCCACATTGAGAAACACATTTCTAAAAGTACAACAGTAAATGCAAGGCTTGGTAACAGTAAATACAAACCTAAGTTTGCGCAAAATGTGAATAAAAACAGAACACAGTGAATTTTACATCGTCGACCTATATTCAATTAAATGCACTACAAAGACACGATATTTCATGTTCAAACTGATCAATTTCACTTACCTCGAGGGTAAATAAAGTATTCTGATTCTAATATTATTCACATTTTACAATACGTCTCAACATGGAATTGGGGTTTGTAGTTTTAGTGATAACTTCTTGTGCTAAGATTAAAATATCCTGATAAAAAAGGCTGGAAAGGCTGTTGTCTTTTTATACTTCTCATTTTTCTTATTAATACCCACAGACAGAACATCAGTGTCAATAATATGACAATAAGCTGTGTGAGAATTCCAGTTAGCCAAACTTTTAAACATTTGCATAGATGTGTTTCAGTCTCCCGTCTCCCTCATCCTAACCCCCTAACGAATTCACAGTCCCTCTGTATAGTATTCACAGCCCTAAGCTTTTTTCACATTTTCTTGTGTTACAGTCTTATTCCAAAATGGATTAAATTCATGTTTTACCACAAAATCTGACACACAATACCCCATAATGACAACTTTAAAAAAGTTTGTGTTGAAACTTTTGCAAATCTTCTTTGCAAAACCTCTTAAGCTCCGTCAAGTTGGATGGGGAGCCTTGGTGCACAGCCATTATAGATCTCTCCAGAGATGTTTAATTAGGTTCAAGTCTGGTCTCTGGCTGGGCCACTAAAGGACATTAACAGTTGTCCTAAAGCCACTGCTGTGTTATCTTGGCTGTGTGCTTAGGATCATTGTCCTGTTGAAGGATGACTCTTCATCCCAGTCTGAGGTCAAGAGTGCTCTAGAGAAGGTTAACATCAAGGATGTCTCTGTACATTGCTGCATTTATCTTTCTCTCTACCCTGACTAGTCTCCCAGTAGACTTAGATGGCTCCCTTCAGACAAGACACTTGGCATCCAGGCCAAAGAGTTCAATCTTTGTTTTATTAGACCAGAGAATTTTGTTTTTTAATGGTCTGAGAGTCCTTCAGCTGCCTTTTAAACTCCAGGCAGTCTGTCCTGTGCCTTTTACTGAGGAGTGGCTTTAATCTGGCTAATCTACCATACAGGCCTAGTGGTGGAGTGCTGCAGAAATGGTTGTCCTTCTGGATGGTTCTCCTCTCTCCCCACAGCAATGCTGGAGCTCTCTAAAAGTGACCATCAGGTTCTTGGTCACCTTTCTGACTAAGGCCCTTCTACTGCGATCATTCAGATTGGCGGCCAGCTCAAGGAAGAGTCCTGGTGGTTCCAAACTTCTTGCATTCACAGATGATGGAGACCACTGTGGTCACTGGGACCTTTAATGCTGCAGAAATTTTCCTGTTCCCTTTCCCAGATCTGTGACTCCATACAGTTCGGTCTCAGAGGTCTACAGACAATTCCCTGGACTTCATGACTTGGTTTGTTCTCTGACATGCACTGTCAACAATCAGACCTTGAACAGACAGGTGTGTGTCTTTCCAAATTATGTCCAATCAACTGAATATACCAAGGATGGAGTCCAGTCAAGTTGTGGAAACATCTGAAGCATGATGAGTGGAAACAGGATGTTCATGGGCTCAATTTTGAGTGTCATAGCAAACACTCTGAATTCCTATGTACATGTTATGTTTTAGTTTTTTTATTTCTAATAAATTCGCAAAAGTTTCAAACAATACCTTGTCATTATTGGTGATTGTGTGTCAAATTTGGATGTAAAACGTGAATTTAATCCATTTTGGTACAAGGGTGTAACAGAAAAATGTGAAAAAAGGGTAGCGCTGTGAATACTTTCCAGATGTATCTCCATCCAGATGTTCAGCTTGACTGAAAATATGGGCTCAAATATCCTGATCTCTTACAAGAACTCTAATAAATACAAAAAACAACATTTTGAAGGAGAATGAGCCTGACTCATTGTACTTCTGTAAAGGTGTGACATGATCCAGGTCAGTAATCCTCATGAAGGGTTTGTGGAAGTAGTGTAGCTGCAGAATACAGGCCAGCAAAAAGAATCCTGGGATCAGGATACTGGTGAAGAGTTCAGACAGAGCAAACGTCTCCAGACCAATTGCTGCCAGTCTGAGGAAGAGAGCAGAGACACATTACATATTCATGTCATTTTTCATTCAAATGCTGTTTCTTAATTCTTTTCACTCCTGTGCCTACAGGCCTACAGAGTGAGAAACAAAGACGTCTTAAGTTTGTGTTTGATACATACTGATTTTCTGTGAAGCCAGTGAAGTTTCTCCAATAGCCAGGAAAGTCCTCAAACTGATAGGTGTAGATGGTGATCAGCACCACCATAGTGTAGGCTACGACGAGCCACCAAAAGAGCTTCAACAAACGCCTCCATAACGAGTAATACACCTGAGACACATGAACACACCAACCACCTTTTATTGTTTTATTTCATGATGAGTACACCTTACTGACCAACAACTACAAGAGGTTTATAAAACAGCCTGAATCAGTGTTCAGTGTGCTTGATCCTACCTGATACAGACAGAGGCAGAGCAGGAACAGCAGCATGTAGACAATTTTGTAACCAACAAGCTTTCCAGCAAAAGAGACCATGATGAACATCCCTCCACACACATAGATCCAGTATTTGGCATAACAGGTCATCACCATGCCTCCTAAAACCTTCAGCACTGACTCACTGCCAACCTTCTCCTCTGAAAAGCCGATTAGAAAGTTAGTGTTCAACACAATCCTTCAATGAGAAAGAAACACATCATCATTTTGTGTGTGTGCATCTGAGTGCATGCATCCATGTGTGTGTAGGACATATTACCCCCCGTAGTGACTTCTTGTAGTGGGGTAAACATTTTTTTCTTCATGCTGAAGTTTTCCTTCACTGACTGACGTACCAACAACCAGAAGGTTAAAGTGAACAAAAGCTAAATGAGAAGAAAAAGGCAAAACAATAAATAAAAGATGGTTCAGTCAGTTTCAGAGAAGGCTTTCTAACAGCAGCAAAAAGACAAAATCTAGATTTATTCTGCCCTGTACATCAGAGGAACTTTTCCGGCAAGTCTCTCTTATACACACAACCACAGCTGTTATGAACCAAATCTAAATCATCTTCATCACATCGCCAAGTATCTGCTGTCGTTCCTCATCTTACCATGGCTCCCAGTCTTAGACAGGGGTACTGGGGTCTGTCTAGTCCTAGCTGACTGAGGCTCATGGTCCCCAAACTGGTGGGCAGTTCAGGCTGAAGCTCCATAGCCCATACATACTGCAGACAGCACAGAGCCAGGCCGTAGAGCAGAATGAATGGAGAGCACAAAGTGGCTGCATGTCGTCTGCAAAATAAGACAACAATCTGAATCCAGGTCAAACCCTTGAGAGAAAACATGGGTGTGGGTCCAGTCTTCATGCAACCTGTGAGATAACTCTAGGATTTAAGAAACATGATTTCTGTACTGCATACAAGCAAATATGTTCAGTAAACATGAGATAAAACAAACATATTTTCAGGTTCCTGAGTTATTCTGTCCGCAGATGAGAGGTCAACACACCTGGTACGTAGAATCCAGATAAGGCAGGCCCACAGCAGCAGCACAAACGTCAGCCAGCTATGGTATGTAATACTCCAAACCTGTGCAGGATGAAAACAGCCTTTGATTAGGACTCTTCTGATCTCTGAGATTGATCAGTGCTGGTTCACTCATGCTGTTTGTAAGGTCAACAGAAGTTAAAACATGAAGAAATAAATGATCATTATTAATTATTTTGTTTTGGTATGTGTGTGTTTATTTTTTCTCCATAAGTTACCATCATAGCTATGAGAGCACAGACATAGCTCTGCTGCATGACCACCTTCCCCAACAGAAAAAAAGGATTTTCACTCTGTGGGGCACTGGAGATACCACTGACACCTGCAGAAGATACAAAAATATGTAGCAATGGATGGATGGGTGGAGAGATGGACCGATGGGTAATAAGTATGGTTATTGTGCTAAAAATAGCATGAAGAAGAAGCAGGAGCAGCTGCTGCCTAGCTTTAGCAGTCCTCCACAAATATTTAGAAGATTTATTGTGAATCCATAAACAACCTGAGGACTGATGCTGTTTTGTTGCTTCATACTTCCAAATTAATCTTTTTTTAGCTGTCTCATTCAGTTCAAGAACATAAATAACAGAGGTTTCTGTCAAAGGACTGGTGAGGCAGACAAACCTTTACTTAAAACAGCATTAGAAATAGATGTCTTCATGTAAATGAACTGCATTTATTGCCAAAGTTTCTGAGGAAGCAGCTTTGTTGGCCCGGTGGATCAATAAATGTATAAACTTGTTCAGTCCCAAGACCATCACCATTTGCTCTGTGTTGCCCCCTTCTCTACCATCTACAGAAACCATCCTTCTACACCAATTGCAGAAACTTAACAGTTCAGGTGCACAGTAGCGTAACACGCCAGAAAATTTCGCAGTGAGTGATAGAAAGGACTATGGGCTCTATTTTCGTGCCTCGCCGGCGATGCGGTGCATGCGCAGCGTCAGGTCCGCCGCGCCGACAAGGCATTCCCAAGCACAATTTGGTATTTTGGTGAGCGGCGCAGCCTGGCATAAGTATCTCCCCTCCATAACTCAGCTCCTCCCAGCGACGTAAGTCGTAATGAGGAAGGAGAGAGGTCGTGGAGTGGGTTTAACACAGCCGAGACCTATTTTCACCAATCACATAAGCTCCTCTCCCTGCCTTTAAATCCGCCACTGGCAAGGTGTATTACTATTTTCGTGCAGTAGTCAAAGAGATCAAGAGATGTCTGAAGACAGTAATGCCACCTGATGGCGACAGAAGGCAGCTCCTCAACAAGTGTCACTGTAAACGCTGCAGAGGGTGTCCTTCACACTCTCTCATATGAGTACAGATGAGTTTGGTGTGTGTAATGTTGGACCCACTAGTAAGACAAACACCCTTTTCCACAAATAAAGACACTCGCATAAAGTTGCACATATTTAAACCTCACGTGACAAAGGTGGGTTGTGCTCACAGATCACATCATAAATTCCAAAAATTGCATTAAAATCTGAACCATCTGTGCGTAAATAATGCATCACGCTCCGTGGCCTGGCTCTTTCTTTTACAGGTGTTGGCATATAAAATAAATTTGGCTCACAAAACTGAATATTACAATATTCGTATGTAGGCTTAAAGTAAATAACTCATCTGATCACTGAAACAAATCATCTGTTCAGCCGCCGCAGCAGCAGCTGCAGCAGGACGGAGAAAGGACACGGAGACATGTCCAAGTCGAGCTGTGTGAGAAATAAGAGGATGAGGAAGAAAGAAAAGGAGGGAGATGAATTACATAGCTTGTTAACTTCATCGTGTGTGTCTATTTACTAGATATTTAATTTAATTTAATGCGGTTTCAGCTGTGTTGATTCCGTCAGGTTGTGTGTCCAAACACGTGCCAAACGCGCTCATCAGATCAGATATAGATCAGAATATAGATCACTCGATCACTGTGGATGCCTGACACTGTGGAAACCTGCCGGTGAAGCATCGGTGATGTATGCCGGTCTACCAAAATACCTCTAGACCAGCTGCGCTCTGCCTGCGCTGAAAGCTGACCAGGTTTGAATCTGCGCGCTTTCAGCGCACTTAATATGCCGGTGGCGAGCACAAAAATGTCACTGCGCCTGCTGATCCTGTCGACACCTCCCCCTGCCATGCCACCACACCCAGCTTGGCGGATCTTGGTGCGCCTAAGTCCACCAAAATACCAAACTGGCTGCATGCTGGGCTCTGCCAGATGAAAATGCTGGGTCCGCCCCCCTCCGCCGCATCCCCGGTGTACATGAAAATAGAGCCCATTGTCTTGAGAAATTTGCACAGATAACCAGAGTTTCTGATATGAATCACATTTTTATGCAGACTGACTCTCTCCATTGTTATATCTTTTTCAGTGTGGCAAATGTTTTTGTTTGTTAAACTCAAGTACTTTACAGAACTTCTATTGCTGAGATTCTTGTTTTGTCATTGTAACTGTGAAAAAAAGAAAACACAATACCCAGATCTTCTTGTTGCTTCTCCTCAGTGGTTTCTCTCCCTCTGTCAGGTCCAGTTTCCATAGACTGAAGCATGATCTGAAACAGAACAGGGAGAAAATAACTCAAGATATTAGCGTGAACCTGTACACGGTTACAACAGTTTACTTTCTAAAAATTTAACCTCTCTCATAAATTGTGCTGGTTCAGTTTCATGGTATTTTTATTTTCATTGAATGTAACTTAAATGTTTGAATTTCAGCATTTGCCATGAGACTGATCAACACTTGTGGACATAAACTGAATTTAGCTGAGTAGGTTTTGAAGAAATGAACTCATGTATCAATATAATCAATATCTTACCTCCACTTCCTCCTCCTCCTTTAACACACTGCTTTTCTCCTGTTTCCTCTCCACCTCAACCTATTGATCACAAAAACATTGCACCAAATGAATCTCTTCACTTTCCATTGAGCCCTCTTTAACTTGCCTGCAGAGCTGGAAGGTATGTCATGTACAGATAGTTACTCTAGATAAAAGTCATTTGCTACAAGTTCTTTAACAACACATGATCAGTTTTGAGGTAAAAAAGCTGCAACATGGGACTACAATGCAGAAGACTGCATGTGAACTACAGCTCAGTTTATCTTCTGTACAGAATTATGGTCAACACAGTTAGATGGTGCAGGTCTAAACATAACCATCACAGACTGACAGTGACCAATAGCATGTTGCAGTGCTGAAGGTCAAATAATTCAACCACATGTTCAAAAACAAACTGTTTTATGATTGCTGTGTAACTTTGCTGTATAGAAAATGTCACATCAGTTTATTAGGATACCTGGTTTGGCGATGCATGGCATCCTGTTTTCAGAACAGTTGCAATGGTAATGTAGAGGAGGAATAGTATTCCTGGGTTGACATACACTGGCCAGTCATGATTAGTGTTGAGGTTGAGGTTATAGGGGGAAGAGCAGTTTCCTGGTATGATGATGTCTTTCAGACCAAAGAGTCTAAAGAGAATTGGAGAAAAAGAAATTTAAAATCATCATATCTTATTTATAAAAGCTTTATATATTTATTTATTTTTCTGTGGCTGTGCTGTGAAGTTTTGCCACCTGATGGTGCCTTTGAGCAGGTGAAAGGATAAAAGAAAGGGTGGGACTCCAATTGGGCCAGTCAAATGTATGTCTCCACCTACATCTGACATGCAGGAGGCAGTTTGGTATAACTGGACAGTTAGATGTAGGGTGAGACTCTTGGATGACATATTCCCAGGACATGACAACTCAATAACCTTACTGTCAGTCAAGCTACTGGAAGCAGATTCTATATTTTTACAGCCAAGGAACCGAGTAGAGGTTTATTTTGTTGCTTGAGTTCAAAAAAGTTTCCAAAAATGAAAAAGGAGTGAGCTTGCAAGTGATAATACAGTGAAATAAAGTGATGAATTAGGATTGTGTAATGAACATGAACCAAGACTGGCTGCATACCCCTAAGGAGGATTATTTCAGCAAAAGTGAAAAGCTTCTCTTTTTGCCTGTGCAGTCTTGAACCTTGCATTTGAAGCTGTAATTTATGACAATAAACTCTTTTCAATAATGCTACATGGAGACTGAAGAAACAGGATTGCAGCAACTTATTAAGGTTATCTATCTTGTATAATGTCTGTATGCATTTTAATCTGTCTTCAAACACTGTCCTGCCTAATACCATGGTCCGTTTAGCATTTCATCAACCTCTGCTTCCTACAGGCCCACAGCTAAGTGATGGAGTAAACACTGATCCAGCTGTATATGTGCTCAATGGGTTCTTGTTTAAGCAGAAATTGAACATTTCTTATTTTCATGTGCACTCTTACCTGGCCCACAGGGAGTGTGGAGGGAACAGGGCCTGGGAAAGCAGACTCTGGTACAAGTACAGACAGAGCATGTGACCAGACGTGAAGAAGCCCACCATCACACACAGTGCATTAAAACCCAGATGGCTGATGGGAAGGTGGCAAGCCCACCATGAGCACACACCAATGAAAAGCAGAAAATAGATGGCAGAAAAGGCTGACGGTAGTGTTATCCCTGCAGGGAAAGAAACAACAGAGGTTGGAAACAAATATTTAATATGACAATCATGTTTCACTTCTTTATTAACGAGAAATGGTTGTACACAGACCGGAGCAAGTGGGAGGTCAGACAAACCCTTTCAATTGTGCACTCTGGACCTGTAATAACTGTCTGTGGTGAAATAGATCACGTGCAGTGGACCAGTTTGATGTTGCACAGTCAAACTTTGTTTTATCTCACTTGGCGGCTGCCTGCTGCTCAATTCTCCAACAGTTCAGGACCAATTTGAAGAATTGTTCTCTTCATCAGTCAAGCACACACAGACAAATGGGAAAATATGACCATTGTTGAAATATACCAAGGCTCCCATTCAAGCTGATCATTTTAGTAAGAACTGATTATTTGTGGTCAGAAATGCATTATCAACTTCTGATTGAATGAAGGTATGTGATTTAATTCTTGGGGCCAGTTTAGCTTAGAGGTAAAAAAGGGGGTCCAAAGTAGTTTTAAGTAACAGCCGTCATGGTCCTGTGCAACACCCCCTCACACCATCCAGCCTGTTAGGTAAATGGACTCTCTCAAATCTTCTGACTACTCAAAGCACTTACACATTACATGTCACATTTATCCATTCACAACATACTAACTGCAATGAAAATACAGAAAAAAAGTAAACCACCTGTGTGACAACCTAGTGTGAACCAGAGAAAATGTGGACATCTTAGAAGGTACACACAAAGCCTACCTGCCAAAGCCAGCAGGATGACAGCCAAGATTCTCCCTAAGTCCCGCAGAACTTTCCGGGCTGTAGCCTTCAGACGCTCAGCTAGTTGCTTTGCTCTTGATACTGTGGAAATCTCCTCATCGAGGTCCACAGGTAGTGATCTCTCTTCTTCGTCTTCATCTTCTGATGGTTCTTCCTCCTTAATATCCTCATCATCATCTGTAGTGTTGCCTGTTATGTCATCATCCAGCTGAGATGGAGGACAAGAACCAGTTTACAGAGGCTTGGATGGTGTTCAGTTAGTCATCAAATTACAGTGAAGTACGTTTTCAGCAGTAAAAGACGATCACTATGTAACTGTGAGTCTAAAAGTCTGAGTCCGCAGAAGGGAGGAATGAGTGCTACCGCAGGTCATTCCTCCCTTCTGCAATAAGACTTTACAACGAACTGTAATAAAACTGGACTCACACCACCACTTTTTTTCTGGTACTTAAATTGTGTATATTGTATACAGTTTTGTTTTTATTTTTCTTCTCCCTTTTTCCTTTTCCTAATTTTTTTCTTAATTGTAACATTTATTTAAGTTCTTAATATAACGATCTCTATTCTTATAACTGCATTTTTGCACTCTTTGTCTGTGATGCTGCTGTGAGAAAAAAATTTCCCCCATGGGGGATCAATCAAGGAATATTCTATTCTATATTCTATTCTTTCTGATGTTTTTGTCTCTATGTAACAGGTTTGAGTTCAGATACATTCATTTTCAAAGTTTCTCATTTCAAACACTGTAAAAGATAATTATATAAGACAGCCAAACTACCTTATTCCTACCTAATTATAATACATTCAACGGGATCATCACCAATAATTCAAAGTAAATGGCTAAAGGAGCAAACAGCTTATTGGTGACTATGACTATTTGAACATATAGTACAGTGGGAGTTGATTTAATTCACATAAGAGGTCACAAAACAATCAAAGCTAGTCAGTCTGCTTTTGGACTGATTCAGAAGCAAACAATGCACTTGTTACCAAAGTGAGGTTTCTGACAGGAGCAAAGAGATCTTCTGGACCATGACCCACTTGTCCAGTTAGAACCATTGAGACCACATTACGCGCTGACCTGGCTCCTCATCACCAACATCCTAAATCATCAGTTCTGCAGGTAAAAATTATGTCTGCTAGGCAAACCCCTTACTCTTTTGCAAAGAACTATGCACACATAAATCAGCATATGATGAGCACAATCTGGAGAAACCTCTGCAGAAGAAGCTGGATTCCTGTGTTCTCAGGTGGCACCGTGATGCAAACAGACTGACTGCATATGAAATTGCAGCATGGGCTCAAGAACCACTACCGAAAACCATTGTCTTTAAATACAGTTCATCACTGCCTCCACCAATGCAGGACCAAACTGAACCATGCAAAGAGGAAACATTATATAGTCATGATTCAGAAAAAAACAGCAACTTCTTTTTAGTCCAGTTATGATGGTCTTAGGTGAAGTGAAAAATTGTCCTGCAGACAAAACAAACTAAAAACAAATTGTTTTTGAAAACATGGATGCCATGTCGTCTGCTCTGACAGGACAGGAGCCAGCCTTGAGAGAGCTCTGAAGCCATGGTCTGCTACAGAATAAAGATGTATAAATGAGCATGGCATGGGTCACTTGCACATCTGGAAAAGCACTGTTAATACTGATCAAGGTGAACAGACTTTGGAGCAACGTTTGCCGAAAACTTTCACATGTAAGACCACAATCAGCGCAAATTACAACAGCGTGACAATATGTGATTAAAGGCAACAATACGAAATAAAAGGTCAAAATGAGCTGCAATGATAAGTCATTAAAAGAGGAAATGTTATGCTTATTTCATATTTAGGAAACTAATGTTCAGTGAGAATGATGAACATCACATCAGTACTATATATGATCAAAGTTTAGGATTAAAGGTTCATGTGCGTTGAAAAAACCCCCAGATGGAACCACAGGATGCTCTGAACAAGCCCGTCAAAAAGTCACATGAGAATTCAATGAAATCAACATGAGATTTGCTCAAATTGTGCCATTACCAGACAGTGAATGTCCTTTAAAAGGCAAATTTGTCATTTTGGAGAAAAATTTGATGCATGGCAACAATGAGGAGGCTTCAGAAGGCTGGGTCCTGGAATGAAAAGGTCTTAAGCATTTTAGTGCCATTACCAGACAGTGAATGTCCTTTAAAAGGCAAATTTGTCATTTTGGAGAAAAAAATTTGATGCATGGCAACAATGAAGGAGGCTTGCGTAGTGTTGGGTCCTTGGGTTTATTATAACAATTCACACATAAACAGATCGTACCAGTTTAACTTTGGCATGCTGTCACTCTCCTTGGTCTTCACTTTTAGAGATTAAAGACATAATACTCAGGCTCTCATGTTCCATTAGTTAATAACAGCATTTGGCTGTCTGACAAAGAACTAAAATAGACCCCCTGCCCAAAATTGCAGAGGAGCTACACACACACGCACACACATGCACACAGAGTAAACCAATATCCCTGTGAGAACTGTGAGGTACCAGCAAAACACTCAGTAATGACACACAGTAACAGGTGGAGAAGGTCTGATGCTTCTTATGACTGGGAGATATCTCAGCATCACCACTTCCCAAAACATTTGACAGCATATAAGGATACCTGTCAAAGAGTCAAAGTTAACAGCCATCCGTCTAGGCTGTTTTTTGGCCTACTGCCAAACCACGTACAAAATAACTTCAAAAGTCATGGACACCTGCCAAGTATTTTAGTTTTCCAGTTAAATAAATACAATAAATTTGCCCCATCATTAATGGTCTATCAAGTCTGATTTACGTTTTGCCTAGCGTCATAGTTTGAGAAACTGTCTTTAAAAGCCTGAAGGTCAGTCATATATTGAAATGGTTCAACAGGCTAACTAGGGAGTCCCAGCTACAGAGTAATAGCAGATGGCTGGTTCCACTTTTAACAATGACTTCCAACCCGTTAAACAGTACATTTCAATTTCTTCACCAGCCTGTATAAACAAGCTATATAAGAACAGCTGATACAGCACTGATCCTGTAGCACAAAATATTGTGTTATTTAAGACCTGATTATCCAGTTAACTAACAAAAAAACTATGCATCTACAAAATTATCAGACAGTCTTGCAAACAGAACCACCAACCCCTTACAAAAACACACAACTTACCGATGTTATGTTGGCAGCAGCCACCATCTCTCTGTTTCTGACCAATCTACTGCAGAGGATTATTGTTACCAAGGTAACAATGCACACACCCAGGTCAGGACACAGAAGACGTAACACATTCCAGGGGTCTTCCAAGGGAAGCCTAGAAGACAACACATGCATTTGTTGCAAGGGTCCAACTTTTCCTTAACAATCACTGCAGAGAACTGTTAGACAGACTATTGACATTGTAAAATATAGAGAAAATATAAATTTGGCCTCATAATTTACGATCCCATCCAAAAAAGGGGCAAAGTAAAGAGAGATAAGTCTAACTTAAAATTTGACCCCAGCTCCAGAAAAGGTTTGGATGCTGTGTAAAATGTTGACAATATCAGAATTGAATGGTTTATTAATTTTAAATTCCCTATATTTAGGGTAAGGGTTTGTCTATATAATATCCCCAAGAGTTGATAGGGCCCTTTCCTCAAGTGTCACTGCATTTAAAACAAACATGTCTCTGTACTGGACGTCACTGCATGACCTCAACATTACATCCAAAAAATACTGTCTGCCAACAATCAATGCATCTATAAATGTAGGTAAATACTGTGCCATGCAAAGAGGAACATGATCCAGTAATGCCACCAGCTCCTTTAAAGAAGAGCTGATGTAACACAGTGGTAGAGATGACTGCTCCCAACTTTTTCAAAATGTAGTACAGATATTAAACTTTTAAAAAAAGCACAAAGTTTTCATGAAACAATGGTTGATATATTGTCTTAACACTACAGTCATTATTAAGTATTGTCTTTTTACCATTTTACACAGACTTCCACCTCTTTAGGAACTGGGTCATACAGTAGCACCGACTTTGACTTTTCCATTGACACTGCATGAATTGCTGATGCACAACGTAATCAAAAACAAGTTACTGACCTGGACAGTCCTACATGTCTTGTTATGGTGTCCCATTGTGAACAGTTATCAGTTATGACGATACTGAGGGGAGGATATGTGTACAGTACTGTCTGGAAGCAAATATGTCCCAGTACAAACAGTAGACTGGTACAGAATACTACTTTGATAAACCGGCCTGTGTGACCTGGAGGACAAAGAGACAAGAAATGAACAGTTCATTTCCATCAAGAAATCTGTACAAGAGACAGTCTACAAATGCTGATATAGAGAACAACATCACTCAGTTGTTGATGTTGTTCCTCATAAAGTTAATGAACATTACAACAACAGCCATTGGTCTTGATTAATCATTCTGGTACATCCGCACAACCTATCAAATAGAAAACACAGTTAAAACACATGCACTGGGAGTAGATGGAGGACATGTTCGGAGACATACAGCCATGTTTCTTTTTTCGTTTGTTTCATATCAAAGCAAATCCACACTTTTCAAAAGCTGAAACTAGGTCATTGTAATGTTTTAAAAATGCTGAGACTAACAAATTATTAGTGTTCACAGTTCACAGAGGGGTGATTGTATCAATAACTAGAAAAATTCCAGGGAAATTTTGCCTGCTCGCTTGGGCCATGTTTTGGGTGGAGATACATGAGGGCATTAATGCGTTAAGGGCTACCTCCTGTTATGGGATGGTGGGGTCATCCAAGATGGCTGCAGATTGGGACATTCTTCAGCGTGGGGTAATGAGGGGATGCATCAAATACGGTGCTGATATGTCAAAGCCTTGATGATTTACGGCCTTTGTCATGAATCTGACTTGAAACTCGTGGCAATCCGGCTGTCTCTGTGTTGTGGTGTCTGGAAGACAGCTGTCAATCAAGATCAGGTGGATGGGCCCTGTGCTCTGAGTAGGAATCTCCATGGTGACAGTGCACCTGCAGCTCACCTGCTTAGAACAGGACTGGCCCAAACAAACTCACTTTGTAGGAAAACCATAAGAGATATTGAAATGCGGTTTTCACAGGTTTAGGGGGTTCACATGTCATCTAAAGGTCAGTGTTCAAATCACATTTTTACCTCAAAGTATGACATCATAATCAAGCTCCAAATATGGAGACCACCCCATGTTTTCAGCAGCTCCATTCACTTTAATTAGGAATTTTGATATCTCACAAGTGTCCACAAAAGGCTTGTTGCTGACAAACTACATGTCGTATCGGAAAAACTCTGGACCGTGAGCGACTGCTGGAATACAGCTCTGACATATCAGAAGGAAAAGTTTGCTAAGCTTTACGGTTTAGACGGGAGTGCGAGTTGTTTGGAGAAAATGATCGACCAGTCAGATGTGGAGCGTTTGTCTTCTTTTTAAATGGTGGGGGATAGAAGTGAAACAGGTATCTCCTCCCGAACAAAACCTCATAGCTTGAAAAGTGAGCGTCTCACGGCTTCAAGGTCCACATTTTCTGTCTGGCTGGTAGATTTCCTGCGTTTTGATGTATAATTTGTGTGTGTTGAGTAGGGCTGCACGATATATCGTTTGAGCATCGTCATTGCGATGTACGTGTGTGCAATAGTCTCATCGCAGACCCTGCAATGTCGGAGGCGAATGAACTCATCTAATTTCAAGGGTAGCTGACTGAGATACACTGCATGTGACTCATAGACTGTTTAAAGAATGGACAGAGTCTGCCTCCTCGCTGGGTGAAGCCACTCCGAGAACAGCACCCTCTGGTGATGAGCTGCAGTACAGGTCATAAATACCGCCCCCGGCAGCAAAGCTTATAGGGCTGTGGAAAATTTTAGAAATGTATTACACAGAGCATAATTTTTTCTCCCCCCTGCTTGTGATGTTGACATGTAGTTATTGTCAGACTGGTTTGTGCTCAAGTCCTCTTTTTTCTGTGAAGCTCCGTTTTTATAAGTTATTAGGGGGTTCATGTTTTCTATGATTGACACCTGATACAGCCTATGGGCGTTCAGGGATTGCGTGGCTCTCCCGGGAGATACGCTGTTTGAGCTGAGCGTCATCACAGTGACTCTCTGCAACTGCGCGCCCGAATGCGTGCATCGCTACTGCGCAGCTCTGGTTTCAGGAAATGAAGAAAAATCCCGGAAATACCGAGAGCTATTTGGCCTCAAATCCGTATACAGGCGGTAGGCAGAACCAAGTTGTCCATAGTATATACAGTCTATGATGTAACACTGCATGTGCTGTGCAGCGATCCACCAATCACATTTGTTCTTTACTAAGTTGTCAACCAGACTACCCCCTACCAGCTATCAATCAAAATCAGAGAGGAATAAACCACGCCCCTGCACATGGAGTGAGTCGCTGGCGCTACCGGTGTTGTACCGAGACAGCATGCCCGCCAAGAATTACATTCAGTACATTACTCATCACTGTTTAGCCCCACAAATAAGATTTGTATGGGTTTTAAATCAAACATTTCCGTGGATAACTCTACTGTAAGCAGTGCACGTTTCCGTGAGGTGCATGCAACTCTCGGAGGACGGGCATTTCTTGGCACAACACCAGTAACAAAAACAAAGATTGCAAAAGGAGCAACAAACAAAAGAAAACCACTGAAAAATGAAGACTTGTTGCCAAAAAGAAAAATCTATGTCAGTTATCCGTCATTATTTCGGTTACAAAAAGGATGATATCGACCAAACACGTGTCCTGTGTTGGCAGTGCCTTTCATCAGTTGCCACAATGAGAGATAACAGGTCTCAGCACAATAGAAGTATGCTACAAATATCTTTAAGACAGACAGAAGCCACTCTACTAACATTCACGAAAAGAGGTAAGATCAGTGCAGGTTAACTGTCCTCAAGACTTCAGCAGTGCATCACAACATAAAGTGCTATTCAGGTCATCTGGTGAAAATTCCTGTATTTTTTAATCTCACAATATATATCGCAGGGTTGAAAAAAATCGCAATGTTAGTTTTTTCCAATATCGTGCAGCACTAGTGTTGAGTGAAAATTGTAGCCATGGCAGTGATTTAGTAATTAAAAACTGGGATCACATGTTCACTTCTCTTCACTCTAAAATGATGAGTCATCACTTCAAAAAAACGAAAAAATCCTCATTTGCACCCCTCGCTTGAACAGTTTCTGTGGCCAAACTGTACCAGATATCGATGAGCTGTCTACACTTTTGAAATCACAGGTCTGGTGTCAACGTTTTGATGTTTTAATCACGCTTCCACGTCAAAGTATGGTGACAGGGCAAGGCGTCAGAGTCATGGGAAAAATCAATTTTTTTGTCGCCCTCTCCCATCCACTTACACAGGGAAATTTTCGCCGCTTTTAGGCATCTAGTGTCACCATGGAAACAGTAATGATAGAGAAAATTAATCCCCACTGTTGCACGATGGACGCACGTTTTGATATTTGCCATGCCTGGATGCGCCTTACCAGGCCGCATTAATTGCCGAAGGTGAGTCTATAATAGTAATAAAAAAAGAAACCCGCTGTCTAGGATACTAATATACGCCTTGGCATGCAATACACACGAATGAGGAATTTTGGGGGTATTTTTTGGTTTGTTTTTTTCATCACCCCCCTCCCCATTTCAGGCGCGATTGCTCTGCATTTTGGGGCCGTTACTGAGCCTGCCCGGATGATAACAATATGTGCATGCCTTGCTCGACTTGGCAGGCACATAATTATTTAACCTGTATATCTAACATACTCAGTGATTGAAAGAAACAGAAACAGCGCACTGAAAATTTTTCAGCTGTAACAAGTGTGTCGGAGCTCATTCTCACTCTTGAGTTTGCATTTCTTCTTCAAAACAAGTCATTTTTTGAGGAGGCAAAACCTTGGCATGGGAGAAGTTTAAAAAGACAGATTTTTGATTGGTCTCAGCAAAGTTCCAGCAAACCATCAAACAGCTCAGAAAGCAAACAAAGGACTTGACTCTGCAGCAGTGAAGGACTGCTGACCTGGATTGCAGTTTGTGTTAGGTGGTGAAAAGGACACTCTGGGGAACTCTAGAGCCCCAGGAACACTCTCTTAGTGCTGAGACCACTGTCAGACAGTGCTGACTGTCTAATAGTGTTCTCAGTGACAGTGCCCGTAGAGTAACACTGAGTGGAGGCCTGCCATTACCAGTCCTATATCTCACAGTGTAATCAAGAAGAGAAGGGTTTATCTCTGACTTTTTTTTCACAGATGATTTGTCTCTGTTTGCTCTGTCAGACTGGGAGGTTTACACCAGGGTGTAAAGTGGCTAAGATGAGGGACAGCACCCCAAGGCCACAGTGCCAGGAAATAATAAAATGCCCTGTCTAAAACTTCTAAAACATATCAAAACATGAGAAAAAATGCAAACAGAGGAAATCCTCAAAAAGAAAAAGACCATATCACTCTGTGAAAAATAATGTAATACAAAAGAATATGACAGAACAAACACATTAAGTTAGGTTATCAGATTCCATCAGGGTCAGTGATAAGGAGCATTAATGCTGCAAGAGACGTGTAAAAACATAAAGTATCCTACCTCTGATTGTGTGTTTGTTGGGACACAGAAACCATGGCAGCAGGAGAAGGTAGAGGAAGTGGACCAGTGACAAAAGGTTGTAGCGTAGGAGACAAGCTGCAAAATCAGAAACACAACAGTCAAAAAACAGCAAATTCAGAAACACTTTTTCTGAAACACTTTTTCTGTTTATAAAAAAGATAACTGAATATCTCGCTTTGCAAGCTCATGACCTCTGATCTAAACGATACTAGAGTATTTATGTTGATACCAAAAAACATGACTTAGGACTGAAAACAAACATTCCACATAGCAAAGATGTTTCGTCAGTATGAGGTCAGTTTATGCTACACAGTTAAAGGTGCTGCATAATAAAACACTAAATAACAGTGTCAAATACAGAAATCATGAATCAGCCTCAGATTTTTCTTTTGATTAAATTCCCGAACTATGAGTAATTCAAACCTGGTATTACAATGAGCCCACACTGGCTGTGTAATTTGGTTGATTTGGATGAAGATAAGCTGTTTCATTATCTTGTATCATAAATTTATTTTCATTCTAGATAATTACCTCCACCAAGTAGGTTATGTTTTTGGTAGTGTTGGTTTGTTTGTTTGTTTGTCTGTTAGCAACTTTACGGAGAAAGTTACAGACGGATTGACCTGAAATTTTCCCCAGAGGTGCGTCTCAGCCCCAGGAGAATCCAATTACATTTTGGTGGTGATCCGGATCGCCTTCTGGATCCAGGAATTTTTTTAAGGATTCTTTATCATTGTGTGATAGGGCAAATTTTTGAATTTTTTCATTGAACTCTATAAAAATGGCCAGAGTCTTTAGTTAAAAATTACACAAAAGGATCTCAATGAGTTTTAAGAGGTGTCAAAGGTTGATCCTGATCCAGACAAAATTCTGGATACTGTGATACAGAACACAAAAAAATAAGGGTGCCGTTGGAATTTTCAATGCTGAAGGATAACCAAACCGCTCTCCGAGTGCTGTTCTAGTTATTCTTGTGTATATTTTCTTTCTATGTGTGGCTGCTATTAGTGTGTCAGAAACTTTGTAAACTGTGCAGCTGCCAATCTTGACAGCCCAAAAAAATATTGTTAATCTGGATAAGTTTTTCCACCTGTGGTAACAATTTAAAGTCCTTTAACAAGAATTAACTGTGGTTAATAAACCACATATAAGACCTTACAAGAAGCTCATAATCGTTTATAAAATGTTGGTTAGTGTTAACAAAGCACAACTAGAAAAATTGCATTTCCTTGCAGAAAATGCGTGGAAATGCTGAGTGCTGAAAGCTGAAAAAGTAATGCTAAACTGCTGATAAAAAATGGAGGAAGGTATAAATGTAAAAGCTGTTTAGGGGGTGAAAAAGAAATAGAAGTTGAATAATTGTGAAAATGTTTAAAGGACAAATAGTATGAATATGCTCCATAAATTGAAATTTGATTCATGCTGAAAGAGGCTGAAAAGTTTGAACGAAGAAGGAAATTTCCTTAAAAGGCAGGAAAGTGAGAAGTGGCATAAGTTTAAGTTGTAGTACTAGTAGTAGGATGATAAGTAGTCATAGTAGTGATATTATTAGTCATGAAAGCAGTAGAAGTAGTCTGAGAATAGAAGAAGTATAAGCCAAAGTAGTAGAGTTAGGAGTAGAAGTAGTAGTAGCAGTAGAGAAAGTAGAAATAGTAGCAATAGTAGTTTAAGTAGAAGTCAAAGTACCATTTCAATTGATATTAGCAGTGGTTGTAGTCGAAGAAGTGGGATCAGAAATGATTGAATCAGTTTGAATGAGTTAAAATTTGTTTGAAGAATAAAATAATGCATTATCACTGAGTGATTTTAAAATGGAAAGAAATTAAAATAAATAGATTTTCTGAATACACCCCATAATGTCCTCAATGAGCTGAATTTTTGAAGCCCTGAATCGTTTCTGTAGGTAAAAGTTTGTCAGAGGAGATAGGGGCTGAAGTTTGTCAAGTGCTCTCATGAAGGGTTTTAAATGTAAGCTCTGTGTACTGAGCCTGGCTTCATGGCTGTGTCTCATTTCAGAGACCGCACCATCAAATGGCGCATTTAAAGTGTGCGTGATGTCATCACGCAGCGCGAACGGTGTCCCATCTGGCTCGAAATGCTGAGTGAGTTTCAAATTCAGTCTCAAAACCACACTCCCCCCGCCCCTTCGTCAAGCATGCATTTATGCACGCTTTTGTGGCCTCGGTATCCCAGAATTCTATGCGTGCTAGTGCACAGCTGCGCATTTCGGATGAAAGGCTGGACTCACTTGGAGACGCAGCGCGTCTTCAAAGGAAATAAAAGAAATCCAAAAACAGCAGACAGTCAGCTCAGGCGCATGATCTCTTAACTCACATAAGTCTGAAAAACCAAACATTATAGATTTAGAGACAAAATGATCCACTCTGCTACCACAATCAAAAACATTAGAAATAAGAAAGAGGACAAAACTACAGCAGAGGATCATTGACACATTATTTTTTTTTTTTTCAAAGACTTAGAGATTGAAGTTGTTAACTTGGAAGAATAAGTAAATAAAGTCATAAAGCTGCTTTTTTTGGAGGGGGAAATGACTGAAGCTGGTCATCTGCAGGGTTATCAGTGGATGTATCAGTGGGTCATTCAGAGAGTTTTTGTGGTTTCTGAAGAAACAATCAAACTGATGATGATCAACATTCGTGATCCAGAGGGAGTCAAGCTCCGACGAGCAACATGTCTCTGACAACCGCGGTAACCTACACCTGCAGAGACACCAACACCTTATTGTGGCATATGGATTCATATCATAAACTAAAGCTCAATGTCATTTACGGCTATTTACGGCTGCATTGACATATATATCCGCAGCATATCCATTTCTGCCTCCACAGCTTGAATGAGTTGGAATTTGTTTGAAAAATAGAAAGATGTATGAATCAAAAAAATTATTTAAAACAGGAAAAATTTAAATCATTAAAAAATCTTAAAGTATTAGAAATATCAAAAAGGTCTAACTCAGTTTGAATAATTTTTTATCTGTCTGATGAATTAAATAATGCATGAATAATAAAACTGAATCTATTGTGGAAAGAAATTTAAATGAAAAAAAACACTGAATGCATCCCATTATGTCCTCGATGAGCTGAATTCATTAAGCCCTGAATGGTTTCTGTAGCTCAAAGTTTGTGGGAAATGATAGATGACAAAGTTTGTCAAGTAACTCTAGTGAAGGTTTTTAAATGTAATCCCCAGAACTCTGTGTACTGAGCCTGGCTTCATGTGTCTCATACAGCCATTAGAAGCAGCTTCCCAGCCAGCTGTGTGTCTCCAGGTACACAAATTGGTTGCCATGGTAAAGGTAGATGCATCACTACAGCAGGAGAAAGGAGGCTTGAGGCTGAGAGAGCAATGCTCAAACTATGCCCTAATTCTCCTCCTCTGTAACTGCTATCTTCATGACAATGAGCTTGTGGGAACCCCAAAATCCACTGAACACGTTGATATAATTTCTGTGTTTGTAGAGCCAAAAATGTCTTTACTAGGACAAGTTAAAAACATTGCCAAGATGTGTTTCCTTAAAAAATCCTCCTCTTACATTTGTATTGGAGTCAATGGAGAAAGCTGGAGAAATGTTGGGGATGTCTGTGGCAGTTGGTGTCTGCCCTAGCCACTGTGTGTCCTACGGCTTTGATTTTTGAGATGAAGAGTGACAGCAAGTTTTGCCATCATTGTACCACATATTATCTGTGTAGAGTGGAGTTGCCACAATCCTTTTGTAAAGGCAAAGTTTTGAGGACAAATTTTCAGCCTCTCACTCTCGCTATGAGGTCACCCACTGTAGCTGCCAACATTCCATGCAATACACACTAATGTTAAAACCTGAAGAGGTCAGGAAATCCTGTGACTTTTTAAACTGTCTGTGAGAAACGTATGAATGCCATGAAGATGGTGAATGATTGAGTGAATGTCTGAAGGTGTGTGAATGTTTGAATGAAGTTTATAGGTGGAGGTACAGAGGAGTTGATGTCACACTCTGCTGTGTATCTCAGGCTGACTCTCACTCACCTGCCACACCTCACCCCTGCCACACCTCCTCATCAGCACTGATTCCCCACACCTGTGAGTGACAAGCTGCAGCTCCTCACTGCTGATTAGCCAGCCAGCATTTAAGTCACTCTGTGTCCCTCAGTCAGTGCCAGATTGTCTTTGCAGCATGCACGACTCTCCAGCATTATCTCTTGGATTGACTTCTTGGTTTCGACTCCTGCCTGTCCCTGACCACGTCTTATCGTCTCAGCCCTTGGATCCCCTGTCAAGTTTCTTCGCTCTGGTGAGAACTTCAGGTTTTGCTGTGTTGCTGGCTTCCCGACCTACTGCCTGTCCACGACTATCCTTCTGTCTGATCCCTCTGGAATTAGTCTGCCCCGCTGATTGTCTGCCTGGATTCGACATTGCCTCCGCTTCGACCACGAGCTCAGCCTGCCCCTCGACAGTGCTGCTGCACTTCACAAAGACTCTCAGGTGTAGTGTGTTTCTGTGTACACTCACCTTTCTGCCTGTTGGATCTGTTTCCTGTGGATCTGTTTTCTGTTGGACTTGGAGATTCTACAGAGACTGCTAAATCAATCCCAGTATCTTCAGTTTCCTGTTGCTGTGATCTGTTGCAATAAAAGTAGCTTCTAAACAAGTACCTGCTGTTGTGCTGCACTTGGGTCCTACATCCACACCTCTGACAGTACAATCTGGCCAGAAATGGACCCAGCAGGCAACCCATCACCCTTGGACCGTCTGACCAGGATTGAGAGTGTGTTGCAGCAGCATGAGACCATTTTGTCTGCTGCAGCCTCAGATGCCAGACAAACAGCCCAGGCTAATGAGCAGACCCTCTCTACATTAGCTACTAAATTACAACAACTAACGGACTTTATCACTTCGTCGGCTGCTACCCAGTCCTTACCAACAGCCCCAGCTCCAGCTCCAGCTGCAGCCGCTCCTCTGTCCTGTGATGCACCTGAGCCCCGTGTGGGAGTTCCAGAACGTTATGATGGCTGTCCAGAGACTTGTGGCCCTTTCCTGATAAACTGTTCATTGTTGTTTTCCCTTCAGCCCGTACCTTCGCCTCAGAGCAGTCTTCAGCAAGGCCAAAGCCACGTCACTGCCCCCTCATCGGCCTTATGATTGCACCATTGACCTCCTGCCTGGCACATCTCCGCCCAAGGGTCGCCTGTACTCCCTGTCTGCACCTGAAAAAGAGGCCATGGATGTGTATATTAAAGACTCTCTGGCAGCAGGCATAATACGTCCCTCCTCCTCTCCTGCTGGGGCGGGCTTCTTCTTTGTCGAGAAGAAGGATACTACCTTGAGGCCCTGCATCGATTACCGAGGACTGAACGATATTACCATAAAGAACCGCTATCCCCTGCCTCTCATCTCTTTTGCCTTTGAACTGCTTCAGGGGGCCACAGTCTTTACCAAGCTTGACCTTCGCAATGCCTACCATCTGGTCCGCATCAGAGAGGGAGACGAATGGAAGACAGCCTTCAACACTCCATCTGGGCACTACGAGTACCTGGTAATGCCCTTCGGCCTCACCAATGCCCCCGCTGTCTTCCAAGCCCTGGTCAATGACGTTCTTCGAGACATGCTCAACCGCTGCGTCTTTGTTTACCTCGATTGCATCCTGATCTTCTCCAAGACCCTGAGTGAGCATATCTACCACGTCCGGGCAGTGCTCCAACGGCTCCTCAAAAACTCCCTGTTCGTCAAAGCAGAAAAGTGTGAGTTCCATGCCCCATCTGTCTCCTTCCTGGGTTTCATTGTGGCAAAAAATAGCATCCAGATGGACCCAGCAAAGGTCTCAGCTGTCACTTCCTGGCCTGTTCCTGACTCCCGCAAACAGTTGCAGCGTTTCCTTGGTTTTGCAAACTTCTACCGCCATTTCATCTGGAATTACAGTTCTGTTGCTGCTCCCCTCACTGCCCTTACCAGCTCCAAAGTGCCATACAGATGGAATTCTGCTGCTGATGAGGCTTACAAGAATCTAAGATCAAAGTTCACCTCAGCACCCATCCTTCAAGTACCAGATTCAGATCAGCAATTCGTGGTAGAGGTGGAAGCCTCGGATGTGGGGCTTGGAGCTGTCCTCTCTCAAAGATCAGCGGCTGACCAGAAGCTCCACCCCTGTGCTTTCTTTTCTCGACGCTTGTCTTCAGCTGAGAAAAACTATGACATTGGCAACAGAGAACTACTAGCGGTGAAGGAGGCCCTAGAGGAGTGGCGGCACTGGCTGGAGGGCACAAAGGAGCCATTCCTGATTTGGACTGATCACAAGAACCTTGAGTACCTTCACACAGCCAAGAGACTTAATTCCCGTCAGGCCCGCTGGTCTCTGTTCTTCACAAGGTTCAATTTCATCCTCTCCTACCGCCCTGGTTCTCGCAACACTAAGGCAGATGCCCTGTCCCGGCAGTTCCAGAAGAAAGAGGGCTCTGCCGAAACCCCTGTTACCATCCTTCCCCCCTCCTGTGTTGTTGCCACTCTGTCCTGGGACATAGAGGAGAGGGGGAGAACTGCCACCGAGGGACAGCCAGGTCCCAGCGCCTGTCCCCCAAACTGCCTCTATGTTCCAGAAGCACTGAGGTCAGATGTGCTGCAGTGGGCCCACTCCTTCAAGCTTACCTGTCACCCAGGTTCCAGGCATACACAGGATTTTCTACGCCGGCGCTCCTGGTGGCCCACCCTGGAGGTAGATACCCGCAACTTCATCAAGGCTTGTCCCACGTGTAACCAGCAAAAGACCTCCCGTCAAGCCCCCGCAGGATTCCTTCAACCACTCCAAATACCACATCGACCCTGGTCCCATATCTCCCTAGACTTCGTTACTGGTCTCCCTCCCTTTGATGGTAACACAGTCATCCTCACCGTGGTGGACCGCTTTAGTAAAATGGCCCTCTTCATTCCCATTCCCAAGTTGCCGTCTGCTAAGGAGACTGCCAAGCTAGTTCTGGTTCATGTTTTCCGCCTGCATGGTCTCCCAGTAGATGTGGTGTCTGACCGGGGTCCCCAATTCGCCTTGGTCTTCTGGAAAGAGTTCTGCAGCCTGATGGGAGCCACAGCCAGCCTTTCCTCTGGGTTCCACCCCCAGTCCAACGGGCAGACAGAGCACATGAATCAGGAGATGGAGACAGCTCTGCGCTGCCTGGAATCCCAGAACCCTTCCTCCTGGTCTCAACAACTCTTGTGGGTGGAGTATGCCCATAATTCCCTCACCAGCTCTTCCACAGGCCTCTCCCCCTTCCAGTGCGTCTATGGTTACCAGCCTCCACTGTTCCCTGCTCAAGAGAATGAGGTTACCTGCCCGTCTGTTCAAGCCTTTGTTCGCCGCTGCCGTCGGACCTGGGACGGAGCTCGCTCCACCATCCAGCGCTCCGTGGGTCGCTACGCCAGGGCAGCCAACCAGCGACGTTCCCCAGCTCCTGACTACCAGGTGGGCCAGAAGGTGTGGCTCTCTGCTAGGGACTTACCTCTCAGGGTAGAGTCGAAGAAGTTGGCCCCTAAGTTCATCGGCCCATTCACTATTGAGCAGATCATCAGTCCTACAGCAGTAAGACTGAAACTCCCACGCACCATGTGAGTTCATCCGACCTTCCATGTCTCCAGGATCAAGCCAGTTCATGAGAGTCCACTTTCATCTGTGGTCCCGCCTCCTCCTCCTCCTCGCTTTATTGATGGGGGCTTTACCTACTCCGTTAGGCGTCCGGTCCCGTCGTCATGGGAGGGGTCTCCAGTACCTGGTTGACTGGGAGGGCTATGGTCCAGAGGAAAGGTCCTGGGTCCCTTCTCGCCACATCCTCGACCTAGACCTCATTGCCAACTTTCATCATCAGCATCCTTCCCAGCCCTCCAACGCTTCCAATCCACCAAGGGACCCTCTTTCGACAGCCTGCTCCTCAGTTTTACCAGCCTCTCCTGAGGAGGACTGTTCCGGTGATGAGAACTCCACCAATTCTGATCCTGCTGAATTGCCTATGGAGGGCATGGACTGGTCAGGTTCAGAGGAGTACTAGGCCACCTCCTGCTGTTGCTTGGATTGACTTCTTGGTTTCGACTCCTGCCTGTCCCTGACCACGTCTTATCGTCTCAGCCCTTGGATCCCCTGTCAAGTTTCTTCGCTCTGGTGAGAACTTCAGGTTTTGCTGTGTTGCTGGCTTCCTGACCTACTGCCTGTCCACGACTATCCTTCTGTCTGATCCCTCTGGAATTAGTCTGCCCCGCTGATTGTCTGCCTGGATTCGACATTGCCTCCGCTTCGACCACGAGCTCAGCCTGCCCCTCGACAGTGCTGCTGCACTTCACAAAGACTCTCAGGTGTAGTGTGTTTTCTGTGTACACTCACCTTTCTGCCTGTTGGATCTGTTTCCTGTGGATCTGTTTTCTGTTGGACTTGGAGATTCTACAGAGACTGCTAAATCAATCCCAGTATCTTCAGTTTCCTGTTGCTGTGATCTGTTGCAATAAAAGTAGCTTCTAAACAAGTACCTGCTGTTGTGCTGCACTTGGGTCCTACATCCACACCTCTGACAGTTGAAGGCTTTTAAAGTTGTGTGAACAAATGTGGGAAAAGGGGCCGTTTTGAACGGTGCGTAGTGCATTTCTAGTAGGAAAAATTGGTTGGAAAACCGTGAATAACTTGGAAATTATGAATGTTTGAAAAAAATCTGAATACACCCCTGAATCTTCTCAATGAGATGAATATTTTGACATTTGAATGATTTGAATATGCAGAAGTATGTGTTAAGTAGTTAAGGCACAAAAAATGGTAGAATGTGGAATAATAATAAAGATATGAATAACATATAGTGGGAATGCTTCACAATCCCACTCAATAATAATAATAATAAAGTAAAATGGCCAACAGGCATAACAAGTAGAAATGCTTAATCAGCATTTCCACTTAATTAACCCATGTATTGCTAATGAAGTACACTTTTAGGCTCTTATTGGAAACTTGCTTATCTTTTAAAATGTGGACTTAAACATCAATATGATGTTTGTTTACATTAACTAGATTTCATAAGGGTTGATTGAAGATATATTAATGTTTTTATTATAAGCTTGTAAAATATTAATGAAAACTTAGCTCTAATAAAAGTATTTACACTTTTCAGAATTTTATGAGATGTTTATCAAAACTATTATAACTGTATATAAATTATTATAATTATAAGTAACATTCAATACTGCTTAAAAGGCCCCTATGCACCCACTTAAGTCTTGTTTACAATAGAAAGAGCACTTTAATCAAATGTAAATAAACATGAATGAGATGATAAACACTCCAGTCTACTGCCTGGTAAGGATTACCTAATTATCAATTAACAATGCACCTTTTCAGCTACTAGGTCACATCTCTGTAGATATGCAAATAAACTGAAACAAAATTGTAATTTAAAGAAAGATTGTTAGGTAAATATGCAGGAGAGAGAGAGAGAGAGTACTTTTTATGAAAGTATATCAACTGCCCTTATTGTCAATATACATTCAGACTCAAACAAGTTACTTTAGTAAAATGAAAATACATTTAAAACTGTTAACTGTTAACATATAACACAATGTGCAATATAATCAAATTAATACTTAATCACCTCATTATTAGATATCATGTGAGATATGTGTTTGAAAAGCAGGAGTGGTATGCAAAATCATTTATGCATTTATTTTGAATATACCCAACAATTGATGGAAAATGAAAAACTGCCTGCAACAAAAAATTCATTTTGACCCTTTGTCTACGAAGCATGAAATCTTTCTAGACTAGACTCTTATCATAATAAGATCTTTATTTATTAGTTACAGGTATCCTGTAATCATGAGACTCTGATCCTTTGCAGATAGGTACTGAGTCAATGCCCGGGGACTTACTACCTGCGGGGGTGGGGCTCTGAATTCAGAGGAACCAAAGACTGAAGGAAAGTGGTGCAGAACTAGAGTCACTTTTTGGGACTTCAGCCAGTTTCAAACAAGAAGGAATAATGTTTTCTTGGTGTGCTTTGCTCACTTGTAAACAGTTTTAGAATGAGACAGGACCAAGAGCTGCTGAAAGTTACTGAACACTGAGTTAGACAGCAGTCGATGTCAGATTTACACCACCTGATATGCTTTTATCCCAGGATACATGCATACTATTCCAGTCACACTGCCATAGAAAAACAGTATTTGCCACATTTTCACTTATGTGCATTTGTGTGTGGGAAGTATGTTAACACATAAAGTGGCCTAAGTAACTTAACCTCTGAACTACATTTGAAAAGAATTTGAAACAATAAATCTAGACAAGCTTGACAAGCATTTTCATATCATGCACAGCTACATAAAATCAAACTAGCTAACGGACAGAGAAAAGCCATCTAAGGTATCTGAGTTTTTTGCTTGCCTAGGTCCAGACCTGAGACCTATTATATCAGGATGCAACCATCCTGAGCACCCTATATTCAAAGACACATCCTAATAACTGAAATGAATAAATACAGTCTGCATACAGTCCACATGGACCAGGTAAAGTGGTTTGCACATTCCTGCTGCTGCCCAGTTGGGTAACCAGGTCTTATAACACAAATCCCACAAAGTCATACGTCACATATTCTGTTATTTATTTACTCTATTCCTTTATAAGCACAGTTACACCTCATGGTTATGGTACACTTCTTTTTTGCCTTCCCGTCTATGATGTCCAGATTTGGCACCATCTCTACAGCATTTGACAGATCACTGTAATTCAAATCTGAACCAGTAATATAGCAACTTGTTGGCAGGTCGACTTCTTAGTGTTGGCACTCACAACTCTATGCCACTCACTGGAAGATTTGCCACTGCCCAGTTTTTTAAAGTCACCATCTGTAGCAACTGTGCTCTCTTGGTCTTTATGTACTGTGCTCCATGAATTATTTTATGATGACTTACTGTCTTAAAAGGAAACAAGTGGAACAAAGAGTGGGAGCTAAACACACAAGCTGATATTTTCTCCAGTTCTTTAAGTTTAAAGTTTAAAACATGGTATACCTGTCTGTCTGGACTCTGGAGGAATCAGACAATTGACATGAGGTCTCCAATCTGACTGCTTGTTTATTTTAAGATTAAGTTTTCATCATGACTTTATTCATTTTCCCCTAAATTTTCACTTAAAGAAAGATCTGATCATAATTCAAGAGTAAAGTTTTTGTTGCTGAGTAGGACTTGAAAACAGGTTTATGAACTGATATAATATTTCCCACAGCGCTACAGCAGTTGTTGAGTGTGAGCAGTAATCCAGGACATGGATTCAGTAACTACAAAGTGTATTGTAAAGTGTCCACCCAACTGTACTCCCTTGTTGAAGTCATTTATTAAGATTCCCTTGTCTAAGTTAAGTCTGGTGTAATCTGTTGCACAATACTAACCAAACAAACCCAGCCCTGAAAAACCACAATTTAAATTCTATGATGAGGAAACTGAGGGAGACTGACTATGACTAACAGGTGTTCAGCTGGTTTTCTCTCAGGCTGTGACAGGATCAGACTAATTTTCCCGTTTCTTTGCAGCGATTAGGGAGTGATTCAAAATGTACTGCTTTAGGCCTTCATTTAATAATAGTGAAGAACTTGAATAGTGAAGAATATGAACCTTAGAGGGAAGTTTTCTTTGTTTCAATCTCTCTGTGTAGATGGTGCTGACACAGCTGGTCTTCTACAGCCAGGTGTGTCTGTTTTAAAGGTTCAGTCTGTAGAATGAGGTTCTTGAGAGGTGAGATTATAGAAAAAAACTTCCTCACCAATCTCTCCTGTGACTATGGCAACAGTGGCTGTCGAGGTGCAACAGAGTTATGTAAGCAATTTAACTCTTTCAAGAGATAAGGTGGATTTTATTTATTGGATCCAAATAAATTTAGTTTAAAGCTTCGCTGAGTTTTTCATTGTTTTGGTAACTCAACTTTGGTAACAACATTAATGGTTCACTTCTTTTTTGGATTATTTATGACCCTTACCTGGGCGTCTTCTCTAAATTTGGCATCAAAATGTATGTGTGGCTATTACTGTAATTACTATATGCTTTTTAAAACTGTAAAAAAGAAAAAAAAAGAGAAGAGGCACCACTGTCCTATTGGTTTAAGCATACAGGCCTGCAGTCAATCCTACCTGCGGCTCACTTCCTGCATGCAGTTTCCCACTCTCCCCCTGTTTCCTGCTCTATTCACTGTCCTGTTTTTTTCTAATAAAGGCTTGGAAAGCTGGGAAATGAAAAAAAAAATGAAAAAAAAAAGCTGTAAAAAGAGTTTACGATCCATCTGCTACAGTACCCTCCCTGTCAGCTGATAGCACAGCAAGCTGAGCATCTGTTGGATATCTGTGCGGGAATAGTGTCCAGAGACTCAGCTGGTGGTGAATGAGCTGCTCTTCCCTCTACCTGTGTATAACTCAAGAACTGTCTATCTTCTGTCTCTGTTGGTCTGAAGGATGAAGAGCTGTGATGTGCTACTTTCTCATCTCAGTCCTAAGGATAATGAGCCCTCCTCTGCTGCTGATTCTCAGGATGAGCATGCCCAGCTCTGGCCTATGGTAGTGAGGTCTGGCTGGACTGTGTTGTATTGTGTTGACTGTTGGCTGACTAGTTCTCTTGGCCCTTTTCCTTATAGGGAGAAAGTCAAGCTCAAAAGGGTTTGGGTGAACCTGCACCATGACAGTCCCATTCTTGATATATTGACTGTAATCATGACAGTGATTAAACCCTCTGGCTCTTTAAGCTTCAGTTTCTTGCCTTAATGGAAACCCTGTGAATTTTCGTATCCCTACATCAGAGTACTGCTTTTACTTTGGGGCCAAACAAGGAATGCCAGAGGATACCATCAGCACTACCTTCCCACAAGCCTGCTCCACCCCAGTCTTGAGCTCAAGCACAAGACGATTGAATGATTTGATGATTGAAGATCGTCAAAGACTTCAGTCACCCAGCACATGGACTCTTAACCCTCCTACCCTCTGGGAGGCGTTACAGGAGCCTTCGGACTAAGACCACCAGGTACCAGAACAGCTTCTTCCCCACAGCTGTCACACTCCCGAACTCTGCCTCCTGACCTCTGAACCACATTAACACTCTTTGACTGAACAAACACTCACAACCACTCACAACCAATTACAATAAATCTACAGTTACCTGCACTTTATATCTGTAAACCAACTTAAAACCTTTCAAACCTCATTTGCACTACTGTAAATACATCCAATATTGCAAACTGCATAATTTTTCCATCATATACTTATATTCATAGTCTGTTTATAGCCTTCATATTTATAACCATATGTATAATCTGTTCATAGCCTGTATATACACTACTATAGCCTGTGCATACTTACAGTTATAGTATATTCATAACAATGTTATATACCCGTTATATACTAATGTATATATCTCCTTCATACCGTGTAAATTTGTAAATATATTTGTACTTACTAAGCACTTATGGATGGATGCAAACTGCATTTCGTTGCTCTGTACTTGTGACATGTGCAATGACAAGTTGAATTCTATTGTATTCTATTGTATTCTATTGTATTCCATTCTAAGACTAGCACCAAGCTCTTCATCATGCACGTCAAACCTGATGTACACTCACTCACACGCCATCAAACACAGGGAGATTTTTTTTTATATCCTAAATCCCTCAAGCATAACTACCGGTGCCCTTATCATTGTGCCCACAGCAAAATTGATCCATGTCAATAAAATTTCAATCAAATATTCAAACAAAAATATGAATAATCTATTTTAAAAATCTCTCTTCATTCTAGCTTATATAATTTATCTATTAAAAGATTAGTTGTTTGAGTAAGTGTGCTTTGTTCTTTGATTCATTTTTATTTCACAAACTTTTATCTTATCACCTTATTTTTATTTTTTTTGTCATCTCTGCATTACATCAAATGTTCAGGATTGATTCCTCTATTAATGCCATATTCTGTGATCCTGTCTATGCTGGTCACATCATGAAAATCCTAGGGCCCTACAAACCTGGCTATCGAGGGAGAGGAGAGCTTACTCATTGACTGGTTTGATTCATGTTATGCCAAAACACACCCATGCATGATCACAAAATGAATATGGCTGTGTAGGTTCTCATACATGCAGGTCTTGGTTATCTAAATCTTAGTGCCTTTTCAACAGAGAATTGGACACAAAATTAATCCAACCTTTCTGCAGCCTGCACCAGACTGAGTGCCCAGTTTGCACACAGCTTCACAAGCGTTTATATTTTTAAGAGGGCACAGTGACTTTTGATAATGGCTCAGCCTTTAGACTTTTCCAGAGCATGGTGAATGGAAAAGCACCAGAAATATGACTCAAGAACTGACAACCATGAGTCTACCACATGAAATCGGGGCTCCATGGGTCTTCAGTGATTTCAGGTCAAATACTTCTATTCATATCTCTTATATTGAAAGATTACTAACTTTACCCACATCCACACAAACACTGGGCTTGCCCTGGTTTGCTTAAAGTCAGGCAGATGTGTGGAATATGCAACAGAGAAAGTTTAAACATGACACTGGATGCTATACCTGAAGGATGCAAACTGTAAAGTCAGTCAATATTGACAAGTATTGACGTCCCTGTCCCTGTCCTTGTCAGCTGATAGCACAGTTGACTACTTCTATTTGTGTGGAATGGAATAAATATCTTAAAATGGTCTGCATATGCTCAAGTTTAACATGCATTGATCTCCAGAATCATTAAGTCTGAAATCTCAAGTTTTCTGTGCTTTATCGATGGAGTAATCACACTTTACCATGAGTTCTATTCAACCTTTTTACTATGAATCCACCCAAATCTTTGACTGTTTTTCACAAAAATCAATTGCTGGGTCCTTTCATGCTTGATTCTAACTTTTGACACACTGTGTAAATCATTCAGCTTTTGCAGGCCTGATTAACTTATTTGTGTTTGCAAATTTCTGCTCCTTGCAGGATTGGCCTTGCAAATAAATCCTGAATTTCACTCTTTTTGTCAGTCATGTTGAGCAGCCTGACTTGCACAGAATCAAAAGTCACATGCTTTATTTCTCATCATCTTATTATAGCTAACTAGATACACATCAATATCCTCTGACAAATTTTAGGTTTTAATTGCATGCCTACCTCGATCTGTGTTTCTTACCTGTAAAATTTCTGCACACTTGATTTGTATGTAATTCAAGTTGTAAAGAGCTGATATTATTTCTTACAGTCTCTGCATGCTTGATTTGTTTACACACTTAATTTATACTACAAGTGTGTTTTAGAGCAACATTTTTTTGTGTGGTATGTTTCCGTAATTTGAAAGTGTCATTATAGCACAGGATAACAGTATGTGATTAAGATTTGAGGTCGATCTTTCGGAAATATACTTTGCAACATATTTTGGCAGATTTCAATTTACTTTAAATACATAAATATATTTTTGCAAGAGATCCAAGCTGTGTCTCTGATTGCCCTAAAAATCCTTGCCATGACCTATGAATCGTCTTCACCTGTCACTATTTCTATTTTTATAGTGGTCCGTGCAAAAGCTCTTCCACACAGTCTGAGCAAATGTCAACAAAAACCAGAATAAATCTCCAGACTGAAACATTTCAGTGACCGCAAAGGAAGGCAAGACTCTTACTCCATTATTTATTGAGCACTAAGTTTTTGAAGCCACTTAATGGTGGCATTCTTGTGATGACACTCTTTTGATGTATCTGTACTCCTCTTGGTTAGTGTTGTTACCTCTGAATGGGTAGATGCTTTGTCATCTCACTCTCCTCTCCTAACAATGTTTACAATTCAGTGTTTTATTGTGGCATATTCTTTTTTTTACAGCCCAGGCATAACGTATCCAACTGTTTGTACCAGCATTGATTGCATGACAAACTGATCCACAGGTTTATATTGGAGCCCTGACTGGAAATCTAAGCCTCCACTTTGGAAACTACTTATGATCATTCAAAGTCAGCTGCTGTCTCTGCAAAAGGATTTTCCATACTAAAGCTATGATTTTTCAAAGCATGCTCATAACTGCTCAGGCTCTTCTATCAGTCCCCACATACTTTACAAGCTGCGTGTCAGGCACCACCCTGCAGCCCGTCTGAACATCAAACACACCCAAAATGATGTCTATGGACAGACATGATAACACTTTTAGCTAACTATTGAACTTATCTCCCCTCAGCACCGCACCCTTTCTGTCCTGTATGCCTTCTTCTGTGTGTCAAATACTCATGCAGAACATTTCTCTTTGTTCAGACTCTGCTGCAACACCTGCACAGTTTGATTTGTTTTTCCATACCTCTCTTTTTTTTGGCAGGCTATGGTAGAAGATGTTGCAACACCTTGTTCCTGTGCCCAGATCTCTAACAATGGAGTCTTTTCCCCTCTCTCAGTACATTTACTGTGTTGAAGTGATTTTTGTGAGAACAAAAGTTCACTCAATGATTAGTGGTGGTATGCTCTTGTGTATGCTTTACTAACATAAATGCTTCACACCAAGCAGAGCAGGAATTTGCATGATATTTGATTAAGTCCAGTCTCAAGTTTACAAAGGTTTATAAGGTTTTAATGAAACTCTCTGGGCCAACACAAGTTTGAAAGACAGATCCAACATCTAGAAACTATGGAGAGTCCAGTTAGGGCTACTGGAACAAAAGGTTGGATCCATAGGCACAAATCCCGGGGGGAGGGGTGTCACTCCCACAACAATCCAGCAGTGAACACAAATAAAAATGTTCTAATAGTATGGTAAAGTTTGTTGAGAGTACAATACAAGTCACAGAACATAAAAACACATTGTTTGACAATTTTAACTATTGAAAGATTAAAGTGTTGTTTTTTTCTATAATGTTTTTCAGTGACTAAAAAACCTTCTCATAGTGCTCAAATGACTAGGCATGTTACTGTCCAAGCTTATAGGAATCTAAAGGTCCAAACTTGAGGTCCTCTAAAGGTGGACATTCTGTGAATAAAAACCAAAAATGACACACTTCAATATATTCCATTTTCAAATAGTTTAAAGAACCAAACAAAGAGAAAACATGACTCAGAAGTCATCAGCAACAGTACACACAAGTAAGATTCAGTATTTGAGTTTGACACCATAGGCAGGTCAGACCCCTTTATACCAACAAAGGCATATTTGTGCCCTACATCCAATACAGGTTAGGCCTGGACGATATAGAAAAAAAGCATATCAATAAAAAATAAATCATATTGATCGATATCGATAATTATCGATATAATTATAATTATTTAACATATATTTTAATTGCAGCCCTGGATGTTTTGTGCTATTGCTCAATGACCTACTTTTAATAAAGAACACACAAGCACTGAATTCAAATTCAAACCTTTATTCAACCACCTTTTTTTTTTTACCACAACTGAAAGTTTTTTAAAAAAGAACTTAAAAAAAAAAAGAAATCAACTCAAGTGGCCTGAGTGACATCAGTAAATACTGAAAAACATAAAGACTAAAGTGACCAGAAAATCTGATAAATAAATATTTAAATAGTCTTTTGATGAAAATAAATAAAACAAACAAATATATAAATAAACAGAATAGCTTTAGGTGGGAATAGCAAACTACCAGTTGTAACTGTGCCTGGTGTCTGAACACTGAAATATTTCTCCCGGGGTCGGGAGATTTATTTTTTTTAATTATCATGTGATTGACTTGATACGCAAACTGAGCACGAGAAGCAGGACTTATCCACGCCGGTGTTGTGTCGTAGATTGCACCCCTGCCGAATGCCCCCCCCCCCCCCCCGCGCTAGTAGTCATGATCCAAATACTCGCGTCATTGTAAAATATGAGCTCATTTTCTTCCACTTTGAGAAGCTAATGAGTGGACGGGATGCCAGCCAGGCTTTTCAACGGTAGTTATTGGCAGTATGTCCCTCGCTATGAAGCATGTTACTGCATGGGTGATGTCCTTATGCCGCTTGGACGCTTTGTCGTATTTTTGGCAAGAAACGAAGTCCAGTTTGGTCTGCTTCACTTGCTTTGTGCTGGTGCTGGCAGCGGTTCCAGAGGATTCCTCCGATGACGACGTGGAGCCGCGGCGCGGCCAACACAGCTCGTCGTCGGCCGCACCGCGACTGGTTTAGATGGTAAAACAAGTTGGTTGTGTTACCAGACTTGGTTTTTACTAATTCTCTGCAAATATTGCAAACGACAGCTGTTTGCTTTTTGTCAGACTTCTAAAAACCAAAAAATTGCCATGCTGGTGAACTACTGAAACCGTTTTTTGGGACAATGTCCTCCACTTCTCCTTGCTGTAACATTTTTTCTAATACACGTGCTGTCTGTTGTGGTTTGGTAAGGGCTGGGCTTGGTGCCGTAGTGTACCTGGGTCTGCGTTTGTGATTGGTTGGGAGGAAGTAATGACTATAGTAAAAGCTACATGATAGGCTATGATGAAAAAGAAAGGGAAACTGTGTTATTCTATCGAACTTTTTATCGACCCATTTTTTTCTATCGCACCACACGTCTATCGATCGATATATATTGTTATCGAATTATCGTCCAGCACTAATACAGGTACAGTCAGAGCCTTCTGCCCTCACTTCACAATCACAGTTTCACAAGCTGTTCCAAGAATGGAGCACGGCTCCTCCCAGGTCAGGGTCACTCTCCATTCCTCGACCTTTACTGTGGTACTGTGAAAGTGAAAAGACTGACGCCAGCTTCCTGACTTTATGTACCTCTCCAACTCAAGACTGACTTGATGCATCAGACACAGAGGTTCTCACCAAAGCTGTCGCTTAGTTGGTGAAGTCAGTTGACTCTCAATCAGAGAGGTTGGGGGTTCAATTCCAGAGCTGCTCGTGTGATGAAGTATCCTTGGGCAAGACATTTGATCCCGCCTGCTCCTGCTGGCTGTACCACAGTGGTGTGTGAAGGAAACTGATTGTTCCTGAAGGTACTTTGCTTTGGATAAAAGCACCTGCTAAACAACATTGTATTGTACAAACGTATTTGTTATCAAAAATGCTCATGACAGAGTTGACTAAAAAGGTAGATTTTTACAACACTAGCTCTCCATACAGATATTTATGGAGGATTTTCTTCACATACATTATTTAAGAATTCAGATGAACTTTTGTGCACTGTACCTCACATACTCTACTGCCAGACCCATAGTATAGCGACCTCAGAGACCAGGATGTCACTTAGAGGATGAGATACGGGCCGAGTCTAATTGTCTGACGCGCTTTGTCAATGGATCAGCTGAGACGGGAATCGATTAGGAAAAAACGTGCTTTAATACTAAAGAAACAATCAACAAAACGATACCAACTGAAGAAACAGCGATCACTGGACTTAAAGAGTATGTGTACATGCGGTCAACAAAAAATACGGCGACCCACTCAAAACCTCTTCCCCTGGTGAACACAGGTGACCAGGTGCTTAAATCAACTGAGTGACACCGCCCCTATTCCCGTGACCCGGATTCCACAAATCACTGCCACCAATCACAACAAAATACCAAAAACAAATCAAGAGCATAACCACAAACCTTTACCTTGCGGCTCCTACACATAGTAATAGCGATAGTAATAGAAAAAGATGATGGAGAACGAGGAGGAGCCAGACATCATTTCTGGGAACATTTCACTCATTGTTGTTGACCAGGAGTGCCTGAGAAAGAACAGACAACTTTTAACATTTCATCATTTTCTGGGTCTCAAAAAGTCTAGGCAGCCTTTTTGTTTTCAAGATATGAAGTTAATATTAACGCAGATTTTTACTACTTTTTTTTTAAAGAAATGTGTTATTTAAAATCTTTCATCTGTGCAGATCAGAGAAAAACTTAGAAACAATCACTGCTGAGCTGAGAGGAGCAGTGATCTCTGCTGTGTGCTGAGTGTGCATTTCATCCTAAAAAGCCTCAGGCTGCTGAAGGCTACCAGGTGTGTGCTCACATACAACCCTTAGGACCCCTAATATGACTCCCTGTATGCTTCTGTAAATGGCTGGATTAGTGAAATGAACCTACTTCTCCTGTCCTGCACTGTCAGTGACATGCAAAAGCATCACTTTTACACAACTGCAGGTGGAAAGAAAAAGATCAGTAGAACTCATCAGAACAGGAGGAAGTGAGCTGCATGATGCAGTCCAACTGTGGGACGGAACATGTGTGTGTGTGTGTCTGTGTGTGTGTGTGTGTGTGTGTGTGTGTGTGTGTGTGTGTGTGTGTGTGTCTGTGTGTCTGTGTGTCTGTGCCACATAGTTTAGTTCATGCTAACCAGCTTTCCTGTTATTGTGGAAAGAAAACGACCTGACACATTCAAAATTTGCACTCATTCTCTTTTACACACACACTCACACACTCTCACACTCTTACACACACACACACACACACTCACACACACACACACACACACACACACACACACACACACACACACACACACACACACACACACACACACACACACACACACACACACACACACACACACACACACAGTCTTATCCCAGAGTGATGTGAAGTCGGTACTTTGGGAAACTTATGTGTACATGAGATGATTGGTCTCCTGTGTGCACATGTTAACACTCAGCTCACTGTAGGATTCCACCATGTGTACATTTCCACAGCTGTCGCCACAGTGGAAACAAACCTATCAAGCCAACTGCTTTATCATCAGACAACACACACGATATGAAACTGTTTCTCACAGAGAGCTGAGACAAAAGCTTTACATAAACAACAACAAGAGACAAAGGTATATCAGTCGCAGTGATGAGACAGTTGTCTGAATTTACAGCACATTTTAAATAGAAACTATCCATCTTACTGTCGCTTAGGGCCCTAACATTTGGACTCCTGGAGATCTGCTTTCCAGCTTTTTACATCTCAGTGCTGCTGCTGAAATTTTTTTTAAATAAAATTTTTGGTCAAATGCTCCATTAATTTGAATCGAATGCTCACTGTCAGCAGGCCAATCAGAAAAAGATGATGATTATAATAATTTTATTCATTTAGATGTTTAAAAACAAGTTAAAAGTGCTCCATTAAAAACAGCTTCACAAGCAGGGCAGTTAAAAGTTGTTGTTAGCCAAAATTCAAACAAATAACTACTTAGAGTGGATAACAAATGGGTCAAGTTCAGTACTTTAATAATCAAACAGAGTTAAAGGGCTCTATTTTCGTGCCTCGCCGGAGACGTGCCGCAGGCGCGGTGTAAGTCAGGTCCGCCGCGCCGACAAGGCGTTCCCAAGCACAATTTGGTATTTTGGTTAGCAGCGAAGCCCGGCGTAAGTATCCCCTCTCCCCAACTCAGCTCCTCCCAGCGGCGTAAGTCGTAGCGAGGGAGGAGAGAGGGCGTGGAGTGGGTTTAACACGGCTGAGACCTGTTTTCACCAATCACATAAGCTCCTTTCCTTGCCTTTAAATCCGCCACCGGCGAGGCGTATTACTATTTTCGTGAAGTAGTCAAAGAAATCAAGAGATGTCTGAAGACAGCAATGCCACACAATGGCGACAGAAGGCAGCTCCTCAACAAGTGTCACTGTAACCACTGCAGAGGGCATCCTTCACACTTTCTCATATAAGCACAGATGGATTTGGTGTGTGTAATGTTGGACCCACTGGTAAGACAGACACCCTTTTACACAAATAGAGACACTCACATAAAGTTTCATATATTCAAACCTCATGTGACAAAGGTGGGTTGTGCGCAGAGATCACAACATAAACTCCAAAAATGGCATTAAAATCGGAACCATCTGTGCGTAAATGACTCATCGTGCTCCGTGGCCTGGCTCTTTCTTTCATAGATGTTGGCATATAAAATAAATTTGGCTCACAAAACGAAAGCTGACCAGGTTTGAATCGGCGAGCTTTCAGCGCACTTTACATGCCACTGGCGAGCACGAAAATGTCACTGCGCCCGCTGATTCTGTCGACACCTCCCCCTGCCACGCCACCACGCCCAACTTGGTGGATCTCGGTTCGCCTCAGTGCGCCTCAGTCCACGAAAATATCAAACTGGCTGTACGCCGGGCTCCGCCAGACAAAAATACAACTGTGCGGGGTCCGCCACCCTCCGCCGCCTCACTGGCATACACGAAAATAGAGCCCACAGACTCAAGTAAAGCACAGTGGAGGCAAAGCCAAGCAGTGATTTTTAAGAGGACTCTGAGTCCACCTGACATCCGCAGGCAGAGTTTCACAGTTGTGGAGACTAACTGCAAACACTCGGTGACCTCTTGTGACCAGTCAAGATGTACAACCCAAAGAGAGAACCCCAGAATGTGGTCAGGCTCATAGAGAGTAAGCAGCTCAGCAGCTAAAATTTGACCCTTTCAGAAGATAAAATCAGGCAGTAAGACCTCTATATGTTTTAACTCACAGGTAGCCAGCGACAGGCAGCGAGGACTGCTGCTCTGTGCTTGCCTCTCTTGCCCTGTAATAAAAGCCTGGCAGCAGCATTTTGGAACAGCTGCAGTTTTTGGGTGTTTTGCCTGCTGCTGCCAGAATAAAGTGCATTTCAGCAGTCCAGTCTGGAACTGAATCAACAAATGATACAAACTCCCCTAATAGCAAACTCTGATTCAGTTTTTCTTTTCTAAACTCCCAGTAAAAACTACACAAAGTCCCTCCATACACCACCAGCTGTGTGCACGGATAAAGGACATGGAAACTCACTGAATCTAAATACACTCTACATCTGCTATGTGGGGAATTTTCAGTGTGGTAACTTTTCTGTCAATTTCAGATTATTTAGACATGCGCTATTTTATACTGTCTATCATTTAAAGAGATGGTTACCATAGAAAATCGCATTTATTGCAGTGAGATGATTTTAGAGTTGTGTCTTAGTCATGGTGTTATCTCTGTATTTGTGTGTTGGTGTGCCTGTTTGAAAGCTTTTCAGTTGTGTCTGGAGGAAATGTTTGATTTTGATCAAATATTTTATGGTCCTACAGAGTTTTGTTGAGCTTTGGACACTTGGAGATGTCCAACCATGATAAAGCCTCCTAATGTTTGCTGGAATTGGACTTGGATGTTGTTGTCCAGATTTTCTCAGTCACAATGAAAGAAGCTCCTCTCTTGAATAAACTCTATTACTCCTTAGAAATATCCATTAGCAGCTGACAAACCACAACAAAAATATGGAAAAATAGAGCAAAAGAGACAGAAATTCAGAGAGACCAGACTCTGCAGCCACTCACTTGAGCACAGGTTTTAGAATGAGGTTTAGGAAGTTTGTCAGCCTTATGAAAATAAATTGTATGTTTTATGTGACAAATGAAGTGAAGAAAGAAAATGTCTATGAAAGATTGCTTCTTTGTTGCTCTCTTTGAGATCTCCATTTTCCCTCATGCTTGAAAAATATTCTTTTCTTCAGATGCCCTCAGACTTTCCCTTGTAGTTCTAGATCATTCCCCTCCTTGCTAAAATATATCTTGCTTTCACACAGGTGCTTCTGCCTGCTTCTCCAGAGTGCTTGCATTCTGTCATTTACATTCACAAAAACTGGACTTTGGGAAAGCTCCTAACTTCTATCAAACAATAATAACGGGTTTGGCTGGATTATACAACCCAAAACTGCGCAAATGTTAAGGAATCAAAAAAAAAAAAAAAAATCAGTGTCTGCAGTTTTGAAAGTGAAATGTTGTCCCATTCTGAGGATTTCAGCTGCTCAACAGTTCAGGGTCTTCTTTGTCATACTTTTTTTTTGTCATGATGCTCCAAATGTTTATATTCAGTGACAAGCCAGGACTGCAGACAGGCCAGTTTAACACCTTGTCTCTTCTATTACAGAGCCATGCTGTAATGTGTGCAGAATGTGGTTTGGCATTATCCTGCTAAAAATATGCAAGGCCTTCCCTAGAAAAGTCATTGTTTAGCATGTTGCTCAGAAACCTGCACATATTGTTCAGTGTTCATTGTGCCTTCCCAGATTCATAAGCTACCCTTGTTATGTGGACTCTACTCTTTAGGACAGAGGACATCGAGTCCATGATTTTCAAAAGCACTGTCATTTGATTGGTCAGGTTGCAGGACACTTTTCTCTGGCTAAGTCCACAGATTGAGACTTCACAGGCACAGAGAAGGCTTTGATATTTGGATCATGTTCAGTGGTGTCTTTGCATGTTTCAATTTTACCCTGTACTTGTGGATAAACTGCTTTCATAGTTAATGTTTGTTTACATTAATTTGAGCCCATGCTCTGATTTTCACTCGTGAGTTGCCCCTTCTTTTCATACAACGCTACATTCAGGGCTGAGGATCACCACAACTTTGTGTTTGTTTTCAGCCTTTTACTTTTTTGTAGTAGGATTCCTCCAGACTCTCTGAAGCGTTTAATGATGTTATCTAGAGTAAGGGATGAAATCTACAAAAAAACTCTTGTAACTAACATGTTGGTGATTTACCTCATTAGTTTGGTGATGTGTTGTTGTTGCTTTTTCTCACATAGTAAAACTCTGTTTGTGTGTTGTTGTTACTGTCCCAACTTTATTTTGAAATGTGTTGCTGGTATTAGATTTTAAATGAGCGTGTTTTTTTCACCAAAAAAAGAAAAATACCCCACTTCTTTCTCCTACTTCGACTTAAAGATGGGATTTCAATGACTGGCTAACCAGGTCCGTTTTATTCAACATGTGCTCTACATCCCAGTTTGGGAGAATTAGGGCTGTAGTTTTATAGGGGACATGAAGGAGGATTTTTAGTGTGTACCCTTTATATTGTATAACTTGATATGATACTTTGGGATAAGTGCAATAAAGAATAATGCAAAAAGATAATGTCCATACTTGTGTTTTAAATGCAAAGACCATGAATAGCTCAAAAATAACTAAAATCCACAGGCAGGGGATTTTGTTTTGTTGTATTGTCAGCAGATCAGTTGATGAGACAGCTCCACAAAAGAGAATACAGTTATTCGTCGCCCATTGGCTTCATGGTTTCAGACATGACTGCAGACTATGTAAGCACTGCCAGGGCATGCAGCACTGGCTCAGCTCGGTAGGGGAAGCAGGCACCTCATGTAGAGGGGCTTTAGTGCCTGTCATACTAGAAGAGACCTGGTGCATATCATCCCCATTCCTTCCCCTCATGCTCCCTCTCACTCGCTCTCAAACTTTCCTTTCATATCAGGGCTAAAAATCCCCAAATAAATCCTGAAAATGTAACACTGCCAGAGTCAAAGCATCATTCTCAAATAAATTGTGCAAAGTCCTGCTTAATTAAAAAAGATCACAGCTATAAGCTTGTGAAAAAAATGTTTGATGTGAGTAACTATTCATGTTAGAGAGAGAGGGTAACTATCTGATACTGTCAGCTTGCAGACAAGCAAGGGCAACATATGTGTCACCAGGCTGGTGGACTTGCTCAGCACAAACAATTGATGACATTTTTGGCAAAAACTGTTTGTATTCACAACAGATGTCAAGACAATGTGTTTCCGAACAATTGTGGAAAAACCTTCTGATAACCTCTCTATGAGTAGAGTGTGAATTACCAGCCTTTGTCCTGGTTTCTACATGTTTAAACTACTGTATCTGCTGTACACGATCCAGAGATTGACTTGGAGGGTCAGATATTCCATGAGTTAATACGTCATTACTGATGGGCCAGTCAAAGCCTTGGAGTAGACTCTGTCCTGGCTCTGAACTCTCCAAACGTGCCACACTCCAAGCACATTGGCCCAAACATGCAACGGCATGTCCTGACAATTAAAAGTGAAGAGGAAAAAGAAAGCAGCCTGTAGGAAAATCTGACTTGGCTCAGCAGAGTCAAAAAAAGGTTGTGGGGACATCATTGAAGAAGTACAATCAGAAAGACAGCGATTCATTCTTAACATACTGTCTGAGGAAAAAGCACAAACTTCATTATTGCTGATCAGATTGAGGTTATTCTTTCAGTTTGAAGAAAGAAATCACTTCAAAAATGTAAACGCTCAATCCTCATCTGCCTCAATCCTGCTAACCATGAAGCTCACACACACTCTGGATATTTCTCACCAGGCCATGAAGTCTTGTGAAACTGCTCTGGTGTAGCAATGACTCACTGGCTTAGCGACTCTGAAATATACAGTACACACATAACCCACACTCTCCCAAAGTGGGTCAAAATATTTTGTTTTTATTATCATTTTTTATTTCATATCATATACTGTGGAAGCTGGTGTAGCTCCTGATTACTTGTAAGAGTTTTTATCCAGTTTCAAACAGATGAGAGTATGGGAACGGAAATAATTTAGACTCCAGGGACAAACTAACGGGGGCTGTTGACGTGGATATCTTCTTGGGACACACCACTCTGTGACCCATGCACAATATAAAATGCCCAGGAGTGCATGATTTCATTGATTCATAAATGTCCACTGTGAGCACAAGAGCAGAAGCTGTATTCTTTCAGTCTTAAGAGAGGCAGATCATGTTAAAATCCATTCCAAGCATTGAGAGATCATGTCACCCACAATAGTTCCCCACGAAACTAATACTGTTGTGATCAGTGAGCAAACAGTTTGTCTGTTAGTCTGTTTTCAGTCTCAGTGCCTGCCAGGGGGAGTGTAAAGTGTATGTTTGTATGTCTAAATATTGGGGGTTTTGGAGCATTTATTCTTTATAGTGTTTCACAGGGGTCCTGTGCAGCATCTGCCCAGTCTTCCCTTTCTCCTCCAGCAGTGTGTCTTGAAAGTTCCTTGTACATATGGAATATTAAACTGTAAGGAGAGATAGTCTGGATACGACAAAGAACAAGAAGTTGCATGGTGACACTGATTCAATGAGGGAAGAGGAAAGAAGAAACTATGCTCAAGAAATATTTTCAATCAGTGTTTATCAGTGAAATCATGCAAACCTGGGCCTTTATACTGTGGCATGTCTTATAGAGATATCCACATCATGAAGGCAGCAGATACATACAGTTGTGATACTCAGAGGAAGGAAGTAATAGAGATTGATATAGGAGTGCTGAATTCCAGCAACATTCATCTGTCAATTTATCCAAAAAGATCTGCTTTCACTGTCTGTAAACTTGTTTTTAATTCCAGTCTGCTGTGGTAGAGCCAAAAGCTTAACTTGAGACACACAACTCATAAATCAAGCAGCTGACTGCTCTATTTATAGAAAATTAAAGTTAAGTAATCTGGATCATGAGGATACTCATACACACACCAATTCACACAGGCCCCAGTCTCTGTGCTCTTTCCTATAAATCCCTCAAACTGGAGGATAAACTGCATTTCTACCAAATATTCCCTCTGAAATCTTGAATCTGGTAAAATAAGCGACACAGACGCTAAGATACACAGAGCAGACTAAATTACAAGCTTGGAGTAAATCGTTTGTATGAAAGTGGATGTATCAAAGCGCTGTACCACAGAGACTCATCGGAGTACGTCAGAGAAGGCCGACACAAAGGTTTTACCTCTGTTCATTCTGGAGACTGGGTCAACCTTGCTAGCGTTGGTTTATTTTTCACTGTTTGAGCAATGAGTGAATTTTTCCTTCACAGTTTTTACTAACCTCTCAGGCAACAGCCAACATGAGCCATAACCATCAAACCAGCCACCTGGAAGGACCAGCAGACAAAAGGCTGCACAGTGCTGGGAAATGCACTTCACCAACATCCTCTCTGTGTTTGGGAAACAATCCGGTTATAGTCTGATGTACAATAAAGCCAGTTCCAGTTTTTGCCTTGCTGAAATTGGGTTGGTTTATTAATGGCACAGTACAGACATAAAGAGTTGTCATTGTAGTTGAACTACTTGAAATACAATGTCTTTGTGTGCTTTTTCAAGACTTCAGTGTGTCCCCTTACCCCTGAAACCACAAGAGCTTTGTGCTTCCACAGCTCACTGATTCATCTATAAAGCAATCACTCTGATCCACTCTATGATAGGCACTCTGATGAAACCCTACATCTCTGCAGTCTGTCACCCTGGTATGAGAAAACCTAGATCTCTGACTCACAGTTACCTCCCAGCAAACATGTCGAGCCATCTATGTTAGTGACTCTGTGTTGTCAACATGTAACCAGGTAACTGTGAGTCAAACCCATACAGCTGTTTATAGAGTTTTACAGGTACAAAGATATGCTGAATGAGGCTCCAGCCCCCTTAGGCAGATATCAAGGAGAGGTGGATGTAGTTCTATAATGCAGCCTGTGACCTGGGTGCATTGTTTGACATCGACTTTATTGTTTTACCAGACTATCTCACTTGTCTGATGACTAGTTTGTGTGTGTGTGTGTGTGTGTGTGTGTGTGTGTGTGTGTGTGTGTGTGTGTGTGTGTGTGTGTGTGTGTGTGTGTGCGTGACAGCTTCTTGGCCAACTTTATTGGCATGTTTCACTTCCTTTTACTGTGCAGAAACTCATGACGTGTTGAATACTGTATGTTCTCAAGTGATATCCTGTCAGGAGGTGAACCAAATGACGCTCCTTCCCTCACTCTTTGTCTGTCTCTTGCCCCCTTATTCATTCACAAGGATAAAAATTTCATGTATCATTGTTTTAAAAGAACACTTCAACATATTCAGTGTTGAAAAAAAGACATTGACGTTAAGTTAACGCTGTTTTTAGTTACATCTTTGTGTTTTTGGTGTGTGCTGAGATATAGCAGATAAATCATATGATATCAGTGTCTTGTGAGAAGGCTCTGACAGTTTTAAAGGTGGCAAAGCAGCACTTGGAGTCTGTGTTGGTCAAACTGAAACAGAGGCTTGTGAAATGGCAGCTGACGATGAGTATACCAGTTATCCAAGAGCTGTCGGACTACAGCAGGACTGGATGTTGGACTGAAACCACATTGGAGGTGAACTTTACTGGGATTCCCTGTGTCATTTACAGAGGCTTAAGTCACTCTGCTGCTAACCAGTGCCATGTCATAAAAGCATCATTATAGAGGTAGATGCTGGAAATACCTAGAAAAAAGCTGCTATTCTTCCACATGGCTGCATTTGGAGAGTAAACTGCTCTATAAAGCTGAAGCAGAGTGGCCTTGCTGCTTCTATAGCAAACTTTAATAGTGTGGCAGGTTAATTCCTGCACATACCCCACAAATAGTTTCCTAAAAAACTACAGCAATGTCTGAAAGGGTTTTGAAGCATGTAATTGACCTCACTGTACTGTCAGTAAGGAGCAAATTTCAATTTCACCACTTTAATGCGTTAAAGCCTAAATAGAATCATTTAAAGTAAATGAACATATTAGACTAGCAAAGCAAAGTTCAGTGGTCACATCTGCAGGACAGAAGCCCAGACCAGCTGATTGTGTCATAATTGCCAAAGATGATGTTCAGTGTGACACAGTTTCAGAGGACAGGCTGACAGAGGCTGGAGTAAATCCTCCACAACAACAAACTTAAGCAGAACCACATCAGCAGGTTACAGATATAGAGCTGATGATAGAGCTATATGACCTGAACTCCGAGAGGCCCGGGTTCTTTTTAACACTTCAAAGGTGTCACATAAAAATCAGAAACTTGGTAGGTTTGTGACACTATTACACTCAGGGTTACGCCAATGGGAGGCGACACCAACATCATTCCGAACAGGACTGAGAACTGCGCTGAAACACGCTTAATAACTCCTAAATGGAGCCTATGGTATCATCTGCATGAACCGTGACTTGAGTGGCATCACCAGATAACCGAGACACCACAAGAAGGCTGGAAAAAAATAAGTTTTTATGGTTTTCCCTCCAGCTGCCTCAGCAGTTACCACCCAGCATGTTACGAGTTGCAGCGCTCGCCTCAGCGCAGTTGAAAGTTAGAAAGTGTGAAACTAAGTTTTGCCACATGTTGATCGTTACAGTTCTTTAAAAGACGAGTGAAAGTTTGTTACCTGTTAACAGCGCGGTGGGCAGAAGAAGGCAGTAGAAGAGCCACACAACCACCTGAAGATCCATGTCAGCGTAGATCAACACACCCGATCACCCACAGTGATCGATCAATAACGACCAGTGATCTGATTACACAGCTAACTCCAACATAAACCACCTCGTGTGATTTGGTCGATTAGACGTGACGGAGAAACGATTAATCCGTCTGTTCGTCCGGTATCCGTTCATGATTTCCTCCAAGAAGACGCATCAAACTTGAGCCGAAAATCCTTAAGAGTGAATAAAACTTTCCAGGCAGTTGTCCAGTTGATCTAGTTTGCTTCAGCTCATTTAAGGATTTACGGTCGATACAGATCGGGGGAGAAGAAAGGGTCTGTGGCATGTGTTCTTCGTAGGGGCCCAGTCAGAAGTAACAACTGTGTTGTAGGTGGAAAATGTGATTCACAGGCAAGTCAGACTGAAGGGCGTTCATAGAGGAGCTATTCTCCGGGTCTCGGTCTCCTCCCTGCTGCAGTTACACTACTGCAAGTCACTACCAGGACTTGAGCTCAGCAGTCAGCCTACAGGGTCTGAGACTCCGCTGCACTGCTTTACAGTTTCTGTTGCAGGACAGTTTAACAGTAAGTACTGTATCCAGCGAAGAAATAATGTTATAATAAAGATCCAAAATATATTTGCACCTTTGCTTGTTTCAGTTCAGGAAAGTTTGTTTGTTCGTAGATTGACTCTTTAGACACAGCCACGTCAATCAATACAGGGGGAAGAAGTCTTCCTTAAAATCCACAATACTGTAGATATGCTCTCGGTGACTCCAATATCCTATGTGTGTCATTGGCGCCCCCTAGCGAACAATTTAAACCATGAACCAGTGAGAGCAACACAGAACTGTGCATGTGAAGAACAGTCCCGGTCACGAGTTTTCCTTCTGGCATTATGGGCCCATTATTCTCTGGTAAATGCATCAGCATAGGCATAGAAAAATACACATCTCCCCTCTTTGGTTGCTACAACTGCAAATACTTTTTCAGCAATATGATGTGAAAGTGTAAAGTTCTTCACTAGATTTGGCAAATAAGTTGAAGATCATCTCCAAATTCTTTGTATGGCCCTGGCTATTTGGATACAATTATTTTATTTCATTTCCTCAGTGGCAGTCATCATTGCATGAATCCAGGAAAAGGTGGCGTTTCTTGGTGTTTCTAAATACATTGTGGCAAAGACCTTGCCACTTGGTTGACACAAAGTCCTGAACAGCCTTTCAGATTTTATGATACATGTAATAAAAGCCTAACTTTAAAAAAACTTTTGAGAATGGGAAATCATTTATTTCTGTAGAGGAGGACTCATTGTTGTAGCAAACCAAAAAGTAAACCAATGTTGTGATCACTCGAACTGTTGGTGGTTGGGTGACCTCCTGCATAAGGCAGATGTAACAGGGAGTGCTGTAGCCTCCAAAGGCCTTTTGTTTTGAATAAGATTAGACACTCTTCTTCTTGATAAATTGTTTTAACAAATATGACCTTTTGATCATGCAAGTACTACATAATTAAAGCACTTTTTAGGGGTCCTGACTGCCAAATTAGAAACTATTAACCAATTTACACATATTACATTTCTTATGCATAAGTTGTGAAACTACTACAGGATCCAAATCCATTTGTTCTGGGGTTTGACAAGATTAAAACAAATGATTCATTGATTGAAATGTGTTTAAAGTTACTGTCATTTATGATGATGGCTTGTTATCCAACCATGTCAAATACTTTGATTACCTTAATTTCCCTTTCTGTCATGAAATAAAGCAAAGAAAAATCATGTACAAATGTGTGAAAAAAATTAAAACCGGAGTAAAGCTGGCATCGATGGAAAGAAAATAAACACAGAGCACTAGAAGAAGAAAAAAACTACTACAGCTGTGATGTGTGAACGACTGTCAAAGATGATCAAGTAAATCCAACCACTTCAGGTTACTGTAGATTCAAATTCTAATGGCCTTTTTTGATTACCAGTTGTGTTTCTCTCTTTTATGGTTCGCCTCAAATAATTCAGTATTTAGATTGTCAAAAAAAGGACTGCCTCACTTATGAAAGACATTAACAGCTTTAAAATAACCAAAAAAGGCAACAGCTTACTCTCAGCTAGTTTACATGACAGTATCTGTTGTCGGGATTTTGCCATTGATCAATTTGGCTGAAAATGATCAATCAGGTTTTGACCTTTTCCAGCACTTGAAGCTACTTTTAGATTAGAGTTAATACCAAATACACACATTCTCCCTATCAACTTAATATTTACAAAAACAAAATCCCCTAAAAATATGATGAAATAAAGGTTGATTTGAATTTATTAACATTTGCTAAAACATGTTCGGATCGTGGGGTTGTTACATTTGATGAAGAATGCAAAAAGTTTATCATGTTAAATAGTTTTATCTTAAGACTGCTTAAATCATCAAGTAAGTATTTTTTATCATTCCACATTGTTGATATTTTAAAAACTAAGATTTCAAAACCTGCAGCCACATTTGATAATTTGTCATGTCTGATCTGAGGGAGACATAAGTCGAGTCCTTTGCCCTACTCAGATGTTAAATATACAGCATCCTAGTTAAAGTACGTGATGAAGTGACATATTAACTATGTTTTGTAAGAGTCCCTTATTCAAACGTTTTTTTTTTTTAAATCTTAAAATTAAAAATTAATCATTTTTTAGTTATTAAGGGGAGAGTATGGCCTACATAGGCAGGCTTATGAGTAAGGACAGGCTTATGAATAAGATAAGGCAGTGTTATCACACGGACACGTTTTTTTTAAACTGGAATTAAAAAAAATAACGACCAAGGAATAAATACCTATTAAAAACTATAATTCGTGTTTTAATTGCATCTTCTGAAACAAAAGATCGAAGCATACATTAACAATACTACGTCTATGATTATAGCCATAGATATGAATAAGAAAGGCGTTTCTATTCACACACACACGCACACACACACACACACACACACACACACACACACACACACACACATTTATTCATTTTTTATTTATTTATTTATTTATTATTATTTTTTATTTTTTTTGATTGAACAGCAAGCCACATTCCCACCCTTATTCCGCCGTTGTCACGTGTCACATGACACAGGGCGTGGCTTAGCTTGATTCGCGCGAAAGTTCGTTTCTTCTTCCTGTGACTCGTGAGCGTTTCCGGAGGTCTTTGTTGATGCGTTCTATATAATTCCGGAGCACAGCCTGAGGTGAATTTTCACCCTCTAACCATTACATCGACAGCATGTCCCAGGCTCGAGTGACTGATTTCTTCTCCCAGAGGAAAAAGGGAAACCACACGGCTTCACGGAAATCATCCAAGCAGAGAAGTGCTGTCGTCCAACGTGGATCTTCGGTGATTTCCTCAGACTTCACGGGTCCACCGTCAGGCTCTTCTGATAGCAAAGGTGACTTCCCTTGTTCCGTCCATGAAGAATTTGTTCGAGTTATTGACGAGGCAGTTGCGATAGACAATGGAGGATCCTCAAGCATTCAGAAACCCCCTCCCTGTAGTCCCAGGACCCCAAAGCGGACCTCCGCGGACAGTGAGTTTGACCTCGGAGCAGCCGTGTTTTCAACCACAGCTTCCCACAGCACGGCCAAAAAGAGACGGCAAACAGAGGCCATCAGAGCCGAGACCACAGAGAAGGAGACCAAGAAGAAGGCTCGGAAGAAACTGGATCTGCCCCAGGACACAGCACAGGTACTGTTCTAGGTCTGCTTTAACTGAATCCTGTAAATATACGGACTTGGAGTACTAAATGCTGTTTGTTTCCCATGGTCAACTCAGTTTTTGTGTATTACACCCATGATCACTCGTTGATTTGTGTGCGTCCAGGCTGTCCTCCCATCCCAGCCCACTGAGGTGACCCAGCAGCTCTCGGCCCCAGCAGCTCCTGAATCCTGTCAGAACAGCTCTCCTCCACACACCAAAAGAACCCTGAGAAACGGGAGAAAGCAGGTTGGTGGTCAGGTAACACAAAGTGTTTGGGTGGGTTTAAGAATATGATCTTTATTCTCAGAGCACTGAGTAATCATTGTAGGCCTTAATAATCTGATCAAACCAAGGCTTGATTACAATGGAGAACCTTATCCTAGTAAGCTCCATCACAGTGTTTTATTATGCAAAAGTTAGTTGGCTGTTTTGTCATCTGTGTTATTGTTCAGACACAAGTAAATTTGGACTATACTGTAACCACTATAACGCGAAGCTTCATTTTCTTGCTTCACACTTGTCCCTTTTCCAATGAATATATAAACTAATCAGACAGGTCTGATAGAAAACCCACTGAAACTGACAGTGATGCCTTTTTGCAATGCGGGAAAGCTACTGGGACCATTCATGGCAAGACTGACATTGTCTATTTTGCAGGTTTAGACATCTCTAACTGTTGTGAGGGGGTAGGTACGCTAAAGAAGCAGTCACTGTTATCCTTTAACAGCAAATATTTACTATGGGGATTAAATTTAAGTTTAAAAGACAACAGGAGGTGAAGTTTCTGTCAAATTGCACCACTTCAACAAGGACAGAAAAAAGTTAGCAACAATGTAAAGGCTTCTACTTGTCAACAGTTTGTGCCAAAATCAGCACAGACATAAAGTTCCTAACAGGAGCTTTTAGTTTTTTTGTTGAGGAGAAACCATATTTCTTTTACCCAACAGTATTTGTAAGACAGTGTGTATTTGTTACTTACTACTGTTGCTCTGGAGTCAGCTGATATTTATTTCTTCTAAAACCTGATCTGAAAGTCAGTGTGATTGGGATTATGTACATCCAAATGTAGTCTGTCTCAGTGGAGTTGCCGTAACTGTGTATTACATGTCATGGATCAGACTCCATTCAGATCAGGCAGTTCATGTAGAGGTAGTAATGATAACTTTGGCAGAGAAGGATGACAGGCTACCTAGGCTCCTTTGCCTGTTTATTCAGCTTCTCTTTGAGGTTTTTTAAATGAAAAATGATTTGTTTTGTTTGACATTTTCTGCACCTTCTGAAATAATTGTTAAAACATTTGAGCCTTTTCTCACCATTTAAAGACGGCCTCATATTGTCCACAGTGAGCGGGTATTTTTGTCTGCTATTATCCTGGAGAATTTCTTGGCTGCACTTAAATACTTGAGATGCTTTTAAAAAAAAGTTTGATCAAGGTTCTGAATTCTTTTTATAAATCTTAGTGTATTGTTGTAATTTTGACACAAAATAAAAAAAGGAAATTGTAGAAAAGTCCCACGTGTTCATTAATACTGGAAGGCAGATGAATGAGGAGATGGACACCTATGAAGGATAAATCAACATTTAGAGCTAGAAAATAATGTTTGCATGAGAAAGCAAATAAACTGCAGTGTTTTTGAGTTTTAACAACAAGCACTGAGCAGAAAAAAAGGTGCAATAAAAATTAAGTTTGTGTATATAACATTGTAGATATTTAAGAATTCTTGTCAGCAGAATACACTCATGGTTGTGGGTGTGGGTGTAAACATTAATGACAATCAAAATAAAAAAAAAAACACTGCCACATTTAATATTGATTTTCCTAAATTAATCTTCATATTAATCTCCATTCTTTAGGCTTTGTGCAAAGATCACATTGCAACACTTAACACTCGCCTCCAGAGGATCAGGAAACACGCTGAGGTGGCCAGTGCTGCCTCAGATGGCCCGTCCTCCCTCTCTGCATCTCCAGCTGGCTCAGCACAAAAAAACACCTCCCCTCAAGCTTCCCACACCGCCACACTCCGAGCTACCGAAGCTAAGGCCCTAAAGCTCGCTGTGGCTCAAGCAAGTGAGCTGGCAGCCAAAGCTCTGAAGAGGAAGGAAGAAAGGGAGGCAGGGGAGAGCAAGCAGACTGAGAATCAGGCACAAGAATGGCAAGAATATCCTCATATCCATAGAGATCGTCACCAGTTTGCACAGACCTTTGCACTAACAACAACTTGTGTTTTCCTCTCCTGACCCATAGTTCGGAGCAAGCAGCATACCAGCGGTACCACACCCTTGCCCAGACGTTCCCTCCAGGCCTGTCTCTGCCGTACCAATACAAATTGCTGGCCGAAATGTTCAGGAGTATGGACACAGTGGTTGCCATGCTGTACAACCGCTGTGAGACAGCTACCTTCACCAAAATCAAACAGGGAGTTCAGGACATGATGCACAAGTAGGTGGAGGGATGGATGGACTTCTTTTAAGATTTTAGTTGGGAGAACTGTTTGTTTCAGGTTCATACCAAAGACCAGCAGCAGTGTATTACCTTCTGGCACAGTTGAGCTAACTCTGGAAACTTGTTGACCTTATTTCCATTACTTTGTGGAGAAAAGTCAAGAGGATTTATGTGTTCCAACTTTGAGTGGAAAATACAGTGAAACTCATAATTTTAACAGCAGGTCTTTTCCATCAGGTTGATAACCTGGAGTAGGAGCAGCTACACAGATATCTTTGATATAAAAACAGCATATGTGTCATTATAAATATTAAACTTCTGTCACAGACGCCGATGTTAACATCCACCTCTCTTTATCTCATCTGTGCAGACGCTTTGAGGAGAGCCATGTGGGTCAAATAAAGACGGTGTTTCCTGAGGCATACACATTCAGACAGGAGAAGAACATCCCCACCTTTAACAACAGCATTAAGACGGGCAGCTACCAGCTCACATTGGAGCCGGTCCTTCACTCTGGTCAGTGTTTTGGAGACACAGCAGGTTCCTCTCAAAATACTATGTTTTATCTTATTGCATCTCGGCTCAGTCCCCCGAGGTGCTCATGATAATTTGTCCACATGTTTGTTACTTATGTACTGATTTCTCTCACATTGCTGTTTTTTTTTGGCCTCCTCAGACCAGAATGAAGCCCGTCCTGTCCTATCGGCCTCTCGTCTTCTCAACAGAAGGCACATCTTCCACCAGAACATGGTCTCAATCGTCAAACAGCATCACAAGGTTAGCAGCTGCTCTATTTAGGTACATTAATTTAGAGGCATAATTTTTGAGAGAGTATTTTCCTACAGTAAGAGACAGAACTTTGTACTTGTTTGACAGAAAAGTTGTTTTCTAACAGCCTCTCTGTCTCTCTGCAGGTCTTCCTGTCCTCTTTAGTTCCTCCAGTGTCTGTTCCTGAAGACAAACTTACTCGCTGGCATCCTCGCTTCAATGTGGACACTGTACCTGCTGTCCAGACCAGCTCATTGCCTCAGCCCCCTCAAACCGAGAAACTGACCACAGCTCAGGAGGTGCTCGACAAGGCTCGCTCTATGATCACACCCAAGGTACGAGCCCTGCATTCATGTAGAGTCAGAATGACCTGGGGCCTCATTTATAAAGCTTGATTACGCACAAAACCTGGCTTGAAAGTGCTTACGCCACTTCTTACGCAAGAGTTGAGATTTATAAAAAAAAACTTGTGTAGGAATGTGCGCAACTTTAAGCAAACTTCACACCTTGCTTACGCACTTTTTGGAGACAATGGTAGCAAGGTGAGAACAATTGGTTAATGGAAAGCGTGCGTATAAAAAGCCATACAGTGACAGTCGTGCGCAATGCAGCACAAGTTGTGACGTCTGCGATTGTGCCAAAAAAAAAACAGAATAATAATAATGTAAAGTCTGTTCAGAGGGTGTTGTGAAGTCAGTTATGGGGTGTGTGTTATGAGGAGTTCAGGATCCAAGTGGCCTGGGGCATAATAAGGAGCTGACTCAAAGATCATTTTACTGTGAAAGAATATTCTTAGAAGCCGACCTTCAGATCAAATGAAGACTTGGCTGAACACTGTCATCTCTGCTAAAGTCTGGGTATTTGTGTTTTCAGTTGGTATTTTAACAGATCCCAAAGGTCCTGTTGTTATTGTCTTCCCTCTGAACCCATAACACTTCTAAAACCTGTTCCATGCTGCACCTTGTGGTTTCATTGTATTTGTTTTTCTGTTGGTCTATGTCACATTTGCTCAGCTCCTGCCTGTTTTGACATCCCTCGCTAACTTCTGTGCTGTTTCCTCTACTGGTGATCAGTCAATAACCTTGTTCACTGATGCTGTTGGTTGGTAATGTTTATGTCTGTTTCAAACTGGATGAGGTGAAATCATAAATGGTGTGTTGTAACCCTTCTGGGATTTGTGATCCTAGTGTGCCCTTTGCTTTGTCTAAGGCAGCTTGTACTGTTCTCATACTCAGATAGAGAAGGCCCTGGTCTCGATGGCTCTGAGGACAGAAGATAAAGCTGAAGAGAGGAAAGATTCAACATCTCCACAGAAGTCAGAATTCGCTCAAACACAAGCTGCTCCTGCAGCCCTGAAAGGAGTTTCTCAGTCTTTGCTGGAAAGGGTAGGTACACCAGATGGGGCTGCTATTGGTTTGACTGAACTGTCTGGGGAATGAAAGTGTGAAAACCATAATGTTGGTTCAAGCGCTTTTCCTTGTGACTTCTTTTGGTTTAGATTAGAGCAAAGGAAGCCCAGAAGTTACAGGCAGCCATGACTAGAAACTCTGTCCAGGAGGAGCGCCTGTTGATGATGTCACGGCTCCCTGAGCTGGCGAGGATCCTCCGAAATGTTTTTGTTTCAGAAAAGAAGCCTGCATTGATTATGGAGGTGGCCTGCAACAGAATGATGGCCAGCTACAGATCAGCTCTCAGCTCCGGTTGGTATAGACAGAATAGAGCAGTTTTTGACGTCCAGTCAGCCTCTTTGATTTCTGTTCTGTCATGAGCGGTCCATGTAAAAACATCTGTTCAAAATAGTGTTTCATATAATCAACAGGAGAAATGGAGAAACATATCCGTCTGCTGGCAGAGGTGGTAGCTGAATGGCTGACTATTCATCCAATCAGGAAGGACTTCTACCTGAAGTTGAACAAGAACATGGAGCTGAACATTGTTCTGGACAAACTGAGCAACAGACTCAAAGAGGAGGAGAGACTGTGAAGGACTTCAGTGATGACATGATGGTAGAGCGATGTGGATGTCCTTGAGCCTTCTCAAGTCTATGCAACACACTCAACACTATTTGGTTTAAACTTGACTTTATAGTAAAGTTGAGAGTAGAGCAATGCTGTCAGCATTGAAAAACCTGGACTGAGCTGCCACAGAGGGGGCAACTGTGTGATCTAAGAAAACCTCTGTAATCACAGCTCAGCCAAGGGGCGATAGTTTGTTTCACTTTTTAATTTTTTCTAAAACGTTCTTGATCTGCCCCTGAGGTCTGTGTGACCGAATTTCTGTGATGTAGAACTGTTGAATGTTTACTTTTTAAGGTCACGATTTAATAATGTCGAAAAAATACAAGCATTTTCAAGACCTTTCTGCGTCCGTAGTTTTTCAAACATAAACGCCAGAAAACAAAGGCAGTGATTGCATCAGTTTACTGAAAGTATCACTAAGTTTTCTGTACTGTAGTGACACAGAAGGAAAGAAGGTGTGATCTGTGGCAAAGCAGTAGTTCATGGAGGGAAAAAAACATCACCTCATGAGGAAACCTGTATGATTTTAACCTCATTTAACTTTGCTTCAACAATCTTATCCTTTTGTTTTTTGCACTAATACAACATAGACTGTGATACCATCTCCATAATTTTGCAACCCTCTGGGGAAAAATGTGATCTTGAAAACTAAAGCTGAACATTTACACATGTAAACTCACAAGTATGAGATTTGTCACAAATCCATGAGAAAAACAACAACATGCTAATCCTGCAGGACTGAGGGTGATGATCTTAAATACCTGTTTATTATGCCCTAGAAAATGTAATTCTTGCTTTGGGTTTGTGCAGACCACTTGGCCCAAAATGACCACAGCTGGAAATAAAACTTTATAAGTGTGGATTTTGTCTTGCTGAATTTTTCTATCACCCCAAATTGCCACTTATCTTCCCCAAACTATGACTGATTTAAATGCTTGAAGGTCAATAGATGTTGGTTCTCCAGCAGATGAGTCAAATATATATATATTCATATATAAGACCTCTTATGAGTCCTAACATTTCAAACTTCAAGTACGCCTCCCAATTATGCTTAAAACGTATTCCTACATGAATTTAGGGAGGGGTGCAAAATACTTGATGTATCGTGTTGGGACTGCAAATATACAGTGCATCCAGAAAGTATTCATACCACTTCACTTTTTCCACGTTTTGTTACGTTACAGCCTTATTCCAAAATGGATTAAATTCTCTTTTTCCCTCAAAAATTCTATATAAAATACCCCAGTAGGAGAATCTCTTCATACATTTAGGTTAAGAAATATTGAGTAATTATCTTTTAGTAAGGAGCTACAAATTATCTAGGTTGGCCTGCTCCTGCAGCCCCACGACCCTAAGATTGTAAACAAGGCTTTCTTGCAGGAGCCTGAACTATCTGTCTGTTGGAACATTTAATCTCTGCAAGGGTCAAGACGAGCCTAAACAAAGTGTCGTGGGGCAGACATGACATCATGAGGGCCTTCTGGAGAATACACACACACACACACACCTGTGAGCATAAAAGGGAGTAGAAGAAAAGCTAGGGAGGCTTCCTTCGGTCTTGGTCGAGACTGGGCAGAGTCGGTGCACAGCTTCTTTCAGGTCTTTCCAAAGATGTTTAATCGGGTTCAAGTCTGGGCTCTGGCTGGGCAACTCAAGGACATTCAGAGACTTGTCCTGAAGCCACTCCTTTGTCTTCTTGGCCGTGTGCTTAGGGTCATTGTCATGCTGGAAGATGAAGCATCGCCCCAGTCGCAGGTCTCGAGTGCTCTGGAGCAGGTTTTCATCAAGGATTTCGATGTACTTAGGTGTACAGGTGTGGCTTTCCAAATCATGTCCAATCAGCTGAATTTGCCACAGGTGGACTGCAATCAAGTTGGAGGAACATTTCAAGGCTGATCAGTGGAAACAGGATGCACCTGAGCTCAATTTTGAATATTACAGCAAAGGGTGTGAATACTTATGTATATGCAACATTTGAGTGTCTTAATTATAATAAATTTGCAAAATGTTCTAAAAATAAAAGTTTTTTCGCTTTATTATGGGGTATTTTGTGTAGAATTTTTGAGGGAAAAAAGGAATTGAATCCATTTTGGAATAAGGCTGTAACATAGCAAAATGTGGAAAAAGTGAAGTGGTATGAATACTTTCCGGATGCACTGTATGTGTGGCTGATATTTCAGGGTTTACTCCCCAGATGCAAGATGTCTTAACAAACTGTTGAAAAAGGCTGGCTCTGTGGTAGGAACCAAGCTGGACTCAGTGGAGGATGTGGTGGAGAGATCTACACTGAGGAAGGTGGAGACTATTCTCAAGAACATGGATCACCCACTTCACAACACCTTGATGGACCAAAGGGCCAATGGTGGTGGACGGCTCCTCTCTCTTCACTGTAGGACAGAGAGATTCAGAGGATCTTTTGTACCAACAGCCATCAGGCTTTATAACTTTTATGTAAATAGTGGATAACTTTTATAGACATATTATATGAGACAACAGACAATTGAATTTCCCTTCAGGGATCAATAAAGTTCTTCTTATTCTTATTCTTATTCTTAGATACTGCAGTTCACCTGCCGACCACTCACATAGCAGCAGAATGGGTGGCTTGTTATATATAAGCTTCTGCCATGGGTATATTTAAAATAACACAAATGTAACCATTTATGACCAGTTTACATGTTTTATACTGAAATTCTTTTGACTCAAAACAAACAGACAAAAAGCTAAAACAGTTTTAAGAAAAACACTGAAACAATGAAGGAAGAACTACACTGGGGCTGGCAGTTTTATTTAACAGATGTTCATGTTAGCATAACACAGCAAATCTGTTTGAATAATAGTTAGCCTACCCATCACACTGATAAAACCTTTGAGTCCCAGACACACATTCCTGAAAAATCTAATTTCACTGGTAAACTGGAAAAAAAAAATCTGTGATGTAGACTAAAAACTGAGGGAAAAGAAAAGATTTGGTCTTTCTGGAAACTGAAATGTTTCTCTTCCTGTTTGGGGAAAAAAGAACAAAGACTGAACATGACAGGACCCATTAGCAGGAAGAACAGTCAATCAGAAAAAATACAGGCTCCTGAAGACTCTCCACTCATGGCTTCCCCTCTCATCACCAACTTTTACTCCTTTTGGTGCTCTCCTGTGAGGACGATTCTTGGGCTGAATCAGTGCTGCCTTACCAACAGTGTGCAACACCATGACTGGAAATTTGCTCAGTGTAAACACTTGCTCTATGTGATGGTCTGTTCAAGGCAGAGATCATCTCCAACTACGGTGGAGTGACCACAATAAGCCTGTCACTTACAGCCAGTCTGTGAAGGGATCCAAACAGGATCCATGAAAAAGAGCAACAGGGTGAAATCTGCAGCTTATGAGTCATTTATACTGTTCAAGTTCATCAAAAGAGTTTAATTCATCCTTTCATTCAGTTCCACAGACTTACAACCCGGATGTTTTGTGAGCAAAGGTCTCATTAAAAAAAGAGCCCTCACTAGAAGCCCACAGCATGCTGGGTAATGCTCCAGCCCTGCAACTACAGTGCAAACAGACAAAGAGTTTAAAGTACAAAACATGACCAAATAACAAAATATAGTCAAGTGTTCAGGAGTTAAAAGAACTGTAGGGCATGATGGTGGTGGTGAGGCAACAGGAAACATCTGACTGGAATCAGTCAAACACTGTTGAACAGCCAGTGTAGAAGCTATAGTGGTCCTCAATACTGGAGTAAGGAGAAAAGACTATGTGGTTTGATTTTCTCTACACCATTCAGCTCTTTGAGCTCAATGACGACCATGCAGCCCAAAACCTCAGCCTTCCGCTTCTTCATCAGCTCACAGGCAGCAAACAAAGTCCCTGAAACACACACACACGTACCTCTGAATTTGACTTCAAAACACGAGCAGGTCCAACAGTTATTTGACATCACTTAATCACAGTGCTACACAACCCTGAACTGATCTGCTTATGGTACTAACAGCCTGTCTTTGAATGAGAGGAACCAGTTAATCGTCCCCCTAATCCCCCCATTCTAAAGCAGGGACTGTCTATTATAAAGCTAAACAACATCTGAAGAGAAGGAAGAAGATTTCTGGTCCCCAAAGCCTTCAGCAGATGGGACAAGACCATTTAAAGTTGCAGTCTCAAAGAAACAGTTCATCAAAAAAAGCCTGAGGACTGAGGAGTGGTGATGACTCTCAGATACTAAACCTGTGAACCATTTTAACTACTGCTGTCTATTTGAGTGAAGAAACTGTTTTTGTAAGCGTTTCAAAACTTTCCCCTCTGTTTTTTTGACACAGGTGTCACTCTAAATGACAGTATTTGGTGAACAGATCTAAGTGAAAGATTCTCACCTCCAGTAGCTAAAAGATCATCGATGAGCAGGACTTTCTGTCCTGGAGATACTGCGTCCTCTTGGATCTCTGCCTCTGCCTGCAGACACAAAAGCAGCACTTCAAAATGACACATGAGATTATGTTTGATGACAAGGGCAGAGCAGAGAGCACACACAGGAAAGGATGAGATATGGTACTTTTTCACTCAAGCCTAAAAAGTTATCACCATGTCTGCATCACTCTGCCACTTTACAGATTCATTAAGTCTCAGCTGTTTTCTATTTCCAACACAAACACCTGAAGACTGAGAGAGACAGTGAGAAGTTTTCAATATTTTCAGGACCACAAGGTAGCCACATGTACTTCCCACTGTATCAACAGCTCCTTTGTAAACACAGGTCACTGTATGCTGGATTTGCATCTCAAATGTTACTGAAACCTGGTGCTGTTCTACCTTTGAAGATCTCCCATGAATGCTCAGAACCACAGGCGATAAGCAACATCAAAGAAACTAACATTACAATAACTCACAAACACCATGTGGCCAAATGGAGAGTTAAGAGGGTGAAAACAGCTGGTGCCAGATGTTTTTGGTAGACGTATAACTCTTTGTGACTACATAACGGTGTTATTAGGAAACCACTAAGCTGTTTTCAACTTGATACCACTGCAAAGCAGCCAAAACTAAATGCAGCATTGCAGGCAGCAGCTGAAGGGCACAAATGAGGGTTTTCCCAGATGCCAGTTTAAGATAAATGTGTTTTTTTTCGTTTTTGTTGTTGTTTTGTTTGTTTGTTTTTTAGCAGCAAATAATTCAAAGCTTCTCTACTGGGGTCTTATACTGAAAGGAAAATGGTTACATGAGTATAATAGTGTAATATTTACCAGGAAAGTAATGCTAAATTCTAGTCATTTTTGTGTTGTGTTCTTACCTTGCCATACTCCAATTCATATGCCACTGAAACAGTGGTCCCTGGAAGCTTCCCCTTCTTCCTTACTAGGACAAAACCAATACCAAGCCTCTGGGCAAGCAGAGGACCAAAGAGGAAACCACGAGCATCTAAACCTGCACACAAAAGCCACATTTAAGTTGAACTGAAACAAAACAAACGTCACTGATATAAAAGGGTAGAAATGGTTAATTAGTCCAGATTATAAGTAATGACACTTTTATTTATGCCCTTAACCTTTTTAAAAACACCAATACATGGGCTCAAAAATTAACAAGTGTTTTTAATAACAGCTTGTCCCTCTTTCCTTTGACGACTTTTACCATATAACTGTCAGGTTTTAGACTCATAGATGATGCTGTATTTGTAATTTCCAAACAACCTCTGGAGAAGAGCTCATGAACAACATTCACAGGGATTTAGTTCACTCTTCATCATCTATTAGTAGAACGTTCTGGACACTGTCCACACACAGCTACACCCCGACAGCTACAGTTATGATCATAATAATAGCAGTGTCTTTAAAAAGGTGACTAAACCTCAAAATTCTTCAAATAAATTGTATTTTAATGAACACAAATGCATTGGGGACACTGCACATTATATTTAAAAGCAAGAAAATTGGAAAAAGTAATTGAATTTGATCATATTTTACAGGAAGTCAAGAAATATAACGCTAAAAAAATAGCAGTGTTGACATCTTTCTTTACAAACTCACTGCAGTGAAGATTCAACTTTCCTGAGAATCATAAACTAATACTTAGTTGCATAACCACAGTTTCTGATAACTGCTTTACATCTGTGGTACATGGAGTCGACCAACTTCTGGCACCGGTCAACAGGTATTGCAGCCCAGGACAATTGTACTACATTCCACAATTCCTCTGCATTTCTTGGTTTTGACTCACGAACAGCATTTTTTGTCAGCCCACAAGTTTTCTGTGGGATTAAGGGCTGGCCACTCCATGACTTGATCTCTGTTTGTCTAGAACCATGATTTTGCTCACTTGCTGGTGTGTTTGGGGCCATTGTCTAGTTGAAACACCCATTTCAAGGGCATTTCCTCTTCAGCATACAGCAACATGACTTCTTCCAGTATTTTGATCCAAACTGATCCATGATCCCAGGTATGCGATAAATACGACCCACACCATAGTACGAGAAACATCCCCATATCATAATGCTTGCACCACCATGCTTCACCGCCTTCACTGTGTACTGCGGCTACAATTCAGTATTTGCAGGATGACTGTCGAACTGAATGTGGCCCTTGGACCCCAAAAAGAACAATCTTACTCTCATCAGTCCACAAAATATTACACCATTTTCTTTTAGGCCAGTCAATGTGCTTGTTGGCAAATTGTAACCGCTTCAGCACACGTGTTTTCTTTTAACAATGGGACTTTGCCGGGGCTTCTTGGTGGTAGCTTGGCTTTCCATAGACGTCGTCTGATTGTTACAGTTTCCACAGGCAATCTTAGATCTTCTTTGATCCTCCTGGAGCTGATCATTGGCTGAGCCTTTGCCATTTTGGTTATTCTCCGATCCATACTAATAGTTGTTTTTCTTTTTCTTCAGCGCCTTTCGGGTTTTGGCTGCCATTTTAAAGCATTTGATATCATTTTAGCTTAAAATCCTTTTATTTGCTGCACTTCTTTATAGGATTTCCCCTCTTTTATTAATTTCTTAATCAAATAATGCTCTTCTTCTGAACAATGTCTTGAATGACACATTTTACTCAGTTTTTCAAGGAAAAATGCACAGCCAGCATATGCAGCATCAGTTGCCTTGATCCTTTAATAAGGGCCACCCGTTAACCACCTATTTTTTTCACATAATCAATGACTTTACGAATTAAACTCAGCACTGCTATTTTTTTTAACACGCCCCTTTCAGTAAATGATTCAGTTTCACAGAATCATCAGCACACACGTCCTGCCTGTTGGGTTCGTTGGTTTTCTATACCTTTACTAAACCTCCTAGAAACTTTTTTGCAGTGTAGAAGTCGAAATTCTAACAAAAACAGTTATTTATCTTGCTAGTGATGTGGGACAGCTTTGAACACAACTGTATGTGGTTAGGTGGTGAAGCATTGACAGGTTTAAGGCAGTAAAACAAAGTTCCAGAAAGAGAGTCAAACTAATGTGCTGAGGAACTTTGAAAAATGTTTGTTGTGACCTCTAAAGATGTCATCCATTACTAAGCTTTATGCTGCACTGCTTACTAGTGTCTGAACAACTAAAATGGTATAGGCTGCTGATTTGATTTAAAAGACGGATAAAATCACCTCACTCTCCCAACCACCATCACCATCTTAGCAAAGGACTAAAGGACTCCTCTTGCAGCTTAAGGTCCTTCCCCTCTGTTATCTCACAATGAGTGACCTAGCTATGCTAGAACAACCCATTACTCTAGAGAAAATGCAGCCTTCCACCGTGCTCATTGCGGGACCTCAGTAAATAAGCTGAATGCATTTCTTATAACAGCTCAGACTCTGCCCTGTATGTTAAGCAGCTTCTGTTCAAACAAAAGCCACCCAGCCTTGGTGTTGGTATTATATCACATGTGCTTGTTTGTCAAGTACTGATGCGTTTCCACTGTTCAAACTTCAGTCTGTAAGAATCACTGATGGCAATAGAGGTGCTTTCATCAAGACTTTTAATGACCCTTTCATACCCCTCTAGCAAGAGGACTATCTACACAATCAACATCAAGCAAAGACTAATATTTCAACATTAAAAAGACTGCTCTGTATTCTTACCTACAATCAGATCCACCTGCTGGTAATTCTTCCTCACCTGTTCTTCAAACAGGTCAATTACTGCTGTCAGAGCAGCTGGATCCTTCAGGAGGGGACAGATATCTCTGCAGGACACAAAAGTACACATAGAGCCAACATCCTAAAGAAGTCAGTATTTTTATTTACTTATAATTCATTTGATGTAAACTAAAAATGCATTTAAAACAAATATAATGTATTTAAAATAAACTACTAAAAAACTTAAAACTAAAGCAGGTCCTAGTTCAACACAGAATCTTGTTGGTAGTCCCGTTGGCTGCATCTTTGGAAAATTAAGGTTTATCTGGCTTTAATGTACTAACCCTGGATTAAAATAAAGTCCTAAAAGATTGAAACAAATAGAATTGTGTTATTAAGTGATTTTCTTTCTACAGTATCTAAAAAAAAAAAAAAGAAAAAAGTGTACCCTGACCAAGCCATTGACGGTATGCAGACAGTGAATCAAGCCCTCAGGTCACTGATGACTTCTGTTAATATGACCAAACAGTATTTCTCTGGCCCGGGGCTATAACTGACTGCAACCAGCCTTAGGTTACCTCAACTGAGCAAACACTTAAACACAAACAAAACGTTACACCATTTTATGGACTTCATCAAACTGAAGGGTGGGAGGCATGAGGAGGAATAAGTGTAATCCAATAACTTTATCATCTGCACCTTTACACTGTAGATTTTCACTCTTTTACTCTTCAGTTCTTTTAATACGTATTCATGGATATGTAATCTGATGCCAGAGTAATATGGGTCCAACATATGTAGTAACTATTAGCAAAGTAAACCAACCTGTTCTTAGACTTTACTTGAGTATCATTTTTGGGGGGTAAATTATTTTATTGAATTAACTACATTTAAAAACAGATTGTTATTGAAGTCCATGTATTCTCGACAGCAATCATACAGAAAGAAAATATTACGTTATATTACACACACACACACACACACACACACACACACACACACACACACACACACACACACACACACACACACACACACACAATTACAATATCGTGAAGTTATTACTGACTGAGTAACTCTTACTTGTATTGTAATAATTATTTACCAGGAGTATATTTTGACACAAGGGATAAAGGTGAGTACTTGGTTCACCCCAGGCGATAACACCAGGGGCTTTAAATAATAATAATAATAATAATAATAATGATTCTGCCATAAGCTTATGTTATTCATCAGACATTAAGTTTGTAAGCAGTCATTTAAGGTCACGGTAGTTTGTGTGACTCGTGCTATCGCATTCTCTCCGTAGATCAGTCTTTAAGGGGCTGTCATTATATAACAGATTTTTCTTCCTCAGATGCATTTTCTACTCTGCCGTCATTGCTTTTATGTTGGAAATAGCTGTGCACGCGCTGATCGGGTCGCCGTCTTCTGTAGTTAATGTACTGTTCAGGGTGTTACTTTTGCACGTGCCATAAACAGCGTGGGTCGTATCTGTCAGAGTGGAAGTTTCTCTCCACTTGTGCATGGAGCATAAGGCCTCACATGCCCTGGCAGACTCACCTATTCTGCTTGGTCTAGTATAAGGATCCGGACTGAAGTGTCAAGATACAGCTTAGACAGGTCTATAAAACATCAGACTTTTAAACGGCAAACAGAGACAGGTATCTTACCTGAACAAGATGCCTTTCTTCGGAAAGTCCGGGAAGGCTCGGATGTGTCTTTGGACCAGCTGGAGTTTAGACTCTGGACTCCCAGCCATTCTTACCTGGTGTAACACCACAGTCTGTCTGTTTCATACAGTCTGTGATGTGTTCTTGCTGTTCCTGCCCATTTTCATGCACCCGTTTCTTCCTCGTGACAGTGTGCGCAAACATCAGCATCACCGCCCTACAGTACCGCCACCCACTGGGCTGAAGTGCGCCTGTCCTGACACCCTAGAGTCCTTATAAACAACATTTCCCTCAAAGTATGCACCAGAGGACAATCTAGGATTAATGCCTCATTTTATTATTTTTTTTAAACTAATTCTTTTCCCCACTCAATAATAATATTTTACTTAAATTCTTGTGAAAACATCTCATGACATGTACTTTAAAGCTCCTGCAAGGAACTTTCAGTCAGTGATAGCTTTAGACAAAGCAGTCTTTGCTTGAAGCGGTGACATTTAAGAAAAACCTCATCCTACAGATCTGAGACAGGCAAATCTATCATCTGTAAAAAAAGTTAATGATAGTCTTTAAGGACTCTACAGCTGGTCCAAAACACAGCAGCTCGGGTATTGACTGGAACCAGAAGAAGGGAGCACATCTCTCCTGTCTCAGCCTCTCTTCATTGGCTGTCTAATAAATCTAGAATTGAGTTTAAAATCCTCCTTATGACATATAAAGCGCTTAACGGCCAGACTCCATCATATTTTGACTAGGTTGTTATACCTTACTTTCTGTCTAGAGTCTAGACCGTTACGCTCACAGTCTGCAGGTCTGCTTGTTGTACCAAATGTCTCTAAAAGTAGTATTGGAGGTAGAGCTTTCAGCTATCAGGCACCTCTCCTCTGGAATCATTTACCGCTCAAGGTTCGGGGGGCAGACACCCTCTCAACTTTCAAGAGTAGACTTAAAACGTTCCTCTTTGATAAAGCTTATAGCTGGGGCTGATTTGAACCAGCTCTTAGTTATGCTGCTATAGGTTTAGACTGCTAGAGTCTGTCTCTATCTCTTCTTTAGATCTTTATGTCCCATATAATCACTAACCATATTTCTCTCCCTCTGAGTGTCTCTGAGTCTGTTAGCTTCCATGGACTAATGCTGCAGATGGTCTGCTGTGGAACTGCCTGACCCCAGCTGCATCGTCTCTGATTGTCCACCTCAGGCCCTGAGCTCCTCCATCTCTTAGGCTCCTCTGGACCGTTGCTGCAGACACGTACGTCAGCCTAACTGACATCTAAAAAATAAAACTAGAGTAAGCTGCCATTGAGTTTTAACTTTAATCACCTTAAATTAATTTAACATCCATAATTAGTTATTTCATTATCTTGTACATTGAAATTGCTAACCAGATCTCTGTGTTTGTTTCTGAGCCCCAGTCTCCTAGGTTGCTCTGGACTGATGGCTGCTGCAGAACTGCCTGACTCCAGCCGCATTGTCTATGATTGTCCTCCTCAGGCCCTGAGCTCCTTCTCTTCTTGGGTTCCTCCGGACTGTTACTGCAGACATGAACATCAGCCTCACTGACATCAATAACATAAACCTAGAGTATACTATTATGCCTGCTGACTTTAATCACATTAAATTAATTTAACACAGTCCACAATTACTCAAATCCTAACCCTGTAAACTGAATTCATTTTGTTTCACCATTACATGAGCTGTTGTTGTTCTTGCTGTTGTTTTATTGTTGCTGTTGTCCCCTGTCTCTCTCTCCCTCCTTCTCCCTTACTCATTATCTCTCTCCTTCCCTCTATCTTGTTCTCTTTCTCTCCCCCTGCCCTCTCTCCACTTCTCTCTCTCTCTCTCTCTCTCTCTCTCTCTCTCTCTCTCTCTCTCTCTCTCTCTCTCTCCCTCTCTCCCCTCCCTATCTCTCTGTATTCCTCCCCAACCCAGCAGCGGCTTGGTGGCTGTCTGGCATGAGTCTGGTCCTGATCAAGGTTTCTGCCTGTTAAAAGGAAGTTTTTCCCTTGCCACTGTTACTCATGTTAGATGAGATGGGCCAAATCCCATCTAAGGTTGGGTCTTGATAATCTATACCTGCTCTTGTTCTTTGAAAAGTGTCTTGGGATGACGACTGTTGTGAATTGGCGCTTTATAAATACAATTTGATTGATTGATTGATTGATTGATTTGAAAGTTTTATCTGGAATTCATCAAATCACGGTTGTTTAATCACTTGTTTGTTGTATGTACACCCGTTTCAGGCATTAAAAATGGTGATACACATGTTGCCAGACATGTCCCTAATGGTTTTGTTTGACTGTGGATATCATAAAAAGCATCAATATAAGTTTCAGTCTATTTCATAAAAACTCATCAGAGCCTTATGCTACTGTGACATGACAGACAAAAATATTCATCTAATTTCAAGATCTTTTAAGCAAATATCATCTTGACAGCCTATGTTCCTTAAGATAAGTAGGCTATAATATCTTGTTCCAAAAAACCGCTGAAGAAAACTTTACTTGCTACATTTGCAGCCATTTTTTACCCAGTGCAAACTAGTGAATTTTTTTCCTTAAAATGACAAACCTGCATGCACAACAAGGCAGTTTAAGGGTACTAGTACTATCTACAAAATGCAATACTGACAAAAGCTGCTGTAGAAATATTAAATAATTTCATCCTGAATAAACCTGGTTTCAAATCACTTCAAACATTCCTGCTGTTGGTTATGTTACAAAGATTAGCATGGGAAATTATGCTTTTATACAGGTTTAATATGGGGGCATACTTTGCCCACCCTTTCTCCAACTAAAATGTTCTACTACTTAAGTACTTTAGATGGTCCACAATTCGAATAAGGTCATTTTGTTTTCACTTTATTGCATGAACTTACATGGTAGTTTCACTTCTACTCTAAGAGAACAAGTTAAGTTTATTCTTACTTTAGGAATACGTTTAAGTAGCTAATCTTTCCACCTCTGGCATCTCATCTCATAATATCAACTGCTGCAGTGTTGAGAGTCCTGTTTTTAAATGTGCTTTGCCTCTAGATTCTCTGAGTTGGCTGCTAAAAGTCTTTCCAGATCAATCACTCACAAATGATGATGGCTGGAAATAGACAGATCATCAGAGGTGTAAGTTTAGCAGTAAAGTCCTGTAAAAACATTCTGATTCTGTTATTTCTGGGCTGCAGTCATGGGAGTGTCTATTCAGCAGTGCAGGATGGCCTACCTGTTTGATTCAGCATGAAGAAGAAGAAGAAGAAGAAGAAGAAGAAGAAGAAGAAGAAGAAGAAGAAGAAGAAGAAGAAGAAGAAGAACTTTATTAATCCCAGAAGGGAAATTCAATTGTCTGTTGTCTTACTTGTCAAGTCTCTAAAAGTTATCTACTATTTACAATTATTTTCACAAGAGTTATAAGTTATCTACCATTTACACAAGAGTTATAAAGTCTGATGGCACAAAAGATCTTCTGAATCTCTCTGTCCTGCAGCAAAGAGAGAGGAGCCATTTGGTCCATCAAGGTGCTGTGAAGTGGGTGATCCATGTTCTTTAGAGTAGACTCCACCTTCCTCAGTGTAGATCTCTCCACCACATCCTCCACTGAGTCCAGCTTGAGTCCAACCACAGAGCCATCTTTGTCTTGCATCTTTGTGTTTGATGCCTCCTCCCCAGCAGACTGCAGTGTAGAACAGAACACTTGCCACCACAGACTGATAAAACATCTGCAGCATCTTACTACAGATGTCTATTGATAGGAGTCTTCTCAGGCAAAAGAGGCAGCTCTGCCCCTTTCTGTAGATGAAGTCTATATTCTTAGACCAGTCCAACTTATTATCCAAATTTACATCCTGGTATCTATGTGATGTCACCACTTCGATGTCCACTCCACAGGTGTTCATTGGCTGAAGAGGGAGTTTGGATCTACGGAAGTCTATGATGACCATCTCCTTTGTCTTTGAGGAGTTGAGGAGGAGGCAGTTTTTGTGACTCCAGTCACTGAAGGCTCTTATCAGATCTCTGTATTCAGCTTCTTGTCCATTTATGATACATGCCACAATAGCGGTGATGTCTGAGTATTTCTGGATGTGGCAGGACTCAGTGTTGTATTTAAAGTCTGATGTATACAGTTTGAACGGGAATGGCGCCAGCACTGTCCCTTGTGGAGCCCCTGTACTGCTCATTAATGTCCCAGAAACACAATTCCCCAGCCTGACAAACTGTGGCCTTACTGTTAGGTAATCTGTGATCCAGGAAACACAGGAAGGATCCACTCCCATCTCTGTGAGCTTGTCTTTGAGTATGGAGGGTTGGATGGTGTTGAGTGCACTTGAAAAGTCGAAGAACATGATCCTCACATAAACCCCAGGTTCCTCCAGATGAGACAGGGCACAGTGAAACATGTAGAGGACAGCGTCATCCACTCCAATGTGTTCTTTGTATGCAAACTGCAAGGAGTCCAGTTTGTCTTTGACCTCAGACCTCAGAAGGCGTAGAATCAGCCGCTCCAGGGTTTTCATGATGTGTGAAGTGAGGGCCACTGGTCTGTAGTCATTGAGTTCAGCAGGACATTTTGTTTTTGGTACTGGCTAAATGCAGGATGTTTTCCACAGAGTAGGTACCCGCCCCAGCTGTAGACTCAGGTTGAAGATCTTGTGGAGAGGCTGACACAGTTCTGCTGCACAGTCTCTAAGCAGCCTTGGACACACACCATCTGGACCAGCTGCCTTCCCAGGACAAAGTCTTCCAAGTTCCATCCTCCCCTGTTTGGGTGACAGACAAGGACTGGTGTTCTAGGAGGGAGGCAGTTGGAGTGGTTGAGATATTTGAACAAGATGGAGGAGGAAGTGGAGAAGTTGTAGTGGAGATTTGTTGCGGAGAGGAAGGTGGAGTAGCAGTGGAAGTGGGAGTGACAGCAGTGTCAAATCTGTTGAAGAACAGGTTGAGTTCATCAGCTCTTTCCAGATCACCCACCACTGGCTGTCTTTTCTTTTGACTGCTGTGTCCAGAGATGGTACTGATTCCTCTCCACACTTCACAGATGTTGCTGTGTTGTAGATTCTTCTCTATCTTCTTTTTGCACTCCTGCTTTGCTATCTTCAGTCTCCTCTTCAACTATTGTTGCACTTGTTTGAGTTGTTCTTTTTCACCATCTTTAAAAGCTTTCTTTTTCTGGTTAAGGATTGCTTTTATGTCTCTTGTGATCCAGGGTTTGTTGTTGGGGAAACAGCGAACAGTTTTTGTGGGTATAACTGTGTCTCTACAGAAGTTGACATAATCAGTGAAGTGGTCAACCTGTCTGTAAATATTCATACTATCCACATCTGTTTCCAGCAGCACATTCCAGTTTGTTGATTTAAAACAGTCCCTTAGAGCTTCACCAGCTTGAGGTGTCCATCTTCTAATTTTGACTTTGGTCACAGGCTGCCTCAGCACACAAGGTCTGTAACAGGTCTGCAGATAGACCAAGTTATGATTTGACTTGCCCAGTGCTGGTAAGGCAATGGCTCTGTGGGCCCCTTTGACGTTGGCATACAGCAGATCCAGGGTCTTGTTTTCTGTGGTAGGACAGTTCACAAACTGTGTGAATCCAGTCAGGTGAGAGGAGAGGGTGACATGGTTGAAGTCTCCTGATATTATTATTTGTGCATCTGGGTGTTGAGTCTGTAGCCTGGCAACACTATTATTCAAAACATTGCATGGAATTTCTTCAGTTGATTTGGGTGGAATGTAAACAACTACTGTTATGATATGACCGAACTCTCTTGGAACATAATATGGCCAAAGAGCAACTGCCAACAGTTCAACATCTTGACAATACAACTTCTCCTTGACAGTTATGTGTGAAGGGTTACACCATCTCTGGTTGACAAATAAGGCAGGACCTCTTCTTTTCTTCTTGCCACTTGCTTGAGCATCTCTGTCTGACCTTATGAGAGTGAAGCCAGGTAGATCCACACTAGAGTCTAAGTTGTTTTGATTCATCCAGGTTTCAGTAAAACACAGGAAACTGCAGTCACGGTATGCTTTCTCAGTCTTCACCAATATCTCCAGCTCATCGCTTTTGTTGGGCAGAGAGTTGACGTTTCCCATGATGACTGATAGAAGAAAGGGTTTATATCGCCACCTCCTAGCATTTAGCTTTGTCTTCAATTTTGCACCAGCAAAGCAACCACGATAACACCTCCTTAAGTTCTCTGGAATTGTATGTTGTTGTCCAGATTTGCTTTTCATCAATGAAAGGAGCTCTTCTCTTGAGTAAACTCTTCGCCCAGTAAAAGTAGCCACCAGCAACCAACAAAAAGACAACAAAAATATGAAAAAAATCTAGCAAAAATTACAAAAATTGCAGATAATACAGAACGACAAGACTTGCAGCAACCTCTCCGTTCAAGCGCATCATTTGAATTATTGAATTATTAATCCTTATTATGTATTATAATTAATAATTCATTAATTATTATAATATATTTTATTATAATAATTAATATTATTAGTTGTAAAAATCATTATTAATTATAATTATTTCATGTTTATTTGAATTATGAACATGCAAATTGAGTAAAAACCTGTTCTTTACCTTATTGATTTTCCCTCTGGTGATCAATCAAGTTATTCTTATCTTATATTAGACAGGTGGGTATCACACATGTTTAAATGTTTTTTATGCTTTTACTGTACATAATCAAAATCCATGGTCTACAGGACAACCAGAAGCAAGGCGCACTGGAGAGAGGCTGAATGAACCAAAGCAGACTGGATTTCACTCCAGACAGCTTGAACTTCAGTGGTCAGTTTTGGCCATAAGGGAGACCTGTAGGAATACATGATCTCACCTGAGGCACTAACTGACTGAACAGCATTACAGGTACAGAAAACAAATTTTTAAAAGTTATACTAACACTGTTGATTATTTGTCTTGACCAAATATTTACATGTGGACAGGCACAGGAAGAAAACAAACTAGTTATATAACCCAGGAAAAAGAGTTAAGCCTGTCAGTGTGGAGACAAAGATTAGATCAGATACAACTTTATTTATCCTTTGGGAAGGTTCCCCTAGGGAAATTAAAAAATTAAAAGGTTTCATTTTCTGCAGTATTATCTATAGAGCGACGTCCCCAGAGACTGGGCATCTCCTTGTTTGTGAAACCTATAATGAAGCACAGTTCCTTTAAATGCTTCATGGCCGTAATTTTAGCAACTCTCCTCTGAAATAACAGGTAACTTTACGACTTTATTCTCATAAATTAATGACTTTATTCACGTAAATTCACGACTTAAATCTCGAAGTCTTCTCTATATGGCCCTCATACTCCTTCATACAAAACAATCATTGGATGAATTTCGTGGGAATTATCAGTGCTTGTATGTATCTATTGTTTTGTGTCTGTGTAGGGTCGCACAATTAAAAAATAAATGCTGTGCTCCGCAGCTTTTCTTCAAGTCAGTCGTGACGCGAGCCTGAGGGTGGGGACGTTTGGCGACTCAACCAGGAAGTCCTCCGAAGGGTAGTGTGTCCCATTCCACAAAAACCGGACCATATCACCCAGGGTACTCAAGTCCACATAACGGCAGTGCTTAAGCGCGCTCAGCCTGGTGAGGCACAGCCTCTGTTTAATCCACTGCTCTGGTGAGGACTGTCTTGTAAACAGGAAACTGATGTAAATCTGTGAAGTCGACGTAGCGACACAAGTACAAACAGTAGGTGGCGGTGTGTGCCTGTTACGGAAGGTGAACCCGTGGTTATGGTGACTTTTTAGCGCAGAAGAAGAAGTATCAGTTAGTTTCCTGTGGTATGAGGAGTAACTGAGGAAAATCTCTCTCCTCAGTTTGTGACATGTGGGCAGCGGGTGGTCGTGTTGCTTCATTGTTAAGGGCTGCTGTTGGTTCGGCTTCTCTCCGTCCTGTCGTGTGTCGGAGAAGGAGAAAGTTACCGGCTGAGAGTGTCAGACTGATCCTGAACAGAGCATGCGGCGTCACACAGCAGGGTACACAGTTTATAGGTGAGTGATGCTGCTTTCAGAGTCCGTGGGTTTTTTAATCTACTATGATGGTATTATGGTTTAATAAACAACGAGGACAGAGCACTGACTCCACGCTGTCTGATTTTTGGCAGGTATCTTGTATCCTTTTCTCTCGCTCATTGTGACCAAACAAGTGTCGTATCGGCATGGTGAACTTGATCTTGTCCTGTACTATATAATCCCTTTGTCTCAGTAGTTGTGATTGTAACAGTACACAGGATCACATACAATGTCTTTTAGACTGTTAATGCCATATACCGTCCCATTTTAAACAAGGGGCCCTGTTTACACGGAGGTTTACACATGTTTTCAAATAATGTCAAAATATTAATGTTATGTTAGAGCCTTAATTGATGTCATTTTTTAATACTTTTCATTCAAGTCTAAGTAAGCAACTTAAAGTATTTTACAGAGATTAAAAACAAAACAGCAAAAATAAAAACAAAAATAAAATAATGACAAAAAATTGGACAAATACAAAGAGGAAACGGGATAGGTAGGGCATATTTCACACTATTAGTAATAAAATACTGTATATGCAATTTAAAGAGTAAAAGAAGAGCTAAAAATAAACACAAAAATCTAATACATTAAGCTTAAAATGATTTGGAAAAAAAAGGTAAGTAGTTAAATGGCACTAAGCGTGCAATAAAACAAGTAACTAAATTATCTTACAACAGTGTAGAATGAACCAACAAAATAACCTTAAAATCTAAATATTACACCAAATAAATCTAATTAAATCTCCACATAAAAGCCAGTCTAAACAAAGGTCTCAATTTTACATTTAAAAGTCTCAGTATTCTCAAAATTATGGTTAATGATAACATGTTTCACATACAAAAGAATGATTTATTCCTCCGGTAAAATGTACAATACATTTCATGCTTTTATCCAGTGAACAATGACCTTGGCTTTACAGTGTTGACTCTTTAAAGGCTTCTTCATCCATCTTGTTTGAAGAAAAGGAACAGATCATCTACAGCATTCTTCAGGTTGCAGATGTTAGCTGTCATATTTTAGACCCTGAACTCCATCATCATTGTGTCATCACAGTGATCACCCTTAGGATCACTCCAGATTGAGCATTTTAACACGTTTTTGTCCTTTTGGCATTACCGTAGCTCACTGACCTGAAGAGGCCAGAAGTGGGAATTGTGAGAGGTGAAGTCTTGTCTCACTATGTTATCTTCCTTCCAAGGGAAGCTGGAGCGAAACGGAGAGGCTAAGAAATCAGTGGTGAGTCTGTCAAATATCATCTGTTAACCAAGATGCAACTGAATTCATTCTTCAAATACGTACATGCCTGAAAATAATTCACACTTTTCAGTGTTATTACCAACACAAAAACTTAAGATTCTAATAACTAAAATTTCTTTCTTCTAACATTCAAATTTCCTTTTTCTGTATAATTTCTGAGGATCAGCCTGATGATAATTGACTCTTTGTTGCTCTTTTCAGATCTGTATTGAGGGGAATATTGCCAGTGGAAAGACAACATGTCTGAAATATTTCAGCGACACAAGCAATATAGAGGTACAATAAAAAGTTTCTTCCACAGCCAGAGTGTGCCTATTTACCCACCAGCAATTACGCCAAGGCTGGACTTTGGCATCAAAGTCTCACGATAGAAAAAGCTATCGTAATGTTTTTTTTGTCTTTTTTTTACATTCTTGTGTACTTTCCTCTTTTGCTCTGAAGTCCCATTTCAGCCTCTTACTTGATGAGGTCAATAAAATGCTTAATAGTACTAATTCAGTGAATCCAGCATTTCTCTTGTTTGTTCCAGGTCCTAACAGAGCCTGTCTCAAAGTGGAGGAATGTCCATGGACACAACCCTCTGGTACTGTACCTGACTGTGCTGTTACCATTGTTTCCCTTTTCTAACCTGAGATTAGATGATTTCATCAGGTCAGGACCACAAAGTTCATGCAGAATTGTTTCTGTAGATGTTTAATAAAAACTGAACTGACTGCTTTCTCCTGACATTTCAAAGCCTTTTGCACACAAAGCACGACATTGAAGCCAACTACAAAATTATACGCTGGCTGCAATGTGCCAGCCAGTTCATCAGGATCTGACACTTACCCCTGACAAGCCTATGGACTCTTAGATTGTGTTTTCTGTCCTCACAGTTTGCAACCTAAGCACACACAAACATCGTTTACTCTGGCAAAAACAAAAAGAGAGAACTTTTTCTGATCTCACACATTTTGCTAATATCTGTCTGTAAATCATTAGCAGTTCAATACCCTGCCCTAAAGACACTTAGACATGTGGGCTGAATGACATGGGATAGGGACAACTGCTGTACTTCCTTAGCTACAGCTGTCATCATAGCAGCTGCCCAAAGTCAAAGAGCCCTTTAAAACTAAGAAATGAACTTAAGATGTTGAGAACTTTGAGGTGACATGTTTAAATACCACTAAAGAAAGGACTGCAGATGATCTTTCAAGATTCAGGTGAACTCACCCCTTGGGTTTGTGGCAAACTGTGAATGTATGATGGCACTCAGAGAACAAACCATCCTCCAAGGGTTGTGAGTTTTCAGGTTCATCCCCCAGAAATGTGTCCTGTGCTTTGTTGTGTAACTGTAGTTGAATTGACCCCTTCTAGACCTTCCTGGGGGGTATTTACTAAATCAGGATTAAAGGAAAGTCTGGCTGATTTAAGTGAGAGTTAAGTTCCATCAATGTGGCTTACAGGATTCCTTACTCAGTAACCATGGTAACCTCTGAAGAAGTCTACTCTGGAGCAGGTTAACTGTCGAGCTTAGTTTAGCTGTGTGTCAAAAGAAGTCAGACAGGAAGAATGCGAGATGTCCAATACATGGTCATGAAAAGTCATCAGTGTCCCTGTTGTCATGAGATAATGGTCCATAGTAATCTTGTCGCTGATTTTAAACATTACATTCACTGTACAGGCCTACAAGTGTACAGAACAATCAAGTTCTGAAAGAGGTCCTAAGTCTTATGAACATAGTTTAAAATAGACAGCTGATGTTATTTGCAGTATAGATAATATGACCTAACAGTCTATTGATCTAACATGTAAATTCATCAATAAACTGGTCGGGGAAGTAAACTTAATTCAATACAATCTATACATCTTAGCTGCCACTGTATCCTAGGGGCACGTACAAAGCGAAACTCTGCTAGTCAGTCTTGAGTAAGTGTTGATCAGAGGAGGCTGCATCATGTTTCTGGGACAACTGGAGGCTTATTTGGGAGATGGCGTTAGGGTAAACCTGGACTTCTCAGATGAGCCTGGCTTTCTTAATCTACTTTGATGGAATACCCTCCTGGACTTAGAGGAAATGAGCTGTTTCTTTTTGTCCCCACAGGCTCTGATGTACCAGGATCCTGAGCGCTGGGGCCTAACATTGCAGACATATGTCCAGCTCACCATGCTGGATAGACATCTGTCAGCCATTGTAAGTCTATGTTATCTCAAAGAGATGTCTGTTTATGATATACTGGCTCATGTGGAGTTTTCTTACCTGCAGTGTTGACAAACATGTCAGTTACTGTAGACCTCTTTAGCCCATATACATGACAGGGGGAATTTAGAGTGCCTGGTCTTTTTTCCAGTCGGCTCCTGTCAGGATGATGGAGCGCTCCATCTTCAGCGCCAAGTACATCTTTGTGGAGAATCTCTTCAAAAGGTATTTGTATCTGTGGTTACAGAAGCTTTGAGACCATTTACCGACCAGATTAAAAGGTCAGATCAATCATTTACTCAAAAAGGAAACAGTTTCAGCTTTACTCACTGGTATGGTGGGTTCAATCTCATAACGACACTGCCAGTGGATGAGCAGTATTGGCATACTTGCCAACTCTCCCAGTTCATGTGGAAGACTCCCTTTTTTTTAACCCTGTCTCCCACAATGCTTCAGGAAAGAAAATTCTCCTGGCTATCTCCTGATTTAACTGTAAGGAAACAAGTAAGATTGTTGGGGATATTAGTTGCAGCATCTGGCTTCCCTCACTTGCATGCACCCATGACTCAGTCACTAGCTGGAGGTTGTGATAAACCAAGTGGCGTTGATACTGCCATAAATTAAGAAGAAGTCATTCTCTGGTAGTTACTGTCTTCACTCAGTTCAGCGTTTGAACAGAGATGGATAGAGAAAGACTTCCTGTGCATTATCCAAGACTTGTTTACAGGCTATAGCTATGGCCTTGTTGATGTAATCTGTGTTAACAGTTTCCTGTTGTATTTATGCTAGTTTGAATGTGCTTTCTTGTGTGTTCAAATTCAGTTTTTTTCATGGTAACAGCCACTTGATCCTTTAGATGGTCGCACAGACACACACTTTTTTCCTGATATGCAATAAATACTGCATACTAAATACAAAACCCAATTCTATTGAAGTTGGGAAATTGTTATAAACTTAAATTAAAAACGTAAATAAAAACAGAAAACAATGATTTGCAAATCCTTTTCAACCTATATTCAATTGAATACACTACAAAGACAAGATATTTAATGTTCAAACTCATAAACTTTATTTTTTTTTGCAAATAATAATTAACTCAGAATTTCATGGCTGCAACACGTGCCAAAGTAGTTGGGACGGGTATGTTTACCACTGTGCTACATCACCTTTCCTTTTAACAACACTCAATAAACATTTGTGAACTGAGGGGACTAATTGTTGAAGCTTTGAAGGTGGAATTCTTTCCCATTCTTGCTTGATGTACAGCTTCAGTTGTTCAACAGTCCGGGGTCTCCGTTGTCACATTTTACACGTCATAATGTGCCACACATTTTCAATGGGAGACAGGTCTGGACTGCAGGCAGGCCAGTCGAGTAACCATACTCTTTTACTACGAAGCCAAGCTGTTGTAACACATGTTGCCTTCACAGATGTGTAAGTTACCCATGCCTTGGGCACTAATGTACCCCCATACCATCACAGATGCTGGCTTTTGAACTTTGCGTGGATAACAGTCCAGATGGTTCTTTTCCTCTTTGGCCCGGAGGATATGACGTCCACTATTTCCAAAAACAATTTGAAATGTGGACTCGTCAGACCAAAGAACACTTTTCCACTTTGCATCAGTCCATCTTAGGTGAACTTGGGCCCAGACAAGCCGGCGGTGTTTCTGGATGTTGCTGATAAATGGCTTTCGCTTTGCATAGTAGAGTTTTAACTTGCACTTACAGATGTAGAGATGAACTATATTTACTGACAGTGGTTTTCTGAAGTGTTCCTGAGCCCATGTGGTGATATTCTTTACACATTGATGTCGGTTTTTGATACAGTGCGGCCTGAGGAATCAAAGGTCACGGGCATTCAGTGTTGGTTTCCGGCTGTGCCACTTATGTGCAGTGATTTCTCCAGATTCTCTGAACCTTTTGATGATATTATGGACCGTAGAAGTTGAAAGTCCTAAATTCCTTGCAATTGTGCTTTGAGAAACATTGTTCTTAAACTGTTCGACTATTTGCTCACGCAGTTGTTCACACAGTGGTGAACCTTGCCCCATCCTTGCTTGTGAATGACTGAGAATTTTTGAGGAAGCTGCTTTTATATCCAGTCATGGCACCCACCTGTTCCCAATTCGCCTGCTCACCTGTGGGATGTTCCAAATAGGTGTTTGATGAGCATTCCTCATTCCTCATTCCTCATTCCTCAAATTTCTCAGTACTTTTTGCCACCTTTCCCAACTTCTTTGTCACGTGTTGCTGCCATCAAATTTTTAAGTTAATGATTATTTGCAAAGAAAAAATAAAGTTTTTGAGTTTGAACATTAAATATCTTGTCTTTGCAGTGTATTCAAGTGAATATAGGTTGAAAAGGATTTGCAAATCATTGTATTCTGTTTTTATTTACATTTATCACAATTTCCCAACTTCAATGGATTGGGTTTTGTACATTGCAGTATAACCATCTTATTATTTAGCCTTCTGGTCCTAATTTCAACATTAATACTGCTCATTTTTTTGATTGTCTTCAATGGTAAACCGAATCATTTATTGAATATCAAAGAATCATTTTCAGAACAAGGTTCAAGATTTAAAATACAAGGCAAGAAATGATGACAATTTATGTGCACACCTGACGAAAGAACCTTGTTCTTTGGGCCGATACACTAATGAAAAACATCTCCGTATTTTTCACGATCCGATGTCGGCAGGTATGGTATTGGCATAAATTATATTATTATTTATCTAACTATAGAGCCGCTGGCTGTTTATATTTTCATGTTTTCTATGATGATAGTAGCAAACTGATGAGGCGAATACTCTTGTTGTGTTGGTGACTGTATTTGTATTTTAACTAGTGGGAAAATGCCAGAGGTGGACTATGCAGTGCTCAGCGAGTGGTTTGACTGGATCATAACAAACATTTACCTCCCGGTTGATCTGATTGGTAAGAATACAGAGAACATTTCAACACATTAAAGCTCCTGTGAGGAATTTTTGGTTTGTTATCTTCTTCTCTACATATTTACAGTATGTCGTGTCTTCTTCTCATCCTGCTAACTTTTTTGTGTTTTTATGTGATATAAAAATCAACAAACATGTTGCTGATGGTCTTGTTTGCTCTTGTATATTTTAAAAAGGCATATGATATTCTGTCTGTTTATTTGATATGGAGAAACTCTTCACAGGGGCCTAAGCAGATGTGACAGCAAAGATAAGAGAAATGGCTGTTTTACACAGACACTCCTGTAGACATAAAAAGCATTCTAATGATGCTGTGAATATTGATAGGACATTTTATCTATTTTGATGGTGAGAGCTTATACCAGTCTGTCTGCTGTAGTTATTTGATGCGCTTAGTCTTGTAGAGCAGGAGGTCTACCACAAAGTGAGACTAGTCACTATAGGGTAAACTGGATCTTTAGAGCCTGGTCAGATTATATTGTCTCCTCTACCTTGACTCGACTGGATATGTTAAAGCATTATATCATTAAAGATATTGCCAGGGTCATTAAAAACATCAAAGCTTGAAATATCCCAGAACAGCTGACACAATCCTGCATACAAGGAACTGCCCTCCTTTCATATTGAGCAGAGCAGCCGGCCACAGTGCTGATGCATGACTTAGAGGACATCGGTGGATGGAAACATCAACTTAGGTTCATAGACCTCAGATTCAATTGAGAAGATATCAATCTTTTAAAAGTCAAGATCACATACAGTGCATCTAAAAAGTGTTCATACCACTTCACTTTTTCCACATTTTGTTATGTTACAGCCTTATTCCAAAATGGATTCAATTCCTTTTTTCCCTCAAAAATTCTACACAAAATACCCCATAATGACAAAGCTTTTTTTTTTAGAACATTTTGCAAATTTATTAAAAATAAGACACTCAAATGTTGCATATACATATGTATTCACACCCTTTGCTATAAAACTCAAAATTAAGCTCAGGGGCATCCTGTTTCCACTGATCAGCCTTGAAATGTTCCTCCAACTTGATTGCAGTCCACCTGTGGCAAATTCAGCTGATTGGACATGATTTGGAAAGCCACACCTGTCTATATAAGATCCCACAGTTGACAGACCACGTCAGAGCACAAAGCAAGCCATGAAGTCGAAAGAATTGTCTGTAGACCTCTGAAACAGGGTTGTATCGGCGCACAGATCTGTGGAAGGTTACAGAAAAATATCTGCTGCATTGAAGATCCCAAAAAGCACAGTGGTCTCCATCATTAAGAAATGGAAGACGTTTGGAACCACCAGGACTCTTCCTAGAGCTGGCCGCCCAGCCAAAATGAGCAAGCGGGGGAGAAGGCCCTTGGTCACGGAGGTGACCAAGAACCCGATGGTCACTCTGACAGAGCTCCAGCGTTCCTCTGAGGTGATGGGAGAACCCTACAGAAGGACCACCATCTTTGCAGCACTCCACCAGTCATGCATTTATGGTAGAGTGGCCAGACAGAAGCCACTCCTCAGTAAAAAGCACATGACAGCCCGCTTGGACTTTGCTAGAAGGCACCTGAAGGACTGAAAATTCTCTGGTCTGATGAAACGAAGATTGAACTCTTTGGCCTGAATGCCAAGCGTCATGTCTGGAGGATACCAGGCACTGTTTACCACCTCGCCAATATCATGGAAGCATGGTGGTGGCAGCATCATGCTGTGGGGATGTTTTTCAGCGGCAGGAACTGGGAGACTTGTCAGGATCGAGGGAAAAATGAATGCAGCTAAGTACATCGAAATCCTTGATGAAAACCTGCTCCAGAGTGCTCGAGACCTGCGACATTTGTCATTATGGGGTATTTTGTGTAGAATTTTTGAGGGACAAAGGGAATATAATCCATTTTGGAAAAAGGCTGTAACATAACAAAATGTGGAAAAAGTGAAGTGGTATGAATACTTTCCAGGTGCACTGTATGTGCTTTCTAATGTGCATGGTAGACATTTGAATACTAGTTTCTTTAGTCTTGTAAATCAGTGAATTCAAACACTGATTTCTAAGCCCTCTTTCTTTATAAACAAGATGAGTCTGACAAAATCATGAACAAAACAGAATTCAGATTAACAAATGCTACTGCACAATATGTTTTCTATGGTGGACCAACTCAGCATCTTTTGACAACACTGCAGTACAATCCTTTTAGCACTGGGGATGATGTCAGGGTATCCACCACCAAGGCATCCTAATGAAAGCTACCCATCCCCCTGCAGCTCCAGACATCTAGCCACAAACCTATAAAAAAAAGTCTCCTCTGTATTTGACCAACAACTGTTTTAAAAGCTGCAGCTATAGTCTGATGTTTTTCTTTGGATCCAGTGTACCTGCAGGCATCTCCTCAGACCTGTCATGAGAGGTTGAAGCAGAGATGCAGAGAGGAGGAGAAAGTCATTCCACTGGTGAGGGTGCTATATCAGACAAAACAAATTGTCACCTATGAGTACTTATAAACTATCAGTCAGCTTAGTAAATACAGTATTAAAGTATGAATAGTTGATTTAATGTGGACCAGTTAGCAATTTTAAAAGAGACATTGATTTTCCTTGTGCGTGTGTGTGACTGCGTTAATCAGGAGTATCTAGAGTCCATCCACCAGCTGTATGAAGACTGGCTCATCCATCGTACCTCCTCCCCTCTTCCAGCTCCTGTTTTGGTGAGTGACCGTTGATGTCAAGAGATGTCATATAGATACAGCCTTTCCTCAGTATTCTGTCTGTGATCAACAAAAGAGTACAACCTTAATTTCAACTGCAACTGCATGTGTTAAAAAAATAAAAATGCTCATTTTTAATTTGATCACAGTGACTTGTTTAATAGTCCCAAAACTTTTGGAATTGGGTTGGTTTATTTTTTCGTGGTAGAAGAAGTTAAACTGGATAAATATGTGTTTGTAAAATGTGTGTGGTGTGTCTGTTAAGGTGATTCCTGCTGATCATGACCTGGAGGAGATGCTGCACCAGTATGAAGAAAACCGAGACAAAATACTGGCTTCTTGCTGCCTCTGACACCCATGCACACACACACTGTTACACTTTTGAAGAGGTCCATGAAGTAGGTTTACAAACTATGTTGCTTGACTGATTTGTCAGTTTCTCAACATTTCTACAACCACAATTCTCAAGATTTTTAGCTGTTTTACAAGTTAAAGGTGCAATATGTAGTTCTGATATCTAGTGTTGAAAATGAGTACTGCAGTCCACATTTAAAATATTGGTGAGGGCCTTCCTCTTTTCTTCAAAATTGTCTAAATTTTTGGACAAAAACCTAGTGAAATAAGCTTTTCTTAAATGTGTAGGAAGTTTCTTAGGAGATAAAAACATCTCAGTCCATCAAATCAGTATTTGAAGGTATAAGTCAAGCTGATTCATTCCATTTTGTCATTTTCTTACTGGTTTTTAGTTTTGATTTGTATTTATTTTCAAACCGCAGTGTAACGCAGGCAAAGGTGGGGGGGGGGGGGGGTCTGTGTGATCTCAGGCGCAAACTTGCTACTACTAGTTGGTGGGTACTCCGCGTGTGCTAGTGACAGAGTTCAGTTTGGAGAGAAAGAGGGCTGAAATACAGTAGTTTCTCTGCAAAAAGGGATAACTTGACAGCTATGTAAAGGTGAAGCATCAATGGACTTTATAATAGGGGTTATTTTATTGACCAAATGTTTAAAGAAGACCATGACACGTCAAAATGTTTCTCTGTGAATCCTCCTCAGGAAGGACTCTGTTTCCTCTGTACTACTACTATTAAATAACGATTGGTTGTGATCTTAACTGGCTTTTTAGTACTTTTTTAGCACTTGTGTATGGACATTAGCAGCATGAACTGCTGTAGTAACAATAACAAAAATACAAAACAAATACATTGTTGTGTTGACATGACTTTCCAGTGCGTTGCTGCAAAAGGCAAACACGGGTTCAAAACTCTACAAGCATGACAGAGACGTGGTTCAAAAACCCATCAAAATGCATTTATAGTTTTGAAAGCAAAATATATTCATATGACTGGAAGTGTGTGCAGAAAGAAAGAGGAGCTGGTGATTGCAATTTCAAGTCGGTTGTGGAAGGATTGATTCAAAAGTTTATTTCAAATTATTCTTTTCCATAATGAGTCCATAATTAATGCAACACTTCCAAGTGAAATGGCTAAAAACAAAAAGGAAGGAGGAAGTGAGTAGATGCTAGCAAGAGGGAGGCAGTCAACAACAGGAAGTGTCCCAGGAGTGCATTTACCCACCATTTGTGAACTTGCTGCAGACCGGTGTGAACTACCACTACAACATAAGGGGCAGGGAAACACCCAAAGTGCCTAGCCTCCACTGCTAGCCAGCAACCACTGCACTGAAGTGGACAAGAAAGAAAGGGTTACACAAAAGAAATAGTTAAAAAGGACATAAAACCAGTTGGTCGAAACTATTAAGGCTTAAGTTAACTATAATAACACAGTTTAGCTCCTGATTAAAGGGTCATGATACAAGATAAATTGTAGACCAAATTGATCAAGGCCACATTACCTACCTAACTTCAGACCATGTGGCAGCCACCAGGCACAGACAGAAGAAAAGGGCAGCTCTCCTGCTACAGGTGCTTTAAATATGCTCTGCCAATTTAGGGGGGCGGGGAAAGGGGGGGGGGGGCATCTAACATCTTATTTTTCTCAGGTGTTGCATTTCTAAACGTACTTGTTTTGATAACTACTCTTGAAAGATGACAAGAATGTTTTACTCGTTGAATCTGCTTGATGGCCTACGGCATACGGTTAAACAACCATGACACTCTGCAGCACTCATTTATTGAAAACAACAAAACAAAAACTTCAATAAAATACACTTCACTTCCTGAGCCTTCATCACATGACTATGGGAGCTGTTAAGTAAGGCAACAAACAGACTTCAAATACAGGAAACAAATCAGCAAAGACTTAACATCTCCGAAACCAAACACAATGTACTTTTCTCTGTACTTCAGCAAATGATGGACTCCAAGAATACAGAACAAAGATTTCATAGTTAAATGGCACCTACAGTGTGTGTGTCAGTATTTTTGATAGGAGTGGGAGGTAAACATGGCATGTTACTTCTTGTGATGCTCGATGAAAACGTAGCTCTTTGCCAGTTGCTCCTCGTCTCCTCGGCCTGTTTCTGTACTCTCATGATCCTCTCCCACCTGCTGCCCTTGGCCCAAGACTTGATAGCTCTGATCTGCTGTACTGAGGGTAGGCTGTGATGGCGACGTCTGTGCTTTCATCACTGTCGGACCAGACTCAGAGGATGTGGGGCATTTTCCTGCAGCATGGCTCAGTGTTGGACCTGTTTCCATCATTGGCATCTTCAAGGTCTGCCCCGCTACCTTTCCGTCTGTGCTTGTTTTCTTCTCTTTCTTCCTCCGGTCTTTATTAGTTTTCTCCCCTCCTCTCATGTCATCATGTTTTCTTCTCACTTCCTCTTTAGTCTCCTGCAGGTGAAGCTGCCCCATCCTCTCTTCCAGCTCCCTCAGGTCCTGCATGTCTGTGGGGCTCAGAGATGGAAGCTGTTGGTTGGCATGCCTGTTGTTGTCTGTGAGAATCAGAGTTTTGCTTTGTTAATGCAGACTGCACTTTCTTCAAGTTATGAAACCAAGACAAGTGTGTTAGTTACCTGCTGCAGTCTGCTGTTGTGCCGAGGCAGGAGGCTCTGCTCTGCTCTGGTGCTGCCCAGGCTTTGAACTTTGCTCTGCTGGGGATCCAGCTCTTGTTGTGTGGTTAAGGGCTTGAGAATGACCGTGCTTATCATCTGCTCTGTCAACTTCAGTTTTACAGAGGCCACTACTAACAGTGGCTGGACCAGCAGGCGCACCACAGTTCCTGTCATTACAGTCACTGCATCTGACACCATCAGAATGAGCTCTGTGGACATTGCTGTGATTGTAGATAGTAGAAGCAGAGGCTTTGGATCCTAAATCTCCTCTGGGAAGGTCGGCAGCATTACTGTTATTAGGAATATTAATACTTGCTGTATGTACAGCTTTACCGCTGCTCCTGCTGCTGATTGCTCGGTGGGGTTTGTCTGGAAGCAGAGGGCGCCCCCTGAAGGCCAGGTCAGGGTAAGTCATTTGCATCTCCATAATTGATTGGTCTTCACTGTTTATCTTGCAGGACAGAGGCTTGGGTTGCTGCTTCACTGCAAACCCGCTGTCCAACTGCAGAGGTATCTGGAGGAAAACAGGACTGAGTTTAGTGTAGACTGAAGCTGGCTTGTTGAGGTTGATACTTGGATCTTCAGCCAGTCAGGACAGGCTGTTTGTACCTTGATGTTCTTTAATACATTTGATAGGAGCAAATATAAAGACATGTTTATGTCAAGACAGGTTAGAAGAAAAGTTTTCTTTATCATCTTCATGGAGTTAACCAGTCTGTGTACTCTGCCCTACCTCTTTTCTTTCTTCCTCTTCCTTCTTGGTCTCCTCTTCATTTTGCCCTGCTGTTGTCTTGTCTGTGGATTCCTCCCGTTTTGTTAACCCCAGTCTTTCATGGAGAATATCCAGCCATCTCTGCAGCAAAGGATAAATGGGGGGTAAAATTCATAGAAGCAGAAACAAGGTACATGAATCAGCTCACTGCATATCAGTGATTTTTTTTCTCACCACTGTCAGGTCTGTAACATTATCTTTTCCATTTAAACACAGCAGAACCACTACTGTTAGGCTTTATATGCATAGAGCACCTTCATTTATTTCTGTCATGGGGCAGCAGTTGGGTTACGTTTGTAAAGGAAGCTCTTACATCACCTTATAAAGACACTTATTTATTAGTGTCTATTAAACATGTTGTCAATTATGGAGATCAAGACGCCCAACAAACAAATATGAGGTAAAGTTTCAGAGGAGTACATGCATTTATGGATCACCCTGCAGGGGAGAGGGTAAAATGATCCCCAACTCATTTACTTAACAACTCAGGGTCCTTGAGAAGCGCACAAAAGTGTAGTCAAAGGCATGGCCATCAGTGTTTGTGCAATATAATTTCATTTGTGAATGGATGAGTATAATGTATCAAGCTTAAGTTGGTCAGAAGAATACTCCAGCACCATTTAAGTGTCTTCCTTTCAGACAACCAGTTGATCATTCATCAGGAAAAGGCACATATCAAAACATGTAGTCCTGACAAAGAAACATGAGCGCTGGTTAAGTATGCGACAGCACTGAGACTGATTTAGATAACTGCTGAGTCTGGTTCACTATGAAACTGAATTCCATTGATTTATTGAGTAAGTAAAACAGTTTACAATAGTTTATTCAGCTGCTTTTTGAAATAATTATAACAGAGGTATCAAAACAGTTTTTTGCTCTTACCTGTTGTCCTGCCTGATACCTGTCATAAAGCTCAAGGAGGTGGTGGCACTCCACCCTCACCAGCATTAGCTCAAAGCCCACCAGCTTGGCTTTGTCTGTGTCAACATCGTCACAGAGTCTGTACTCACTGAAATACATGAAGAAGTCACATTTTTTCAGACTGTACACAGTGAAGACTCAAGTCTCCATACAGTATATTTAGGATTTATAGTGGGTGTGGGGACTCAAAAAAATTTCCTTGCTCCTCTTCTCATCAGTCCTTACCTTGATGGCGTGTCAGTATGAGGCTTGTATCCGATAGAGGCCAGGACAGACTGAATGGTAGAACTGCTGAAAACTGGCAGGAGGCAGTACACAAATGGACCTGTAAAGGTCTGGAAAAAACACACAAACATTTCCTTCATCACTTAGAGAAAATGACCTCATTTTGACAATTTGGTCATTATACATAAAACAACAACAAAAAACACAGTTGTCAGCATAAATCAATGGCAATGACCAGGCAAACCAGTGAGTTTGGATGAACTCACTACACACCAAAGATTTTAATGACAATCTTGTAGATGACAATATTACAGTCTGTTTCTCACAAGTACAAACTGAATTTCCCTAAATTCTGTTTAAGTCCACAGAAAAAAAACTCAGGCCTAACTAACTCCGGACCCTTCGATTATGGGTGACAAAGACACTCTCTGGAGAGCTTTTGGCTCCTACAGTTGGCCTACAATGACAACTCCACCTTGTGTTTTTTAAAATAATAACTTCACAAAGAAAAAAAAAAAGACTAAAGACAAGAACATTTCTACATATCAGTTATTCTGAAATGTCATTATGCCTGCTAGTAAAAAGGGTTCACCAGCTCCACCATCTTACCTGATCATGGTCATCAGTCATGTGACTGGGGGTTTGTCAAAATGACAAACTCAGGGCCTCTACACAATAGATTAAATTGATTCATTTCATGTCAAACAAATTAAAGGAAAGTCAAATGTCATACTTAAATTAATATAAGATGGACAGAAAGCATAGTGCAATAAAGGATTATAAATATTATTTATTGTTCAAAAACAAACAGCAGCTACATCCACTAAATAGCCTGTTAAATAAATTCTCCTTTGGGGATAAATAAAGTTCTTTTATTGTATTCCTACATAGTCATCTGTGCTAGTACACATGATGTCTACACAGGATGATTTCTACACCAGTCTGATACAAAATGTATCTTAAGTTATGGAAAAACATGAGCTTTATTGTGCTTTTGATTGAGAAGATGATATGTTAGTCACATTATTTGAAGAAGTTTTCAAAGAAACACCTCTGACTTTTATTATTGTTCTTCTTCTTATCATTATTATTATTATTGGTAGTAAAAGTTAACTTGTGTGAAGAAAGAAAGAAAGAAAGAAAGAAAGAAAAACATTGCTTTACCTTTAATGTCTTGATTTCTTTTTTCCATGGTTGAAGGAAAATATTGACACACAGAGTCTCTAATAATTCTGAAGCTTTGATGAGAGCAGGCAGCGCTTTCTTAAAGTTCAGACTCGGGTCTTGACACCTCCTCTGTACGCACTGGTTGAAGGGGAAGAGTGTGAAAATCCCTCTCAGGTCCGGTTCTCTCTGGAGATAATGAGCCGCCCTCCCAAGAAGCCTCTCATCACGGCACGGTCCAACTTCAGTCCAAACCTGAAGAAAAGAGTCCACATAATTCTCCAAAAGCGCCTGGCGGGGGAAGTCCATCTTTTCCTTGACTGTGTTAGCGTCCTTCATGCTGTCAGACGGTTGACCCTCTGCTGGTTTCACTTTAGCTGTAATGAGGAAGAGCCGACCTAGCCAATAACGAGGAAGTGAAGGCGACAGCTACGCCTCATTTACTTCTGCCTCTTTATAATGGCAGGTGGACAAACTTCACAGCTTAAGAGGTTTATTTTAACTGACCTGCTTTCATTATATATGCTGTTTGGAGTAAATCTGAAATTATAACACAAAAAAGGTGTTTTAAAAAAAATAAAAATATAGCCTTACAACATATAATGGGCCTTTGTAATCTCATTACTGAACTGAGCTCATGGGTTAGAGAAAGAGAAAGATATTAGCCTGATGTAGGGTGGCACTGAAGTGCAAAAACACAAATATTAAAACACAACAACAAACAAACAAAAACAGGGCAACCAAGACATTCAACAACTGTCAAACAGCTGAGACAGGTGGTCCCACAAAGTGCAGCCTGAGAAAAAGATGATCTAATGGAGATTGTATTTTCTTGTTACCTACTGACAGACCAAATGCAGGTGAGCCCATTAACAGAGTCCTGCTATGACAGACTCAAGATATTTCAGTTATTTCAGTGTTTCAACACCAACAGGTTTTTCATCTACTTTACTAATAATCTTTCAGAAAATTCACAAAAACTAAAAACTGTTTTTGTCATAACTTAAAATATTAATACCAGACTGTCTTTCTCTTTTTGGAAAATATGAAGAAGAAAAAAACCACATTTTTCATATATTGCTTTAATGTTTTAGATTGATAGAGAGTTGGTGAAAGTTTAACTTGTACTTTTAAATTAAAGCCAGTACAGAGAGCAACAGGATGTTGTTCTGTTAGTGTTTTGTGGGAAGTTTCAAAGTGCTGTCTCATTCTTGTGAAATAATTTTCAGCCCGTAGCCTCGTGCACTGAATCAATTTCCAAGGGCCGTCATTTCAGTTCTTGGTGGCTCATGTTTCAGGGTTCAGGAAGAAGATATCCTGAGACCGAGCCACGGCACAGGCGGTGGGGTAGGAGAAGCCTTTATTTTGAAAATCCTATAACGGCGCTGTAACATTTTGTATCCGGGTTAGTTGGACGCGTTCGACTCACGCGGCCAGTTTCCACTTGGGCGGAATAGTTACTCACTGCGTTGGATGTGCTCACCTTTACCAGGTAACTATCGAAGATCATGTCGCGCCAGGGTCGACAGTTTTTACTGACAGGCCGCCAACAGAGAGAGTGTTGAGACGGAGCGTCTGTTTGTTACTGTACAGCTTGAAATGACCCACTGTGGAACTGCAGCGTGGACTCGTAAGTGTAAATGACTCAGTGTGGGTGCTTGTAACTACTACACATCATTAAAACTGTGGTTCTCAAACAGGTGAGCTTTAAGGACAGCTCTCTCTCCTAATATGAAAAACTGTGGGAGTTTAATCATGTAGTTAGTTTAATCTGGTTTAACCATGTTCATGAATGTATAGTGACTGTTTATTCTGCTAAACAGCTGTGATAAACAGTCATAGTTTTCCTATTATTTCATATTACAACGCAACCTAAGCAAACGTAAAGAACGTTGTGCACTCTCAAAGCTGTGTGACAGCTGCGTGTTTTCAAACTTAGAAAACATGTTAATGAGGAATGCATGATATAATTTTTTTTTTTTGCCGATATGCAGGTATTTCCATAGTAATTTGGCCCATACCGATGTAACTGTCAATCTATGGGGATCAATTAAACTCCCACTATTCCTAAATGCTGGTTATCAAGAGTAGACATAGACTAATTCATCAGTCAGGGGAATAATTCATTAAATATTGGCATTTTGACATAATCAGTATCATATCGGCATTGGCCCTCTCAAAGCCGATATCACCCTCATCTTTTATAAATGATAACACATCATTCCCATCACCTTTTTACACCTTTTTCAATCTATAACAGTCATTGACGAGTGTGTTGATATTGTGTTATGATATCTGGTATTGACAGAAATATGAGGCATGTCTGAGTCTTACTGTTGATTAATTAAAAGTCCATCTAAACCGTATAAATGGCCAAGACAATCACATAGGTTATAAAGCAATTGGAATAATGAATCTATGTATGTCTTTCTTTTTTATTCTAACCCCAGTAGTTACCTCATTTTCTTTCCTTTTTAAAAATGACACATCCCTGTGGAAACATTTAGTAAAGATTCATATTTTCCATCTACATCAGTTTGATAAAACCATTTCCAAACTTATGGGCTTTTATAAAATATCTTTTTTTGTTGTTTATATGATTTAATTATATTTTGTCAAATGCAAAAAGTGTGACCTTCACCTTTTCATTCTGAGACTTCTTCAAAACCCTTGTGACTGTTCAGGTTGATACAGAATTAAATTGGTAGTGTTGGGGGATCGTCAGTTTAGTGTGTATCCTCATGTCTATCAGTTCTAATATTAAGCCCTTTTTAGCTGTTTTCTGCTTATGTAGATGCTGGTAATATTGTGCATCCCTGAGACCAAGGAAAGAAGTATTTTCAACTCAAGGTTTAGCTTTTCAATGATGCCGACCGACATGGCGTGACAACCTGTGACCCACTAACCTTGTTGGCTGATTCCTATTTTTTTGCTGAATCTTCATGTACTGTAATGTTAAAATTGTGTTTTCTAATGCTTTCTAATCCAACATTTAGGAGTTGGTAATGGTGTGGTTAGTCCAGGTTAAATGTATGAATTGACTGCTGCTGAATGTCTGTGCCCCTGCAGAAGCATAAACCATAGAACTACAAACATGAAGAACAGGAGCGGTGGTTGGCTGGATAACCGACTCAGGCAGAGATTGGAGCAGGTATCAGTATTATTTGTTCTTGTAGAGTTCTTTAGTAATCTTTCTGATAAAAATTGGTTAAGGGCAGGCCTACTTATATATCAAAAGTCTTTCTTTTGTTTTTGTTTTTTTTAAATAACTGTCCTGACGGAGGTGCTGGAGCAACTGTCCAAAGTTCAACAGTTTGGAAATTCACAAGATATCATTTATACTTTTCACAACCTGCATCCAATGATTCAGAGTAGGAACTATGAAGTCATTTACTCTGCTTTACTCTTAATAACTGTAAGTGAACCAGACCCCTCTACATTTTTGCTCAAATGACACCAAAGTTGCTTCTCATTATCTGGTTGCTTGTAGCCAATGATCTGAATTTATTTTTCTTAGTCATCAAAACTGAGCCCACAATAGGGATAGACAGATTAATCAGTCGTCTGGTTACATATTTGTTAAATCACACAGCGATTTGGCCAAACAGTCCTTTATTTTAAAAATAGTTTTGATGAGGTCATCATAACTGATGACAGTCTGTTGGACTTGGAGTGATTTGATAAACAGGCCAGCATAAAACAGACTGTGTGCAGGAGATCTTTCTCACTGGCTAACTCATTCCTACTCCTCGTGTGTCTTAGTAATTGTACAATAACAACAGTGTTCCCTCTGTGCGATAATGCATACACAAACACACACACACACACAGAGTCTTTCGATCAAACTTCATATAATACAAAATAAAGAAAAGTAAGGACTTGCTGAACAGGCGGTGCAGAAAGCTAAAATGTCTTCAGGGTCTCTTGAATGGTCTTTTTTTTTTTTTTTTTAATCAAACCAGGTCAGAGTAAGTGGTTTCTGAAGGACAGCCCCAAATGAGATAGCCTGCTTGTGATCTTATTTCATTCATCCATGCAGAGATAGCCTGACCCTAACTCGTGTGATTCTACTTCCAGTATCTGGCATCCAGTAACAGTGAGTATGTGGACCTTGCAGCTGCTGCCTTGGAGCTTCAAAGACAGTACAGGCAAGTCCACAGAGACAGGGATGTCCTCTGTCTCTGACTCAGAATAGGACTCTTTCATCAGTCCTAGACTTACTCTTCTTGTCAGATTGCTGTCTAATAAATTAACATGTCTACATATATGCCAATTTGTTTTTTTTCTCTTCAAGATAGTTTCTCTAGCCTAATTTCAAATGTGACAAAAGTACAACACTGTGTAGTTAAGAAAAAACCTGCACTGCACCTCTTAACAACCAGATGAAGAACAGCAGAACCATAATTAGGTTGAGAGTTAATGCAGGCTTGTTAGATTAGTGTGCTGTTGTTTCTACCAAGTTAGGCACAAAAAGTCCACATGATCCTGTGTTTATATTGTGTTATACTGTATCATCAGGATGGAGTATGGCAGAAGAAACAAGACAGCGTTCAGGATCCAAGTAGAGAAAGGTAAGAAAAGAAATACTGACCCATAACCAACTCAAGTGATTTACAGTTGTGTGTGAAAGTCAGGGCACCCCTTTAAAAAAAGCATAGTTTATTTATTAAAAAATTAACCTTGATATTTATAGTCTCTCTCGTGAATAGGAAAAAAGAAAATATTGTCAGAAATCACATGCATAGTTACTTTTTATTTTAAGTATGTGCAAATGTCAGGGACCCTGAGAGCTTTAAAGTGTCTGGTCTTTAAAGATTCTTTTTAAAAGCTCAGACTTTCACCAGCTCGTTAGTCCTGAAGAAGGTGTCAACAATTCTCCCCAAACCTTGTGCATTAATCCAGCAACCATGGGTTCCTCTAAGAAGCTGTGTAAGACAGAAAAGATGAAAGTTATTGATGCCCACAATGCAGGGGAGGGCTATAGGAAGATAGCAAAGTGTTTCCAGCTTGCAGTTTCCACAGTGCGAGGTATAATTAAGAGATGGCAGGTGAGGGGAACTGTGGAGGTCAAGATAAGATTGGGAAGACCAAGTAAAATCTCAGAGAGAACAGCTCGTTTGCTGGTCAGAAAAGTAAATCAAAACCCACATTTGACTTCAAAAGACCTGCAAGAATATTTAGCAGATGCAGGAGTGGTGGTGCACCCTTCCACTGTGCGGCGATGTTTGAACAAACAAGACCTTCATGGAAGAGTCTGCAGAAGAAAACCTTTCCTGCATCCTCATCATAAAATACAATGACAAAAATATGCAACAGGACATCTAGAGAAGCCTGACGACTTCTGGAAACAAGTGCTGTGGACTGATGAATTTAAAATGAAACTCTTTGGCCACAATAAGCAAAGGTATGTTTGGAGGAAAAAAAGGAACAGCTTTTCAGGAAAAGAACACCTTGCCAACTGTGAAATATGGGGGTGGATCCATCATGCTTTGGGGTTGTGTTGCAGCCAACGGGACAGGAAACATTGCACGAGTGAATGGATTCCATTAAATACCAGCAAACTCTGGAGGCAAATATCACAGCATCTGTAAAAAAGCTGAAGCTGAAAAGAGGATGGTTTCTACAGCAGGATAATGATCCTAAACATACCTCTAAATCCACCATGGACTACCTCAAGAAACGCAAGCTGAAGGTTTTGGAATGGCCTTGTAGACTTGTAGTTGGCTATAAAACGCGTTTACAAGCTGTGATATGCCAGAGGGGGTCTTACTAAGTACTGAAGGTACTGATGCTGAAGGGTGCCCTGACATCATTTGCACATGCCAAAAGGATGATTTTTATTTTTGTAATTTTGTACTTTTTATAAAATAAAAGTAACTGCACATTAATGATTTCTGATAATATTGTTTTATTTTCTATTTACCAGAGAGACTATAGATATCAAGGTTAATTTTTTAATAAATAAACTATGCTTTTTTTTACAGGTGTGCCCTGACTTTCACTCACAACTGTATCTGTACTCAGCCTCATCTTCCCTATCTTAGCGTGCATGCATGTGGGTGCATTGAGTGTGTGTGTGTGGCTTTGTGTGAGACTGTGTATGTGTACTGTTGGCTGTGGGTTGTATTGTTTTGGGTAGGGCAACTGTGTGTGTGTGTGTGTGTGTGTGTGTGTGTGTGTGTGTGTGTGTGTGTGTGTGTGTGTTTGGGGGGCATGTGGGATTGTTGTGGTTTTTTAATGGACTGTAAAGCACTTTGTGTTACATCACTTTGTATAAAAAGTTTGATTTGATCTGATTACATTTGATAACCAAACCATGAGATAGTGTTGTTTTTACATTCATGTACATTTAGAGTCAGATTCAGATTTGATTTATTGTCATTGCACATGTCACAAGTACAGAGCAACGAAATTGCATTTCAGTTTGACCTGTCCAAGAAAACATAAAGAAGACAGACACAAAGGGGATACCAGGGCTTGTTGTCACACTTTTTACACTCTTCTATATTTCTTGGAATCAATACATCATATATAAACAAAATGTGTACCAGATGAAAGACCAAATTCTCAGGTATATCATTTTTATGTCATTTTCATATCTTGTGCTAGTGCAGAGTTATAAGCAATCAAACGGAGAGTGTGAACATGTGACATGTTGCCCCACCATTGGGTAAGCTGTCTCACTACATGGGGTAAGATGTCACAGTGGATTTTGCAACTAATAAAACAAGGACAAAATTGTTGTTCTTGTTTTTTTACGTGAAAGTGAACATCAAGGTCAGGCACAGAAAATGTTTATCATTGAGCTAGAAAAAGTTGTTGAACATAGCCAGTGAACAATCGTTAACATAAACTATTATGTAACATGCTCTGGAATTTGGAGAGCTGTCTGACTCTGTATTTCGGTTGGGGTGAATGTTTTGCAGTACCAAGCCAAGGTATGGTAGTTGACATTAAAGTCCTTTATCGTAGTCGCAGATTGCAGTCGCAGCATGGACAAAGGTGCACTGCTCCACTAAAACCAACTACACAGTGAGCTCATGCTTTTTTACTCTGAGACAGTGAGGGGTGAGAGTAGTTTGCTGATCCTTGATCATATTGCTATCAGGGATATTGTGGTAATTGATCTATTACCACTTATGCATTTATTAACTGTACTCTGGTTTGATTTTACTGAAGTTAAATAGTGTTATTTTTTAGGTTAAATTATCAAACAGCTATATAACAACTATGTAACAAGTGTACAATAAAATATCATCCCTCTCAAAAAGAGCCACTTTTAAAATTGATTTATGCCTTTGGGATATTTTGACTTCATTACAGATAAGAGTCAATGATCTGTTCTTCTGAGAAAATAATGAAACTAAAGTCATGTCTTCCAACAAATGTGTCCATGTAGTTTTTCTGTTTTTAAATATTATGAACTGAGAGAAGCTCTAATTGGTCTTTTAAATCTTCCTTTTCAAGTGTATGAAGCAATCATGAAGGAGTCTGGACCCAATGACCTAGAGAGCAAACACCTGGCTAAGAGAGCCAAGCACAGCCACAATGACACTGGGTAAAGGACCCTTTGTGCCTGATGTTTGGTCTGTCACCCTGAGACTTCACTGTCTCTTTTTTTATCTGCCATTCTCATCCTCTTGTTAAAAATGTACAACTGTGTCATTCACAGTGATGGAAGCAGCAGCAGCTCAGAGTTTTCTGACAGTGATGATCACATTCAAGAGAACACAGTAAGACATGATGGGAAATTTTTATCAAAAGAGTCACAGTAGAAACTTGTGTCTTCGATTTTCATAGAAAGCTTAACCCTTGTCGTGAAACATGACTGTTATTTATCAAAGCATTAATAAACACTCAGTTCTAGCTTCATTCAACCGTGTTTTTAAGAACAGGTTTGAATGGAAATGCATTCAATAATCTGCATCAGGTTAAAGGTTTGTGTCAATGTCCAGTGATAATCTGTCAAGAAGATTAGACTTGACTCAGTATAAAACATAGACTTTTAAAAAAAAAATGGACAGTGAAAGAAAACAGATTTCTTAAGCAGCCCAGAAATCTATGATTTAACAACCTCATTTTCTGCAAAATAGCATTGAGATCAGATGTGTAACGCTGTGGTGTTTATTTGGCTGTTGGGCTTTGCCTTTTTAGTTTCCTATGAAGTTAAGTTTAACACATCCTTGACCTGTGACTTGACTGCATGCACAGAGACTTTCTGTTAATGTAATTTCTTTAAACTATGGGGATGAGATTGGGCATGCAGGTTTCCTAAATGTTGAGCTGTAACTTCAGACTACATGTACACCAAGTTTTAATGACTCCTTTTCCCTACATTTTGCCTTCTGCAGCCCACCAACCATATGAACAGCTCACTTACATCCCTGTACCGAAAGGGACAGTCTGAGTCCAGCACCTGCTCACCCAGAAAGGATCCGCCTGCTGCCAGCTGCCCTGCAAACATAGCCGACCCCCCTCCCAGTACAGGAACACTGGTTTCCACAGGTGGCTGGTTTATTGATAGAGGTAGAGGCCCTGAGAAGGAGAAAATCCTCATCGATCTTTGTGAAGAGGAGCCAGATAACACAGCAGTTAATGTAAGTGTGTGATCTGTACAGAAATACATGGGACAGAAAACGTCCTGACATGGTTAGTAACCAGGTTTCAGCTGTTTAGTCTGAGGAGAAGAAATATTTTATTTTCAGATTAATTCTGTTTGTTTTGTGGAAGATTCATGTGGAGATGGTTTCAGAGTGGAAGCCAAGAAACATTATTTGCTGTTGATTGGAGAGCTGTGACTGCTATGTGCACTGGGCAGGACTGACTCAACAAGATTACTGAAATATGTCTTTGATTGAATTAACCCAGCTTCTCCAATTTTGTCAGTCCCTCTCTTTCCCCAGTAAGGCCTCTGACATACAGCATGTTGAGAGAGGAAGAGTTAGTGGACTACACATTTGACTTGTTTCCTCACCAGTCACATTCAGTCTCCCTCACTTCACCTTAGGGAGAGAGTTAGTATCCCACGATACTGTGTTGCTAAGCAAGCCCATCTACTCAGGTTTACAATCATGTGATATTGTGTACATAGAATAGACCCACCCTGGAAGCCAAATTCAGTATTTTCACAGTGACTTTAAATGCCTGGCACGGTGTATTCTACTTGGATGTCCACTTAGTTCGGTTTTCAGATGAATTTCCTGTATTTTAAAATGTTATTATTATTTTTTTTTGTCTAGATAATAAGCAGCTCTTCGACAGCCTACAGATACCTTTCAAATAATCAAATAATGTACAAGTACTTACCACACTTCCTATGCTCAGCTGATGCCATTCATCTAATACCTTTACTTTCTTGGTGTTTGTGACCAGCAGACAGACGTGTCCATACGGGAGCCAGTGAAATCTCACAAAAAGCCCAAAAAAAGAAACAAAATCTCCACCGACTCTGACAGTCTTAACAAAAAAGGTAATTTCTGCTCCAGTTTGTCTGTCTCGCTGTTAAATATATATTTTTTTGCATGTAGGACTCCTCACAACAATGTAAACAATGCAATGATTTCTAGTAGGAATGTAAAGAACTAGAATTTTTTTAAAGGGCCATGGGTGCTACTGCAGGGGTGTAAACATTATGATGAGATTCTTCCGTGATTTCAAATAATTAATACTAGTGGCATTGTGATATTATATACAAGGAGCAGACCTACATCTAACATTGTTTTTTAAGTATTTATTTATACAACTAAAAAACCAATATTTCAAAAAAAAGTAGACATTTGAAAAACTCCAATAATTACTCCTTATTTTGTCTTGTTCCATTATCTTTAGTGCAAGTTTTTCTTTTTGCGACTTACATTGTGAAAAACTCATACACAATAGAAAAAAGTAATAGCACCCTGATCCTGATCAAACTGCACTTTTTGATTTATAACTTGTTAAAATTCTGTAAGTCTCTCTGCTTAGATGAACACATCCTTAGAGACAGATCAAGTGTGTTTACAAATGTGGAAAAAAAACATGCATGGAGAGTGTAAATTCTGGCTGGGAGAAGTGTGGAAAGAGAAAAATTTCTGATCATTTCATGCAACTTCTTTCACCCTAGCCGATAATGTCATCCACTCTGGCATGAACATTCCATGTAATACACACCCATTAAAATCTCAAAAACAGTGATTGATCAAAAACTACAATACCTATCATAACTTGGATTAATATACCAATCGACAAGACTTGTGTCTACGTTATAAAGTTTAAATGGAGTCTCTAGGTGAAAGTATGCTGGGGTAAAAGACATTTGAAAATCTCTAATCATTTTTTTTTTTTTTTTTGGCTTAACTGTTGGACTAGTAGCAAAATAGAAATCTGTCCTGGAGAGGAAGAAGAAAAATCCACTGTATAACAATAGTGTCTTGGTGTGTTTGCCTCATGGCCCTCAATACTGTCAGTGCATTTAGAGTATTAATTTAGTTTATTTTTGTGAATTTGTGTGTGAGAGTTCTGCCCTTTCTTTAACAAGCTGCCCCAGTCTGCTGTGATGTCTCATGTTGCGTTACCTGTTTAATTTTTCTCAGCCAAATTAAAGTCCCCTGAGCTGCAGTACCCCTCTCTGAGGTTTGAAGATGTAGGAGGAAATGAAGAAACCTTGACGGTTAGTTCCTAAAACCTTTGCTTACTTTTATGTTGTATCTGCTTTTGTGAAATGACCCTCAGTTTTTGGTCAGTTACTCCATCCACAATGACCGGTGTCAGTATAATCTCAGTCACACACACACTGAGGATGTGATTGAGCTGTAATGAATATGTGTTATACTGCCTACTACTGAACATCCTTGTAGGAAGTGTGTAAGCTGCTCATCCACATACGTCACCCAGAGGTCTACCAGCAGCTAGGGATGGTCCCACCCAGGGGCTTCCTCCTCCACGGACCTCCAGGCTGTGGGAAGACCCTGTTAGCTCAAGCTGTAGCCGGAGTAAGTGTCAGAAAATCCAAGCCAATGTAGAGCATCGCCTAGCCACAAAGTTTCAATGTAAAGCCTTAGATGTATTCAATCCTGATCATATTTAAACATTTACAGATACAAATGAACTCAGTCCAGCTCAGCACTATTACACTCTAGAAAGCTCCTCTCTGCAGCTCAGGCAACAAAGTAAACCTGATGAAATACCCTGTATGTAGTGTGCCTGTTAATGGAGAGTTCCTACAGTGCTTCTGCAGTGAGGTCATGGTGAGTGCATCAGTGAAAAAGTCAGCTTTTATATTTAGATCATGTGTTTGTGTTTGGATATCTCAGGAGCTTCAGCTGCCCATGTTGAAGGTGTCGGCTCCAGAGCTGGTGTCTGGAGTTTCTGGGGAGTCTGAACAGAAGCTCAGGGAGCTGTTTGACCTGGCTGTGGTTAGTAAGGCCTTTCATACTACTGTAACCATGTACAGGTGCGGGTCTCGGGTTTAGGTGGTACAGTGTGAGTGCTAACCTAACTAAGGGTAAATATTGTCGTTGGACTCTAAAAAATCAGATGTCCTTGCTTCTCTCTTGCCCCCTCTATCAGAGCTCTTCCCCATGTATCCTGTTTATAGATGAGATTGATGCTATTACCCCGAAGAGAGAGGTGGCCTCCAAAGACATGGAGAGGAGGATCGTTGCTCAGCTGCTTACCTGCATGGACGGTAGGACAGGACAAGATTCCTGCTACTAACACTGACTAATCCATAAGAGTTACATAGATTCATCTGTTCTTATGCTCACAGTTGAGCCTTTGCAGTGTATAATGCATCGTCATGAACTCAACTGTTCTTTTTTGTAAGTGGACATATTAGACTAACCTTACTTGTCTGGTACTTTTCTTATGTTGAGAAATATTAATGTAAATCTGTCACATACTCCAACATTTCTCTGTGCTTGTCTTTTGAATTATAAATTAACTGACTGAAGAAACACTGGAGAGGTGAGTGTGAAAAAACTGCAGCGCTTTTACCAAATGCTTTTTTTCTCTTCCTCTTACAGACTTGAACAGTCTGACCGTGACAGCACAAGTCCTGGTCATTGGTGCAACCAACAGACCGGACTCCCTGGACCCTGCTCTTCGCAGGGCGGGACGCTTTGACAGAGAGATCTGCCTGGGTATCCCTGATGAATCAGCTCGTCTCAGGTATAACATCTTCTTGTTCACTCTTTCTTCAGATTACTTGCCTCCTAAATAACATTTGTCGTTTTATCGTTGTCCTTTACTGGCTGGTTTTGACCATGTTTGTAAAATCATTTGTACATATTCTGGTTTTCTCGCAGCTCACTGTTGATATTTAAAGGTCTGAGAAAACACAGAACAGAGTTTCCTGAGTATCAACACTGAGCTAAAGGAGAGCTTTCACTGTGTCTGTGGGGATTTTCTGTCTGCCTGCAGCTTAATAGTTTGATTTATCAAATAAAACAATAACGTTGAATGTGGTTTAGTGTGAATTTGAACTTCTGGCCTTAACTAAACTATGGCGTATGTACAGAAGAGGCTTGGGTTGAGGCATCTATCCAAGGATCACATGCACAGTACCTACATCTAATGCCTTGTACTCTGTTAGGATCTTGAAGACCTTGTGTAGGAAGCTGAAGCTGTCGGAGGATTTCGACTACCAGCAGCTCGCCCGCCTCACCCCTGGCTACGTGGGTGCAGATCTCATGGCTCTGTGTCGAGAAGCTGCCATGAGTGCAGTAAACAGGGTTCTGCTAAGGGAGCAGCCACAGAGCTGTAAGCAGAGATCATCTGAGGAGCTGTTAACAAGCACAGTTCAGATTGAGGCGGCTGTGACGGATGAACAAGTCGGAGAACAACAGACTTCAGACTCTAACCCAGTACCTGTGGAAGAGTCCATGCAGACTCTGCAGGTACGGCTTCAAGAACACATCTCACAGACTTCTCTCAGGATGATCGTAAACCCACCATCCTGAAAGACTAACCACAGTGTTTGGGTGTTATGAATGTGTTTGTCTGTTAGCCTTTTATTCTCACTTCAATCACTATGAAAATCAGTCTGCAAACTCAGAAAACCCTCTGGTGAACTTGCTGTGGAGACTTACTTAACAGTAGACTTTAACCAAGACCAGATAAGGCCACTGTAGCCCTGGGACTGTGATTGGATCTCTGTATTTTTGTTGTCAGAAACGCATATTTATATGCGCTGTGGCCTCAAACCTGATTCATCTCCACAGTGTTAAAAACAATATGACTCAGAGGCTTCTGTCTGCTTTGGTAAACTTGTGCTTTTACCTAAATTTGAAAAATTTAACAGTCAGTTATCATACAGATAAATTCAGAGATGTAGGAAAGTCTAATGTATTTCAGATATTATTTTCTGTGGTGTCCTGATGGGCTGTGTGGTCTGTGCAGCAGGGAGAACTGTGGAACCTACTGCACCTCCTGAAGAGCACTCAGACACTGTCGGAGGAAGAACTAGCTGGCCTGACTATCCTCATGTCGGACTTCCAACTCTCTCTGTCCAGCGTTCAACCCTCAGCCAAGAGAGAGGGCTTCGCCACAGTACCTGATGTCACCTGGGAGGACGTGGGCGCCCTTCAAGACATCAGGGAGGAGCTCACCATGGCCATACTGGTAACCACAAGACGTCCCAATATAAGATGCTGGACCATTACTGTCTATAGAACTTTTGAAAGAGAAAATCCAGGATAAACTGCAGTGTTTCCCCAAAGATAGAAAAAGGAGGGAGAGTAAAGTACTGTTTTCTGTAGTTTATTCTTATTTTACTTTTATAAATAAGCTTGATAGTCTAATTTTTCATGTAAAACCACTAAAAGGCTATTTCCATGATGCAGACTGCAGCTGTATGTGAACCACAGGTATCATGATGTTTGAATATGTCCTTAAAGGACAGAAAACCCCTGTTCACCTGTCAGCGAAAACATTAACAGCCATATTTAAATTTCCAGTAAAGCTAATTTTTAATGCAAATATCATGTTTTTTTTTGCTATTATTTGCATGAGGAAAAGTACGATTCAAAAGTTTTAAAACTTTTTGAACATTGCCTTTACCTCTAACATCATAGAAATTCACACAGAGGAATACTGTCCAATGCAACAAAATATAACTCTTGGAGGAAGTTTTTGAGGCACATGAATTCCTGCTTTTTGCACGTGATCTTTTGACATCCTCCACAAAGTTCAGCTGAAAAATAAGATCACCTGGTATCCTCCCCCAGTGTCAAAGAGGAGGATGAGACTGAGGATATCATCCTACAAACATAAAAAAAAACAACACAGTGAACTGAGAAATGAACAAAGCTTTAGTGATCCTAGAGTGTATTTGAAGTGGGTACTGGGTAAGAGGGTTGATCTTCACCTATCTTTTAGTTCTAGACACAGATTTTGGGGCATTTTCTTATTGCACTTGACAGGTGGACTGGGTCTTTGGAGCACTGCCACAACGTAGGTTTGTGTGTGTGTGTGTGTGTGTGTGTGTGTGTGTGTGTGTGTGTGTGTGTGTGTGTGTGTGTGTGTGTGTGTGTCCAGGCTCCTGTGCGATCTCCGGAGCAGTTCAGGGCTCTGGGGCTCAGTGCTCCGTCTGGTGTGCTGTTGGCTGGACCCCCAGGATGCGGAAAAACACTTCTTGCCAAGGTAACCCACACAAACACTATTATTAATTATTATTAATAAGAGTGGCATCTTAAAATAATTTTAATGCAATTTACTGTGAAGAACTTCCAATGCAGTTTTTTCTTTTTATTTTGAACACCAATAATTTCCAAACCCAAACTCTTGGTCCATAAATACATTCACAGATTTAATACAGTTGTATACAAAAGTTTGTGCATTCCCTTTAAACAGCATATTTTATGTCTTATAAAAAATATATAAATATTTGCAGTCCTTTGTCTTTTTAATAAGACAATATGACCCGGAAACATTAATACATAGTTACTTTTTATTTCATAGATTGAACTAAAATACAAAAATAGAAACATCCTTTTTACAATTACAAAAGTTTGTACATGCACCTACACAGGCAGGACTTTGAGTACTTAGTAAGACCCTCTTTGGCACATATCACAGCTTGCAAACGCTTTTTATAGCCAACTACAAGTCTCTGGATTCTACTCTTTGTGATTTTTCTCCATTCTTCCAGTTCTGCAATATTCTTGGGTCGTCTTGTTTGCACAGCTCTTATAAGATCTACTCACAAATTCTGAATGATGTTCAAGTTTAGAGACTGTGAAGGCCAATACAAAACCTTTAGCTTGTGTTTCCTTAGGTAGTCCATGGTGGATTTTGAGGTGTGTTTAGGATCAGTATCCTGTTGTAGAAGCCATCCTCTTTTCAGCCTCAGCTTTTTTACAGATGGCTGCAACACAAGTGCAAGGCATAATTGATTCCCCATCCCACCTCCACCCCCCATATTTGATGAGGTGTTTTTTTCATGAAATGCTTTCCCTTTTCTTCCACAAACATACCTTTGCTTATTGTGGCCAGAGTTCTACTTTCACTCCATCAGTCCACAGCACTTGTTTCTGAACTCATAAGGCTTGTGTAGATTTTCTGTTCTGCATATTTTTCATGTTGTATTTTAGGATGAGGAGGACTGAGGATGAGGTTTCCTTCTGCAGACTCTGTCATGAAGGTCTTGTCTGTGCAGGTCTTTTGCAGTCCAATGTTGGTTTTCATTTCCCTTTCTGACCAGTCTATGAACTGCTCCCTCTGAGTTTCCTTGATCTTCCAGATCTCGTCTTGACCTCTACAGTTTCTCTCACCTACCTATAGTGGCGAAGCCTAAAACTTGACACCGCTGAGGGTTGCTGACGCGTTACACTTAATTGACACGCTGCGCTGTGTTTACTCTGGAAAAAATCAAAATGTCCAACATATGAACAACATAAGACCCAAAAAATGGCTCTTACACTACCATCTCTTATTTCTTTATGGCACTGTGGAAACTACAAGCTCATAACACTTTGCTATCTTCTTGTAGTCCTTACCTGTGTAGTGGGCGTCTTACACAGCTGCCTTGAAGAACTCATGGTTGTTGAGTTTTTGCACACGGTTTGTGGGGTCAGAGGGCTCTATTTTCGTGCGCGCCGGTGAGGCGGCGGAGGGCGGCGAGCCCTGCGCAGTTGTATTTTCGTCTGGCGGAGCCCGGCGTAAGGCCAGTTTGGTATTTTCGTGGACTGAGCCGCACGGAGGCGAGCCGAGATCCGCCAAGCTGGGCGTGGTGGCGTGGCAGGGGGAGGTGTCGACAGAATCAGCAGGCGCAGTGACATTTTCGTGCTCGCCACCGGCGTGTAAAGTACGCTGAAAGCTCGCCGATTCAAACCTGGTCAGCTTTCAGCGCAAGGCGGAGCTCAGCTGGTCTAGTAGTATTTTAGTAGACCGGCGGCGTATCTGCATACGTCACTGATGCCTCACCGGCAGGTTTCCACAGTGTCAGGCACATTTTAGTGCAATAAATAATTATCAACAACTAATAATCTGTGTCAGCACATACATTTAGATCTATAGATATATTCTGATCTATATCTGATCTGATGAGCACGTCTGGCACGCGTTTGGACACACAACCTGACCGAATCAACACAGCTAAAACCGCATAAAATTAAATTAGATATCTAGTAAATAGACACACATAATGAAGTTAACAAGATATGTAATTCGTCTCCCTCCTTTTCTTTCTTCCTCTTCCTCTTATTTCTCGCGCAGCTCGACCTGGACACGTCTCCGTGTCCTCTGTCCGTCTTGCTTCTGCGGCGGCCGAACAGATGATTTGTTTCAGTGCTCAGATGCGTTATCTACTTTAAGCCTATAAACGGATATTATAATATTCAGTTTTGTGGGCCAAATTTATTTTATATACCAACATCTATGAAAGAAAGAGCCAGGCCACGGAGCGCGATGCGTCATTTACGCACAGATGGTTCCAATTTTAATGCCATTTTTGGAGTTTATGTTGTGATCTGTGCGCACAACCCACCTTTGTCACGTGAGGTTTGAATATGTGCAACTTTATGTGTTTGTCTTTATTTGTGGAAAAGGGTGTTTGTCTTACCACTGGGTCCAACTTTACACACACCAAATCCATCTGTGCTCATATGAGAGAGTGTGAAGGACGCCCAATGTGACAGTGACACTTGTTGAGGAGCTGCCCTCTGTCGCCATCTTGTGGCATTACTGTCTTAAGACATCTCTTGATCTCTTTGACTACTTCATGAAAATAGTAATACGCCTCGCCTGTGGCGGATTTAAAGGCAAGGAGAGGAGCTTATGTGATTGGTGAAAACAGGTCTCGGCTGTGTTAAACCCACTACACGCCCTCTTTCCTCCCCGTCTACGACTTATGGTGCTGGGAGGAGCTGAGTTAGGGAGGGGGGATACTTATGCCGGGCTGCGCGGCTCACCAAAATACCAAAATGTGCTTGGGAATGCCTTGTCAGCGCGGCGGATCTGACTGACGCCGCGCTTGCGGCACGTCGCCGGCGAGGCATGAAAATAGAGCCCAGAGTGTTTAAGAAACTCTGAAATTGGCACCAGCTGGCACTTCTCTAATGACAATTGTGGACATATGCTTCTGGCTTAACGAGCTTGTAAAGGTCTGAGCTTGTAAAAAGACACTTTGATACGTCTGTCTCTCTGTAAGTATCTAAAATCCATCTTTGAATGACTCGTACAGAGCACTGACTAAAGCCCCCTTACTTCAATTTCAGGACCAGTCTGGGTGATCTGCTGTTTTGTTTTGTATAGAGAGTGAAATTAGACAAATGATATGAACAGACATGGCCAGGTTCTGTCCCACACTAACAGTAATTCTTACTACTTTAAAACTTTTATAAAGAATGTATTCAAAGTTTCAGAACCTCAATGTCTTTCCTAGATTGTGTAACTCTGTTGTCTCCTGTTTTACAGGCAGTGGCCAATGAGTCAGGTCTCAACTTCATCTCTGTCAAGGGTCCAGAGCTGCTCAACATGGTGAGTAACTGAGGTGCACAAATGCATTTTCAACCCTAGTGTTTATTTCAAGTCTGATGAATCGGGTGAAAAATAGTTTGGTGTCTGTTGGATTAGCTTAAGGGCTGAGATCAAAACTGAGCATGAGGTGAGGTGAGAAATGAGCTTGCAGGAGACAGCAGGATCCAGTTTAAAGGGTTTATTTGACAGGTTGGTATGGTATGCTGCATAGTGGTGTTTCTGGAGTATAAAGCAGGAAATAATAACAAAAATTAGCATTCATGGCAAATAAAACATTCATTCATAAAGTTTTAACATATTTCATTATTTAATTTAAGGTTAAATTAATCCGAAGTCAACAAAGATGCAAAAAAGGTTCTCAAATTGAACAAAACTTACATTCTGATCAGTGGCAATTGCTTAAGACTGCAAGGGAAGCTCAGCTTCCCTTAAAATGTCACCCCCCCAAAAAAAAGAAAAAGTAGTGAAATACGTACTGCTGTGTGTACATTTCATTAACTAAATACGCGCTAGAAAGCCTTCATCTTTTGTTCAGAATCAGCTTCTTATCACAGTGTGATAAGAAGGTGATTCTGCACAACTTCGTTCACATTCATCCTCGCAGCGCCTCAGCGCTTTAAACAGCCGGACGCTCAGCTTCTGCTGACTTCAATGTGGAAGCTCAAAGTGGGTTGTTCCAGCAGCGAAACTAGACGCTCATTGGATAAATGCTGGGCTTTGTCCCGCCCATCGGACGCTGAACTTCTCTCGAGTTCTATGGCGAGAGGGCGGTCCCGACTTTCTCCCAGACTCCCAGCTTCTGCATCCATGATTGGATGAGCTGTCTGAGGCGAAATCCTTTTTTGATTGACAGCTAAACAAGCGAATCAGCGATCTTGAAGAATAAAACATCTACCAGAGCATTTTCCAAGTTATTCATTCCGTTGTTCTTAACTGCTCAAGAAACTTTACCGATCCTCAGCGACTTTTGTCTTTGTTAAAAACGACTGGCGTTGTGTTTGGCGACTCTGTTCTGTTACATACAAATAAACAAACACAATTATGATGTAGGCCAGAAAAATGAGCTTCCCCTCCTTGAAAGACCAGCAGCCGCCACTGATTCTGATGCACTTCAGCAGCAAACAGGTCATCATTGTCCATAGTCTGTTAGTGAAACAGAGCTCAGTGCTCTGCTCCCTCTAATAGAGCAGCAATCATCACACCTGTGCTGACTCTCCAGCCAGCACAGGTGTGGCTGCTGCTCCACTCAGGAGGGGCAGAGAGGCAGGGGCTGTGTCCGAAATGGCATACTGCCTACTATCTACTTACCTACTCAAGTAGTACCTACTGCATACTGACTACTCAAAGATGATTTGAGTATGCCGCGGCTGCCCGAGCCCGAGTTTACGTACAGATGCATACTAATTACCCCAGAATGCATTTTGTGCCGGCCGGACGCAGCGCCGGGAAAATATAAATAGACCTACCACAAGCTACACAGAACGACAAATTATATAAATTCATTGAATTTACCGTAAACACTGGGCAGCAGCAGCTCCCCCTTCACGTTTCCAAATTATTGCGAAGTGTTTTCATAATCAACATCTACACGACACAAACCTGGCGGCAGTGGATGAAAAAAATCACACAAACATCTGTGTATCCATGGTGATAATGCTATACACCACCTGCTAGGCGTGTGATGAGCAGCAGAGGGCTGCAAAATGACCAACACACAATATAATTATTATGACCTCGTTCGGTTATTCCTTGGCAAATACATCATTTCCCGACTACATTCTTTTCATGTACAATGATAATTTCAGAAACCATCAGATTTTCAACAACAAGTAAGAATTAGTAAGGCTCACATATACATTGTCAACTGGAAACTCCCCCGTTTGTATATTCTGATCCATGTGCTCTCTACCAATAATAATTTTTATTAATCAGAGGTCTGTGCTTAATATAAGTGACCACTTAGATGATGATAAAAACATTACCTACAATCCTAATTTAAAATACAAATAAATCTGGTCAAAAGATCAAAATATGATAAAATGATAAAAAATTGTGTAATGTATACTGACTAAATCTTGTTTATCTATTTATATATATATAATTATTATTGCAATCACATGCCATCAATTTCTTTTCAGCCTCGGGAAAGAGGGCCATATTACCAGCTGAGGTGCGCAATGCATTGTGGGGCAGAAGCAGTACGTGAAGCAAGCTCCGTTCCATACTCAGAAATCGAAGCCGATTGAGTATACATCCGGGCATTTCTCGCATACACTAAATTTGCATACTGTAAAGTGTGAACGCACTGCTTACTCAATTCACAGGTGGGGTTAGTAGGAGTAGTAGGAGTAGTATGCCATTTCGGACACAGCCAGGGTTTCCAACAGTGTCATTTGAACAGTTTCACAGTGAGGATTTTTCCCTCTTTTAACCAACACAGTGGCTCTGTCCGAAATGGCCTACTACTCCTACTACTCATACTAACCCCGCCCCCGAATTGAGTTGGCAGTGCGTTCACACTGTACAGTATGCAAATTTTGTGTAAGCGAGAAATGCCCGGATGTATACTCAATCAGCTTCGATTTCTGAGTATGGAGCGGAGCTTGCTTCATGTACTGCTTCTGCCCCACAATGCACTGCGCACTTCAGCTGGCAACATGGCCCTCTTTCCCGAGGCTGAAAAGAAATAGATGGCATGGGATTGCAATAATAATGACATATTTATAAATAGATGAACAATATTTAGTCAGTATATATTACACAATTTTTTATCATATTTTTATCTTTTTTACCAGATTCATTTGTATTTTAAATTAGGATTGTAGGTAATGTTTTTAACTATTTGTATGAAATGACTTTATTTATTTAAGTGTTTATTAAAGATGTATTTATTACAAGTTTGAGCATCTTCTCATCTCTGAATGCATCATCAAAGTGGTCACTCATATTAAGCACAGACCTCTGATTAATAAAAATTATTATTGGTATATTCTGGTTCAGAGTATACAAACGGGGGAGTTTCCAGTTGACAATGTATATGTGAGCTTTACTAATTCTTACTTGTGGTTGAAAATCCATTAGGAAGTACATAGATGCCCTGAAGAAAAGACGCCTTTGTCTTCTTGCATGGCGGTGCTCTATGGTTTTCAGCCTACACCAGGCAGAACTACCTGATGGTTTCTGAAATTATCATTGTACATGAAAAGAATGTAGTCGGGAAATGATGTATTTGTCAAGGAATAACCGAACATGGTCATAATAATTATGTTGTGTGTTGGTCATTTTGCAGCCCTCTGCTGCTCATCACACGCCCAGCAGGTGGTGTATAGCGTTATCACCATGGATACACAGATGTTTGTGCAATTTTTTTCATCCACTGCCCCTCGGTTTGTGTCGTGTAGTTGTTGATTATGAAAACACTTGGCTATAATTTGGAAACGTGAAGGGGGATTTGCTGCTGCCCGGTGTTTACGGTACGTAGACGCAAACACCCACCAAGCGGACGCTTCGGTTTCCGAAAACGCCGAGACAAATTTACAGACAGCCACTATTTCAAACAACTGGGCTCATAATCGTGATGTAAACACTTGCTTTCTCGCTAGAAAAAATATTATTATTGAATGAATTTTTATAATTTGTCCTGAATGCAGTCGTTCTGTGTAGCTTGTGGTAGGTCTATTTAAATTTTACCGGCGCTGCGTCCGGCCGGCTCGAAATGCATTCTGGGGTATTTAGTATGCATCTGTATGTAAACGCTCGGGCAGCCGCGGCATACTCAAATAATCTTCGAGTATTCAGTATGCAGTATGTACTGATTGAGTAGGTAAGTAGACAGTAGGCAGTATGCCATTTCGGACACAGCCAGTGTCTAACCCAAACTCTGGTTGGACCATAGTAAACCCTCCTGGGAAGCAGTGTTTGAAAGTCAGAACTCTGTTGTGTTTATTCAATCCTCTCTTCTTCTTTTGTCATTAACTGTCTGTCTTTAAGTTGTTTCAGAGCATATGAGTTTTGATTTTCTGGTCATCTGCAGTAACCGTATTGCTAGGCCTGTCGCGATAATCAATAAATCGCCTTATTGCTCGATAAATAAAAACGAGGTCGATAACTTTGCCAGCCTTGATAATTGACGTGCGTTTGTTTTCCTCCTCTCTCGCTCTCAAACACGCTGGATGAGAGAAGAGGTCTCACTCTGCGCATTGTTCTCGGCACCTGGGGGCGTTGGCTCTATAGCGGAATGAACGGAGTTAGTGAACCCTCCTGTCAGTCATTCAGTGTCTTTGTCACGAGGGGGCTGGCGCGCACAGGCACACAGACACGGACTTTTGGATACAGTGCTGCAAGTGAGCGTCGTGAGTGAAAAGCAAGCTAACAGAATGAACACGACAGCTTTGGTGTCTAAACCGAACGCAACAGCCCAAGTGTGGGAATATTTCGGCTTTAAACCAGTTTTGTTTTCGTCAACCACAAAACTTCACGTGTGTGTGTGTGTGTGTGTGTGTGCGCGTGCGTGTGTGTCTGTGTGTTGGAGGAGCACAGCAGGATGATGAGAGCTGTCAGAGCGGACTGAAGCTGCTCCTATATGTTTAGCGTTTAACTGACTGAGTTTTGCAACTCTGTTCGTCATTTTCGTCTCGTCTCATCAACGTAAACGCACTTTCGTCTCATCACATTTTAGTCATCTCCGACTTATGTTTAGCTCGTCAACGTTACGTCTTCGTCGTGGGAGAAAAGGGAAATATTTTAGTCAACGAAAACAACCAGTGTTGTTCTCGTGTGGAAATTAAAGTTTATCACTTTTGACATGGTGTACTCGCATTATTATGCCATATAATATCATTATCTATAATTTAAAAAATGGTGTCAATAATATCGTTTATCGGCGATAATTTGTAGCACAATTATCGTCCAGCAAAATTTGTTATCGTGACAGGCCTACGTATTGCCCTTTGGGTTAGATAAAGTCATCAGAATCTGAAACCCCTTTTGTGGCCACAAGTCGTCTCTGTTGGATCTTTTCAGCCTGCCACAGTTTGAGATGAAGTGATGAATCTGTGTGTTTGGTTGCAGTATGTTGGGGAGAGTGAGCGAGCCGTCAGACAGGTCTTCCAAAGAGGGCGCAGCTCGGCTCCTTGTGTCATCTTCTTTGACGAGATCGATGCTCTGTGTCCCCGCCGCTCAGGCCATGAGGTGAGACAGCTGACTGTCATAACTAACACAATCTGCGATTGAACCTAGCAGGCACATCATGGATCATTCTTTCAGAGCCTGTTTTATCAGACAGAACATTGATTGATTATTGATTCCTATATTTGATCTCAGCCGCACAGTAGCTGGTCTTTCAGCTCTGTTGTGTGGTGTATCTATGATCTGTGTTTGTTCTGTGTTCAGTCTGGAGCCAGTGTGAGGGTGGTCAACCAGCTGCTCACAGAGATGGACGGCCTGGAAACTCGACGGCAGGTCTTCATTATGGCTGCAACAAACAGGCCAGGTACAGAGTCAGACCCAGCTTCAGTCAGAGCAGAGACATGCTGGATTTCATTACATCTGACATTTTCAGCTTATTTCTGGAAACCACCTCGAAGGTATAGATGAAGGAAACAAAAAATATACACTCAGAAAAACACACACAAAAGAAGTGTTAGCACCCCAAAAAGAAAGTACTCTAAGAATCCCAAACACTTTCCTCCCAGTGCTCCTCATCTCAGCTCTCCTCAGAGTTTCCTGTTGGACTATGATTCTTTGGTTAAAAACATTATTCAACTTTTCTTCCTGAAAGAACTTAAATGGGTACTCCGGCGTAAAATTAAATAAGGGTCAAACACACAGTAACACCGACTTAGACACCCCCTGGAAAGATGAATGTTGCAGACCGCTTGCTTATCTAGTTTTACCAACTTTAGTAACGACTGCAGGATAGCAATACACAGCGGTCTTAGGAGCCATAAACAAACCTCAACCAAAACACCACTATATAGCCACAAATAATGCGCAGAACTTTGCCTGATTTCTTAAGCAAAGAGCCTAAACACAACTCACTTACTCTGCTCCAGCAGCCGCTTGTTTGTAGCGAGACCTCAGGCCAGTCCATCACGGACTGCTGCGGGGTGATGCAACTCAAAGAAGAACATTTATGATCATTTCTTTATGGAAATGCAATCAGACTGAGACACTAAGGCAGAAGAACTACCGTATCTGCAGTACAAAATGATTAATATGATTATTATTACTTGAAGGAAATTATTTAAAAAATGATCATAAAATGTTTTTCCTTGAGCTGTGTCACCCCACAGCAGTCCATAATGGACTGGCCTGAGGTCTGGCTACAAACAAGTGGCTGCTGGAAGAGAGAAGGTGAGTTGTGATTAGTCTCTTTGCTAAAGAAATCTGGCAAAGCTAAAAAGATGTTTGGTGGCTAGTACTACGGCTGGGACCCTATATGTACCGTTGATGAAGTTAGGTGCTGTTCTGAGCATTATTTGTGGCTATAGAGTGGCGTTGTGGTTGAGGTTTGTTTATGGCTCCTCAGACCGCTGTGTATCGGTATCATGCAGTCGTTACTAAAGTTGGTATGATTAGAGAAGCAAGTGGTCGACAACATTTATCTCACAAGGGGGTGTCTAACTCAGTGTTAAGGTGTGTTTGACCCTAAATTAATTTTTCTCTGGAATATCCCTTTAAGTTAGAAAATTTTTAAATGCAGGACTTTTAATTGAGTTGTCATAAAGCGCTTATTGATATTTTGCATCAAGACTCCAAACTCTTCTTCTCCATCTGTGTTTTAAACACACACTGTCTCTTCCTCAGATATCATCGACCCCGCCATACTGAGGCCTGGTCGTCTCGATCAAACCTTATATGTGGGTCTGCCCCCCCCAGCAGACCGCCATGCCATCCTGCTGACCATCACAAAGGTATATTTTCGGTCTGATTGGGCTTGAAGAGTTACTTCAGGTAATAATAAAAAGCAGCATGGCAGGCTGATGCCAAAACTGTCACCAACTTTATATATTTAGAGCCAGTTAATACTTTATACTCTTTAATACGTCTGTATATCCACACACCCACAATAATGCAAAGGCTGAATGTGTGAATTTATACGTGCCAAAATATAAACAAATGTGCATGTATGTACACATCAAATGGAAACCTCTTGTGTTGACAAATGAAGCTGACGTGGAAGCGCCAAAAACTGCAGTTCCTTACATGTCCACCAGAAGCTGCAAAAGCACAAGAAACCTTTCACACAGCCTTTACAAAAAAGCCTAATAAAAATGTTTTCAGCCCGGTATGAAAACAAACTGCCCTTACTGGGTCTTATTTATCTGTAAACACTGTAAACAACATAACAAATTAATTTAGCAGTTACTAAAGTTGAAAGTTTGGCAGAGGACAAGCTTGTCATACCATTTTTAGACCAAACTGTCCTGTTTTTGTCATTTGGTTATATTCTGAAAAACTACAATAAAAATATTTTGATTAAGAAAAACCTCCTCCACAAAAACAGACGGGTGACGTGGATGGTAAGAAAGAGTAAATCAGATTCAAAAGAAGTTGATAGAAAAGAGAGAAAACTTTTTTTCTTCTTAAAAACATATGAGGAATAAAGCAGCAAAAAGCAACACAGTCACATGGAACCAAGACAACACAAATGAAAGTTCCTGTCCTTACATTATTGCTCATATTTACAGTGAAGAAAAAGACCATTTAAAAATCAGTGCCCCTGTTATCAAAACAACATTCAAGTTATTTAATTAAAATCATTCAATCACATTTTTGAAGTAGATGTTTTACTGCCGTCACTTAGTATGCTATTTTTGATTTTATTTGTCATAAATTTCACCCAATGAGCATCTCTGATCATCTTTGCTAGAAAAACAGCCTTCAGAGCCAAGCGATTCCTCTGGGGTTGGTCAAAGCATATGTTTTTTAGTCCAACGGTGAACATCCAGTCTTCCTGATATTGATTGTATAAAGAAGATTAATCATTGACTGCTTAGATTAATTGAAGACTCTTATATTGTAGGGGGGGACCAAACCTCAGCTGGAGCAGGACTTAAATCTTCAAGAGATTGCCTTTGATGAGCGCTGTGATTGCTTCACGTAAGTCCCAGACAGAAAACACCAGCTGTCCTCCAACACTGAATAAACCTGTATCCTTTCAATGCAGTTTGAAGAAGGAGCCGGCTTCAGGCTGCAGCTGTGGCAGACCTGTTTTGATTCCTGAAGCTGAAAGTACTCTTCTTACATCTTACTTTCAGTGACTCTGACTGTATTTGGGTGTAGAGAGAAAAGACCTGCTGGTCTGAACAGAATGTGATATCCACCTGTTGGTGTGTTTGCAGTGGAGCCGACCTGACTGCATTGGTGAGGGAGGCCTCTGTGAATGCCTTGAGGGCCCACATGAAGTCCCAGAATTTGTCAGCTGCTTGTTCTGGTAAGTTTTCTCCTACCTCTGCATGAAAGTATAAGAAACTAAGAAGACTCAGAAGCAGTCGCAGGAAAGTGCTGCATGTTTTCCCTTGAGATGTCTACTGTATGTGCAACTAAAAACTGTTTTCATGCAACCCAATAGATTTTCTTTCTAGAGATCTGGTGTTATTTCATGGATTATTACAATCAAAAAGTAACCATTGACATGGTTGTAATTGGGTTGTTGAATATCCTGAAATCTTAATTTGTCACAGTTAAGTTTCATCATCGTAATGAAGTCAAACAAGCTGTTTTTGTCACACCCAGTTTATAGATCAAGTCAAGTCAGCACAAGTCTTTTTAAAAGTTGATAAAAATGTGTCTGCAAGGCCAAGTCAGGGTGAAAACCAAAACAACAGAGATGATGGTTCAGTTATGTCATAGTTCAGTTCAGCTATGTTATTCACAGTGAAGAAGGTCAGACATCATATAACAACTGTCCCTGAAGATTGTTTTCCCTTTGTTGAATTTTGTTAGATATTGCATCATCACATATACAAACTATAGTGTGTACAAGGTGCAGACTGATAAACTAGGGGTTGGGATCTGTCAGTAAAGCAGGCTGTACATCAGGGGGAAGAGTAGAATGGTCTGGACTTAGGTCTGAGTCAGAGATCGAACAAGAGTCTGCAGCTGATTCAGCTCATACAAAATCCTAAAACCAGAATTTGACCCCCAGTTCAACAGAAACCACCTCCCTACGGTTTCCAGTGAATAAAGTTTATGTTTGTGTACGAGGTTCACTAGCCCGGACTGTTAGGATGCTGGGCATTAGAGAAGAGAGCTGCATATGTAAAAACAGTATTACATCTGACACATGACATGATGCTGCAGAAGCTAAGCTGGACTGTTTCTGAAGCTGAGATGACACTTGGCTGAATTCATTTGACCTCATGGGTGTAATCTCTGCCACACACAGGTCACACATTTTCCTCTGTGGCTGAAATCAGAGTAAGCAAACAGAACTTTGAAGATGCCTTCAGGAAAGTTCGTCCGTCTGTGTCCAAAAAGGTAAGACAGCGTCACATGGTGGCAGCACAGTGCTGCAGTGGTTTGCTTGGTGGTCTCCTGGTGTGATCAGCTGGGCCTTTTTTTTTTTTTAGAAGTTTGCATGGGTTCCTTTATCAGTGTAAAAGCAGGTCAGCTCCTGTGCTGCCGGTCCAAACAAAGACCCTCAACCCAAGAGAAAGGTCAAACAGAAAAGACATGCTGACCAACAACAGACATCAAATAACACAGTGATAATGGGAAAAGTCACTGAACACAGACTAAGACCTCTGTGCTGAAACACAGATGAATGTTTCAAAGTCACTCTGAATGTTGCTGGACTCAAGCTCAGTCTAGAGGGCCTTATCAGGAAAGAGATACTGGGAAAATTTGAAAGCACATTTTTAAAAACTTGAAAACCCTAGGTATCACATGATCATCATTTTAGACCTGAAACATACTGACACTTATCCACACCAAGCCAGAGGGGAGACAGTCATTTACAGATTTAATCCCCCAAAGAAGGCTTGACACTAAATACTTCAGTGTGTTTAAAGGCTTGATTTGATCATTATCAGACAGCTGTGGTGGTTTTCTGGAGTTTTCTTGTTATTTACAGATTTGAGATTAGGCTTTGAAGACCTGTGCGCTGTCTGTCTGTCTGTCTGATCACTATCCCATACCCTACCCAGGAGAACCTGTCAGACTTGTTCCACTCTAAACAGTGAAACATTAAACTATGAGCCGCTGTGCTCAATATTTGTCAGGCTTTGAGAAAAATAATGGAAGCATTCCAGTATAGCAAAAGGTAACACAGATGAGCAGCCACTATTGACTGACAGTGTTGGATTGATGGCCTCAGCGATAACCCTCACTCTGTCGTCTGAGGGGAAATGATGAGAAGGGCGGGATCTTTTTTTGAGGTGACACAGGCTCAGCTTTTATTCATGAAACCATCATTAAGCATAATTACAGTATGATGACTGTCACTGTGTGTTTTCTGTGTAGGACCAGATGATGTACCAGAAACTCAAAGAGTCTCTCAGCAGATAACTGCAAAACCAGAAGAGCAGATGTCCTGGTTCAACTTTAAGACACCGTCTTTGTTTAATAAGAAACCAACTATTATCAGATCTATGTTGATGCTATTAATACACATGATCACAGATGAGTCATTGTACAAACTGCTGTTTTATAATAAATGCGAAATGCAACCACATCCTGTTCTGTGGCAGACTGTTTCTGTTTAAGGCTGTCGCACAGTGACACCGCTCATACAAGCCACAGAGTCTGTTCTAAGTTTTGTGTATGTGTTTATGTGTCTGCAGAAGTATCACTCTTTACCCTTCAAACTCAGGTCTAACAGTGGCTGTTTTCACATAACCCCCTTGCTTACCCACATCCTTTAAGTGGTCAACCAACCAAAAGAATAAGTGATAAGTGCGGACCAAGCAAGAGGAGAGAAACAGGATTACACTTCCATTTGAACCTGCACCGTGAGGTCTTGGTTACTTACAGCAGTCCTCAGTTGTTAAATTGTTTGTTGGACTGTGTATCCTCTTTCTCCCACTTTTACCACACAAACTCCAAATTTTCATCCAGGCTGCTTGGATACTACGAAATATCAAAACTGTTTTCCTCCTTCAATGGTAACATCTGGATTTTATTTGTTGGTCTGTGAATGCATATATTTATGATTCAAAGACACTGTTACCCATTAGTTTCTCACATTTATCAAGTTTGAGCCGATCTGAGCGCAGGATTCATCGTACAATAGGACGCACGTGAGATTTATGAAAAGGTTCGTATCTGACCAATCCCAGCGTACGTATGATCGGGTCTTGATAAATCCGGCGGCTGAAATCAATCAACATGTTTACGCCCTTAAATATTCGTGGTTCAGAAGCCTCGCCCACTGAGGTCAAACATGAAAGAGAAGAAATATTACAAAGATTCGAAACTTTTCCAAGCTTAAAGTGGATATCCTCGCGTCTGTGTTGGAAACTAACAAAGATTTGTTCTTTGGAAGCATCAAAACTGGTCTAAAAGCAGTCCAGAAAACTCCTGTCTGGAGTAGGATTATGGAGGCACTGAACAGCGGTGCCGCGGAATAGTGGACAGTGGCTGAAGTTTGAATCAATCATTAGTCAATAAGTTGCTCATGATGATAAATTAATATCTCACACATGCTTCATATTTTTTTATTGCCATGACAGGGTATGTTGCTCCTATTATTTTAAGTATTTAGTTTTAATTTGTTGTGTCTTTGTAATGTAGAGCAGACTGGAGAGTCTGACAGAGGCTGAACAAAAATGGTCATTAACCTCACCAAACGGTGTGTTGCTGCCCCTGAGGCACATTTTTATGGATTTCTATTGGATTTTATCCCTGATTAAATAGCAAGAGCACTTTCTAAACGTATATTTTACATGTCAGAATCCATGGATAAGGTCCTGTCTCCTCTGTACAGCACCTTTGTGGAGTCTTTCCTCGTTATTGTTCTCCGGGCATCGGGTCCTCACGTTGCATCGGCACAGCCAACGGCACTCCATTTGCCAGTGTAACATTGTGCAAAACTATACTGGCCCAAATGATGTCCCACACCCTTTCGGGAGGGTACAACAACGTCCCCGCTGTTGGGCCAAGACAGAGACACCTGCCTTTAAGGAGTCAAACGCAGCGTTCCACAATGGCGCGTGTGCGCAATGTTAAAACGGCGCTCCTGCTCTGTGGTAGTGTTTCTGGGCAAAGTTATCGAATAGGCCTATTCACTAAGGACATAACTTTATTTATTTTATTTACGTCTTTATCTTAAATTAAATCTGTCTGATTGTGCTTAATGACAGGTTTGAGGTTTGTTTATCAATTATTTGAGACAGATATTTGCTGCACCGCAGATCCACACTGATTCAAACTTATGTACACGATGTCAGACCTGTCGAGATTTGGTGGTAGCGGACGCTCACGTGCAGATTGATAAATGCCGATCCTCACGTCAAATTTTTCGTACGCAAGGTGTACGCAAGTTTTCTGCCGTACGCAAGCTTGATAAATGAGGGCCAATGACTTCCAAGAACATCACAGTAATCGCGGAGGCATTTAAGTGAAATCACAGCCAGCCTGTTGACATGTGTTGGACCCATAGACTGTATATAAGATGGACAGAGTCTGCCTCGTCGCTGGGTGAAGCCACTCCGAGAACAGCACCCTCTGATGGTGGGCTGCAGTACAGGTCATAAATCCCGCCTCCGCCAGCAAAGCTTATGGGACTGTGGACAAACTTTAGAAATTTATTACACAGAACATACATTTTTCTCCCCCCTGGTTGTGATGTTGACATGTAGTTACAGTAAGACTGGTTTGTACCACAGTTTTCTCTCAACATAAGATTAATATCAGTAAGTTTTTTTTCCACTACCAGACCAGTTTTTTTGGGCATCCTTAAGTTCTGAGGCCAGTGGGTGGCAGTGTATGAGATAATCAGGGTCCCGAGGGCTTACTTTATGTGCAACTACACTATTAAAAGATGTCTTCACGTACTGTCCCACCATACAAGAACTTCTCTCATGAAAACTTTGAGACAAACTTGTTTTTAAATAAGACCACATGAAACCTCCATGATTACAGTTGAGTTTATTTTGAGCACCTCCGACAGAAAACATGTTCAACATCGTCTCAAAACTTGGACTAATTTGCCCAGAGGTGATCATCTTTTTTTAGTCTTTTCTGATATTAGCTCCAAAGTGATCCAAATAAATAGGTTTTGGAAAAAGGACATTTTTTGGCATTTAGTTTTTCACAAATGTGAATAAATTCATAAAATTCTAATTAAGACTACAAACATGGAATTGAAAGGAAAGGAGCTGAGGCACTCATGGGCTTGAAACTTCCCTCTCACATACACCAAAATCCTAAACCAGCTAAATTTAAGTTTACCAGTGGTTGCCTGTGCAAGTTAGCATGACAGCTGTAAATATCACTTGAATTCAGCACATTAAAAAGTAGAGAAGTGAAGACTGGTAACCAAGTGTCACAGGCTAAAAAGGGTTTACCTCTTCATTACATAGTGAGCCTCTCCATTAAATCAAAAACCAGACAGAATCACACTCAGTTTATAGGGGTGGATGTTAAATTACTCAGGTCACTTTCGGTCTTCTCAGAAACACGCACACACGCACGCACAAACACAAAGTGATGCTGTATGGCAAATTTGCTGTGTTGACCTTAAACTGCAAAGCACAAATGGAAGGGGTTCATTCAGCCTAACTCTGGAGTAGACTACAGTGAGATTGTGTAGTCCAGTTCCTGGACTTGGTGGTGGACAGTTCGGCTGGTTAGCTTGTGAAATTCTAGGACTGATTGGACAAACACATGTTCTTATGAACAATTCTGATTGGTGACACTTTCGTTAGTCTGTTTCATATCAGCAGTCAAAGTTCATTTGAAGACTGTCTTGTTTCAACATTTGCCGAATGGTTAAGCAGGTGACTGTGGGACCCATGTCTATGGTTTCATATGGCCGGTAAGCCAAAGTGATTGTAAAACCAGTCCTGGATACTGCCCATAATTACACTCAAAAATCTCTGGTGCTGAACATCCATCACCTGGTCAAGCACTCGACCAAACCCCCCCAAATGTACACAATCTCCAGCCTTATTTCACATGCTAAGTGTATTATTATGCAGAAGCTATTAAGTCTCTAGGATAGTGAGCAGGGCTGCTGTCATGGTGGATGCTGCAGCTTGGTTCCAGAGAAGCCATGCTGAAGTTACTCCTGTTTGACATCTCCCCTCAGCTTTCTCTTGACCCGGGAGTATGGGCTCAGTGCATCGTCCATGATAAAGTCATACAGGACCTTCATCCATGATGTGTACTGAGGCAGATCATCATAATACTCTGCGGCTATTTTCTTCACCTGTGAACAATAAAAGGTAAAAAAGGTTATTCCCACATGTTTGAAACAGATCATCCTGAAGTAGCTGCCAATCTTTTAGCTCTGCAAGTGATCACTGACTGGTTCAAGATGCACTGAACTAAAAACTGCACTGTGGTCTGGCAAATTATGATTTGACACTCTTTTTGGAAATTATGGATTCTGGGTCTGCTGCTGTACAGACTGTTGCTGGCATCAGATTTTATGAGCATACACAGTATTTTTTTTTATCAAACAATCTAACCTGTTTTATAAATGTTTACACAGTCTCCTTATGTTGATAGAGTTGTTGGACTTGAACATGCAGTAAATGGACTTAAGTATCCAAGTTTGAGCCCTTTTACAGCTTAACACACCAGTAGATTATTTTATGGTCTTGCTTCTCAATGTTTAGTTTTTCTTTCGTGCTGGGCCATATCTTTACTGCTGATAGTTGTCTCTGTCATTATGACAGGGGTGATGAGGTGAGATCCATGATCCTCTGGGGCTGTCTAAGCACTGGTGGGGCAGAAAGGCCACTACGGGCATGACAGAGCATGACCCTGGCTGCAGCAATGTTCACTTGTTTCACAGTGCTTAAGCTCTGAAGCACAATCACACAACAATAACGTCTAATCTCTCCTTTAGGGCAGTTCATATTCCACCCTACAACTTACACTGCGCCCATCCACCCTCTAACTTAATTAGCAACCTCTCCTTCTCGCTGGCTTGGCACGTTTAATTTGAACATGTTTTCTGAAAACCAAATCCATCCATCCCATGTGCGTGTTTGTGTGTGTGTTTGAGAGTAATAATACTCTCCACTGTTATGTACCATGGGCAGCCTACGTCCTGGGATGCTGGGGAAATCGTGGTGCTCATTGTGGTACCCAACGTTGAAGGTGAGCAGGTTTAAGGAACCATAGTAGGAGTAGGTCTCGTGGCCCTTAAGGAACATGTAATGCTCAGCTATGAAGTGACCCGAGATGGGGTGCAAGCCCATTCCCAGCATGGACCCGGCCAACATGTAGAACAGAGGCTTAGCCCCTCCCAGCCAGTACAGCAGGATGTCAAAGGTGAGCTGACAGGCTACATTGGTCACCTCCAGCTGCGTGATGGGTTTGGGATTAATGCAGAGAGGTCGGATGGCATAGAACAGTGGCTGCAAGATAATCCAAATGAATTTGCGGAAGCGTGTGCAGAAGAACCAGCCTTCAAACTCAGTGGGGATGTCCACGTCCACCCCATCTCCACCCAGGTAGCGGTGATGGTCCAAGTGATAGCGTTTGAAAGAGGCAGAGTAGGGCAGGCCGATGGGCAGGTTGGCAAACATGGCAAAGTAGCGATTCCACATGGCTTTGTTGTTCCCAAACGCTGTATTGTGGGAGATCTCGTGAATAGCAAGGGTCATTGAGTGGTTGATACAGCTGCCAAAGGCATAAGTCCAAAACAAAACCCATTTCCAGTCCAAGTCCTTGACCAGGTAAAAAGCTAAAAACTGTATAGCCACCATCATGCATACAATCCACTTCAGCCTTTGGTCAGGACCCATCAATGACTTGATTTCTGGGTATTTGGCTGTGAAGAGAAGAACAGGACACCTCAGTTTATCTGGGAGACACTTTGCACATAATCATCGGATTTAATGCTGAAAAAGTTGATTTACACAGAAGAATTCCTCCTTCAGTGTGTAAAAAGGAAAGTAACAGAGAAGAGAAACCTTGAATTCATCAACACTATTGTGGCTGAATCCATGTTCACAAGACAGACTGATGAGGCCAAAACAAGTATTTCAATGTAGTCAGGCTAAATACTAAGTCAAGTATCATATACCTTTATTTTAGCATTCCAGACATTTTAAGGACATTTCCCTGTGATGTTGTTGAATGTGAATGAAATAAGTCGCAGTTTGGTTCACTTCCTGTTAACAAACAGGAAGTGCACCAAACACAGGAGCTTCTTACAAAATATGCAGTCTGAGGCTCACAAGTGCAAAAGATATTGGTGTCATCAGAGGAAAATTATGACAGGGGTCCTTGTGGGGTCTGAGAAATTTTCCCGCTCCCCCAAAAGCCACCGTACTTGTTATCCTACCAACAGCTAACTAATGAATATCAGTAAAATGTGCATTTATCAGTGTGTGGTGCCACTTTGTCATCAATTATTATTCACACTGATATTAGTTACATCTATTTGTCAAGACCAGAGTAGGGATGCACGATATTTATCGGACCGATAAAATATCGGCCGATTTGGGGGAAAATTACGTCATTTTTTATCGGTCCGATAGGTGCATTTTTCCGATAGAAAGATCCGATATATTAATGAAATTACGAGTAACGTTTGCAGGCGGAGTAGCCGCCCGTCCGAGACACGCTGGATACGTCATCTATCGCGCCTTACTCGCAGGTCCCAAGCCTGACCCCGTCACTACCTGACAGATAATAAAATGTCTTCACCAGCATTGTCGTTTCTCTCAGTGGCAGAAGATGACAACAGCATTGCTATATGCAAAACCTGTTCAGCGAGGATTCCGAGAGGAGGAAAGAAGACGTCAAGTTTTAACACAACGAATCTGATAGCTCATCTGAAAAGTTGCCATCGCGGCGAAGCGGTATTAAAAGACTATGAGGCAGCCGCCGAAGCTGCTAGCGGTACTAAAGCTAAGACAACAACACTACGGAGGATCGATGTCCCCATTCAGCAGGCGTTTCAAAACTGCAAAAGCTTCTCAAGAGACAGCGAAAAGGCTAAAGCCATTAACGACAAAGTGATGGAGTTCAAAGCGGTCGACGACCAGCCTTTTTCCGTCGTTGAGAACCCGGGTTTACGTAAGTTAATAGCACACTTTGAGCCACGTTACACTCTCCCAAGCCGCCGCTTCTTCTCGGATGTGTCTCTTCCTGCACTCTATGATATTGTCGCCACATACATTCACAACCTGATCGACAAGAACGGACTACACGTGAGTTTTACCACAGACATATGGACGTCAGATGTTAGTCCGGTCAGCATGCTAAGCCTAACGTCTCATAATAGCTCCTTTACAGTCTACAGTTCTGTTGAACAGTTCAGGGGATCAAATGAAGCTCTGCTTTTTGCTCTGTTATTGTTATTTATAGCAAATGACCACATTTGAAGAGCCAAAAATTTTTTTTTGTTGTTCTAGATAGGCCAGAGCAACAAAAACATCAGTTTTCAATCGCTGCATCCTGCTCAAATTGCAGATTATATGAAGATTATAATAAATGTAAAAATATGAATTTATCGGTTATCGGTATCGGCCATGAGAAGAAGAAAATTATCGGTTATCGGTATCGGTTGAAATTTTTCATATCGTGCATCACTAGACCAGAGGTTCACCTATTGATGGATATGATTATAAAAGAGCTAAACCTCAGCACTAAGCAAGGGATTCAAAATGTTCACCTGCGTACTTTGAAATATCATACAAGAGTGAATCATGATATTTGAAGGACAGAAAATTAGAAAACTCTTTGCAGTCACAACTGTGGTTCACTGAGGCGACAAAGAAGACTGGCAGTCAGTTAAACAGACTGTACATAATAAACAAATGAAACAGACACTGATAGAAGTTATTTGTTGGGGAGAATGCAGCTGGAGATAATGAGGTGGTGAAATCCCCTCTATACTCCTTTCACTTATTGAGTAAAAAAACTATTATATGAACCTCAGAATGTGCTGTTGATGCATGAAAGATAATGCACTGTTGTTTTTTTAAGCTTGATTTTTACTCAACACTTCGGCCAAACATTGCGTGGCACAAAAGAATACTGAAATTCTTCAGTTTTCTGTGGGAGCAGTCAATGTTTTTGAAATTTCTATCAAACGATCACTCAAGTTAAATCATTAAAGTTCTTTAAAAGACAGAGGATTTCATCAGCCAGTTTTACAATCAGCAGGTCAGACCTTGATAAAATGAGATTCCGTAATCAGTGTGTTTCCAGTAGCTATAGGGTCACACTCTAGTATCTTATCAGTGAAAGTAATGAGATCAATTGAAACCAAATCCAAACTCCCACCCTGATATGGTTTTATATTACAATGTAATAGGTCATGTTAGACTGTGAGATTAGGCACACTAAATATACTTTAAGCATTTCCCAAGTTCATTTAAAACTTATTCTTTCTATCCAGAATATCAGTCCATATTGGTGACCAGTTTTAACAATGCGTGTGCAGTTTGTAAATCTGTTGTTTCACAGTGTTTGCTGACAGATGATATGGCTCTGATTGTTCTGGCTGGAGAAGGCATGAGGACACAGGAATGTTATGTAGTAAATCCTCTTATCACATCTTTCTTATCATAATCACTGAAAGCATGACATACACAGCACAGTCAACACGGGAGGGCATCTCAGTTCAGTTAGACCTTCAAAGCAGCCATGATCCTTCCATGTAACTGGCAGCCAGACAATTTTAAGGTTAAAAATGGTAGTTGGATTGTCCACTAGCGGCGTAACACACCATAGATCGCCCTTGGAGTTTGGAGCAAGTGACAGAAGTTCCATTAAGATGATTTAAAATAACTGTACTCCAGACAAAGACCTCAACATGTAACATGTGCAGGAGCCACAACCGTGGTGTTTGGTCACACGTGTCTTGCTCTTAGTTTTACACAGAAGTGTGTCATGAAGTGCTGCTACTTCGCTTTGTATGACTACTCCGTATCTAACGGAAATCTTGGTGGTGGTTGTGCACGACAACTATCAGTTGGCAAAAAGTTTGATGCTGTTTGTTTTCAGCAGTTTTCAGAAAACTATATGCATATTTTTCTCCTGCCTCGCAGCGGAAGGCCAGGAACAATCCGTCCTGGTCAATGGAAGTGGTGGAACAATGACAATATCTTGGGTAGGCCTGTCGCGATAATCAATAAATCGCCTTATCGCTCGATAAATAAAAACGAGGTCGATAACTTTGCCAGCCTCGATAATTGACGTGCGTTTGTTTTCCTCCTCTCTCGCTACCAAACACGCTGGATGAGAGAAGAGGTCTCACTCTGCGCATTTTTGTCGACACCTGGGTGCGTTGGCTCTATAGCGGAATGAACGCAGTGAGTGAACCCTCCTGTCAGTCATTCAGTCTCTTTGTCACAGGGACGGGGGGGGACTGGCGCGCACAGGCACACACGCAGACTTACTGACACAGCGCGGAGCAAACGCAATGAATGATGAAACGACAGCTTTGGTGTTTAAGCCCAACGCAACAGCCCCAGTGTGGGAACATTTCGGTTTCAAATAAAATGAAAGAGGTGAGCCCACGAACACGGACGATATGTCGCATTTGTTCGAAAGTTTTGGTGACAAAGAAGGGGACTACGACGAACATGCATGCGCACCTCAAGCACAATCATCCGCGGGGATGATTCTGATTGAGGTGCGCATGCATGTTCTTTGTTGACCTGTTGAGGAATAGCGCACAAAGCTAATTATTTAGTGCAATTTTGTTTACAGACTCGAGACTCCACTTTATTTATTGTTTTAATAGTTATGTGTGGAGTGAAGTTTTTGTTCCGTACCAGAGACAAGGTCTATTTTTTTATTGTTTGTAGTTGTGATTGTGGTTTTTAATTGAATGCAGTTTTTTATTAAACAGAATGTGGGTCCATTTTATTTTCATTGTTTTTTGGTTTTCTTGTTTGTTTATTATATTTGTTCATCCTAGTTCAAAGTTCTTAATCTTGAGCAATTAAAGTTTATTGCTTTTGACATGGTGTACTCACATTATTATGCCATATATTATCATTATCTATAATTTAAAAAACGGTGTCAATAATATCGTTTATCGGCAATAATTTGTAGCACAATTATCGTCCAGCAAAATTTGTTATCGTGACAGGCCTAATCTTGGGTTTAATTTATGACTGAAATTTGACTTTTAAAAAGATCATGTTAAGAAAATCTCTGACATCTTAAAGTTCAATGTGGCAATATAAGTCATATAAGACCGTCATAAACGACCTTTTCTCACTAATGATTTACTCTCATATAACGTACTGTTATACAACCTGATCACATAAAACAGCAAGTACAAACCTATCATATCGCTCTTCAAGAAGACGGTCAAAATCCAAGACAGGAAACTATTCCATTTCCATTATTGTAATATCATTAATGAGTATAGTATTTTAAACTTTGACTCAGTTTGTCCTTTTTAAACATTTTTAATGGGCTTGCCCCCCTACCATTAAATGATTCAGAAAAAGGACGACAGGATAAATACAAGAGAATGAACTAGAGCAGCCAACAGAGGCATAGAACAGAGTTCAGTCAGATGCTGGTGTCTATCAGAGGTGCAAATTCATGAAACACATAACGGGCACAAATCAGAGTCAGTAATAACTGTGTAACATTTAAATAAAGTTTAAATAAAGTTGAATTCAATCTAATCTAAAAAGAAACTTAAACACAGTCCGAAAACAAACCAGCCCTGTCATTATTTATAATGTGCGCCTCCTCTGCCACTGCTTACTGCTGAGGGCTTTGGTGTGTCCTACTTTTAAATAGCTTTCCGTTTGTGAGTTATTTGTTGTGTAAAAATTGTGTCCATCTTATTTGTCAAACTTTGTGTTTTTGTTGACTGTCTTGTGAATTGTGCTGTGAAGTTTTCGGTTACTTTAAATCTGTTTTCTGCTTTTTGTAAGAACAACTGATGAAAATTAACTAATGTGCTAATTCTGGCATATTCATGTTGAAGTGTACTAAGGAAATGTTGACTGATGTGCACTTTCCTGTTTTAAAAAATAAACAAACATACATGTCTGCTGAATGAACAAAATGCACATTATGTGGTAAAAAAAAACCCGAGTAAGGTAAAAACCCTTTTTGTAGAGTAAAGAAATCCCGTTTGACAAAGATTTTTGTTTCATGTTTGTTAATATACTTAGACGGATAACAAACTATTGAAATACTGGAGCTTTTTATGTTGTAGTAGGCCAGTAGAATATGTGAAGAACATGTAATGTGCAGCCAGTTGCAATCAAAATGTGAAGAATAAACAGAGTCTAGATTTAACAAAACTGTTTCTTTGTGTATCTGGTATTCCTTTTTAACATCTGAAAAGGAATCTGGAAAAGTGCATTCAGGTTTATCTGTCTGTGTGCAATTGTTGGTATTATTATTTGGGTATTCCTAATTAAGTGAGGAAATTTAAAGTTGTAATACATTATTGGAACAAATGAAGATATGTTGAGCCTTGAAATGCACAGCTGCAGCTATGGCCATGAGGAGAAAAGTTATGTTACAAATATGATTTTTAGACCACTACAAAAAAATTCACTAAACTGTGGCACAAGCCACAGCATGCTGGTTTCATTATAAAAAATATGAGCGTCATTAATTATGCCATGAATACTGATAATCAGTCACTCACCCAGGGCAGTTGATTATCTGTCCTTTTTCAGGATACTGCTGACAGCAGTAAATAGTAAGTGCTTTTGCAGTCCTCAACCACTCCAACTGATTTCTTACTCAATGTCACATCCAGCTACTCAGACTTTGATAGCAGAGGAAGCCGATAAAAGTGCCCACCAGTATTAACTAATCCTGGGGATACACCACGGGCTGTGCCACCTGGGAAGAGTTTGGGGTTTGGTGTCTTGCTTAAAGACAGTTTGACATGTGGTCTGCAAAGCTCTTATCATACTACCCACATACCCAATGGGAGACAGCTTACTCAACCGCCAAGCCACAGCTGCCCATGTTTGAGAACATATGTTATACATATTTATCGTGGTCCTGTAAACACTGTTAAATATTGTGCTCTTTTTGAACCTTTAATAACCACAATTCTGCCCTCTATTGTGTTTGACAAAAGCAAACAAACTCCCTGTTGTGCAGAGTAACAATGCCTGAGAGTCTCCTGATGCAGCTGCCTTCAGTTAGCACTAAGGTGAATAATTTAGCCCAGTAGACTGCTCTGCTGTGAATGAGTGTCTCTGTCCATGGATTTGGTTTCACTCTAACCACAATGGCAGTACTAAGTGTTGACCAATTAACTGGAGTGCATGTTCAGTCAAAGTCAAAAGACTGGAGTGGTTCGAAAGCTTTGTAGAAAACATCAAACACCAAGTCCTGGTCCCAAATCACTGAGTGAGACCACCTAACTGTCAGTAAAGAGCACTTGGACACACAGGCTGCCTTTTGTGCCTCCCAGAAGAAAGAAGAAATCCCTCTAGTCAACATCACCTCTCTGTTTTTCGTTGACATGTCTCTTTTCTAATTAATTGATTGTAAATGTTCAACAACTTTTGTCTTTTTTGTATGAACATTTATCTCATCTGTTTCTAAGATTTTGGGTAATATGAGACTAAAATGATGATTTCTGTGAATCTTAAGAAAGTTGATTAATCGGCTGTAATTTGGAAAAGCAATAAGAACCTTGGATCGACATGAATGTCAATGATCTAAGTGAGAATTTCAGGTTGTGTAAGAAGGATTTGGGCTTTTCTTTGGCGTCATGTGATTTTGCTCGGTAGCTTGTTAAAATGTGCCTTTTAAGGCTTCATCTCTTGTCAGGAACATTTAGAAAGAAACTCAAAGTTGAGTGATATGGAGTTTTCTGGGTGTATGTGGAGCGTCCTCTTGTTAAACCGTTACAGCTTTACCGTCAGGGAGCTCAACGGTCACTTGTAACCATTTTCAGGGAGTGGCGACAGGACCAGTGTTAACTAACTGCTGTTATACTGACGCTACTGTTTCTGTGGTACATTTAACTGCCGAGCTGGGACTAGTTACGACACATATGACATTAGGCAACGAGGATTCCTGAAGGACTTGACATACAAAGTAAGCAGTTTCAAAACAAACATCCCTCGTCGTTTAACATAACCCCAGTCTATCAGCTAGTACTTACACGTAGCAGCAAATACATGATAAGGAACCGTTAGCTTCACTTTCGTGAGGCTGGCAAACAAGCCAGGAACTACAACAGGCAGCTTAAATGCGCCATGACACCTTTAACCAACTCCAATCATCGATATGGCCACACAACTTCACTTTGATGGTTACCTAGAACTTAACGATGGCTTTATCCAAACTTGCTAACAGATAAGCTAGCTCACCCAGGATCTCCTTTCTTCTGTCGGCATGCGGCTGGTCCGTATACACCCATTCGTAGTCTTCACGGGCGACCCGGTTCCCCATCTTTTGGATTGCACTTTTTCAGCTTTCTTCAACAAAGAATCAATGAACAAATGTGCCAATATCCTGCCCGAGATATCTTCTGTCGCTCCACTCCTCTCAGCTTGCCTGGCTAAATTACCCAAACTTCAGGCTGCTTTGCCCGCTGTCGGCGGCTCCTCCCACCGGCAGGCCCCTCCCAGCACCATTAGCTCACTTACATAACAGCGCTGATCTCCAGCACACCGGCCAGGGGCGTGACTGAGCTCCTTTGACTGGGGTGGACCAGCCAATTACTCACTAAGGAGCCACTTTACATACAATGGACAGTGTCATACATGGTATACAAAGAAGAAGTGGGAAAGGATGGGCAATTTTAACATTTCTGAGAATGGAGGGAGAAGAATATGTCAAACACAGTAGAGCTTAACTGGCTGTGCCACATGGTAAGAATTTAATTATCATTTTATTACAGCCCTGCAAAAACACACCAGGGAGATCACTACAGCTCCAGGAGTCTATTTGGGTTACATCACACCAACCGCTACCATGTTTCCTGGAGTTGTCCAGTAATTGTTCCTCATGAGAAGGAAATACATCTTAATGTAATGGATGGAGTGAACATCCCGTTTGTATGCAGCACAGTAGATATGGTTGATATTTGAATTGATAGGTGGAATGTAAATGATGAGAAACTGGTGCATGTTCCTCTGATTGCAAGCAAAAACACTGTCAGGAAAAGGCTGAAATCTGACCCACCCACAAGTGATGATGGATAAGAGTAATTTACAAAATGTATGTTTGGAAAGACTGTCCAAAAAGAAAGATTTTACCCGATTAGGACCAAGTAGATCGATTATGTTAAACCGATAAGGCCAGACTTGTTTTAACTTATCAGAGTAACTAAGTGATAATGCAGTCTCGGCTTGAATCCAAAAGTTTTCTCTTTCTTTACTTTAAGTGATGTTTTCTTTTCACCTCTTAGATGGAGGCTTCCAATGTTCATAATTCAAGCTGAGGTTATTTAAAAAAGAAAAATTTAACAGTTGAATTAAGTTAAATTCTATTAAGCTAAGTTTAATTGAATGTAATTAAGTTAAGGAGTTACATTGAAATAAACTGAGTAGAGTGGAATGAAATTAATTTGAATTCAACTGAATTTAATTGAGTGAAATTTATCTAAATTGATTTAAACCGGGGTAAACTGAGTTGAGTTGAACTGGACAGCACTGAACTCTTTGCTCACTGGCTGCTGCCTCCCACACCTTTTACATAGACACACTACCACACATACATCAGCTGTACTCATTTGTGCGTTTTTGCATATCCAAATAGAGTTTTGCGTGTTAGTTAGCCCCCTTTAAACAGAAAATGTTACTATAATTTTAAAGTGGTTTTAATATATTTACATTATCATTTTTATTTCTACCAGGATCTGAGATCTTAATTTTAAAAGTCAATTTACCTTGACTTCCTTAATACATCATTGTCACAACATACTTTCAGCGGTTTGCTTTTTTTAATTATGAAAAACAGAATAAGATGCAACCTGTATATCCATCCTGTTTTATATATTTGATTGATCATAGCTGCAACACATACAACTTTGTATCTTAGTGTCTGAATTTCACCCTAGCCTCTACATGTATCTCACTTTTCACTAGTACAAGTGTGTTATACATGTGCTCATTACTCTGCAAACAACTGCTGTTGTACCTTTGATTGGGTGTTTAACTCTATTATGTTGTTTCAGTACTTGTATCTTTTACAATGAGAAAAAAGTTTAATCTAATGAAAACAATGTAAAGACCTCTGTAAGCTCATTCAGGTGTTCAACACGGCATTGGTGTACTCAGTGGTAGCTATAGCCTTTGGTGGACAAATATTTAACTACTGCTGGGTAAACCCTGACATACATACCTACAGAGATTTACCAGTATAGGGCTTATGGGCACCCTTTCAAAGTCCATGCAGCGCATAGAAATGCATTTCAAAAGCAACCATTGCATTAATGTTAAGGTGTTTATAATATACTAAATGGCAGACAAATGGCTGTGCAGCTAATGATTTATGTTTCTGTTCTTTTATGTCTTTTCTTGGTGTGTGACTGCTGCCGCATCGGGACCAAACAAGGAAACATTTCCTGTTTTGTTCAACAGGAACTTCAGAGAACAAGGAGTGATAGCATTATAATGGATATGAGCTCGAACACCAGGGTTTATCCACTGCCGCTGTTCCTGAATCACTGACTGGGAGGGTACAGTTCAGGAAAAAGGCTTAAATGCTGATAGCTGAAACCCTAACCCTCCCACAGCAGCTAGTGCCAGCAGTTTTCTCAAGACACTCCATCAAATGATTTTGTGCAATCTGATTTACAATCTGAAATTGTATCAGTCTTTCATTGCTTTGGAGGCCTTTTTCACAAAGATGAAATTATTACCCAACTGTCATGTGTCAAACTGAGCTTTTTTTTTTTACTGTAAGTCTGTGTTACAGGCTGAGTTCATGTAGATAATGTGATGTTACTATTCACCAGGTGAGAGGGCTCTTGACTTACTATGTTATTACAATTATGGGATGTCAAAAAAGTGTGGCTAAGTTAAGTCAAACTTTATTCATTTTAATATTTACATTTGTAACAGTAATGTGTGCAACAAAACCATACAGCTAGCTCCAAGTTGGCCAACCCAAAAGTTTTCTTTATACACACATGAAATAATTCACAATCTACACTTAAAAGTACATGGATATTACAGTACAGTTTTCTAAACTGAGACGCAGTCTCATATTAAGCCACTAGATACATCTTTTTGTGTTTATCTGACCAGTGTCAGCATAATACACGCTGAGTGTTCACCAAGATGTGAACTGCATATCCAAAGTTCATGCCGTAAGTGGTTCAGTTCATCCAAACAACAGAAAGCTTCAAACAAAGAAAAGGGCAGCCACAATATGGGCTCACAGCTAACCTAGCCTCACAAGGCAAGACACAAGTTTGAACAGGAGAAAAAAATAAGAGATTTGCTGCGCAGGGAGGAAGGGAGGGGTGCTGCTTTTCAACAACAGCTGTACAAACATATCTCACTCAGAGCCACTCTGTTGAGCACAAATTTACAACTTTGCAGCACTCCTCTAATGTCACTGCAAACCGTCTATTAGTTCTGGTACTTTATGCTTTTCTGGGTTTGATTCTTCACTTCAGTTTCAGGAGTCATGTACATCATAAAATAAGGGACATGGTGTATCTCCACACTGTACCCTGGGCTGCAGTGAGGCTCAGTGTAATTCACTGTCCTTGTTTTGAGGTGGAGACAGGAGCCACAGAAATAAAACAATGAAAATATCTTCATGACACTGAAGATTTAAAGAGGAAACATGGGAATAGCACAGTCAGACATGTGAAATGCAGAAGAATAACTAATAATGATTTTTCTTTCTCCAACTGATAAGTTAGGGAAAAAAAAGCTGAAACACTGCAAGACTAGACCATGTCAACACTTCCACCTCCACCATGAGCTCATTGGGTTTCCAATAACTTCAAAACAGACGAGTTTTGATTTAAAAGGTGGTTGGGTGCAGTGGAACACTCTAGAAATGATCTTGAGACAGACAGGAAGAGTTAGTTCAAAGAAGGAGAAGGAGCTTTCAATTAAATTAAATTAAGACGCCAATCTCGGTATTTTGTAAAAAGTTCAGTTGAAATGGGCTGTATATTGTGGAGGAAGTGTGTAAAACACTGGATTAATGGAGCAGTGACGTAGTTTCTCTGCCATCTCTGGCAAGTGACATGAAGTATTAATCTTGAAAGACAGCCATAGAACAGCACAAGCATTCAGTCATACCAGAGCTAAAAACAGCCTTTTATCCAGTGATTTTTTTCCATCCAGCACAGCTGTGGGTCCCATCATCACTGTGTCTCTAATGATCAGAAGACAGTGTTAGTCAGTGATCACATGGGAATAAAAATCCCATCACAAATAACCTTCCTCTCCTTGCTTCTCTCTCTGGAAAGGAAACAACAGACAGGTGACTATCTTATGTTACCTGAACATCTGATTCTTCTACAAATGTGAGCCAAGGACAGATTGCATCCAGTTTAACTGACCTCAACAGCACTTTTGGTTGTTTTCTCACATGATTTTATTGCACTTAACTGAAGTGAACAAAGGAATGCTCATCATTTTAATCTGAGGGAAAGTAGATCACAGTTTCGCAGTAATGTGTAACTTCAACTGTGTTAGATTATTTGGATTTAAAATTAAAGGCCTGTAATCCCCCTGGTTGAAACGGATGGTATTTTCACTGCGTAGCTCTGTAGATGTTTATACATTTCTGAAACAAAATCTGTATCACTAAGACATACTGTACAGTGTGATGTCTTTGAATCTTGTTTTTGGACAAACTAACTCACATCTGTCTCTTTGACAGGCATCAATATTAAAAAGCTGTTTTAATGTCACCTTCAATAAAAAGTCATTTTAACTGCAAATGGTAAACCATCTGCCTATTATCGGATCGGATTGATTGGCCAAGAAGCCATTCAAGCATCAGTCTGGCAATTAACTGTTTTCCTTCTATTCAACAATCCCATGTAAGGAAACAGTCATACATAAGCAATCATTGTATGTGTAATCCAAATGCTCATTCACTGTTTTCCCTCTGAACTCCATCACCCCAAAAATCACAACACAAATCACATGAGCTCTGTTTTCCTAAAGTGACAGTGAAGTGTTTGACTGCAGCCTGAAAACCTGTTGAAAAAGAAGCAGTGACTGCAGCAGTAAACGTGCTTTATCTGCAGCTGAATATTGCCAAACACAAATGTGTGGTTTCCTTTAGATATTAGGTGATAGAGGGGATTACTTAAGCTTTCTTTTACTTGAACTATCAGCTATAAGATTTATAAAACAAAGGTTTCGTGTCTGGTAAGACTCAATGGTCTTGGGGCTGACAGCCTGAGACATGATAGAGGAAACAGGCCTGAAATATGTCAAGAGACTGACTCAAAGTTTAGTTGGTTTTGTGGGACTTGTTGGCAACAGAAACTATTTTATGATAACACCAGATTTAAACAGACCTCAACAAGTCAGTGACAAACAGCTGTTTTCCCAGTCAATGTTGTGCCAAGTCCTGATGACATTTGGGCTCAGTTTTTTGTCCATGGAGAGCAGCAAGTCCATTCACCATCGTGTGTGTGTGTGTGTGTGCGCGCGGTTGGTGGGGGTTGTGGGATTTTCTGGCTTTAAACCAAAAACAAAAATGTGACCAAAGACACTCTGAGTCTCTTATTTCTTGCTGCGCAGCCGTTTGGACTGCCGTGGAAGGTCTGAGCTCTTTCTGGTGCGTTTGAGTGATGTTCCCCCCTCACTCTCTGGCTCTCTGGGTAGAGATGCTGCAGCCGTGTTACTGTTTGCCAACATAGTACCAGACGTGCTGGCAGCAGTAGGAGAAACAGCAACATTGCTGGATGTGGGGACAGCCGTACTCGGTCTGGGTCCTCCAATAGTAGCAGCACTGCTGTCCATCAGTTCACGGAGCTTGTGCTCCAGCTCTGCAAGTCGGGCGTTTTGCTCACCAATCACCTGGGTCTGTTCCAGAAGCTTCTGCTCCTGGTCCTGCAGCTGCTTCTGCTGCTCCAGCTGCTTGACGCGGATTTCCTGTATCTCCCTCCGCAGAACTGTCATTGAAGCCCCATTCACCTTAACCTGCTGTTGCACCTTAGCCATCTCAGACCGTGACGGTGTGTTCTTGGCCAGCAGAGACATGGTGGTCAGGGAAGTAGAAGGACCCGCCACTGTAGGATCAGACGAGAGTTACAGGTCCTAAGGTTGTAGTACTGTATACACAATGACTCTCAGTGAACATTAGAGGTGGATGTCTGCCCACAGACAAACCACTGCAAAATGTATTTCACAATGGCAACGACAAACATGATTCTGATGTTATACATTTGTTTTCAAGTTCACATTTTCCAGTTCAAAAAGGCTCTGTCTGACCACAGAACACCAGGAGGTGTTTAATACTGAATTGTAAGATATAGAGTCAAGTTTGTGCGTGGAAGCTTAACAATTTTGCTTCTAATAGTGAACATAAGAGACTCTGTGTGGTAGAATGAATCAGCACACAAACAGAGCAGAAGTACCGGAGAAAAAATACTGGTTTGAACTCACATGATACCCACTTTCTCCCCCTGTTACACAAACGTATGTTTCCATATTTGGGCCCTTACCTGGTCTTTAAGATCAAAGTACGCCTGAAGTGCTGACCCCCTCAGTTCTCTTTTTATATCACCCAGAGGATGCTCACATCCATCGGTGTTCATGTACACTGTTTTTCGTTTTTTTGTTTCTTATGTATTGGTTTTGAGACTAAAATGGTCAGTGATGCCATCCTAGTTTCATACTATGACTGTCTTGATGTAAGACAAGAGGAGTTTATCTTATGGGACAGCTGGAAGGAATGTACTTTACCTGGTGCAGAGCCAATGAGACGGCCAGACAGGTCAGCCCCTGGCAGCTTCTTCTTTAAAATGGGGACTATCTTCTCATCAAAGTACTCCATGGCCATGGAGGAGATGTCCCTCAGCTCCTGCAAGACCTCATGAGCACGCTGAGGGGCACGGGTGGAGTTTACATAGCGTAGCACTCTGTAAATCTCATCTATAACCTGATGGCATACAACAGAACAAAATCAGCATATATTAAAACAGACAGAGAACGAATTAGTCCACAACAGTTATGAGTGAAACATGAATGGCTTGTTAACATCCCCAAACATTCATTCATTCATTTCAAACATCTTCAACTGTACCGTTCCAGTTCATGAGCTAGCAACAGCGGTAAGAGAAAAACTCTGTTTAACAGGCAGATTCATTGAGAAAAAAAAGGATTTTAGTGAACAGCCATCTGCTCAGACTGTGTTTGGCCTGGAAAGTAGGACACAGGGAGTGACAGGAGAGAATGTGCAACAACATCAGCTTATCAAAACTTGCACATCTCCTACTGCTCTGCTAGCCACAGGCCACTTCATCATACAATAATTACATGTGTGTAGAAATGCTAAAAGAGAAGAACTCAAAGATTAACAGTTGTGATAACAAGCCTGTCTCAGTGTCTAAACTATAATGGATTCAAAAATCTTAAAAACAACTCATGCAGAATTTTAATCAACTTGAGCCCTTCAAATCCAGAGATCTGTCACTGTTAGTCCATCAAAGGGCGTGCCTTTGTTTGACCCTTTCCATAATACAATAAAAGCTGCAGTTGAAGTAAAGGAGGCATTACAGAGACGAAATGAGATCAAAGTTAGACAGTGGAGCAAGAAGGGCAGAACAATGGTGTGTTACTGTGTGTTTGTGTGAGTGTGTGTGGACTCCAATCGTGTGAAGCTGAACAACAAAGTACATATTTTGGGTGTCTAAGCCTTAGTCCAAACCTTTCTGATCAAAGTTTTTTGGTAGAGATTCAACAGTTTGAAAGGCAAACATTCCTGTTGTTCTTGATATTGAAAAGAGTATAAGTACTTCCTAAATGAGATTCACACCCTTATATGTTTAGTCTTCCTGTACAACAATTCATGTGAACAATCATATTCATCAATAATCTACCGTATCTTTGGAAGATCAGAAACATGGCAGCACAATTTCTGTTTAAGAGGAGCTGTTCCAGTCATTCATATGTTGCTGTGAAACAAAGTCACAGCACAGGTCTGCAAGAATCATAAACAATGAAAATAATGATTCAGTGATCTTTACCTATTGGCAGATGATTTGTCAAATATGCAGCAAAGAAACATAAAAAGAGCACTAATATTAATAAAAACTAAACTAAAACTAAGCATTTTCCAAAACTCAAAACTAAAAACAACAAAAAAATATTCAAAACTAATTCAAACTGAACAGTAGTTGGATTTTTTTTTTAAAAGGATATAAAGATAAGTGAAAAATGACAAAAAGCTCTCATAAACTTGGTAGTCAGGTGTTATGAGGGTCCTTTGGCTGTTTGGCTGACAGACACAGAAACCTTTGCTGTTTCACATCATTTTCCCATTTACAGAGCCAAGACTAAGCACAGGATCTGAAGGGACTATTATGATACCAAAACACAATATCAATAAAACCATCAAAGTGAGTTCCAATATAAGCGGAAACAGTTTTCTGATCCTCTTTGTCTCACCGTCTACTTTTGTTGACATCGTGTGAAGCAGAGGCTGCTGTACTAACCTTTCCAGGGATAAAACAGCAGAGGTTAGAGTCGACATATTTCATGAAGGTCATGTTGAGCAGAGAGAGGCGTGTCTCCACTGCTGCCAGAATGTCAGCATGGCGGGCCAGTGAATGGTTTCTCCTCTCTGATTCTCGCCTGGGGGAATAATAAAGAGAGAGACACAGCTTACCAGGATGTCAAATCACAATCAAAGATACAGTTTCATAGAATTCATATAATCATAACTTTGATCAAAACTTGAATCCCAAAAAAAAGAGGGTCAAAAACTATGCACAAGATCGGTTTTGGATTTTTAAGTGTTGGGATTTATAAAATATATGATCACCACGAACCAAAACAGTTTCACCTGAATGACTTTGGACTCTTCCTAATCTTGTTGTTGTGCTCATCTGCTATTAAGTCCAGAGTTTTGTTTGACCAGTTGTGCTGACTAAGTTGTGTTATTGATAACTGTGTCTTCAGAGCCTTAAGATAATGATCTTGGTTAGTAATGTCGAGTCAAAACATGACAAAAGGAGCATGACCTAGCTGAATGTGGACTGATTATGACATTGGCTGTGGCAGAAGTCAGTCGCACAAACATCTACATCAACATCAACCTGGAAAAAAGAAACCAGCACCGAGTTGTCTTTTAGTCTTTTTGCGGGAGAAAACTGCTGTTTAACACTTAACGTGCAGGATTGAATCTGCAGCTGCTCTGCAGCTGACAAACCACTTTCACTACATGGCAAGTACAGACATGTACTACATTCAGCAGTGTGAATCACTTAGCCTGAGTCTTGAGAGTTATTGTATACAGATTGTGTCAAATGAACACAGATCATATGTATTTGTTTCTGAAATTCTTATCTGGTCCCTAAATTACAATCAACAGCCATGATGTGACATTCACAAACGAGTCAGTCATTTGAACGACTCTTAAGTAAATGATTGGAACCGGTTCACAGTTGCAAGTTGTTCTCATATGCAAATTGCTCACACTGCCTTCAAATGTCACCTGTGTGCCCAAAACACCAGGTAGGGTAGTACAGTTTTGCAGTCCCCCCCCCCTGTACTTCCTTAAAAACTTGAGTGGAAAAATTTACAGTAACATTGTTTTGAATGGAAATTATATGTAGTCTTTGTAGTTTTTATTGTGCCACAAAGTTTTTTTAGGTGAGGAAATAAAATACAAAAAAGTGATCTCACTGTCAAAGCATGAGGATATGGCACCACCATATGGAATGTTTACAATGAAAACACAAGCAAAGTGAAATTATAATCAGTATTGCACAATAATTTCCAGCTGTAAAGTATTAGTGGGATGTGTCCTTTTGAATTTATTCTGATCCATATCATATCTTATGACTGCTACCAAAGATTGTTTCCATGTTCAAACAAGTTTGCCTGGTTGACTTTTAAAAATTAAAAAAATATAAACAAGGAGCTAGTCTTTTGAATGGCTCATAAAAAGGAACAGATTCCCAAGATCTGGTTCTCTATAAAGAGCTATAAATACCATCGCTAGAGCAGCCAAAAGATCTTTAAGAAACCAGAAAAGAAATGTACTAAATTTTCCTGGGGAGCTTTGCTGTTGTGATACTGACCTGGGCAGCTGGGCTTTGACCTGCCTCTGGCACATGCTGTGGTAACGCTCCACCTTCAGGAAGCCTTGATTCAGGACACGCTGGCAGATCATGTCCATGCGCTTACACACCTGGAAAAAGAAAAAAAAAAACAAGTAAACAACAGACACTACCTTAGGAGTTTATCTGTCATTTTTAAGAAACCTTAAAATATGATAACTTTTCCCTTTTAGTGCATCACAGAACCACCATTTCTTCTAAGGAGTGGAGACAAGAAGTTCACCCTCTATAATGACATACAAATGTATTTCTAACATACTGTGACTGTTTGGGTCTTAAAAGGGAAAACATGAATAGTAACAGCTAAAATTACATATTGAGTATACACTTGAGGAAATATCCTCTGGTACTTTTCCATACTCTGCTGGTCTATTATTCCTGTGACTCAGAGATGAAAGGACCTGACATATAAAATCACAGAGCTTTCAGAAGCCAAGGGACCTCAAAGCCCTCTAAAGCTGTGTTTCACCAGGCGGTCTGACACAGCACACAGTTACTTGCATTCCCATTGTCTTAATTCTGAGAAGGCACTGGAAAAACAATCAAAGGGAAGTGTCTACAGAAGGATGCTATTAAGAGAGGAGAGGGAGGTGAGATCATATGGGATAAAAACTTTGTGAAGTTTGATTTGATTCATAAAAGAGATAGCTTATGTGTTGGGGTTTGTCTTGTTTAAAAGTAGGAGCACAATTCACGCACAGACAACAGCTGAGCAGTGAGTGATGTACAGAGATGGATGCAGAGAAGAGGAAGATCACGAAAGAAGAGATATCCCCTTTGTCAATAATGGCAGTCAACAGGCAGCCTGCTTGAGGCACCAGGGTACAAATACAAGCAAGGATTTACTTGGTAAAAATACACATTAGAAAATTAGCCTTGATGCAACCATGCATTTGAGACACAGATGACAAAGACTGCCAAGGTTAAGTAACAGACACTGAAAAAAAGGAACTTCAGAGCTGGAAACCTAAGAACATTAAAAGCTAGGCTAACAGATTATATTGAAGGACTGTGGCTGCAGTGAAAAACATATTACAACTTAACCTCTGTGTTTTTTTTTCCACAGACCTGAGGACAAATCTGAACCTGAGAGAGGGTGGGCAGTGTCAGAGGAATAGGAATATCATCTAGAGGTCTAATCTAACCCCCTGTCTCTCTTCGTTATTTATCTGCTGGTTTCATCTGTGGTCTGTGGTGTAGTCCAGTCGGATCCGAGCCCGTATGCCCCTTGGATAACAGTAAAACCAGACCAGGGCCAAAGCTGCACATGCATTACATACCGGCCTCAAACTGTTTCTGTACACACTCGGAAATTCTAACATCCAAAAACCAGGCAGAGGATCTGGCTCCAGAGAGTTTAGTCCTCCTCCTAATGGACTTGTTTTTGTTCTCCTTACCGAGCGCAGCAGGCTGATCTCATCGTAAGACAGAAAATTCAGAATGGTCTCAATGGCCACAATAGGTAGACCTAAGAGCGGGTTGTTCTGGTGAGGCTGATCCGGTGGAGGGGTAGACTGTCTCGGTGACACCGAGTCTGAGTCCAAGGACCCAACACATCCATCAACTCTATCTACCACGGCCGCCATCTTGCTTTGCTTAGGAGGAGGCGGAAGTGACGTTTTAAAAGGGAGCCAACTTGCCATTCCACCCTCCCTCGTTGATATACCGGTATAGGGTATTCAAACTAAACAAGTGCTAGAGCCGAATTAAACATCAAAAAAGACACGGAATTTGAATTTGAGCCAATAAACTTTATGGTTAAGCCACACTGATATTTCGTTTAAAGGCAATAAATAACATTCCAGTACATTTTTTTTCTAGATAGATTTTTTACTCCATAAATAAAAAGGGAAATTGTAGCAAGGGTAATACTTTCAGAAGCCCCTTTTCAATTTGGGTTTAATTACTTATGAGGAATACACATTCCAGCTCCAAAAGTCTCATTATTTAGTACAATTATTTAGTTTTTATAATTCATCAGATCAAGAAATGTTTTGAGACAAAGAGTCCTGAGGTATAACATGCTGGCAGTCTTGATCATGTGCCTGTGGTTCTGCTGCATGCATGCTGCAGAGTGACCAGCTGTTAAAAACTGGGAGTTTGACAGCTTTTTAGAGGTAAAGGTTCCTCAGTAATAAGGCAGTAGTATACAAAATTAAGTTTTGGTTTTCAATGACAATGTTACTTTTTATTTGTTGTGCAGTATTCCATATGTTAAGGTACATTTGTAACAGTTGTATACATAGTATATTCTCCTGGCAGAATTGAATCATTAGTCAAGAATTCTTCTGAGAATAGTCCGGGTTTTTGAAGAAGTTTCCCTCTTTACAGTCAATGAGTGAATGTTTGAAATCATCAAACTCTGCTCAAACATTGACAACTTCCAAATAATCCATGTAAACGTAAGCATTAATGTATCTTCTTGAGTTTACTTTTTTGGATTCTCTGGAATATGGTATCTTTCACTGTATTTCTGCTTTATTTCCCCCTGATATGTTGTAGGCAGCAGCCTCTGCTGTTGATTAAAAGTTCTTCCAGCCATGAGACTCAAAATGAGTTGGCTTATTTCTGGTCTGGAAACAAGTTTTGACCAATGTCATCTTTTGTAAAGTTTTTGTAATAACAAATTTGGCACTAAAAGCAATAATATTTTTTTTTTACAAAACTCAGAAAAAAACAACTTTGGCAACAGCAACCTGCATGTGTACACTGTGTACTGGTACACTGTGAACTTGGTACCATATGACATGTGTAAAGGGGCCACGGAGATGAACCAGCAGGTTCTCTTCTCCCTCAGTAGTTGACTGTAGGTAAAGGCACTTCACTTCATTTGCCAAAGTACTGATTGAAGGAGAAAAATGGTTCATAATGGTTTACATTCCCCCCTTGGCTGATGCTGCTGCAGCCTGTGAACTCCTCCATAGTGAAGTGTTCAAGCTACAAACATCGCACCCTTAGTCTCTGATCATCATCTCTGGAGACTTTAATCAAGCATCGCTCTCCTCCACTCTCCCTGCCATCAGCCAGTATGTGGAATGCCCAACAAGAGACAATAAAACTTTGGACTTACTGTATGCAGACACCAAGGATGCATACACCCCCACCCCCCGCTGGGCCGCTCAGATCACAACCTGGTGAGACTGCAGCCCATTTACATACCTATGGTGAAGAAACAACCCTTCACCATCAGGTATGTTAAGAGGTGGTCTGAGGAGGCCACTGAGGCGCTGCAGGACTGTTTTGAGACCACAGACTGGGATGTACTGTGCAGCTCACATGGTGATGACATAGACACCATGACTCACTGCATCACGGACTATATAAACTTCTGTGTTGAGAACACCGTACCCACCAGGAAAGTTCGGTGTTTCTCCAACAGCAAACCCTGGGTGACCCCTGAACTTAAAGTCCTCCTGAAGAAGAAGAGGAGGGTCTTTAAATTCAGGGACAAGGAGGAGCTGAGGGGGGTGCAAAAGGAGCTGAAGAAGAAGATCAGAGAGGGTAAGTCCAGCAACAAGACCAAGATGGAAAACCTTCTGCAACAGAACAACGTGAGGGAGGTCTGGAGAGACCTGAAATCCATCTCAGGCCACAGCAGGGACCATGAGAGGGGACCTGAAGCAGAGGACAGGGAGTGGGCCAACAAGCTTTGTTCTTCAATAGATTTGACTCTGCTCCCAATGCCCCCCCCCCCCCCGACTCATCAAACCAATGACCCGTCTGCTTCTTCTTTACACCACCTCAGTTCTATGGTACTGGCACCGGCACCCAATTTATTCATGGTTATTCAATATGAATGTTACTGAGCAAACTAGTTAAATCAGTATTTTTGATGTACTAGCACTGATAAAATTCTTTCAGCTCTAAATAGTCAGATTTATAGAGTTTGTTGTGATTTGCACCTTTATTTTCAGAAAATCTTGGCTCCTTAACGACTCAAGAATGGTACAAAAATCCTATATGCATAGACAATACACAACCTTTTAAGTGCAATCAACAACCATGAAAAAAAATTGCTTTATGAAGTCCATAGGAGGTTTTATCAATGCACCGGAGTTCAGTTCTGCTATTCCCTATTTTACAGGGTGCAGGTTGGTTCAACAACAGAACCTCAGTGTTCATTCTGAGCATGCCCAGCCAGTCACCACTCTACTCCATGTCCGTAGAGTCTAGCTCATTGAGAAACCTCTGACACTTAGTCATGAGGACTTTGATTGCCTCTGTGACCAGGACCTCTGGAGGCAGGATGCCGGTAGATTCCACCGTAACTGTGAGGAAAAAACAAAAGTGGGAAGTTCATCAATAGATAGTTTTGTTTTCAGTGATACGGTCAGTTTACAAAAAGGAATTTAACATCAACATCATGGGTTTGGAGAAAATACTCAAAGCAGTGAGACTCGACCAGGAGGTTTATTCACATACAGATGAAATGGTCTCGCACTCTCCCGAGCTTCACCAAATTCTTTAGGTCATCATGTCGGTGGACTTCCCTGCTGCAGGTATCCAGGCGACTATTCACGACTCTGGCAACTTTTTCTCCTTGAGGTGGGCAACATCAGAGGACTTATATTAGCTGAACACATAATAATGAAACAGCTGAGATATTTCTGTGTTCATCCAAGGTTACTCTGTTTTCATCTGTATTTTCAGAGTCATCACACCTTTGCTTCTTACCGTCAACATCTTCCAGGCCTATAACTCCTCGTGAAAAGCACCGCTGTAAGCGCTCTGCCTTCTCTCCCTCCACTGGCTCGAGGAGAGTGATCTCTGGAAGCAAACGGTAACTTGCCGTAGCAACCGGAGAGAACTTTGCATGGTCTTTACCTGAGTGGAGAACAGATTTCAATGACAGACAGTGGGAGATACAATAAGACAAAAATCAAATATTCATTTAGTCCTTTTTCTTTCCATGAGCCTAAAACAAATCAAAGTATGACTTAAATCAACTCAAATGCATCAGATTCAATTGCCACAGACAATTTAACAGACCACAGAGTGTTGTGATATTTGACATCTTTGTACCAGCTTAACCACCTCAGAAAACAAAGCTTCATATACTATTACTGCTTCAATATTGAACACTGTAATCCCACACTGACCTTCTCTCTTGCAGGCCCATATTACTTAACGCTCTTTTACAATTCAAATGCTCACAACCCAGATCAAAAGCAGCTTTTACCTATTCCTTTGACACAGTGCATGATAATATCCAGCTCCTGTCCTGGTCTCAGCTGAGCAATCAGGATGTCATCATGTACTGGTCCAATGCTAGAATCTGCAAACACATCTGCCTGGTTTCCAATCGGGACCCACTTGATGTCCCTGGAGTAAACTGAGACAGGAGAAGGGGGTCAGAGAAGATCTGAAGACTTTGCCCATAGGGAAGTTAAGGATGGTTGACCAAACAGCTCATGGTGGCCACTGTGGTCATAGCAGCACCCTAACTCACCCACCTTAAAAAGCCACAGTGTTGTCTATACTTCACTCTTGACTCTGTTCTGCAGGTCTGTAACTTTGTTCACTAAAAAAGCCGACTTTGATCAGAGTCACTTTCTGGTGTGTTATCGGTCCTTTTACTCAATTACGGCTTTCAAGTACTTGATCCACCACTGATAATTGACACTGTTGGCTAATTCTTTGTCTTCTTATACTCTTTCTTACTCAGATATCACTGCCTCATAAATTTGCCTGATCATTTTGAACTGTAATTATTCTTTTGTATGGACAGATCACAGTCACTGTTTGTAAGCCTGTATCTTCAAAACTTACCCATGTGGTTCAGATACAGCTCTCGTGGGTCAGAGGAGTCCTTGCTGGCTCTGGGGTTCCTGCTGCATTTAATCTTCAGCTGCAGCTGGATTGTGTCTATTTCTGAACCCTCTTCCTCGGCAGATTCTTCACCTGGAAAGAGCATATAAACAGACTGGATTTGTGTTTACCATGTGATCCATCTTACCAACAACTTGCATGAAAATAACTTCCTGTTTGATTGGATGATACCCAGAAATGGCTACAGCTGGTCCTAAACCCATTTGCTGTCGTACCAGTTTTTGAGCCCCTTTTTGACTCATTAATTATAAATCAAGCACAGTTTATCAAGCACAGATTGACTAACCACACCAAAAGAGTGCTGGAAATATAATAACTTTACAAATACAGAATATTGTGACGTACCAATTGCAAAAAGCAAAGGCAGTAAAGACTGAAAAAAGTGAGAATGAAGTCAAAATAAATGATTTAAACTGACCAGGATGTCCAGAAATGTTCAACAAATATTTCAAAGTGCTTCAAAAGTTTCTCCCTCAACAGTGTGGTATTATGGGAGCACTGTAGTCTAAGGTGACCAGCATCAACAGTTAATTCAGTCATTTTACCAGAGTTTCTGTACTCAAACAAGCGAGGGTCAGCTCTGATGGGAATGAGGCCTAATCTGTGGGCAAGGACTTCGTCCTGGACGATGGACGTGTTGTTATAGACAAACACCTTCTCTATTGCCATGGTAGGTACCTAAACAAACAAAGACAGGATAAAGCCAAAGAGTTCATCACATGTTCATGGAAGAAACCCCCCACCGCCTAAAACAGAGTGTATAACATGCTTGATCAGGAACCCCACCTCTGCCAGTAAGATCCTTCTAAAGGCATTAGCAATGGCTGCATCAATTCCCACCATGTCAAACTCCATACTGCTCTCATCAAGATGTACAACGTTGATCCTGAAGTTCTGTTGACAGAGAGCAGATCTAAGCTTGATAAGAGATCATAAAAAATATTTCCGACTTAGCCCTTTTAGTCTAATTTTGTTGAGCAAAACCAGACTTTTAGGCATGTTTATCAAAATGGTTTTAAACATTTATACACAGCTTTTCCACAAAGACTATTTGGTCGACTGTTGTCTGTCATTTGGCTCTGAAGCAGAAAAAAAATGAGAGAAAATACAGAAACAATCATGCTTGGATAAAGTTCAGTTCAAATATATGAATAAAATCAATAACCAAATATTTCCTTACATAAAAAGTATCAGGTAAGAATCGTGTTTTCCTGTTGTTTTACCCTAAGATAAAGTAACAGAAAAACACGTTTGAACTGAGAGGGACTCACTCACTTTTCTCGAAATAAGATTTGTAATCGTTCAAAGCAACTACAAAACTAAAGAGGAATTGAGGTTTCACATTTAAACTCCTCTGGATAATTTGCTTATTTTCTTAAATCAGAAATTTTTGCTGTCCCGATTTAATACAGATTCAATCAGCATTTAAACAACACCATCCTGAATTTACCTCCTGAAACTTCTGCATGTCCCAGGTGTCATCATAGCCCGGGTAGTTTCCAGGAAAATCTGACGTGTGAACCTAAAAAGACAGACTGATTATTCAATATTACAGCAAGAGCGTCCGAAGTCCTCCTCATCCTCTGAAGATTATATTCAGTATCACTGAGACTAAAGTCTGTTTTTACCGCTGGACTTTCTCCTTTATTATGTTGAACAACAGTAATTATCTGTGTTTTATTGCCACTTTATTTTGCGTCGTATTTCTCAGCGATCATTACACGGTATTTTTTAGTATCCTGATTTCAGATAGAGGGTGTTAAAATCAGGTTCAGCAACACCTGATCAGCTCCTTCTGAACGAGGTGTCAGTCTCATCTGATAGGATTTTGACAAACAACAGAGTCGTACCAACCGGATCGTATGTATCGAATAACCAGCGTAAATACCGACTTACATTTTTTACGCCAAATTCACCCAGTATCACTCGATTTCTTATTTCTTCCACGTTCCTCATGGTCGCTGCCATTTTGTTGATTGAATTTCTTAACTCCGCCCAAATTTACGCCCCTCTTTTACTTCTTGTAAATCAACCGTTCAACCAGCTTATCAATGCAACACTGCCCCCACCCGGGCAGGATGAGTAAAGGCTGACCAACAAAAAGACAATAATAACATTACTTTATCAAATCTGTTTCTCTCTGCATTGTTATAGAAAACTCTCATTGACTGATGCATTCATTGTAGTTATGTCATGTCTTTTATTTCCTTGAGGGAACCTTCCCAAAGGGGTCCTGTTTTTGGTCAATCAATTGAAGGTGCCACTTTCATCCGTTCAAACAATTGTATGCAAGTATAAACACCATGGGAATGCCCAGACATCATACTGCTCAGGGAGGAGACAGGTTCGGTGTCCCAGAGATGAACGTACTTTGGTCCGAAAAGTGAATATCAATCCAAGAACAACAGCAAAAAGCCCTTATGAAGATGCTGGCTGAAGCTGGTGAGAGTGTGTCATTATCAACAGTGAAACGAGTCCTGTACTGACATGGGCTGAAAGGCCACTCTTCCAGGAAGAAGCCATGACTCCAAAAGAAACATAAAAGGCCAGATTATAGTTTGCAAATACACACAGGGACAAAGACCTTAATTTTTGAGGACATGTCCTGTGGTCTGATGAAACTGAAATGGAACTTTTTGGCCATAATGACCATTGTTACATTTGGAGGAAAAAAGGGGAAGCCTGAAAACACCATCCCAACAGTGAAATATGGGGATGGCCACATCATGTTGTGAGGTTGTTTTGCAGCAGGAGGGACTGGTATACTTCACAAAATAGATGGCATCATGAGGAAAGAACATTATGTGGAAATACTGAAGCAAAATCTCAAGACATCACCCAGGAAGTTAAAGCTTGGGCGCAAATGGGTTTTCCAAATGGATAGTGATCCTAAGCACACTGCCAAACTGGTTACAAAGTGGCTTAAGGATAACAAAGTCAATGTTTTGGAGTGGCCATCACAAAGCCCTGACCTCAATCCTATTGAAAATTTATAGACAGAACTAAAAAGTCATGTGCAAGCAAGGCGGCCTACAAACTTGGCTCAGTCACACCAGTTCTGTCAGGAGAAATGGGCCAAAATTCCTGCAAATTATTGTGTGAAGCTTGTGGAAGTATATCCAAAACATTTGACCCAAGTCATACAATTAAAAGGCAGCTACCAAATACTAATGAAATGTATGGAAACTTTTGACTCTCGAGAAAATGATTTTAAAAATTGTCTAATAAATTGTCGCTCTCATTTTTTGGCATTTAGCATATAAAAATAATTTTGAAAATCCTGATTGACCAAAAACAGGAAAAGTTTAATCTGATTTAATGTTAGACAGTGAGGAAAAAAAGGTTATGTGCCTTTTTTGTAGTGTATGTAAACTTCTGGTTTCAACTGTATGTTTTTATTTTGGGTTAGTGATGTCAGCCTCTTTTTGCCGCCAGTCATGACTTTAGTGGTTGGGGACTGTCTAAAAAGTGCAAAACTGACCAGAAACACTGCAGAAAATATTCAAGTAACTTCTCCTATCACTACATTGCATTAAAACAATACATCTGAGGGAGTATGCTCTTGTTTAATTTGGGGTACATATCTTACCATTTTAATACACCACAATAGGTTAAAAGTTCATACTCAGTATTTCAACATATCTGAAATATACTGCCTTGACTTTTAATTGAGTAGATGGCCAGATAGGTAGTTTTATTCCCACTGCAGTAAAATGTTATTCAAGTATTTGTACTTCTTCAGTAGAATACCTTGACACTCTTTCCTTCCCTGACAATCTCTTGTCACGATGTTCCTTTGATTTTCCGTCTGCCCCAATTTTTCCACAAACCCTCAGCATTTTACCTGTTTGATTTTTTTTCTTTCAACGTAACTCTGCCCAGACACACAGGCAGGGACCCAAACAGAGACAGCTGTCACACTCTGATGGTGTATTTTTGTCTATTTCATCCTTAATTTTGCCAACATGCTGTATCAGATTTGAAGTGTGGTTCAATTATCAGTCACAGTAGTCCTGTGAATGCATGGTGTCAGCTTCTCCTCCTGTAGAATAATCCTGTGTGCCTGGTCCATGAGTCATACAGTAATATTTCTCTCATTTGCTCTTGCACAGTATCTGTCAGAGTTTGTTTTTAATGACTCCCTGCATGTTGTTATTCTGCATATATCACCTTTTCAACATGCATTCTCCAGGTCAGAAGAGAAATCATACCATCCTTTAATCAACCCTTTACTTTATTTTTTAGGTATATTTGAAGATTTTTGCCTTTTGATGTTTGGAAAAATACTTCACTCATATCTTTCATCATAACTTCTTTAAACACCCACTTATCTACTGTGCCAATTGCAGCCTGCTTTTTAATTTCAGTCTATTTTCAGTACAGAGCACTGTTATGGGTTTAAATTCTAAATACATGCTGCATTATCACAGAGTATTTTTGTGTTTAAGTTGTTGGTTCACAGTGTTTGTTGTGTGTAATACTTTCTTCTGAAAAACTAATTTTTTTGTTTGTTTGTGTGTTTGTTTAAAAATGTGTATAAAAACACTTCAGTTTTGTCTTAACCCAGCCTTTATATGCATCATTATTCCAGCTAGCTTTAATGTGGATCTCTGTCTCTGAGCTGATGTGCTGCCTTTGATGAACTCCAGGTTGATATTTGTTGATGGTCCGCAAATGTATGTTTGGTGTGTTCGACTGTTAAAGATGAAGTGACATTTGGGATAAATTAAGTTGCCTGAGTAAAAATAGATATAGATATATTTCTGCCTTGAAGCATTTCTGCTTTTTTGAAAATCCAAGTACCATGGCGTGTGTAGTCACTGTATAAGAAACAGGTTTGACACTTTAGTCATTTTTTCAGTATTTTGTCTTGTCTACCTGACCTTTGTATGAACCCTAACACCCTGACTGAGGTGAAACACCACAATATTTATTGCTGGCTCCAACATATGGGCACATTCCACTTGGATAAATATACTGGACATCCAAAAACAAGACGGTGAATTTGACAGATAATTTACATTCAACATTAATTCCTGCAAGAATCCTGAAAACATGATTGGGCCTCTACACAAACTTGATGGGGCCTCTGCAGAGGAAATAGAAAAGAACTGCTGCAGGCTTTTTTTTTTTTTTTTTTAAATAGACAACAGTGTAAAACAACATTGACAGAAACAACATGACAGCACAACCAAACATAATATTACATTGCAGCAGCTGCTCACCACAACATTTCATCATGTACTAAAGTGGTAACTTGTAATTTTAAAGCCAGCTAACACCTGTGAGAACATCCAAACCTGACTCTTTTTTTCTTTTTTTTTTACTGTAAACGGACACACGTGAGGATTGTTGAGAGAACAACACCAGTCACAGCTGCATTCTTATTGAGGCGTAATGTTTCTATTTACTTCAAGTCATAATGCTCCTCTATTCTGAAGCCTTATCTTTATAGTAGACACAAAGTGATTATACCACCATCCATCTTTTTATCAGACTCAAGGGGACATTGGAAAACTTGGTTAAAATTTCAGTCTCAAACTCCTGTTTCTGCTTTATTCCCTTACAACACTAACAGCTGTGGCTTTCTCCGTAAATCAGAGGATTTTGAAAGTCTAGAGTCCAACTCCTTAAATGATGCGTTAGGCATATGGTGTCTCTAATGTTCGTACTTATCTGATTCAGTAACCTGAGTAAATACAATATTTAGTTTTTAAATCATTATTTCATTTATTAAGGGAAAAAAGTTATCCAAAGTGATCCAAAGTGACCAGGCCCCATGTAAAAAAAAAAAAAAAAATCAGACTGGGCAAAAATGGAGAGCTCCAAGGCCCAAACCACTAAGACCAAAAAAAACCCTTCCCACATCTGCCAAAAAACATCCTGATGATCCCCAAGACTTCTGAGAAAACATTCTGTGGACTGACTGGACAAAAGTGTAACTTTCTGGAATGTGTGCATCCTGTTTTATGTGGAGTCACACCAACACAGCAATTCAGAAAAAGACCATCAGACCCACAGTCAAACATAGTGGTGGTAGTGTGACAGTCTGGGGTTGCTTTGCTGCTTCAGGACCTGGACCACTTTCCATAACTGATAGAACCGTGAATTCTGCTCTCTACTAGAAAATCCTGAAGGAAGATGTCCAGCTATCTGTTAATGACCTTAAGCTCAAGTACATGTAGGTTATGGAGCCGAACTTTAGGGCTCAAGACCGGACTTAAATCTGATTTAGTTGCTGTGGCATGACCTGAGACAGGCCGCTCATGCTGAAAGAACCCTCAAAGAGGAAATCTGCAAAGAAGAGTGGACAAAAAGTCCTCCACAGCCACATGGAAGACTCATCTCCAGTTATTGCAGGCAGGTTTAGGGGCCAATAAATTTTTCACACAGGACCTGGTTGGTTTTGATGGCTTTTCCCCCCAATAAATGAAATCATCCTTTATGAGTGCATTTTGTAATTACTCAGATTACCTCTGACTGATGCTGACATTTGTTTAATAGATCTGAAACATGTAAGTGTGACAAAAAAGTCAAAACAGGTGAAATCTGTAAGGGGGTAAATACTTTTCCACAGAGCTGTATATGCTGCATTCACATCACCTGCATTTACCAACTTCTGAAGAGCCTTTGGTTGTAAACATACAGTCTTTGATGCATTACTGATTGTCATACTTTTTTATGGCTTTGCTTGCTGTATTGGCCTGACAGAGCTTCATGTAGACTTTAATTATCTCAGTTACCAGGCACGTGTTGTGTGACAGATTTCTGCCTTTAAAATCAGAGTTTCTCATGACAGAAGTTTTATACTCTGTCTATCTCAAATTATACTGACGCTGTTTTCCACTTTGGGTGCATGTGTGTCCACACCTGCCATCACAGTGTTAATGTGCACTGGTGTGCAAAACCTGAATCAATCTTCAACGACTGTGATTCAGTAAGACGTGGTTGGAAATGACTGATGTGATATGCATATTGCCACTTGCACGTTACCCATTTTTTCCCATCCACAGCAAAGACTGTGCTGTTTAAACTTCCACCAGACTGTGTTCAGCGTAGATAAATAAAAAGACCCAGTTACCAATTATATAGTGAAAGAAAAAAGGATCTATATGGTGTACTTCCCACTGCGGACAGAGTAAAAAGCAATCTGATACAGTTCAAAAATCTGTTTCTGCCACGATCTGCCTATTTCCTTGGAAAAACAGTGAAACCAATTCAAACCAACCAAAAAACTAGAAAAGGATTGTCACTCTTTACTGCCACTGTATAAGTATCCTGTATGGATGTTCATTCACTGCCTTTAACTGCAATTCTTTTCTATTTCTAAATACTGTAGATAATCAAAAATCCCCCTCACAAGCTGGAAAAACTCCCTCTCTTTAAAGCTGAAGTTTTAGTAAGTAGTGAACTTTATGAAACCATAAGACATTAGCTCACTCCATAGTCCCCAGAATTCAGAGTTTAAAATGTGTGAAACTCTTGAATGTACAGAAACACACGGAACGTACAGCACAATTTATGAATTTATCATTTATGTTTACTGATGTGCAAAATAGCTAGACACTTTTGAGCTAATTTTCGGTTTATAAAGAAATGTATGAAAAATATTATATACTCTTTAATTCTTCACAGTTAATTTCAGTTTCACTGTCTTGGACTCTCAACAGAATCCAACTCAAGATTGACAGTCGCGTATAAAATTGCAGATGAACTGTTTGATTCGTACTGTATGTTCTTTGTATTGTACTCCCAAGAATAACCCAACACTGTCCCTATTGTGCGCAATCTGACAACAGTGAATCTACTTTGAATATACTGGTCAAGTTTTTAACAGTATCTCTAATCTAAGTTCGGCAGTGACAGAAAGATGAGGCAAGAGGAAAGTCAAAGATTTGCAACAGAGGTCCAGGGTCCCTGACTGCTGCAGTGAAGACTCAGCCTGTATGGTATAAGCACTTCACCACCAGGCCAGTATTAACTGTGGTTTATTTAAAAACACAAATTGGTAAATAGAATATTCGTGTTTTGGGAACATGACTCTGCCTCCTGTTTTAAACCTGCGGCCTTAAACTTGACTTTAAACTGTCCTGTTAAACCCTAAGGTGGCATCGTTGGTTGAACCGTTCCTAATTCAGTTTCCACAACAACCACCAAATAAGTTTGTCACCTTCTCAAAAGGATCCAAGTGTCATAGATCACATTACCTAACCCTAGGCCTGAAGCTGTGTCAGAACAAAACTCCATATTTACAGACAAAACATCAGCTGCAGCCGCCCACTGTTTTTCCAGAAACGATCTACGCTGTTGTATTAGAGAGATCAGGAACTCTCAAACCCACTTTTAGTTTCTGCCATACCTTCCCTGCTCACCTGACCTCTGGCTAGAGCTTTAATTTTGTTGGTTGGACTGAAAAGGTCAGTGACAATCATGGTCAAAGCTGAAATAACTAAACTGTGAGCACAGGGCATCTTTATACAGATCACATGGAAGCAGCCAAAGGGAGAAGTAACCTGGTTCTCAACAGCCCTCGCTGCAAGACACCCACTGACATTTGCCAGAGCATGTCACTCAAGAGCCCAAACGCCAAGAGGATCCACAGTCAGCCGGGGGAGGGGTACAAAGACCTTTCTCTGCTCTCTCTCCCAGGTAGAGGGGAGAGAAGAGGAACAGTAGGGATGTTGAATGACAGGGTCAGGAATAGGACCATCTGCTGGTCAAATGAAGGGTTAAGTTTAAGGGTCATGTAGAGGTCGTCTTTTATTAAATTACAGTTTATTCTTATTCCCACACATTCACCCAAAGCTTCACAGCAGCAGCAGCATAACAGAGCATGGTATCAAATTGCTTTATACTATACACGTGGTGTTTAACTGTGACCACACTGAGTCCGTGATTGACTGTAGGAACATGTCTGAATGAAGAGGCCTCTTTAATACACTGGCAATGCCCAGCTGCAGGTATTACATGTCCAATGGTTCAGATATTGAAGCATAGACAGCATTTGATGAAGTATGATCAAATATGATGGGATGTTGGTCAATCATTACGTCTCTTTATTTTCTCTCTATCACCCCATGCAGAGATTTCACACTGGTTCTGTTCACTTTATTCTGTCAGTCATAGACCTCAATGATAACGTGAGAGACATTTGAGGCTTTGAGCAGCCATGTTGGCTGGTAAACACAGTGCTTGGGTTCTGTCCTGCTGATCAGTCAGCTAGTCCACAGCTGTAGTGGTACGGGCACAACAGGCCGGGGTTCGCAGGGACTCCATCATCCTGTTCTTCTTCCTTTGACAGCCGTTGTTTCGGCTCTGCCTAGACGTGTTGGTGTTCTGGCGTGATAGCTTAGCTGCATGTTTAGCTGTCTCCTTGATTTGTAGCTCCAGGTGTTTCTGGATAGCCAGGCCCAGCTCCTCCGGGTCCACAGAGGCCCCATACACCTCCCATGTCATTCCCTCTGCATCCCACTTCACTTCCTTCACTGGAGACTTTAAAGCACCACCTGGTTTCTTGTCTCCGTTGCTGTCTGTGTTTGTAGACTGGCTGTGGGAAATCTCGCTCCTACTGTCCTCTGACAGGCAGATCTCAGGAAACACATGAGGTGTGACAGTTTGTCCTGTTTGAACCCCAACATCCCGAAGCTCTTTGTTGGCTGTCATAGTTCCCATATCTCGAGTGGTGGCTCTGAAAAGGCCAACCAAACTGCTGCAGCACTCATCCAAGCCCAAGTGTTTTTGGGACTGCGGCCCAGTCCCCGGAGGTAGAGTGCTCACCCAGGAGCAGTTGAGGTGGCAGCACCGCAGCAGGTGTTTAGCATCCAGGCCCGTCTCACTCACAGAGGAGATGAGACGAGGCAGGGTGAGGTGGTTTATGGCTGAAGGAGGCTCCGCTGCACGCTGGATCTCACAGCTCGGCTCTGGTTCTCTTAGGTGTTGCAGCAGCTGGGAGGGAGCAGGGATGGGCTGTGGATGGCAGTAAGCAGCAAATGTGTCCTCAAAGTTGGCATTATTGAAATGAGAGCCACAACAGTGGGCTTTGTCACACTTGGCTGGAGGGTGTTCCTTCTCTTTCACAGCCTCCGCTCTGACTTCTGCCTGGCAGGATGACATGCAAACACATTTGCTCTGAGGCTGCTGCACACGTCCCTCTCCATCGTTTGCCCTGCGGGGAAATGTGCTGATAATGTTGCACTGCTGCAACTCCATGGGCTGCTTGTATGATGACATGGAGTGAATATTAGCCTCTTGGGTGGAGTGAACGTGTCCACAAGCCTCATTGTCTTCTGTTTGGAGGGGCGCTCCCTGTCCTGTCATGGGTAAAGTGACTGAGTGACTGAGCACAGGCAGGGAGGCTGGGGTCATGCCCTGGATAGTCCCGCCAACTTGAGAGTTTTCAGTGATTGGATTCATAACAATGTTGTACTGATATGATGCTGTCTGCATCTTAGCAGGGCTATGATGGTGGCTTGAAGACCCAGAGGGCACACAGTGCTCAGACAGGTATTGGTCCTTCCCATTGGGGTCACTGCTGACCCTCAGGCTGTCATGTTTGGTCTCCTTGGTCAGAGTCACTGAGTTGTCTTCGCAGACCTCTTTGACAACCTGCTTTGGCTCCTCCTGGCAGGTATAGGCTGGCCTTCCAGTTGGTCTAGAGGATGTTGTTGTCTTCACAGCAGGGTCAAGGAGTGAATGAGCAGAGAGTGTAGAGTCCAACGAAACATCTCCCCCCAAAGGGTGCAGCTCCAAGACAGGACGCCCGGCCTCTGCCATGGAAGACCTGAAGATGAAAGTAAAAATAAAAAAGAACAAGAATGTGGATGTCCAACACCTGGTCAGCTCAGATACCACAAAAAATACAGAAAAACTCCTAAGAACATAGAAAATACAGAAAAACTCTTAAGAACACAGTAAAACTTAAAAAATAAAAACTCTGAAAAACACATGAGCTCAGCCTTTGATCATTTATGGTCGAAAACTAACTCTCTGTAAAACTTTATTCAATCTGTTAATTCAATGGTAATACACAAGAGGAAGGTAATAAGGTTCGAGTTCAACAGATAACCTGGCCTTATAAATGTTGTTCATGCTGTGATGATTGTAGCTCACAGTAGCACATACAATATAATACAATACAAATACTTTATTTATCCCCAAAGAGAAATTCATTTGTCTGGAAAAAACAATGGTCAGGTTTTACCTCTGACCTCACCAATAATAGTGCATAGTGCCAGCGTATCATGGCAGAATTGAGTGTGTGACAGCTGCTGTGTCATCACAAGTTTTCACATTTGACTGGATGACGGTGGTTTTTAAATTAGGCTGTCCAAGGACACCTGACAGCAAAAGTTCACACCCGACAACACAAAAGAATATAAGTGCACATATTCATAAACGTTTGTCACGCTGTTCAAATGTTAATTAAGCAAATGTGATGGTCTGCAAATAAGAATAGAGCAAGATTCGAATACTGCATCTAATTTTTTTTTCATGAAAAATGAGGCAGAGTCTCTCAGAAGTGAAGCTGGGAGGAGATTAGTCAATTTGTTAGAGTTTCAGCATCTTCTTGAAAATCATTTTCAACGGGAAGTTGTAGATTATTGGTGGATTCCTCCACCAATACAAAACATCATTAAAAGATTTAGAAGATCTGGAGAAAAGTTAGAAGCCAAAAATTCATTCTCGATGGCCATGGCCATCTTTTGACCTTAAGGTTGCACTGCATTAAAAACAGAGATGACTCTGTGATGAAAATCACTGCATGGGCTCCAAATCACCGCCATAATCCACTGTAGTCGCCTCTATAGTAGAAGAGTCCACTGTGCTTTTATCTCACTGTTTTATATTGCTGTTTTTATCAGCTGTAAAGTGACCTTGAGTGTTTGGAAAGGTGCTTATGAATAAAATGTGTCATTATTGTTGGTACTGTTCATCATCGCCTCCACAAATGCAGGTTTAAACTTTACAGTGCATAGAGGAAACAACATACTGTTTATAAATGTGAGCCACAAAAGCTGGTGACCAAACACATTTAGATGAACTAAGGGGGGGGGGGAAACTGACATTTCTCTTGGAAATCATGGACGCTGCATCCTTTGTAATAGAGAAGGGACCATGTGGCCTCATTATTGTCAGCACACAAGTTAACCATCAGCAATCCAGAGAGAACGAGGACCATATGTGCTCATGACATGGTTAGCTTCCTCATCTGTGAAGGCTCCATTAATGCTTAACATACTGTATCTACAGGTTTAGGAGCAACATCTGCTGCCATCCAGACAAAGACGTTTTCAGGGAAGACCTTCATATTTCAGGAAGACAATGACAAACCACAGTCTGACAACAGGGAATACAACAGCATGGCTCTGTAGTAGAAGAGTCCTGCTGAGAAACAGATCTACCTGCAGTCCTGACTTGCCTGGAGCATTTGTCATCATGTAATGACATACCCTATAATGAGCAGCTCAAATCCTAAAACAGGCAAGAATATGACAACATTACACTTTGGAAACCCGAGACACTGGTCTTTACTTTCACAAATTTACACAGCGCAGTTTGAAGAACAGCTGATGCCACACAACAGTTAACATTGTGCAGCAGTGTGTAATTGGCATCAAGGCAAATTGAAATGATGAGAATAAAATGCATATATTTTTCATGAAACAACAGAACCATCAAGATTTGTTACGTTGCTTTTGCTCTAATTTCAGTTCAATGTAAGGTTTAAATAATGCGCAAAACCTAAAAATTTTCAAAACCTCTGTTAGAACATTGGTTGTTGGTAAAATGGTAAATGGACTTTTATCTAATCAAGCTTTTCCCATCATTTTGATGACTCAACATGCTTTTAAACTACATGTTGTATTCCTCTTCATAACTAATCTTATTTAAGCCCGCTGAATCACTGAAAGCTCCTCAAAAGACAGCCATATTACAACTTTGAAACCACAGAGTAACCTTAAACCATTCAGAGCCACCCCAAAGTAATCACTTCTGACCACCAGCAAACCACACTCAGTAACATGCATGTCTTTGGCAGACCCTTTGCACTCCCTGCCTGAAGTTGCTTCACAGAGATGTTACAGTGTCCTTACCTGCACAAAGCAAAAAAGTCATCATCATCATCATATTTGACCTAATTGCAGAAAGACATGAATGAAAAAAGATCAATCTCAGCTTTGTTGGTTTATTTTTCTCTTTTTCTTTTTGGATACGTACAGTATGCTGGGTGTCCTTTAAAGGAATAGTGTGCAAAGCAAGATCACCAACGAAAGCAACAACATTATGCAAAGCAAAATAAACCAGACTAAAACTGTGTGCAAGATGGCATAAAACTCATATTATTCTCTTTGTCACATCCTTGGAAAATAAAATTTGAAATTCAAATACAAGTATACTGAACTATTATTGTGCAAGTGGGTTCTTGCTTGGAGTACATCCATGTTTAATGTCTCACATATCTGCATCTGAAGAGCTTAACTTAATTTAGGGATAAAAGAATACTTATATGCAATAATCACATGCTGCAGGTATGAAGAATTGAACATACCAAGTCAGTGTATTCAGAGAAGAGAACTTTCAACATTATTATCCTCCAGCTTACCTTTCACAGTGAACCACTTGATGCTGAGGTTTTGTTACCCCCCGTTTCCTTTTCGTCACAGATGAGTCAGATGATGGGTGCAGTTTCTTAGAAAGCTTTCATCCTCCACTTTCTCCTCACATCCACAGGTGACCTCTCTCTATCTTTCACTCCCCTTCACTGAGATGCTTGTGATCCCTCTCCGCTCTCCTCCACAGCCCCCTCTCCTCTGCCTCCTTTGTCTCTGCAGCCTTCAGCTGTGCACAAGATGGAGGAGACCTTGAGATAATCCTCTCCTACATCTGATTACAACTGTGAGGATGCAATCTTCAAATCCTGGCTCTGTAAAAGAATGTTGAGCTGGGTAGTGGTTGGCTTATCCAGCTGTAGTGTGAGACGGATGGAGGGGGTTGGGGAATGATAATGAGACGAGATAGTCAGGCAGTCAGCGTCACAGTCCCTCCACCTGTGGAGAGGGGAGGAGGGGAGATGCTTCAATGGATGTGTGCAGGGGGAAAAAATGAAGGAAAAGGTCCACCCTCTCTGTCTTTGTCTCCGTCCTCTTCTTTTTCTCTTCACTCACCAACACATTCAGTCCTTCTCTGAACTCACTAAATGCTTTTCAGTTTCTCTCTCTCTCTCCATCTGTGTCTCACTCAACCTTCCTGCAACCCTCCCACCAACTTCTACCCACTCTCTATCACTATCCCTGTTGCTATGGAAACTGTAATACTCAATGGGCCTGTGTTTTTTTTCTTTTCAACCGGCAGTGAGAAAACAGACAGCCAAAACAAATCAGCTGGGAATTGTCCATGTTGGTGGTGGACCTAGTTATCAAATTTTACACATCACCTTAATGCTTTGTCGACAGATGGCTGGGAGACACAGAGCGAACGGATCATAAGGACAGTTTCTCTGATGTCTCAGTAGGTTTGTGTAGAGTAGAGCATCTATGAAGCCTGTAGCTGGATTTGGATTTACCCCCAGATGTTTCAGCAGAAATGTCAAATCATCTGAATTGGTGGGAAGAGCCTGGGTGGAGCTGGACTCTCCTCAGCCAAATGAATGTGACACAATATTCAAACAATGTCAATATTTATTGTTCAGACAACAATGAAGACCAATGATCTACAAACTTTTGAAAAGAAACAAGCATAATACAATGAACATTTTCTTTGTCAGATTGATGTGTTGTAGATATGAGCAAACCCTTTATTCATTTTAAGGCCCCTCCTCAGCCATTTTTGTCTCACCAACTTTTAGACACACAATGTAAATTCAATCATTCAAACTTCAACTAAACAGTGCTAATTTAAAACAAATTTTATATCAAGATGCTTTACAAAATGTTAACTTATACGCAAAGACCCATCTTCAATCTCATTCTGTCTTAATCCACTATGAGCAGAGAAACTTGCAGTATTCAGTAACTTACAGTGGCAAATAAAAGGTTCCTTTGAACCGACAGAAACCCTGAACAGAAGCAGAATTACGCTGAACAAACATCTGCTGTGTTGGGATTTGAAGGAGGGTAGATGGAACTTCCAGTCTTTACAGCAAAGCTTATCATGTTTAAAACCTGGTTGAATTTTTTAAAATTGTTTTGGCGTTCATTTTTCACAGTGTAAGGGTGTCAGGAAATCAGGTTTAATCATACTTCACTGGTTTGAATGATTTCAAGTCTTGTAGTTCCCCATGGTAAGGGACATAAGACCAGCTGGTTGTCATATTAGCTGATTCAAGCCTCTTGACATTTTGACTGCTTTTTAGGTGTTGGTGCCTTGTAAGCTTGCTGTGCTGTTATTTTAGTGACCCGTCAAGCAGGGAGAAAAAAATCTGGTACAATATCAGAGACATGTCAGCAGGACTGACAGGAGCAGATGTTTTCCGGTAGGCTCACTCAGTATTTGTCAAATTTGAGAAGGTCTGTTTATAAAAGTGAGGATTGTTGTCAGCTTTTTGTTTCTATGGAAAAAAGACAAGAGACTCTAGGCATGAAGACACATCTGAGCCTAAAGTATTTGGTATTCAACATTCACTCATTCATATCTATGCCTGGCATTCTGTTAACCAACTCTCAGCCTTTTTAGTCTTAACAACTTTAATTTATCTTATTAACAAGCTTAATGCTCAGCTAATGAACCAGCTGGAGGCATGAACTGGATAGCTCTAATAGCTGATCTGATAGCCCATCCATCCATCCATCCATCCATTTATCTACTTTGCATTAATCCACCCATCCATCCAACCATGCCTCCATGTATCCATGCATCTATTCACCCATTTAGTTATTTAATTATTTATCCATCCATTCATCCATCCATCCATTCATTCATCCATCCATCCATGAATGGGGAGTTGCCAGTCCTAAATCTGTGTGAAGTAGATTAGATTAGATATTGGAATATTTGTCCTTTGGGATTTTCCTCAAGAGTTAGTGGTGAAAAAATTGTTTGTTCAGAGTCAAATCCCCAATTTCTCAATTCAAGTCCACTTCATTAATAGAATCATTAGACACTAAAAAATCCCTGCTTTACCCCAGCTTGAACCTGAACTGACTGGGTGGGACCTTCTGGATGTTTTCAATTTTACAAAAAGGAGTCAGCTTGTGGCTCTGTGCGAAAGATGCAGGAAGAATGGTACCAGTGTACAATGAAAAACTGATTCTGTAATGAGAACATCTAAAGTTCTCCACAGTGAGAGGTGTGTGTGTGTGTGTGTGTGTGTGTGTGTGTGTGTGTGTGTGTGTGTGTGTGTGTGTGTGTGTGTGTGTGTGTGTGTGTGTGTGTGTGCGTGTGTGTGTGTGTGAGTGTGTGTGTGTGTGTGTGTATTTTACAAGGAACATTAATATATGAAGGTTTTGTGACAAGTGTACTCAATGACCTCTTTTCTTTGCATTCATTCTTGTATCTTTTTTCTTTTGGTAAAGACTAAAGTGGGTCAATAATTTCAGAAAATATTATCAGGGCTTTTATTGCTTTTGTAGAGAGAGGACAGGACAGTGGACAAAGCAGGAAATGGGGAGTGAGTGGCTGGAATCAGGCCTGGACCTTGAGGCACATCATCCATATATAGAGTGTGTGAGAGAGTGCTGGGCTGGTGATATGCCAAATACACCTGCAGTAGTAAGACCACTGAGAACATATACAGCTGAACATGAGAAAATTTTATAAGCTGTAAAGAAAGTAAAACCTTCTCTGAACATTGACTCTCCAGATACGAGCTGTGAGCCATTAGTAGCTTTTGTGCAGATTTGTAGAGAAAAGTTCTTACTCTTTGTACCAAAACAAAACTTTATAGACATCATCTGATGTCTATGAAGTACAGCTGAAGTTTGAGCCCATGTCTTGCCCTCGATTCTTTAGTATATCAAACCTGTTGTACCCTCTTTCAGCACCCTGACAGGAACTGTTGCTGAACATATGCTGCCATTCAGATACCAATTCAGAGTCCTGCCAGCAGTCCTGACTATATTCACCTGTGATAAACATTTTACCGATCATAACCCAAAAATCATGACAAAGTAGACCTTAATCTGTTGAGCATCTGAAATCTTCCCTTAACCTGTAAAAAAAAAAAGGTCATCAATGACCAGCATAGGTTTTTTTTCTTCCTTATCAAAATATAATGATATTTAGTAAAAGTGTTTTCATGCTCTGTAAAGGAACCTAAGACAAACTTTATATTTCAGTACACAAAAAAAGACTTTACTTGACATTTACTGTTTTGTATGAAATACTAAAGCTTTTAGATATGAATGCTAAAGTGTGTGTTTATATGTCGGTGTGTGCAAAGGGGGTTATTCTTAAACATCTTAAGCAACAGCTCAGATTTGTTGAGCAGTTGTGATGATGGGGAGAAAAGCCTTGTCATCATGAAATCCCGCTGGGATGAACATTTTGGAGACTTAAAATGAAGTCTTGAATTCCATGGAAAAATCCAGACTGGTTTGTGTATCAATGTTTTTGGGGCATTTCTCCTCATGATCTATCTTTGTAATTGTAACATCATCATCCATGACCCCAGTGACCCAGCTTGAGAATTACAGTTGTGTGGTACTGCAAGTGGATGAGTTTGTGCAGGGATATGAAGAATTCATCCTATTCTATCTGTGTGTGTGTGTGTGTGTGTGTGTGTGTGTGTGTGTGTGTGTGTGTGTGTGTGTGTGTGTGTGTGTGTGTGTGTGTGTGTGTGTGTGTGTGTGTGTGTTGAGTGGGGGAGGCTGACAGCTGTGGACAGATTAGGGCTGAGATTTTCTGGGGGCAGCTCTTTGTGTGTTTGTTATGTGCCTGTGTTTAAAGTATTTTAGAGATTAGTGCTGTGTGTTTACAGAGCGTGTTTGCAGTTTTTCTATTCTTGAAAGTGTTTGTTTTTTTTTCCCACTATCACCTTACCTCCAGTGCTGTGTGATTCCTGCTGCCTGTGTCCCTGGTTTCACTATCAGTGTTCATAGATGGCACCTACCTCAACAATGTCAAAATGTTTTCCCTGCAACAGCAAACCAAACACCCACTCATGAACTTGCAGTACCTCACAGTCTGCCCAACTGTCCGCTGCATTAAGAGGACATTGTTAGAGCAGTAAAATGCAGGTAAAAATCCACTTGAGCACATTGATAAGGGTTAAAATCAGCTCTCACTCCAATTTCTGATTTCACCATTTAAAGCAGACTTACTAGTGCAGGTCAAAATATTAGAAGGTCTCTCATAATTTAGTTCAAAAAAGGAAACTTACATATGTTCTGGGAAGAGCCGGCCCAAGCCCCAAGGCATAAGTGAACTAAGCGCCTGCTTCGGGCCCTGCAGCCAATAGGGGGCCCCCAAGAGCAATAATTAAATAATAATAATAACATATACAGTGCATCCGGAAAGTATTCATACCACTTCACTTTTTCCACATTTTGTTATGTTACAGCCTTATTCCAAAATGGATTAAATTCCTTTTTTCCCTCAAAAATTCTACACAAAATACCCCATAATGACAAAGCAAAAAACTTTTTTTTAGAACATTCTGCAAATTTATTAAAAATAAGACACTCAAATGTTGCATATACACAAGTATTCACACCCTTCGCTATAAAACTCAAAATTGAGCTCAGGTGCATCCTGTTTCCACTGATCAGCCTTGAAATGTTCCTCCAACTTGATTGCAGTCCACCTGTGGCAAATTCAGCTGATTGGACATGATTTGGAAAGCCACACCTGTCTATATAAGATCCCACAGCTGACAGAGAACGTCAGAGCACAAACCAAGCCATGAAGTCGAAAGAATTGTCTGTAGACCTCCGAAACAGGGTTGTATCGGCGCACAGATCTGTGGAAGGTTACAGAAAAATATCTGCTGCGCTGAAGATCCCAAAAAGCACAGTGGTCTCCATCATTAAGAAATGGAAGACGTTTGGAACCACCAGGACTCTTCCTAGAGCTGGCCGCCAAGCCAAAATGAGCAAGCAGGGGAGAAGGGCCTTGGTCAGGGAGGTGACCAAGAACCAGATGGTCACTCTGACAGAGCTCCAGCGTTCTTCTGAGGAGATGGGAGAACCCTACAGAAGGACCACCATCTCTGCAGCACTCCACCAGTCAGGCATTTATGGTAGAGTGGCCAGACAGAAGCCTCTCCTCAGTAAAAAGCACATGACAGCCCGCTTGGACTTTGCTAGAAGGCACCTGAAGGACTCACAGACCAGGAGAAACAAAATTATCTGGTCTGATGAAATGAAGATCGAACTCTTTGGCCTGAATGCCAAGCGTCATGTCTGGTGGAAACCAGGCACCGCTCACCACCTCGCCAATACCATCCCTACAGTGAAGCATGGTGGTGGCAGCATCATGCTGCAGGGATGTTTTTCAGCGGCAGGAACTGGGAGACTTGTCAGGATCGAGGAAAAAATGAATGCAGCTAAGTACATTGAAATCCTTGAGGAAAACCTGCTCCAGAGTGCTCGAGACTAGTGCTGGGCGATATAGAAAAAAATGTATATCACGATATGGATCATTTTATATCATGATAACGATATACCACGATATAGCTATGGTATGCTTTCAGTTCTATGAAAAATTAAAATGTATACAGCTGCCCTAGTATAGTGCCAGTACAAGACCAGCACTTAAAACTAGAAAACTGAATAAATAAATACGTGGCTGAAGTGCGTTCATGTCTGTGCTAACCCAAAGTCATGCAACACTAACAGAAAACGCCGATAGTGTGAGCCAAGCACTCCATATGAAGAGGTTGTTCACACTGCTGGATGTTTCTCCTCCAAAGCTGCTCTCTGCCTCCGTCGTCGTTTACTTTACCCTTAAAGCACTTAGCAAGACCCGAGCATGAATCCGAGCGCTTTATTCGCCTATCAGGGGCAGACAGGTAAGGTGATTTGATTCACCACGACTCCAGAAATGATCGAAAAACTACAGAATGTCACAAAATGACGTTTCCGCACTCCTGGCTTGAAGGGTAGAAATGCGCAGTCGCGCTCCCGGCTGACAGGAAGTCAAACCACTGTTGTAGTTCTTTTGTGTTGCTAGCGCGGTCAAGAGTGTTGGCTCTGGACACTGAGAGATGACTACAAAAATGGACGCACCTGTTCATCTGGTTGTTTAACACGGCTGAAAATGATCATCTATTAATGTTGTTCCCGCTCCTGTCCACTCCTGTTGCTTTTTTTCCCATCCCGTCCCGATCAAGGGATTAATTAAAAAATAATCCCCCTCCCGTGGGATTCCCGCAGGAATCACGTGACCCACTGGAGACCTTCGACTGGGGCAACGCTTCATCTTCCAGCATGACAATCACCCTAGGCATACGGCCAAGAAGACAAAGGAGTGGCTTCAGGACAAGTCTCTGAATGTCCTTGAGTGACCCAGCCAGAGCCCAGACTTGAACCAGAATGAACATCTTTGGAAAGACCCCAAAGTAGCTGTGCACCGATGCTGCCCATCCAACCTCACTGAGCTTGAGAGGATGTGCAGGGAAGAATGGGGAAAAACTCCCCAAATCCAGGTGTGCCAAGCTTGTTGCATCATACACAAGAAGACTGGAGGCTGTAATCGCTGCCAAAGGTGCTTCGACCAAGTATTGAGTAAAGGGTGTGAATATTTATGTATGTGCAACATTTGAGTGTTCTTATTTTTCATAAATTTGCAAAATGTTCTAAAAAAAGTTTTTCGATTTGTCTCAAGTTTCAAGTTTCATGTTTTATTTGTCACATGCCTAAATGTACAGGTACAGTGGCAGTGAAATGAAAGTGACGTCTGCGATTGTGCCAAAAAAACAGAATAATAATAATAAGAAAATCAAATAATCTACAGAAAGAGATAAAATAAAAATAGAAATAAGATAAATATCCACTCCTATATACATCTTATGTACAATAACCATAAAATAAAAATAAAATAAAAATAATTAAAAATATTGACTCCCATGTACCAAGTAAACAAGGTAACAGGGGTAAACAGGTAAAGTGACCAGTAAGTTATCTTCTGCAGTACAGTCTGTTCAGAGGGTGTTGTGAAGTCAGTTATGGGGTGTGTGTTATGAGGAGTTCAGGATCCGAGTGGCCTGGGGGAAGAAGCTCCTTTTCGGCCTCTCAGTCCTGGCTCTGATGGAGCGAAGCTTCTTACCCGAGGGCAGCCACTCAAACAGTCTGTGGTTGGGATGGTGAGTGTTTGATAATCCGTCTTGCCCTGGACCTGCACCGCTGGGTGTAGATGTCCTGGAGGCCGGGCAGTGCAGTACGGGTGATGCGTTCAGCACAACGGATGACTCGATGCAGGGCCTTTCTTTCCTGAGAGCTGCAGCTGCCGTACCAGGCAGTGATGCTCGCAGAAAGCACAGACCCCACTGTTTGCCAATTTGAATTTACAAATGTGCAAAAAAACAAATTCCATTTACATGCATTTGTTTTAAGATTAATATGACTAAATCTGCGCAACTTTCCGGCTGGTCTGTGATTTATAAAGGGAAAGTGCGTGCAGGTGTGCGTAGACAGGGTTTTATAAATCAGATTTTTTTTTGGCCTACGCACTTTTCAGCTTTTTGACTTACGTACACTTTTAGTATGGATCCTACGCCAGGTTTTTATAAATGAGGCCCCTGATTTTTTTTTTGGCCTACGCACTTTTCAGCTTTTCGACTTACGTACACTTTTAGTATGGATCCTACGCCAGGTTTTATAAATGAGGCCCCTGGACTTCAGTAAGACCCCAGCAGAGACACAGACCGATCACCTCCATGACACGACACACTGATGCAGGAATTCAAGCAGAAGGAGCCCCGATCAAGAACGGAGAGCAGAAATGAAGAGGGTTTTCCAGAAGGTCCACATCTCTGGATATTCATCCTTTTTTAGTTTTTTTTTTTTCATTTTTGATATACTGATGTTTGGAGAGAGAGAATGGGTTATTGATTGTCATGAGCTGGAATCATCAAGATTCAAACAAAGTCTGTAAATATTTGACTTTGTGATAAATCCAGAACATATGGAAGTTTGACTTTTTTAATGAAATTATGGGGGAAAATGAACTTTTCAAAGATATCTTCCTTTTTCATGGCTGCACCTGTGTTTGTGAAGTGTGGAATTGGGAGTCACATTTATTTGGTGATATAAGTAAACTTCTTTTGTACAACAATATGATTCTTGTCTCAACTCTGACTGGTTGTACTGGGACCATGTAACTGTGTAAGAAGAGGATGAAAACTCTCCTCTCACCTCCTGAGTTCAGTTTAACCCCCTTTGACCAAATCAAGAGAATGAGATAGATCTTCACACAGGTGTTTAAAACACTTCAGCATAAATGGAGCAAATGAAACTGGAAGTTCTGAATTATGGTGTAATAATACTGCACTCAGTCCTCTGCCAAAAAAGGCTATTTCTAGTGCATAAATAATAACAATAGCAGAGTTACCGTTTTTATTGGATTGGACTTTTTTCAGTTGAGCTTAGCATTTGGTACAACCATAGACTGTATATAAGATGGACAGAGTCTGCCTCCTCGCTGGGTGAAGCTACTCCGAGAACAGCACCCTCTGATGGTGGGCTGCAGTATAGGTCATAAATCCCGCCTCCGCCAGCAAAGCTTATGGGACTGTGGACAAACTTTAGAAATTTATTACACAGAACATAAATTTTTCTCCCCCCTGGTTGTGATGTTGACATATAGTTACAGTAAGACTGGTTTGTGCCCAAGTCCTTTTTTTTCTGTACAGCTCCGTTTTTAAAAGTTATAAGGGGGTTCATGTTTTCTATGATTGATACCTGGTACAGCCTACGGGCGTTCAGGGATTGCGTAGCTCTTCCGGGGGAATACGCTGTTTGACCCGAGCGTCATCACAGGGACTCTCGGCGACTGCGCGGCCGAATGCGCACAACGCTACTGCACAGCTCTGGTTTCAAGGAAGTGGAGAAAAACCCGGAATTACCGAGAGCTTTTTGGCTTCAAATCCGTATACAGGCGGAAGGCAGAACCACGGTGTCCATCTTATATACAGTCTATGGGTACAACAGATGTCTCTCTCTGTCTTATCCTCTCCTGTATCTGTGCTCTGGTCTTCTTGTAGTGTTTCTTCTGACACTGATGAAACCACAGAGTTTGCTTCATGCTACATAAAATGAACAACATCTGTGCTGCATATACATGTTGTTGGCTGCAGTCAATGTGAGGGCTGAAATATCAACAGATATTCTCTCTGCTGAGTCCACCGTGTAGCCTGAACAAAACAAAAGCAACATGGACTCATGAACTGTCAGGTGTCAGGTGTGTGAGTCTGTGAGGGCTCCAAGAACTGAACATGCTTCATGACGTGACACCCTGCAAAGAGAAAAGGTGTGCACGATAATACACAACAATGGAAAGCACAGATCTCCAGTATGAAATGATGCATCTTTTAGTCTTTTCATCTTTTAACTCTCCACACAAAGGCATGGGTGCTCACAGACACTGATCAGGGGCCTCATTTATAAAAACCTGGCGTAGGATCCATACTAAAAGTGTACGTAAGTCGAAAAGCTTAAAAGTGCGTAGGCCAAAAAAAAATCTGATTTATAAAACCCTGCCTACGCACACCTGCACGCAGTTTCCCTTTATAAATCACAGACCAGCTGGAAAGTTGCGCAGCAGGGATTTGATTCATGCCCCGCCCTCTCCACACCCAAAATTCACCATGTATGGTGCCTCATCAATGTGATGTGCATATAAATAAGCCTGATGGATTCACGGCATTTCACGCTTAATCATGGCATCAGCAAGTCGTAGAAAAAGAAACTTTTCAGAGACAGAGGTGGAGGTTTTTTGTAAATAAGGTGGCGGCGAGACGGGAGACCTTATTCGGCGGCCATTCGAGTGGCACGCCGTTGCCGTGGCGGTAAGTGCGGCTGGCACTGAGCGCAGCGTTGCCGAAATCAAGAAGTGGTCTGATCTAAAGCTGGAGGCAAAGAAAAAAGTGGCTTTGCACCGTCGGAGCGTGGCGGCGACAGGTGAGGATCAGAAAACACAAGCACGTGTGACACTCATGCATGTGTTCCAAAAACAAAAACTGCTCCGTTATCCACCGCTGCTTATGTGGTGAAAGTTCGTAAACCAAAAAGATTTAGTCATATTAATCTTAAAACAAATGCATGTAAATGGAATTTGTTTTTTTGCACATTTGTAAATTCAAATTGGCAAACAGTGGGGTCTGTGCTTTCTGCGAGCATCACTGCCTGGTACGGCAGCTGCAGCTCTCAGGACAGAGAGGCCCTGCATCGAGTCATCCGTTGTGCTGAACGCATCACCCGTACTGCACTGCCCGGCCTCCAGGACATCTACACCCAGCGGTGCAGGTCCAGGGCAAGACGGATTATCAAACACTCACCATCCCAACCACAGACTGTTTGAGTGGCTGCCCTCAGGTAGAGGCTTCGCTCCATCAGAGCCAGGACTGAGAGGCTGAAAAGGAGCTTCTTCCCCCAGGCCACTCGGATCCTGAACTCCTCATAACACACACCCCATAACTGACTTCACAACACCCTCTGAACAGACTTTACATTATTATTATTATGGTTTTTTTTTGGCACAATCGCAGACGTCACTTTCATTTCACTGCCACTGTACCTGTAAATTAAGGCATGTGACAAATAAAACTTGAAACTTCTGCTGCATTGCGCACGACTGTCACTGTATGGCTTTTTATACGCGCGCTTTCCATTAACCAATTGTTCTCACCTAGCTCCAATTGTCTCCAAAAAGTGCGTAAGCAAGGTGTGGAGTTTGCTTAAAGTTGCGCACATTCCTACACTAGTTTTTCTTTTATAAATCCCAACTTTTGCGTAAGAAGTGGCGTAAGCACTTTCAAGCCAGGTTTTGTGCGTAAGCAAGCTTTATAAATGAGGCCCCAGACCTGCACATAAGAACACTGAAGTAATGAGACTTTCAAGCTGATACTCAAATGAACCTTAATAATCTGAATTTTGATTAAATGTCACTTACTGTAGCTTTAAACCTTGATTGACAGCAAGTGACACTGTGATGTACAAGAATGTGTTTACAGTTCGCAGGGGGGCTGTGGGATCATGTCCTCAATGTCATCAAGTTTGCAATGAACTCTGGGTATGTTTAATAGTCGAGTGTGCAGAAATGCAGACATAAAAGTGTGTCACTTGAAATCGCTAAGTTTGCAGAGTTCACGCACTAGACGATGTGACTTTGAGCCCAAATACATGCTTACCAGGAACAGACCTGAGAGCCTGGGTGCAGAGTCATAGACTGGAGTTAGACCACTAGGCCTGTAGAACAGTTGGTTTTATGTGCTGTCTAAATATAATAGGACTTGATATGAGGTTGTAGCTCAGTCTGTTTGTGTGTGATCTTACTCCTTCTATCTTATTAGGATAGAAGGAATAGGCTCAAATGCCAAATTTAGTTAGATAGCTGCATGGCACATCACACAGCCCGCTTTTACCTGGAACAGTATCATTGCAGACTTAAGCTGATCTGATTAACTGAAACCTCGTAATTACCAACATACATTCTCCTTTGTATAGGATTATAGCTCACTGAAACATGTTCACACCAGGAAAGAAAGGATTCAGCAGTCTTTATTTCCAACCTCTCTATGCTTTTATTAGAGATGATACAGTGTTGGCCTTTTGACATTTATACAAAACCAACAAAACCAGACAGCAGCTTTAGATCATCTCTTCACTGGCTCCGGTGTCCTCTGTTGTCAAAAGATAAAGACCTGTGTGTGTGTGTGTGTGTGTTGGGGGTGGAGCGAGTTCAGCATTGAGTGTTTTCTGAGGTGAGTGGCATGATGTGATCATCTCTCTTTTTTTTCCTCCTCTGTGGTGGTGGTGTCTCTTTCACAGTCTCGCACATCGGCTCACCTGGTCCAGGGCTGTCCCTCATTGTCATCACATCAGGTTAGGGTGAAGGTAAAATCAATTCATCGCTACTATGAAGTCAAAAAGTATAAAGTATATCTATCTAAAAGACTTTGATTGATGACAGCTCCAGAGAGCTGGGACAATGTGTAAAATGTAAGTTAAATTAGAGTCTGATGGTTTACAAACTGTATAAAAACAGCTTTACTAAAGAAAGGGGGGGAAATACTGCAAGGACAACATATCAAATGTTGAATCTGAAATATTTCAAAAATGATTGCTCTTAAATTTGATGTTTCCATTCTTATAAATAGCATATTTTATTATATATGTTTGATAAAGACCATTTTCAATCAATAAAAATGGTCCTTCTTACGAATACATATGTCTCTTGAGAATATTGACCACAGCAGTCAGGCTAGAGCCTTCCATGTTTAGATTTTGTTTTGTCAATCTCGTCTCCTGAAATTGGTTTGCAGCTCCACACCTCCAGATGACTCTACTGACTGAAATGAGAGACCTTAGTCCAACAGCAAGATGCTATGTGGTTGACTCCATCTAACAAAAACTGGATGGCATCATCTCAAAAAACTATACTATGTAGTTTAAACGCAAATATATAAGCAATGTAAAATGTGAAGTTAGGTACAGTGGAATACAGGCTCTCATCCTCAGAAACCACGGAACCTCAGTGAATGAACAGACTGGACTTCAGCTCCTCTCTGACAGGATGTTAGTTTTGGGCCCAGCTTGGACCGTGCCCAGGCTTTAGTCAAATGTTGTCAACATGATATTTACATCATATTCTCATCACATCAGTTAGACTCACTTAAAATGTCTATCACTGCTGTAAACAGACCGGAGAACAGTGAGGACAAAACCAGGACATGGACTGTCTGTCTGCTTCAGTCTGCTGGCCATCTGGTTTCCCACCCTTCCTTTAAACTAATATGTACAACTTCCTCCCTGAATGGACTTCTTTGCTGTCAGTCTTGTAGGGAGATGAGACCTGTCTGTATGTGTGTACTAGCGAATGTCAGTCCTGTCTTTGCCACTACACTTGATGTCCACACGGTCTCATCCAGACAGTTCCTCTCCTTGAATTAGGACTTCGTTACCTGTCCTTCACACCTCAAACCTGTTGGTCACCCAGTCCTCCAGGTCCCTGTGTCTCACACTGATGTCTGGGGCTGAGTGGGAGTTCATGATCTCCATCAGTTCCTTTGACAAAGATCTCATGTTGTGAGGTTATGTTGCAGAAGTTCCTTCAGTTAAAACCTTGTAGCTTCTTTAGTGTTTCCTGCTGTTAGTAAACAGATCAGGTAGTTCAGTAAAATTCATAGCCATGAGCCGGCTCACCCACAGACTTCAGTCCAGGCTTCTCTGTGGTGTCATGATCTGTCTACCTGTGAGTGTGAGTGTGTGTGTGTGAGTGTAAGCAGTTGA